TTTCTTATATAAAGGCTTCTAAAGCTCAATTTTCTGACCCCAGTCAAAAAACTGACAGTCGTATCAAATTATTATATCTTCTACTGCTATTTTTCTAACCTCGGTCAGAAAATTGATAGTCGTATCAAGTTATTGTATAAAGGCTTCTAAAGCTTATTTTTCTGACCTCGGTCAGAAAATTGGCAGTAGTATCAAATCATTATACTTCTAAACCTACTATATACTAATGCTACTACTATATACATATAATTAAATTACTTAAAAATATAAAGAAAAAATATATAAATAATGTAGGTCACGAGGTTAAGGAATTCTACTTAGTTACTAAAAAGGCCTTAAGGCCCGTAGGCAGTGCCCACCCGCCCGTCTATAGGCGATGTCGCAGTCCAGACATTGATTTCTATACCAATAATATGATATTAAGAGTAGTTTTGAAATAAAAGGATGAAATAAAGACCTATCTATAGTATCTAATGCTGTAAAAAAAAAGGATTTATTATATTTTGGTATAATTTTTAATATATGTAGAGCTTAGTTGAAACTGGAGAGTATAGCATGTATGTGAATATATATATCTCTACTGACTGACTATGATACTAAGTCAACAACTTCTTCTTGATCTCCTACACCTAATTTTACATATTTGAGCTTAATTTTGCTTGAATATAATATTTAAATATATGGCTGAGATATTCATCTTCTATTTTTAATAGTATGCCATATAAAAAAGTTAGATTGCTACAAACTTGAAGTGAGAATGTTGATACACCTGTAAAAAACAGTATTTTATCTGCTGAGTTAGCATTTTTGTGCAACCAAAATAGGAAATGCTTGGCAAAAATATGTATGCCATGGGACCATATGGGAGTCCCATCACTCCCATGGGACTCCCATGGGACCACTATGGTAATGGGACCAAAATTTTGGCTAGTCCCATGGGAGTGATGGGACCAGGATATGGGACCAAAATTTTTCTAGTCCCATGGGAGTTGGCAAGGTCTATCTGCGATAGCTGATATATCTATATTAAAGATTAATATTAACGAGCTATTTCTCTACAATAGGAAGCCCCTATATATAAAGGACGTTGACCTGCTATCTACGTATAAATAAGTATAGAAGAGCCCTTTCTGGCCTCAATAGCTAGACGCTATACAGAGACAACTAGATAATCTCGTGGCTAAAGATATATAGAGTCTGATTCTTAAGCTACTAAAGGCTAAGATACTACTAGGTTAATAGCGATTTACTATCAAGTCTAATACCAGAGACGAAGTCTATAAATTTAAAGTACGATAGGTCGTATATAGAAATTTCTAAGATAAGAACGACGGGGAAATATATACTCCTATCGTCGCCGAGTATATAATTAAGATCGTTTTCATACTAATTGCAGTATATAGTCTGAAATAGAGATAGGTTGACTTTACCGCCGTATATCTTAACGTATCGCGAGAATATATAGAGACAGTCTATATAAGACAACCTATAGGTTTTGAGTATACAGATATATAAGGAGATAAGAACTAATAGGTATATATACTCAATTAAGCGCTCTTCGGGTTACGTGACTCTGCTTTCCTATAGAACGAAGAGATAGACTGTAAACTACGTTAGATTAGCTTTCGTCCGCTAGACGATAATCCCTGCGTTTATATCAAAGGCAAAGGTATAGGGTTGACTATCATAATAATCTATATAGATGACTTTATTATTATAGCGCCTACTGATAAAGAGATTGAGAACGTCGTTAACGAGCTCCGTTAATACTACGATCTGAAGGATCTTAGTGAACCGAAGCAGTATCTGAACTGCGCGCTATATAGGGATTATAACAGACGTACGATCACTATATTATAGAAGGCCTACGTATAGAAGATACTATAGACAGCTTAAGCCTCTGGCTGGAAGGATATACTATTACTAGTAGTATAGAGAGAAACACCAGCTGACGCAACTAACGTACTGGATAACGAAGTATTTGATCAATATCAATCTATCGTGGGTATATTAAACTGGCTGGCAGTCAAAACCCGACCAGATATACGATTCGCAGTGATACGTTTACAATACCGACTGGCAAACCCCACTCTTACTGACTTCGACGCAATGTAACATATGGTGAAATATCTAAGGAGACGACCGGATATCGGAATTGTACTGGGTCGAACTGACGAGCTTCGCTTTTACGTATATACAGATGCTTTATATACGGACTGGGAGGATAGTAAATCGACAGAAGGATATGTCTGGTACCTCGCCGGATCACCAGTTATATGGTCTACGAAGAAGCAGACAATTACGGCTAATTCGACGACAGTTACAGAATAGTGTGCACTGGATCAACCTTACCGAGACGCAATGTGGTTGAGCAAAATTGTATATTCATTCATACTTCCGGAGCAGCGTCCGACGGAGATCTATATTGATAACATCAATTCTCAATTGCTGATCTCGAAGAAAGGAGGAAAATCGGCGAACAGATGGCTCAATTTACGTTACTTCTTTGTCAAGGATGCAATGGCACAAGGACACGTTGAGATTCATCGTGTGGACACTAAGAGAAATGCCGCAGACGGGTTTACTAAGGCTCTGGCAAAAGACCAATTCGAGGTTTTTACTGAGCTAATTGGCATATGCTAAAATCCACAGGAATTTGCAGAGTTTTACTATGTACGCCGGAATTGGAGACTTTGATAGAGGGACTATGCAGGATTCTATGAGGGGGATGTTGGATGCCTGAGGCATCACCATGTGATAGAACCCATAGTAGATAGTACACCTGCTCTCTCTCCCCCTTTCTCTCTCCTCTCTCTGTCCAACTCAATACATACAGTCTTTTCTCTATGAGTACACTCGCACTGTATTAATTTCTCTTCCTATTGTCTAGTATATGTTGTCCACCCTTGGCCATGTCATCGTTCTTGCGTTCGCCTTCGACCTCGACCCATATCAGTCAAGAACTCAATGAATCAAACCAATCATATAATAGTGTTCGTAGCCTTATTTTAATTCGGCACAAGATGTCGTATTTCCACTAAAAATTTACTCCACAAATCATCACGAGGTCGAGAAATGCTCATATCAAATAAACTTTCGGAAACTCAACCCAAGGAACCAAAACATATTGATGTCATCCCCCAAACCAACAGCTATGAATCTAACCTCAGACTGTCGTTCAGATTTGACATCCTAACATGAAATATATATATAACCCACGATGATTACCTGGCGTTCCATCACGCGCACCTGCCAACGGGTTTGTAGAATCCTGTGGTGATCTTGAATAATATACTAACTATCGTGCAGCATCATGCGCCCATCAGTGCGCAAGTACGGCGGTTAAATCTGCTTGAACACCACTCGCACAAACTACTGAAAGACGTGAGATATCTGTTCATGCACGGCACCATCAATGCTAATACAACCCAGTTCAAACTGCCAGTTCCACCGGGATTCCTAGTCGCAACCCCAGAGCAAGCCAAGGAAGTTGTTTCCGTGATAAGTAAGTCCACGCCATCCTCTCTAACCTCCGTTTCTACCGAAACTAATACCGCACCAGATGCACCATCAATGATAAAAGCCCAAGTACTCGCGGGTGGCCGTGGCAAAGGGAAATTTAACAGTGACGGGAAGAGTGGTGTCAGACTGGCCAGCTCGTGAGTTCCTGTCCAAAAATCTAAATCCCTAACTCAGGGAAACCCCAAATCTAACACACCCAGACCAAGCGAAGCCTTCAAAGATGCCACCAACATGCTCGGGTACTACTTAACAACAGCGCAAACCCCAAAGGATGGACTCCGCGTCGACAATCTCTACATCTACAAAGCCGTATCCATCGCACAGGAATTCTACTTCGCAATGACATTCGACCGACAGCACAACTCACCAGTACTACTGATCTCCTCGTCGGGCGGAACCAACATCGAATCGAACGTAGACAAAATGCACAAACTTTGGTTCAAACTTTCGACCGGTATCACCGACGAGATAGACGCGTATATCCAAGCCGAACTCGGATTCTCGGATACTGAGATGAAGGATATACACCGGATCGTGGTGCAGATGGTGAAATTGTTCAAGGAGAAAGATGCGACGCTGCTTGAGTTGAATCCGCTGGTGCGCACGGAGGAGGGAGAGTTTATTTGTGTGGATGCGAAGTTCGAATTTGATAACTCGGCACGGTATAGACAGAAGGGGATTTTTTCGTTGGAGGAACGATCGCCGGAAAAGGAGGAGGAGGATCAGTTGGCAGAATTAGGGCTTTCTTATGTGCGACTTGATGGGAATATTGGAAATATTGTTAATGGCGCTGGGTTGGCGATGGCGACTAATGATCTTATTAGTTTGTATGGAGGAAAATGTGCCAACTTTTTGGATGTTGGGGGTGCGGCGACCAAGGAGGCTTTGGGGAAGGCTTTTGAGATTTTGCAGAGGGACGAGAGGGTTAAGGGAATCTTGATTAATATTTATGGTGGTGAGTATACACCCAAACAAAGGGAAGTAAAATAGCTGATCAGTGATAGGGATCGTGCGATGTGATATGATTGCCGAGGCGATTATTGCCGCTGCTGCTGAGATGGGTGGTTTCAAATGTCCCGTTGTGGTTCGGTTGCAGGGCACTAATTCCGAAAAAGGACTGAAGTTGGTTAGTAAACTTGACGATTTGTGACACTGTGGGCTAACTCCAACTGTAGATCGAACAATCGGGGTTGAAAAACTTGATTGTAGAAGGCGAGTTTGAGAAAGCTGCTCGAATGATTGTGAAGGAAACATCGGGTACTGAAGTTTAACAAATTGATTCATAAATCGCAACATAATCATGATCCTGCCACTATATGCCTATAAAATCATGTCGTAGCCCGAGGCGAACATGCCTAACGGGACTCAAAAGCAGACAGCAAATAAATCATCCTCTGAAATATAAACTTGCTATAACAAAAGGCATACCCAAAAATGTAGGGATGTCCACTATTCCAATTCAACACCGCATGGCTGATTTATAACTCAGTCTCGGTCTTAATCAGCGATTTAGCCATTTCTTCCTCCGTCGTAGGCTTCCTAGCCCAGACACGGCGACTAAAGGCGATCAGCAAATATAACCTCTCAGGGTACTCATAACAACTCACGCATATTCATAAGCATGTGTACGGGGGTTTCTCAACTCAGCCCGAACCTTCGACAAATAAACCTGGACCTCATCCTAGGTCCAAGGAGTGGGCGCACCAAACTTAGTGAGCAGCCACATAGCCCAGCCCTCTAACGCAGTAACCCAGTGGGCGTATTGAAGCTGTCCAGCCTCCTTGAGAACCTTATCTTTTGGCCACGGCCCCAAAGGAATCTTGTATAGCTTCTCCTGGATGTCAACAAACCCGGCCTTCTCCATTGCGGCGTGCATTGTCTCCTGTGTTAGGAGGGAGCGGCCCGCTCGCTCAGAGCAGCCGATGAAATTATCTCCCCATGTAGCTAGAGTGCCACCTTCCTGTAGAGTCCCGTCGTCGCTATATACTCGCACGTCTAGTTCCATCTGTTCGATCCAGCCGCCTGGGGTAAGAGCGCTGGATGACGTGATGGTTAGATACAATTGTTCTGATAGGTAGGGAGAAAGTGTAGACGATGGACTCACTCGTAACACTGTTTGTATAATTGATCCCATCCCTCGGGGGTAAATGCTCCCAGCATCAGACGCATGTGGATAAAGTCGAATGGGTCTCTCCAGGTCCATTCACGGAGGACATCATCTACTTCTAGTAGGCAGTTCGGTGGCATATATGTCACAGGAGGGGGGAATATGTCGACGCCACGGACAGTTGCTGATCTTTGTTAGATTGACAGAATAGGAGAAAAGAAAAAAGATTAGAGTAGCTACCAGATGGATACATATCTGCCATATCACTTGGTAAATATCAGCAATATTCGATTAAAGAGAATGGGTGGGAACTTACATAGCCCATGTTCCTTTACCAGTCCCAATGTCCAGGATGTGCTGAAATTTACTATTAGCAAGGGGTAAATATTCAAAGTCTGCATCGCTCTCTCACCTTGGGAGACTTGTCGATAGGCGCGTGGTGTAGAGGGTTTGGTCGGTCATGGTCTAATACGAGAAACACGATATGACTGAATATCACAGCACGGATAAGCTGTTGCTTCAACCAGACCGAACGAGGAACAAAAAAAAACTGGGTACTTACCCAATCTCAAAAGCCTCGAATTGCTGTTCATCGGAAGGACTCCTGTATGACATGATTATTAGCCTCGAGTGTCCCACATTGAAGCGTTGCGACCGACCAATAGTCATCTTCCTTCAGAGCCTGATATCTGGTCGTACTATTAGTAACGGCGCGTGTATGCAATTTTTCTACTAGTTCACTCACCGTCTACCATTCTCTAATCGACCCTTCGCAATTGCCGACGCGATAGATGTAGTTTCCCTAAGACTGTTAAAAGGAAAAACGGGGACATCATTTGGGTAACTTACGACTGAAAGTCTTCTGGTTCCCAGTCTTTGGTCAGAGCATAGTAATTGGAATCCTGGCAGTGTTAGATATAGTATTAGAAACTCCATGTTGATAACTCACAACAGCAATCTTTTTGGCCATAGTTCTGAGGGTTTTGGATTTTGGACTCGGAGAAAAAAAACGTGGCAAGTGGAAATGACAAGGGGCGGGGTTTGTCAGATGCATTCCACCAAGCTAACGTATATAGTTTCAACGGTGTGATTATGTTAGTATTTAAGAGACATTTATGTTGGATGCACAATAATCATAATATCCTGTCGATTATAGCGGATCGATCTTCTACCGAATTTAGAAGGTGGGTATGGGTCTGCCGTGTCAAGACTCGGAATGGGCCGCTGTCAACCATGGAGGATTGCGCGTGCAAGCTATACCAGAGCTGATAGACCGAGATCATATCTCCTCAACCAGTCTTACATCGCTGATTTTCATAATTCCATTGAAAGGCAACCAAAATCCCATACAAATGAATTATCGCACCGATTACGACTGAGATGTGGAATAGCTGGTGAGATGATCCCCAAATGTCAAAGCTTCCGGGTCTTCGCGACTCCGGGAAATGTGTCTGCCACCAATCAGCTTCATCCTGCGTCAGCCCATTCTGGAAAAGTAACGCACTGCGTAAAACAAGACTCTGACCACGATAACGAGTCCTTCAATATAGTAATATCGCAATCCCGCTTGTTGATCTAGTTGCTCATAAGGGAAGATACTAGCAGCGTGGATGATAGGAGCAAATGCCGAGAGTCCCATCGCCACAAATGTTGATAACCGCAACAGTCTCCACTTTTGACTTTGTAATTTAGGATGCACCACGACAAATCCAGTCAAAAAGCCTAGACTGCCAATCTGGGCGCCATAAAGTTAGTTCGCTAGCCGAGAGAAGGGGGTCGAGAATCTTGAACGGACCATTGACCAATAAAGCTTTTGCAAATGTGGTTCACAGTAAAAACCAATATATATCCCAGAGATAAATGAACCAAGAATCTGGAATACAATAGCAACATAGTCCAACCGACCCCATAAATCAGTGTAACGGGTAGAATGGCAAAGGAAAGTATGGTATGCGGATGAGATACCAAAACAAATGACCGAGGTTGTCAAGTAAATATGAAAAACAAGCTGATCGACCCACGTAGCGTCCGGGACAGATGTAGAGTAATAAGCATAGAGAAGCCCATTGCCCAGCAAAGATATGGTGGCAGGGATGAGATGGGAGTAAACATTCACAGTTTCGTTGTGGAGGTACAGCAAACTGCTAAGACACCGAGAAATTGATGGTGTCACTGGCCTATAGCTGGTTCGAATGTACTGATTATGGCCATACCACGAGGGAATTTCATCGCGGTTCAGCAGCCGTGGGCCTGACAGGTTCTCTGGTTCTTTGAGGAGCGGGCTATCGCTGCGGTCCATGCCGCTCGCCCGTTCGACAGGCGACAACCGTTTGAGCAGTGCCATGTCTCGACTTTGTCATTTTGGTTTCGATGATGTCCTTGGGAGATGGAAATTCATGACTATGAGCGAGACCCGGATGTTTTGTGCGATGGCAGAGTATCGTGAACTGCCTCCGTCGCCTAGCCCCGCGGCCCCCTGATCGTCCGCATAAGCCTGGCGGTTAAAGGTGCGCTGTGATTGGCTACAAGAGCAGGCGCATCACTATCGTGGATTTCAAGATTGATCGAGCCCGATCAGCCTCACCACATTGGTAGATACCGGAGAGTTTAGATGTGATTGAAACCCAGTGACTGCGAACTAAAAGTACTGTGCAGTGACTTCGCTGTCGTTCACCTATTCATGGCCACATGAGCCTCCAAAACCGCCGATAAGCGACGTACAAAAAAGCAACTATCCGCTAAAGCTTCTATATTTGTTCGGTTTGAAACATTCGAGAAGTACCGCGCAACTATCCCTATCTTTTATTATTACTATGGTTGTTGATGTCTTGGTTTTAGAATTTGTTGTTGTCTACATCAAGCAGCGCCATGCTTATTAGCGCACCAGCGGTGATATATATACTTATTTTGCAATGATGACGAGGCGTTTTATCAACAATTTTAGCAGTGCAACTTCGACTGGGTTATCTTCTGTTGAGACATGTATAAGAGGGCAAGGCGTGCTGATCGTCCTTCCGTGTCTATGTGATCCACAGCTTATATACTTCTACCTCCACTTTCTTTGAACTGGCAGGTTTGCCAATTCAACCTGTATACAGTCCATGATGACTGTAAACTCGAATACGAGTCAGACCCTCATTACCGCCAGCTTGGCTGCCTCGCCAAATGGCCGAATCAACGGATGGAGTGATCAACCCAACAGCAGAGGCACATTGGACATCTTATGGAGGTGCCTTAGTACAACCTTTCTATGCACATACACAATCCTTTGTTTAAATTGCCCAGCCCGCAACGAGGGCTTCTGGCGAAATCAAGCACGGAAGCTATTATGGATAGCGATTGCGATCGCGGGACCCGAATTTGTGTTGACCACAGCTGCCGGACAGCTTGTAACGGCTCGAGATTTGGTCAAGTCATTCCACGCGCTTGGTGTCACGACATGGACATACAGACACGGGTTATACGAAAACATGGGTGGGTTTGAGCTTGTTCCAGCCGATGGCGGAGCTTTCCGTATCAACTCCAAGCACGTCCACTGGCTTGTCTCCAGAGGTTACATCAATGTCCCAGAGGTCTCGGACGAAGAACTCTGGCATAAGTCTAAGCAGGATACAATTGCAAAGTTGATCACCTGTGTATAAATTGCATATCTCATCCTGCAGTGTATTGGACGAGCGGCCTATGGTCTCGCCGTGACCACTATTGAGCTATCTACCGTGGCAATCGCGGGCTGCACTCTCATGACAAGTATCTGCTGGCTGCATAAACCACTGGAAGTTTGCTATCCCGTACAAATAAAAATGAACATCTCCATGGGACAGGTCCTCCAAGAAGCTAGTCCTATTTCGGCACGAGCTTATCGACAAACACCGCTAGATTTCGTCGATGATCTCCGACCCAGCTGGGCCCTCAATATCCAAACTTTTATGAAAGACCCATCCCGTGGATGGGAGATAGCCGGCTGCCGTGGTTGACCTGGACAGAGAGTTCTTTTTGCCTGTCTGGCCACTTTGACGTATGTGTCAATTCACCTAATCGGCGGGGATTTTCAATTTCCCACCCATACAGAGCAGATTCTATGGAGAGTGTCCAGTCTTATTCTACTAGGTACTACTGTTGCATTTTGGATTCTCAAGAGCATGGCGAGGTGGTATCGCTCCGGAGGTGGACAAGAAATTTTGATCAATCCATTTACTACCAGGACTGCTACTGTCGACTCTGTGGGTTCTACTGAGCTGAAACAGACCTATACCGAAGATGATAATACTTATCTACATGAAACCCCATTCGAGCCTTAGAGAGCTACCTTTGAGTTGGGAGTTTTGGAGTATCTTCCCCATTCCATTCATCTATAGCACTGCTCGTACATATGTACTTGTTGAGACATTGGTGGAATTGAGATCGTTACCTTGGACTACATATCTGATTGTTGACTGGCTTCAGTTCTTTCCTCATATTTAATTAGAAATTGTGATATAAATCGAGTTTAATTACAAAGTGGATGTGTATTCCATCCGGTTATGGCATAATTTAGAAATTAAAAGCCAACATAGCCCAAACAACTCCCCAGGGCAACGTCTCCTCCACCATCTCCAATTTCGATCAACGATCCGCTCCCCATTCCCATGCATGAATACGCAACATGCAAACGTTGAAAAGAGTCAAATTAACTTCTCAAGGAAATTTAATCAGACTTCAGGCCTGGGAACCACATTGAGGGCAGAATCGGCTAGAAACAATGGTTCCGCACTGGGTACAGTACTTGGCAGCACTTCCCGTTGCGTTGGCATCGTTCGGAGGAGGTGTACCAGGGATAGATGAGTTCACCATCTCAGGGGAACCATGGAACTGAGCAGGCTGATGTGGAGGAGCATATGTAGGTTGAGGTGCTGCGTAAGGCTGCTGGAAAGGTTGTGGTTGCTGGACTTGCTGGACAGGAGGAGAGTTCACGTATGTGACGGTATGGTGGCTGTGGCGGCTGCGCTTGACGCAGAAGATGATGAGTAGAATCCAAGCAATGAGCTTGAGCACGCCACCAATCACAAACATAGCAACGGCGCCATAGAACTCGCCCATGTTGGTACTGCCACAAGAGTAGCTGGAATAGTAGGAGCTGTAGTAGGAGCTGCTATAAGAGCAGTCGTCATATGAGTGGGAGGTCCATGTTCCCACGAGGGCACCGCCGATGATGAAGCAGATAATGGCGCCAATGAAGAAGCCGATGGGCCACCATTTCGTGAGCCGTGATGGGCGTGGACCTCCTGCGGCTGATTGCATGATTCAGATGAGGGTTCCTCGGCGCGAGAAACTGTTCCGATGAAGAGAAGGAAGGAAAATAAAGAAGGACTAGGGTAGGATAGAGACTAGAATATGGTAGAGGGGGTCTGGTAGCTCTTAAAGCATTTGCGCATAGACTCACTCAGCCTCATCGTGTTTAGGTTATTATGGATACGTAAAAATTTAGTAAATAGGGCACGGAAGACCCTGATGAACCTATTACCGTTGAGATCAGATGCAGCAGATCCCCCTATTTTGGCCTCCATCTCGTATTTAGATGAACCGCCTAACACGGACTTTTGAACGTATAAAATCATGATCTTGGTTAGGGTCCCTTGTAAAGATCTTAAACTCCCCCAACCTGATTTCTACCAACGTTCACAATTTGGACAAATTAACACACCTTGTCGATAGATCCAATATTGTCTAAGGTAATAATAATGTAGAATTGGCATCTTCAACTTCAGAATGCTTTGATCGCCAAGGATCGACCAAGCTAAGTCACAAAATACGACCCCTGGCCCACCACTACCCACCGTTAATCCTCAACACGAGCTTAGCGGGAAAACACCCTAGGCGCACGTTAATTTCCAAGAAGGATAGAGTTTCTCTGTGCCTCCATGATTGGTTCACTATATTGCTAATTTTTTTAAACAGGTCTCATTGGTCTAAAACACACGTTTGGGCCAGGCAGTAGAGATTAACCTTTTGAAGTAAAGAAGCATAGAGAGATGGACTCGTATTCACACGGACTCAGCACCATACTCCAATGCCCTTTTTGCGACGGCAAAAGAAACAAAAGAGACGAACAAGCTACAGCGTAAATGGAAGTTAGCTAGCATCCTGATTTTACTTTGAAAAAAGCAATATATCATTGGGAATCTTTAAGGAGCTAGTGCCTTTTCTCAGCGATGGATGAAGTGGATTTGACAAACTTTATTAAGATGAGATTTTGCGGGCGCTCACTGAAGTGATGCTTTAGAATCCTAGGCCTGTTTGTACCATAAATTATCGAACCACCGATTTCTGTCAATAGCCCATATTGGGCTCTGTATCATTCAAGGCGCGAACCTCTTTATATCGCCGGGATATCTTGGCGATCATGCCCTGAATCTCCTTCGCTGCCAAAAACTTGAGTCCTAGTGTCTCGAAAAGCTGTGTTGCGAGGTCGAGATCAGCGATAGCTCGCGTGTTTCTCAAGACGGTGCTAAGGTCATCAGGTTGAGCCGTTATTGCATAGATTAGTGACAAAGTTGCCGTGAAGAGAGCGAGAAAATTCAACCAGTTATATGCAAATCGTTGTTGCTGATGCATACTGAACGCTTGGCGGAGCGACATGGACGCTGCCATCTCCAGCATTTTTATCCGCTTCAAATCTGAAACGGGAAATAGCGGTGATGGTCTGTAGATCATGGCCAGGTGGGTATAGTAGTTGAAGTCATACCAGGTAGTGTTGAGATGTGGCACGCTTTCGTTGACGTCTGGGAGCGGGAAGGGCATGCTCCGACGCCAGTCGAGAAGTTCTTGGTGTAAGGAAGCTATTATAGCCTCACGTTCTGGCGAAGTCAAATTTGCGTTCTTAACATTTCCGTAGACTTGTCGCGAAATTTTGCCCGCAATTCTCCGTAGCGACAGAATGTGCAGCGGAACGGCCATCAGTGATGGCTGAAGGGGGTTCTGCGGGCTTATGGATTCCGCATGTATAAACTCTTCGTCGACATTCTCGAAGGGCTGTGTTCACTCAGTCAGTCATTTTTCGTAAGATAGTTTTGCAACTCATTGACACGAAGGTCAGACTCACTGTTACATCTATGTCATCGTCGTGAAGTGCGAACGGTCGGCCTAAAGTAATGGAAACAAGGCTGAGTGTTGCGGGCGGTTAGCCGCTTGAATCTGGATACGAGAGTGTGGGGAAGAAGTGATAGTGTAAACCTACCGATCCATCATGTATATTGAAAAGAAAATTCGTTTGCGTCTTTGTTGCACATGAAGAGGAAATTTGCGATATGACGAGGCCGCATGGAGCCCCATACCCAACGCCAGACGAGCAGCTGTGCCAACCAGGAACCATGTGTCTGATTTTGTCAGTGCTTAGAATATCGGTCAAGTGGTTGTCACTTACTGGGACCTAGTTGGTTGAAAAATGAATAAGAAACCTGGAGCATTATGGCTTCCAGGGTAGACTAGGCTCTCGTCAGCTAGGATTTTACCAGATGGGCTCTTGTCAGCGATGAAGCTGTCGGCAAGTTTTCCTACCATCTCGTCACCCCCTAAGGCTTGCTCGGAATACTGCAGAGCCTTGTTGTAAAACAACATTGATTCCGATTCATCGGTCAGTGTGACAGAAGAGTAAGCGGTAGAGCCGATGGCTAGGACCATCCAAATTCTGAAGGCGCGGAGGGGAGTTTGTGTGGCCCAGTTCTGAGGATTTTGATGGATCTTTTCAAGAGTGTCCATGACCTCGGAGCGGTCCAGGATGGGATAGAGGGTATGGGAGTGAGCAAAATAGAAATTTACCAGCCGCCGCACATGTGTCTCATCGCTTGGCCAGGCTAGGGAGTCAATGGCGTTGCCGGACCAGGCAGAGTCGGTGAAGAGGAGGTCACCAAAAAGTAGCGGATAGGGGGAGATGGACTCATTCAAGCTTTGGAAGAAAGAGTCGTTAAAGGGGTTTGAAGAAGAACTGAGATCCAAGAGATCCATTTCTGTAGTGTTATCCTGATGGCGATTGAATACAAAGTCCGCCTTGTCTGGCGCCAAACGACGTAGAATCATCTGTGTCAGGTTTGCAAATGAGAGTCCCGTAGTCGATCCCAAATGCCGTTCAGCGGTAGCCTCCAGCGAGAGCACTGTGAGTTGCTGCCCAAAGGTTGGGGTTTGGTCTGGTGCGGGCCGTGAGTTCACAAGGGGGCTTTCTACCAGATCTTCGGCGCTGTCGGCAAGGGTGGATGTGTTTCCTACTTGGCTTCCGTAAACACCTTCAGGGATGCACTCCTGGCCCACCATTGCTATTTCGGGCATCTCAAAGTCTTCATAGAGGTGATTGTTATTCAAGACCGGAGTGGCCTCTGCGGCTTGCGGCGTATCCCGCTCCTGGGCAGCCATAGACCTACCCAGACGGCGCAACCTCTCTTCTAGCCCCTGGACATACCTGTGAGCATGTTAGAAGCCACTTGAAACCACTCGAGGGTGTGGGGTACTCTGCAAAGCCAAGGATGAGAGGCCGGGAGAGAGATCTAAGCCATCCAGTGTCTCGATCTCATGCGACAACTCACACTATGGGGTACGAGGCTGTTTGGAGATCATCGTCCTCGAAGCTACATCTCACCCGCGCCGAGCCGCAATTTTTGCATGACGGCAACATTCTGTCGCACCTCTTCTTCCTCTTATGGCATCGCGAGCACGAAGCTCGGGCCCTTGCTGGGGCCGAAGACTGCGCTATCGACGCGGCGGGACCTGTGCCGTTGTCGCGCGCCATTGGAGATAAGCAAAGTCGCGAAGAAGTGACGAGTGTGCAGGAGCAAGGGGTGTTGAGACGCTCTGCAGCGCGACTATTTTTGTTTCTACCACATTTGCTTGTGGCTCCCTCAGCTGGGTGGAAATTGTCAGAAGTTCAGAATTTGGAGTACTGGGCTATGTACCCTTTTATCGCGCTTCCCTGATTGCCCCCGCATCCAATTCGGGACTATCCCCCATTTATCTGGGGGGGTTCCCCGATTATCCCATTCCAAGGGCCCCTGTTGGTTGACTGCGATGTAAGTTGCCTAAGAACTTGCTACAAGCAGTTAGCCTACTCGGCTCGAGATAAGAACTGTACCAATCATCTTGATGATCAAGCGCGGAATCACGTTACACCTACTATGCAGGGAAGCATTGAAAAACGACGGGTGTACGTATCTCGTCTGCTTATCATCCCTCTAAGATTGGTAATATAACCATATCTGACAAAATAAAATACGCAGACATTTGATGAAACCAGGCAATAAGGCATCAATATTACCTGAAATGGGGGTTTTCTCGCATAGTACCTATACCGCTGCGTGGGTAGGATATATAGATAGAGATTTAGTATGCCTAAAGTCTCCGTTTAGAATCTTCTGTTTACTAGTTCAAACTGGTGTATAATTATCCTTCGCGAAGAGATGTAAGATATTTATTCATGTTATCGGGCCGAAAATATAACCCGGTGTTAAATATATAACTTGACTTGTTAGAAACTCTTTCGTACAGTCTATGCGAAATATTAACTCTTCTTGCTGCTGAACACCAAGAAGTAGAAAACATTTCCGGGCTGTTTCCAAGTAGGTCTACGAGTATAGAGGCGACTATGTGTGCTACCCAGGACATAATTGGATAATCCATGGGTATTGTCAGGGACCACGGTTCCAAGGTTAGAAGTTATCACTATCAAATATTATATATGAAAAACTGCTTTTTAAAACCTGTATATATATACACACATAAAAATACCAATCATTCCAGTTCTGCTGGGTCCAGCCGTAGGTCCACAAACTCTGGCGGAATGGCCCAAGCATCTTTGCGATACACGAATCTGTGACCGAAATATAAGATCAAAAACACTGGCAAACCAATGTATGCTGACATGAATGAAGCAGTTGACCATTGGGACGGGAAAAATACTGTGAAACCGTTCAGAAGAGTCAAGATGCTGAACACAACGAGCGTAATCCAAGATGCGTACGGCTGTAGCGGAGACCTCTGCGTGAGCTGTGACTTGGGAACTCGCTGAATCTCACACGCTTTTCGAAAGCGAAGATATGTGATGGAACAGCAGACCCAGGACAATAGCCCGCCAGTGTTAACCAAGTTCAAAAGCCAGTTTAGGACAGTCGCCGAGGAAGAGTTGAGTGTCATGTATGCTAGGAGAGCGACACAGGAGGTTGCTCCTACAGCATATATGGGCACTCCTTTTGCAGTGCAGCGTTGGAATATTCGAGGCGCACTACCCTCCATAGCCATGGAGTGAAGACATCGGCCTGATAGGTAAAGGAACGCATTACCTGTTGACCAAGCTGCAATCAATGCTACAGCGTTTATGACGCTGTCTAAGCCAGGTATCCCAGCTTGGCGGATGCCCGCAACCCACGGCGAGGATGCAGCATCGCTACCACTGGTCAGAGAGGAAGCATTAGAAGGGCAGATGACCGAGATACCGATGACACTGCCAAAAAAAAGAACAACCAGGCGCCAGGTGAAATGCTTCGCGACTCTTGGTACATTTCTCATCGGGTCTTTGATCTCTGCTGCTGTTCCAACCACCATCTCTGGTGTAAGGGTAAATGGCAAGAGACTGCTGATGACAGTCGCGATAGCGGCAATAAGTCTGCCAGCGTCACCTTCCAAGATCAATGTGTTTGCCGCACCAGGATCTTTCCAATAGTGGAACCCGAGCCTTTTGCGGTCAGGACCTCCTCCCCAGAACAAGATAAATGAAAGGATAAGCAGGCCGATGATGGTGGCCAGTTTGACACCAGTGAAAATAAATTCCGCTTCACCGTAGAATCGTACTGGAAGAAGGTTGAGGACAACCAGCAAGACTAGTAGAATAGTGATCCAGACTGCGCTGTTGATACCCGGTTGCCAATAGTCTATGAGGATAGCGCATGCCGTAAGTTCAAATGGAACTAGGATAGCGAAAGAGTAAACGTAGAGCCAACCCATGGCAAAACCGAGACTCTTGGAGACGAAGAGACTGCCATACCGGCTCATAGAACCTCCACGGACGGGGAGGAAAGTGGCCATCTCAATGACACTTGTAAGAATGAAGTACACCAAGATGGATATAAAGACATAGCTCCCGACGAGGAACGCTGGTCCACCAGTGGCAAGAGTCTTGCCAGTGGTGATAAAAAGGCCAGTCCCAACGGTGCCACCCCAGGCAATGAAGAGCGCATGACGTGCTTTAAGATCTCGTTTCGTAGATTGCAGATGAAGCGGCTCCTCTACATCAAACGAGTTTGCTCTCGACGTTGTCTGGTAGACATCCTTTTCATTACCATTGTTGTGTTTGTCTGATGATAATCGGATATTATCCATGGCTCATAAGAAAGGGGATGTAATTTGGAAGCTATAGCTAGGTGGTTTACACTATCTTATAAGGGTTCATCATACCCCAAGTTCCGATAGCCTCATAATAGACCTTATATGGGGGATAGATTACGGACGCAGATTGGACCGCCCTTATTGACCATGACTAACTGCAATACAAGCCACCTGATCCCATGCACGGCCCATGTGGCCTCGAGAAGTGTTGGATTCACCCATAATCGGTCGTCGGGGACACCGATGGTGTGATCGGAGACCCCGACAATTTTATCGATGCGATAGGAGGCTTTCCAAACGCTGTCAAATGATGTAAATTTGTCCTAGTAGTGCGCCGGGTTGCCTTTTTGCTATTATTAACATTAAATTAACATTAAATTGTCTACCGTTGACTCCAACTCTGTGCTTATTCACCACTGCATTGTAACACATTTGGCAACTGGGTAATACTTCCGATAAAGAATCGATCGTGTTTGTCGTGACAGCTTGATATCTGTCATCAAAGCCTTTTGGCAGATATCTACTGATTCATGTAACACTACCTTTCGCAAGGTTACACGAATACCTGAGGTGCATACCCCATCGGCAGTGCCGCCGTGATATCTCCATAAGCTTGGGTGGGGTAAAGAATGTATCGGATCACCCGCTTATCAACAGATCTTCGAATTAATTAATTCAACTGAGGGGGATGCAGCGTTTTAGCCGCATGAGGATATATTTGGATGGTGATTAAGGGATAAATCATTCGACGACCGGCCAACATTTAGAACACATCCCCTTTTGTTCCTAGTCTTCCAACTATACTCGACACTTTCCATATCCATCCAATATGGACTCCAAAGTCCATGGAAGCAGTAATTGGCTGGGATATCAATTGTACCAACTGAAGGAACAGGAACATGCTGGGCCAGTCTTGACGGCAGTGGTGGTGGTGCTGCTTACCTACGTACTCTACACGGTAAGTTGTCCTTGGGTCAATTTTCGGGATAGTCAGTGCTGGTATTTGAATGTTCATTGGCTGACAATAATGACAGATTATGTATGCTACCGACATTCCTCACATCAAGGGCATGCCAGAAATCCCGGGCGCTGTTCCCGTGTTTGGACATCTTCTCAAGCTCGGCGAGGATCATGCTACAGTTTGTGAAAAATGGTGGCGCCAGTACAACCACTCTGTCTTTCAGATCAAGCTAGGCAACACCAGAGCCGTCGTTGTCAACTCGTTCGATGACTGCAAGAAAATGCTCCTCGGCAACCAGAATGCAGTCATTGACCGCCCCAAGCTTTACACCTTCCACGGCGTAATCAGCAGCACCCAGGGCTTTACCATTGGATCCTCGCCGTGGGATGAGTCTTGCAAAAAGAAACGCAAGGCCGCCGGCACCGCTCTGGGTCGCCCTGCCTTGAGGAACTACTACCCCATGTTTGACCTGGAGAGCTACTGCATTCTGCGAGATATGAAAAAAGACAGTCGCGACGGTCAAATAGAGATTGACATTCGGCCGTACATCCAGCGATATGCGCTAAACACAACTCTGACGCTCTGCTACGGTATTCGCATGGATGCTGTCTACGACGATCTGCTACGCGAGATTCTTCACGTGGGATCGTCTATTTCCCTATTACGCAGCGCCTCCGAGAACCTACAGGATTACATCCCGGCCCTTCGATACGTTCCAAACAACGAGAAGACCGCGCGTTCAAAAGAGCTTCGGGAGCGTCGCGACACCTATCTGGATCTCCTCTTAAACAAGGTCCGTGAGATGATCAAGAACGGTACAGACAAGCCTTGCATTTCTGCTGCCATCCTCAAAGACCAGGAGACCAAGCTATCTGGTGTTGAAGTCTCTTCAATTTGCCTGTCTCTGGTTTCTGGAGGGTTTGAGACTATTCCAGGAACTTTGACCTCGTGCATTGGATCTCTGTCAACTGAAGAAGGACAGGCATGGCAGGATCGGGCCTACGAAGATATCAAGCGACACTACCCTGACATCCAAGATGCCTGGACTGGATGTTTTAAAGAGGAGACAATTCCCTACATCAACGCCATTGTTAAGGAGGCTGGCAGATACTACACCGTCAGCGCTATGAGTCTTCCCCGAAAGACAGTCACCGAGGTCAACTGGAATGGGGCTATCATTCCCCCTAAGACTATGATCTTGATCAACGCCCAAGCGGGTAACCATGGTGAGTGATCCGCCGCTAAAACCCACTATCTCGGTTATTATATGCAAGACTAACCTCCACAGATGTCGATCATTTCGGACCCGACGCTGGAAGCTTTAACCCTGAACGGTGGCTCAAGTCACTCAGCCCTCCTACTGAGGCTGAAAGTAGCGGCCTGGGTCACTTGAGCTTCGGCACTGGTTCTCGGGCTTGCTCGGGCCAGTACATTGCTTCTCGTCTCTTGTACTCCGCATTAGTAAGGATTCTATCGTCCTACAAGATTGTAGCGAGCAAGGAAAACCCTCCCAACACCGACTACGTTGACTACAACCAGTTCAAGACGGCGCTGGTTGCCATTCCCAGGGAGTTTAAGGTCAAACTAATTCCTCGTGATACGGCCATGACGACCCAGTGCTTGGATCTCGCCGAGCAGAGGACCAAAGAGCATTACAAGGAGTAATCCTGTTTTTGAATGACGTCGTTGGTGTGGCCCTGAACCCTTGAAATGTACAAAATGTGCTTCAGGACATAGCTATAGACAATGCCATTATTTATGCGAACAACTTGAAGCGAGCCAAGACGTATATTGAATTGCTTAGTACCCCTATGAGAGTAAAGTTACGAGATTAGGCGAGCCGCGATCGCATCGTAATACTACACTTGAGAGTAGCCTGAGGAGGTTACCGTACCCTAGAGTCCGATCCCCGATGAGCTAGTTACTCGTCGGCCGGTCCGACGGAGATTATAGCGCTTGGCAAAGGCCTGTTAAAGTAGCACAAGTGCCACATTTCGTTACGTCTGTAGTTCAACAAAGCACCATCATAACAAACTCGTTTTATTATCTTGTGGATATGTCTTCTCTTGTTACGAATAGCCTTTTCGGGGTGAAGGGGTATGTAGCAGTTGTGACAGGAGGCAGCAGTGGCCTTGGCTTTATGATTGCCAGAGTAAGTTCATTTATGTTGAGTTGATATTGCAATCCCGAATTATGTATGCTGTTTTCCTTTGACAGCTGACGTTATCATAACAGGGACTTGTGACAAACGGCGCCAAAGTATACCTCGTTGCTTTACCAAGTGATCCCATTGACCAAAGGGTGGCGGAGCTCAATGAACTTGGCAAGGAAGTTGGGGGATCTGCATATGGGTAAGTTTGAATGATCATAAGCGCAACGCATAAAACCACCAATACGCTACTAACTGTTAACCCTAGAATCCCCTGCGATGTTTCTGACAAGGCAGCTATCCAAGACCTCGCCACTCAGGTTGGCCAGAGGGAAAAGCACGTTGACATGCTTATTTCCAACGCGGGCATAAGACGGGATCCACCTGTCCAATGTAATGTGCTGAAGGCGTCTTTGTCCGAGCTGCAGGCTTCCATGTGGTCCTCACGAGACTCAGACTGGGCTGACACTTTCCGCGTCAACACCACAGCGCACTACTTTCTTTCCGTTGCTTTTCTCCCATTACTAGAAGCGGCCTCGCGACTTGAATTACCCGGTGGTCGGCTCGGCCGAAGCGAGGGCCGTGGAGTGGTAGTTATGACTAGTTCATGCGCAAGCATGCACAACGTGACAAATGTAGACCTGACGAGTTATGCAACGAGCAAAGCAGCAACTGATCACTTAGTCAAGCTGCTGGCAGCCAAGTTCAGCCGCTTCTATGTACGAGTGGTGGGAATCAACCCAGGATGTGAGTGAAGCAGAACGCTATGATATCACACGTGAATGAATCTGGTCACTGATTGATACAGTTGTTCCAAGCTGTATGAACCCTGTCGGGGAGGAAGGGAACCTCTTCAGTGCCCTTTTCGACAAGGTCCCAGCCAAGAGAGCAGGAAACGAGGACGATATTGCCGGGACTATCTTATACATCGTCAGCCGTGCGGGAGTAAGTCTATCCAGTCTTGTTGCAGGTTACTGTGTTTTACTACAAGGTGCTAGAACAATGCTTATGCCGTCTCTAGGCGTACGTGGATGGAACATCACTTTGTGTTGACGGAGGTCGTATTCTACTTGCCAATGGTCAAGAATAAAGGGATAAAGGGCACGAGGGAAACATTTTACGGAATAAATAGAAAGATATCGGCCAAATCTGCATATTATATGCTATTTCACACCTGGCCTTACTACGAATCCATTCATGTTGCTTTGACTGTATTTTCGCCATTGAACAAGACTTGAAATATTCGATGACATTGCGCATATAATGGAATACATCGAAAAATATATATATATACCAGTCAGCCTTCAATAAAGCTAAGCCATTAGTAGTTCCACGGCCAAAGAAATATAAATTAAGAATGAACAGTCGACTGAAAGCACCGCTAAATGACATGATAAAAATGCAAAGCGAAAACGCTATCTAATACCAGAGAAAGGTGACCCCGCCCTGACTGTGCTGGATATCTCGATATCTGGGAAGCCGGCCTGCCCGACGACAACCGCCGTCGGATCGACCGACACGGTCGAGAAATCAAAAGGGTACGATACGGCGGTGAGAGATACTTACACGCTGTTACTGGAATGGCAGCCATACTACTCTGAAATATTGTACGTCTTCCCCGAGCCCGAGGACGTCATCACCACAATGTCCATCGTATCGATCTCCGATGGTGTAGGGTAAGCAACAACTCTACATGAACTTGGATCATTTCAAGGCTAAGAATCAAGATAGCTCCAATATACACGACAAGGAATTACGGGCTTTCGCAGCCCAGCTTCACGTTGAGGCGCTGTATGACAAGGATGCCGACGATTACCTTACTTTGTTAAGGTCGCTTGAGGCCGTCCTGAGAAGCATCGACAATGCGCCCGACTACATTGCGCCAGATTTTCTTCCTCAAAAGACGCTTGAAGATCGCACCTTTTGGAAGCCAGCATCGAAAGACAACCCCTTCAACGGTTGGAGTCACCGATGTAATATAATATCTGCGGCGCCAGCTAGCAAACTACTTTGTGGACGTACCGTTGCTGTCAAGGATATCATATCTGTTGCAGGGCTACCGACAACCCTTGGCCTGCCCCAGTCACTATTTCCTGACGGCAATGGGTACCCCATCTCCCCTATCGATGCAGTCGTAGTGTCGCGGATTCTCGGAGCCGGAGGGATCATCAAAGGCACGTCAACTTGCGAAAGCTTTTGTGCGTCTCCCTTGTCCTTCACCTCGGCCACAGGGCCAGTCCATAATCCAAGATTGCATAACTATACGGCCGGTGGAAGCAGCAGCGGCTCTGCAGTGCTCGTTGCGGCTCATCACCTAACACCAAGCGGGGGCTACTTATCAAGCGGCAAAACTGTGGAGTTAGCTATTGGCACCGACCAGGCCGGGTCCGTACGAATGCCGGCTTCTTACAATGGCATCTACGGGCTGAAGCCCACCTTCGGTTTAGTCCCCTACACTGGCGCGGGTTCCATGTCGCCCATGATTGACCACCTGGGCCCGCTGGCGGCCACGCTTGAAGATATCGCTGTGCTGTTGGAGGTCATGGCAGGCTACGATGGTTATGACCCACGGATGACCCCTGAAACTCCTTTGGTACATCAGGTAAAACCTTACCAAGAACTCCTGCTCAAGGCGAGGCAAGAAATCAACTCTACATCAAAACCGGGTCACAAGCTGAGGATTGGTCTGCTAAAGGAATCTTTCCACATGCCCGGGGTTGCTCCAGACGTGCGAGATATCGTCTACCAGACAGCAACTCGATACTTTGAAGTTGTCGGGGCCAGTGTCATTGAAGTGTCTATTCCAATGCACCAGCAAGGTCCTGTAATCTGGACAGCAGCAACTAGGCCATCCATGTCCAGTTATCTGTGCCAGGGAAACCCCTCCGGTCACCTTTCCTTCCTGTCACCGCACGCGCAGATCAAATGGCCTCCCTCCCAGGAAACCTACGACACGTTGACATCCACCAACCCAGCTGTAGTCAACATTATGCTGAGCGAGAAGTTGGCGAGGGAGTCATCTAAAGCAGGGCTGGAGGCCAAGGCCCATCGCATGGTCTTTGCGCTCAGAGCCGCCTACGATTCTGCTCTCGAGAATGTTGATATCATTGTCACGCCTTGTGCGCCGACAGTAGCGATGCCGCACCCAAATGCAAATGGCCCAGATGGAAGACAGGCCTCAGTGTTGGATAGACTTGGTGTCGCCGTTGGCTTGACCAGCAATACTTGTCCTTTTAATGTCACTGGCCATCCCGCTTTGAATGTTCCTTGCGGTTTCTCCACAGCCGAAGGTCATCCGGATGTCCCGCTGCCTGTAGGCATGCAGATTGTGACAAGGCGCTGGGCTGATGAGAAGCTCATTGAGGCTGCAGCTTTGTTTGAACGGGGACGAGAGTTATTTTAGAGCAAGGTGGATGATAGCAAATAGGTCTTGTTATTGTGTGGCCCCAGGTCTCCCATGGAGACAGCATCTGCAGCTAGTTTGTAGATAATTTACACCTTCTCTCTCTTATTTTTACTAGTTCTCAGTCGATAGCGAATACCAGTCGCATTGCACTCCCTCTCTTCCTCTCCCGCTCCACTAAGATACACCTCGCATAAACATAGTATTTATTACCCCCTCAGAAACTCAGCTATCGCCTGATCCATAAAGTCTATGTCTGCTGCGTTACAACCTAACCCAGCCAGGTGGCCCCATGCAGATGGTATAACCTTGAATGTAGAATGGGGAATAACACGAGACTCCTTTTCAGATGCCTCCCAACGGAAGTACTGATCTGTCGAACACGGCATAACCAGAACACGCGCCTTGATCCGTGATAACGCTTCTTGTATAGATTCATCTCCCGAGATCAAAGTCACATCTCCTCTCTGCCACATGCCAAGCATCACGAGCAAGTCGTCAGGATGCCAATTGTGATAGTTTGTTCCGGCCACCTCCTTATCCCAATCACTCAATGTCTCGTGTCCCAAAGACTTGTACATCTCCTTCTCAAACCACTCGGGGCTTGTCAACCACGCCGAGTATGCTTTACCAAAGGCCCGCAGCGCGCCTAGCGGCTTTGAAGAAGATGGTGCATTACTATCTCCCTTCCGGTAATCGGCAGCATATTCCAGCGCAGCCTTTGGTCCCTCAAGGAACTGGTAGTTGTGACGGCTGGTACGGGCCGAAGAGCAGATGATGACCGCATTCCGAACCAACTCGGGGTACATCAGTGTCCAGTAGTACGAGCACTGACCCCCCATGGAGAAGCCAACCACCACATCAATAACTTCGATGTTGAGATGTGAACTGATCAATTGGTGTTGTGCACGGACGCAATCTGTGTAGTTCGGCGATTGAGGGAAGTTCGTCATATTGGATGGACTTGAAGATTCGCCATTCCCAAACAATGCCACCACAATGACCCTGTGGGCCTTGAGGGCGCCTTGACTGAAGTTCAAGGTAGCCGGAAGTCGGCCTCGGAAACAGGTTATAACAAGAGCTACCTTGTCCGCAGTTGGATTGATATCTAAGAATGCTAGTTGGATTGACGTCGGACCGGTCCCATCCTCGAAAGTGAAGTTATTGATTTGATAGTGCTTGGGTATATGTCCAGACATGCTGGCATAATAGGAAGTAGTAAATTTCTCCCAAGAGGGTAGAATGTACGAATAAAGTTGGCTTATATAGATTGGCTTTGGTGCTTCCTCGGGGGATATGAACTGTCGGAACGTCCGATGTGGGAACTTGTGGACCGGGTTTCGCTTGACCCTCTAACTAGGTATGTAAAGCACGGAAGCTAATCTGGAGGCCGAGTATGATCACCATTCATAACACATTATGTAGACTGTGATGATGACACAATTTATACCTCCCATGCATATCCCAAGTACGAACACACCAAGAACAGCAACGCACCAATATGTACACCGTACGGAATCGTTAAGCATGTGATGACAAGGATTATGGGACAAACGGTCTTTCATATATAACCATGAAAGAGAGAGACAAAAGATCTATCTAGCACAAACGGGAGTGGCAGGCCAAAGGCAGCCACCCCTCAACAATATGATTTCTCTTTGTCCTTCCTCATCTAGACATCGACAACCGCAACAGCCTTGACCTCAACAATCATTCTCGGGTCAGGAAGCTCCCTGACACCAATAGTGGCTCTAGCCGGTGCACTATCCCGGGTCTTAAAAACCTTATTCCACTCCTCATTCATACCAGCGTATTGGCTCTCCATGTCCAGAATGTACACGACAGCGTCAATGAGGTTGTGAATGCCGCCCTTTCCGTCTGTTGCTCCCTTAATAATATTGTCGATATTCTCGAGGACCGCCGCCGTTTGCTTGCGAATATCGAGAGTGGGCTTTCCGTCCGGATTCTCAGTGACACCGGGCCAGGTTCCATCAGGGCGGCAGCAAGCTGTGCCGGATATGTAGATGGTGCGGTGGTTGGATAGGGGTGCAAGGCGAGCTTGAGGGAATCGCGTGGCACCCTCTGCAGCATCGGGGTTGACCAAGTATGCTTGTCCGTTGGGAGACATGGTGACCAAGTGTGAGGGGCTGGCCTGTAGGTTGTAGTGACTCAATTGGGAAAGGAATGATGTTGTTTTATGATTAAAACAGGCCCAATGATTCAACTGGCCTTCTTTAATATTCTTGAGGTTGCCCCAATCCCACCAGCGTAATTGAAGCCAGCCATATCGGGGTTTCATTTCGTTCTCGGCTATCGGGGATGGCGCAGCCGATGACATCGCACTACATGCTTAGCGTCGGGGTGTCCTACTCGATTCTCGTGATAGTGGCGCCTGTCGGGTTGTCCGAAAACACCACACGGTATCTGATCGGTTGGCCCGATTTATGTTCGCTCTCACTCTATCAGCCGATATCGGGGTGTCGCGTAATTTGTGCTCCTTGTTCATTCCATTTCAAACAATATCTGGAGGTGTGTCAAGTACATACATGTAAAACGATCGCACCTCGGCAGTTACCTCTGGCCCAATTGGGAAACCAACCAGGCCATTAAAGCTACGAACTAATCTATATAAAGTCTAGCGCCTTCCAACCCTGGTTGGAACTCAAATAGATTGGCATCGGAAACACCCATGAGGTCTACAGAGAGTAAAATATGTATTACTATAGTATACATATATAAACACACGCCAGGACACATTATCTAATAACAGTCGGCCAATTACCCTGCCACCTAACCGAACTTTCGTCATCATCATCAATAACAACAACCATCCAGACACCGATCAGACCATTATTCGCTAGCAACGGGGTACAGTGTATCCATCGATGACGGCCATGGTTAGTGAATTTGGTCATCCACTTAATACGTGCTGTGACGCTTCTCCCAGCGATCATGGCGTTGACTATATTATCTCGCTTTGCACCGGTCTCGCCGATGCGGTTTAAGAATGAGGATTGGAGCATGCCTGGGATTTGGAGGGAGGGGGAAGTGAAGATGATTCGGAAAGACGGGTAGGGACGGACCAGGAGGTACTGGTTGAATTTTCATTAGTTTTTCGTTTTTCGAGATATATATCTGGGTCTAGAGAGAATGAAGGCCATACCTTTTTGTAGACACCGGTCAAGGATAGACTCGGAGCTGGGCTGGGTGTGGGGTTCTGTGACTCCTGGGGTGGAGAGTAGATCTCGCTCTCGGTGTCCGAGTCTTGAAGGAATAAACGGTGGTTCGGATGTGCATTGATGATCGGTTGGAAGAGGTTTCCGCCGTGCTCGCGTACGTTCTGTAGCTCGCGTGGACTGAGCAGTTCACTCAGTTCTTGGAACTCGCTTTTTGATTCTTTGATTATTTGGCCGCCCGTCCCTATTTTCTCCTTTTGTGTTTGTAGGTTTCGGAAGGATTCCATTTGAGCGCCTTCCATTATGAGACCAGAGACGTCGATTTGAGCGCCGAGGAAGTAGCAGATTTTACCGCGGCTATCGCATAGCGGAGCAATTTGGAGGAGGTTCATGAACGGTGAACCATCCCGTCGGCTGTTTTTTTTTCTCCGAATTAGCCTTGGAGAGTGAAATGGTTTGAAGGTATTTACTAGTTTAGGAAAAGCTCGGAGTGGTGTCTCCCGGCTTTAAGTGCTTCTCGGATTCGTTGAACACTATTGGGATTTGTCTTTGATCCTTGTAAGAATCGACAGTTCTGTCCTAGGACGTAGTCCATGTCATATTGTGTGGTACGGTGGAATTCTAGATGTGTATGTCAGACAAGCTCGTACGAACAATATGAAGTATACAGATACATACCACCCGAAGCAAAAATAATAGGGTTATCTGGCCGTGATGGATCGGTAAGACAGAACACCTCACCCAGTGCATCCGCCGTTCCCTTGGACTCATCCCGCAAGGTGCCGCATACACGCTCCTCAACCACTTTGGCGGTGATAGAGATACAGGTAGAAGCAATAAAAGCAGGTAATTCCTCGGCAGTCAGAGCGTCCAGCGCTGCCTGTACGCGCTGTTCAAGGGCAATATTTGTAGCCGGACCTACGGGGTGCTCTGCTGTTTGAATGCCGGATGTAGGTACATCAACAGCCAGACGCACGAGTGCATTCGCATATTGAATTGCTTTGAGAGCCTTGGAAGCATTCAGATAATACGTCAGGGTAGAAAATGAACCAGGACGCTCCTGGGCGAGGAACTCGCGAAAGCGCGCGAGGTAACGTTGATTGCTCAGAATCGCTAGCATATGGTCCGAACAGAACATGAGGTCTGCCTGTTGCTCTAGGGTACGCTCTGGTGCAATATCGCCCTTGTATGGAGCAACCAGATCAAAAGAAGCTTCCTCATTTTCTTCAGTGGCAGAGTTAAATTGTTCAAAACCCTCGTTATGATGCGTCTGCTGAAGAACCGGGAGTTCAGTGGTAACAAAGTTGCCTTGTAGCGATCTGTTCGAGGCAGACGAGTGTAGACCACGGGTAAATGAAGTAAGTGATCTGCATTGTTAGCGAGGAATCTTGGCGATTGGGATGGAGCCTTGGGCCTTACGCGAGATAGCCACCCGGTGGCCCACTTATAGAATGGTGACCTAGCGATTGGCTTCCGACAGACTGTTGGTCCACAGAGAGGGTACTGAGAGATCGCTGGTCAAATTTCTGATGGCCTGTTGATGTCGAGAAGTGCTTTTCATGCCGTGGCCGCTGGTCCATGGCGTGGTAACCTAAATCTAGAGTCGCGGTTGAATCTGCGACTGATTCTTGGTCGACAGAGAGTTTGCGAACAAGCTGCTCCCTATCATATGCGCCATTACAAATACCATTGGTATTAAGTCTAGGCATTGGGCGCTCTTGCGGTCCCATATATGGTCTTCCAATAGCCGGCTGGCCAAAGGCTAGCGGTTCGTATACCTGCCCTAGGGAATGCGAACGCGAAGAATTCCGGGCGCAAGGTTTCAAATGTGCGCCAATGTTATCTAGCTCGACCATAGTGAGCGTAGAAGACATGGCGGAATGTCTCTTGTAAGGACGATTATCTGGGATGCATGGCGGTTCCATGGCGGCCTGACCTGACTATTTGCAGCGAGCGATCGGAATCGAGATCGGGTTGTGCTCAACCCTTTTCATGTCCCAAAAAAAGGAAAAGAAAAAGAAGTAAGATCATTCATAATTAAATCGCGAGCCCACGAGGCCGATCCGCAATTTTTTTCTTTGGATACTCGCCCATGGTTCTGGTGAAACCAGAGCCAACCCTAAATGATCGCCAATTGGCCAATTTCCCATCTGATCGATTTGCTGATCACAAACTCAAGTCATAGAATGGAATTTCATTCTTGGCGATCCGCACATCTTTTTTTCGTTGTAGTGGAGTAGTCGGGGTAAAAGTAAAAGTTATTCTTATTTGTAAAATACTTGGAGGTTTAAATACCCTATCAAAAACCATCCGGAATACGCCCAGCCTGCATGATAAACATGAATGCCTCCATATACAACATACATCGCCTTTCCTAGTGATCAGCCAAGAAACTGGAGTCCGAACTGCCACCGGCATATGTATGTACCTTATTTAATTGTGGTTTAATTGCTGTTTAATTGCTGTATACCTGTTTGCTGGATTTTATCAAGTACTATGTGTATATACATTGACAAAATCTGTCAGTTGTAGTTCCTATACTTCCATGCTACCTAGTTTCCAGCGTATAAAATATTGAAAAGGTCAGAAATGTCCTCGACTGCTGCAACTGTAAGGCTTTTGGTCGAGTGAGAAAACTCGGCAAACAACTCCAAATCCATTCTCTGCATACACATTATGCAGAGCGACCAAGGGAAGGCCACAAATGTGTCTTTCAGATGGCATCGTCGCTTATACATGGTGTCGCCGGCGGGTGCGTTGTGCGTCGTGGGTCGTGGATCGTGCGTCGACCAATGAACGACCTCATATTAGTCGTCGATGATGTCGCTGGTTATGTCGTCGCGACCACCCCTCGGCACTCAATCTTGCCCAAAACCCAAAGAAATCCCGCATGGAACCATCTATTTAATGAAAGGCACTAGCAAGCAATGGCCCAGTTCCTGTTTTTCCATGTGAGTTACAGCATTGGTCACTTCCACATACCTCAGATAATTGGTGCAGGGGACTTAATTGAGGACCGTCTTCAGATGATATCGTCGCCTAAAATATGATGTCGTTCTCTAGCCACCGAGGGTGCTCGAATGACCTACGCAAGCCTCCCCCCTACCTAAATATCCACTTCTTCTCCATTTCTCATACAATCTCATTCATCAATCCGTTCATCCAAGTTTGGTTATCTTCTCCAATTTTTTTAGCGCAAGCTTATACTTTGCCAAGCATCGGGGTTGCAACAGCCGGTGCATAAATCAGACATGCGAGCAGATTCCAGCTATCCCCACGTTTTGCACCGGCGAAGCTCCTGATCGCCGGCGGGGCGCGGCCGCGTCTTGGCGCAATGAGACACGCTCATACGTCGCCTTTCCCGGCTATCTTGTCGGTAAACCCGGTGATTCTTTCGGTTTTCCCGCGTCGAGATAACACCTGGGGGATCATCACGAGGTAACATGATTGTAGTTAAGGCATTGCGCGGGATTTATTATCCACGTGAATCCCTTTTTTCTCCTCTCTTCTCATTGAAACTCACCTCGTACCGTGAGCGATACACTATTGATGTCCATTATGAGCGGCCCTGAGATTATATCTGCCTCTGCGCCGGTCAGGGGCGTTGGAGATGGAAAAGGGACAGCGGTTATCCAGGTTCAAAACGAGGATGAGCTTCGGTTGGCCCAGATGGGTATTTTTCCGATTCCATGGTATTGGGGGATATGGTATTGACCGTCATACAGGGCATAAACAGGAATTAGATCGACATTTCTCTCTGTGGAGTTTGATCGGGCTGGCGGCGAATTGTACTATTTCGTGGACAGGTCAGTTCGGTTCATACTATCGCTCAACACCAGACTCACACAATAATAGGCCTCGGCTTGGGCTTAATAACTGCAATTAATGCAGGTGGTCCTGGCGCCCGTGAGTTTCCACTCCATATGGATCGCAAACAAGCCGGCAAATAACCAGGTTTCAGTTATATATGGCTTCATCCTCGTTTTTATCCTGCAGTCCTTCGTCGGCGCTTCACTGGCAGAATTTGTATCCGCCTATCCAACGGAAGGAGGCATGTATCATTGGATTGCGGCAATTGCTCCCAAAAAATATAACAGTTTGCTCAGCTTTGCCACAGGCTGGTGCACTGTATTCGGATGTGAGTTGGCGCGACCTCAAAAGTCTTGGCATGCAGCTGATGAAGCATAGGGATCTTCACAACTGCATCAACCAATTTGATCTATGCCACAACCGCCATGGCTCTGATTGCTTTTTACCATGATGGTCTGGTGGTTCAACCATGGATGACTTTTGTTGCATATCAAATCCTTAATATCCTCACTGCGGGTGTGGTCATGTTCGGCAATCGGTTCATTCCAACAATCAACAAGTTCTCATGTGGGTAGGCTTTTCTTCCTGCCTGGTTCAATAGCTAATGGCTGTCAGTGGTATACCTCCAATTGGCTTGGTTTATCACCATGGTTGTCGTCGCCGCCAAGGCACCGCTTCACAATGACAGCAAGTTCGTGTTTCGTACCTGGATCAATGAAACAGGCTGGGACAACAATGTTATCTGCTTCATCACAGGCCTTGTGAATCCAATGTACTCACTTGGAGGTCTAGATGGGATCTCAGTCAGTTATACCCATTTCCAAAGCGCACAGGTCAACGCAGCTACTGACCATACCATGTAGCACATCACAGAGGAAATGCCCAATGTAAGTTGAAGCGGATTATAGCCAAACAGGCATGTGCATTGTGCTAACCAAGGGTTCATAGCCAGGAAGAAATGCTCCCTTGGGTCTAGGTTCGTTCGGTTATAGTTTTGCTTGCATTCACAGTCAAGGCTAACTGTACCCATCAACAGCTATAACTCTATCAATTGCCTTTGTAACCGGCCTGTCATATCTTCTGAGCCTCATGTTTTCAGTTCAGAACTATGACAGCTTGGCTGACACACATACTGGACTTCCTCTCGCCGAACTCTTCTGGCAGGCAACCTCTACAAGAGGTGGAGCCTTCGGCCTGGTGTTCATGGTATGGATTGCCCTTGGGCCTTGCGTCATCGGTTCGCAGTTGAGTGAGTGTTGGTTATTTTGTATTGAATATGACGCTTGGTCTGACATAGATAGGTACTGGGCGTGTATTTTGGGCCTTTTCCCGCGATGATGGTTTGCCTTTGTCGAAAATATGGGCGCGCGTTAATCCTAAACTGGGCTCTCCGTTCAACGCACAGCTCTGCGTTACTGTAATTGTCGCCCTCCTTGGCTGCATATACTTGGGATCGACCACGGCGTTCAATTCAATGATGAGCTCCGCTGTGTATGTGTTCCGGATACTATAGAGCAGAGTGAAAAAAGTTAAAACTGACATGCATACAGGACAATCAACAACCTGGCTTACCTTGTGCCTATTCTTACAAATGTGCTCTTATTCCGCCGGACCATGCACCGTGGCCCATTCTTCATGGGCCAAACCATAGGCATGGCAGTGAACGTCATCTCTGTGTCTTGGCTGCTTTTCGCAATTGTCTTTTTCTCGTTCCCGTACCAGATGCCTGTAACCGGTATGTATTGCAACTTGAGATCGTTCCTTGGGGTTCACATGAGCATTGTGCTAACCATCATCCAGTATCGAACATGAACTATACCTGCGTTGTTGTGGGGGGGGTTCCTAAGCATTGAACTTGCTTGGTGGCTCATTGCCGGAAAGAAATATTCTGCAACTGTCCAGAGAGCCAGAGAAGAAGGAACGAGTGATACCTTTGTTATCGATAATGGAAAATCCCATGATTGATGCTGTGGCTCTACACGTTACGCCCTGACCCCTCCTATAACTCTTCGCTTTGCGCCTCGCTTCGCGCCTCTCATAGCCAGGACTTATTCATACTATGTCTCTCTCTCTCTTTCTCTCTCTCTGCCTCTTTCTGTCTCCCTCTCTTTCTTTGTATCTTCTCTTCCATCTTCAAAAAACATCCTTTCGTTCAATTTTCATCATTCATCTGCCTTCCATCATTCGTCTGTCTTCCGTCATTCATCTGTCGTCCATCATTCGTCTGTTCTCCATCATTCATCTGTTCTATCATGTCTTCAGCCCTCTCCATCAACACGATGTCCACCCCTATTCCAACTCAGGCAGACAACCTGCCACCTTTCGACGCCATTGAGATCGTCACCCGCAACGACGCTTCCAGTGTCTGGGGATTTAAGCACTGGTTGCGCGAGATTCAGGTCATCCTTACAAACCTCAATCTCTTGGCTATCATTAGCCGTGACCTCCAGCGTCCCACTCGCGACCACCCCCACTATCAGAATTGGCTGCTATGGTCCAACGCCATTGGTCATTGGTTGGTGTGCAATGTGACTGAACGGAATTCCTCTATCATTGTGTCTATGCATCGTGGCCTTCAGCTCGCCGACGAAATGTGGTACTACATTGAATGCTTGCAATGGACTGAGGAACACTCTACCAGACGCGCGGAGTTCGGCAAGCTTTGGGGCATGAAACGAGACCAATTCGACACCCTTACGGCTACGTCTCTGCCTGAGGCACACACGCTATGTTCTGCGGCCATCTCGATGCCGTCTTCAACTGGCACACCGCCACCAAGGAGCACCTTGGTGGGATCAAGGAGGAGCTGCCACACTTGGCCAACATCATCGACCGCCAGATCTGAACTCGCGATGCAAGTGGCGAGCAGTTCCAGGGCCATCTCACCGGCATCCTTGACGCTCTCAAGGAGCGCAACTAGAGTAGGTTCCTCTCTGTTCTCAATTGATGACTGTTCACTAATCTCTCACTTCCACCTTACAGTGCTGGGGCCATTGAATGCCCCCCAGATTGGGGGAAGGATACGGGGAAAGGGACTACGGTGGCGGTGGGGGGAGGGAGGGGAGGGGAGAGGAGGGGGTGATATCTGGGTGGGAAAGCCCACTAGCCTAGTCCCTGAAAATAAATCTGCACTTTCATCTTGCTCAAGTTGCTTTTTTGTCCATTGACCTAGATAATGTTCACTGACTCCCAAGTCACTGAATATCCGTTTCATCTGGCATTGTCCATTGAAGATACACAGTGTCAATCCTAGAAAGACCCTATCAGCTGGAACAGTCCATTAGTGCTACCATATAATACTCAACTTACCAATGACCCATCTTTCTCCCAACATTCTCCAATTGCCCTTTCTCAATGAATCCCCATTTCATGCACCATTGCCTCAGTCTCTCTCCATCAGCTGGTGCCTCGGTGTCATATGGTATGATTGCAATGACATTCCGAACAATAGACGTCTTCATCACACCCATAGAGCTACCAAATCCAATGCGTGGAATATCGCCCACTCTTTCCTCGCAACGGTGTTCAATTTCACCCTCCTGCACCAGACGCAAAAGCTTTCTAAGAATAATGGTTCCATAGCCATACTGCTGCTGATCATAGCGCATGAAGATGGACAGCTCAACGGTCGGTGCATATGACAGCAAATGACCACGGAACGGAGACAAGTAAGCGTAGCCAAGGATCAAGTCTGCCCCGTCTGGTGTCTTCCGGGTGTCAGACACAATAACATAAAACGGGAGATTTCTTCTCATCAGATCCCGCAGAATATCCTCGTAGTGGGATATCGGTGGTGGGGTAGTCGCAAAAGTGGAACAGCTGTTAACAATGTACCAGTGATTGATATCCCGAACTTGGGGGATATCGGCTAGAGTAGCTGGGCGATTCGTGATCATTTTGTGTTTTATCGTAAAAATACAAGAATATAAACAGTGAAAGTGAAGGTGAATGCTTGGAAAAGAGATGTAAGACACGCGTGGGCAGACATGTTTATTCGTTGGTTGTCAATTTCCTATCTGGGATTAGCGTATATACGGATACGCTAGCTATATTAGGACTGGCGTACATAGTCGCCCGCCAATCAGGAGTATAGGACCGAAGAACAATACATCCATCTGCTTTACCTCTCGAAGCGATCGTAATGCAGTTGCATTCTGCTTCTACAAAAACCGGCCAAAAGTGACGATTTAATCAAAATGTACAATCGCTTAGGGCTTGTCCCGCGCGTTGTGGCGCTTACCTCTTTTCATCGTCTCAATCATTTTCCCCCATGTTCACGTCGCCATGTTCACGTCGTTATCACCCCCATCCCTCACCCTGGGGTCCCATATTCCCCAGCACTCTCCCACATTCTCTAGCACTCCATACCTCACAACATGGCTTCTAAACGTGTGGTTTCCGAACCTAATGGCACTGGCCGAAGTGGTGACAAAGAAATCAGGGACGAAAACCCCCACGTCACTCCCTCAGAGGCACCGGCTGCCACCACTGTAGTTCCTACTGCTGCACCCACCGTCATGCCCACCCACATGCAATCCACCGTTGAAACAGAGGGACCGACTGTCGAGACCATTGAAGACATCACCGAACACGTGCACGAGAACACGCGAGCGGAAATGCAGCCTGCCCGTCTCCAGGCCTCCGCGCCAGGCAATGGAGAAGGAAGCAGCTCGGCACCTACTCGCCACCACCGTGACTGCATCGTCTCCCGCACCGTGCACCGTCATCCACCTTACCTAGCTGAGGTTCCAAACGCCCTGCTTGGACAAGTCTGGATCGACCACATTGTCAGTCCTTCGTATCTGTTCTCCAAGAAACACATATGCTAATTGAAAGAACATAGGATTCCATGTTGGGCGTCCGCACCGAACGTCAGACCGAAGACATGCAGTTTTGCATTGAGCACATGTCCCGGATCCTTTTTCTGGCAAACAACATGTTGAGGCAGCAGAGAGAGCTTTTGGCGGATCTGAGACGCATCAATAGCGAAGAACACCATGCAGATTCTTCCAGCGAGCTTACTGATTTCGATGAGCTTATGAACTTCAGTGATCTCCTGGCGATGAGCGATGATGATGAGAATGAGGATGGCGGTGATGATGAGGATGATGATGGCGGTGATGGCGGTGATGGCGGTGATGGTGGTGATGGTGGTGATGGTGGTGATGGTGGTGATGGTGGTGATGGTGGTGATGATGATGACAATGCTGCCAATTGGAGCGATACTGTGAATGACTAGTTGCCTCCTATCTTGTCCTGCCTTTCTCTGCCAGGTTTCTTGTGTCCCTCATGTTCTGAGATGATCTTTTGTGATTTCGACATTGAGTGCTTGTGTTGATCAAGACCTGCATTGCGGTTTTATGTACGGCCCATTTCAAGCGGTCTTGAACTTGACGATACCCGTCTCTTGTTTTGTTCATGAAATTACTTCCATTGCATGCTCTTGATAATTCCGTAACTAACTCATGGACACTTAGCAAACGTTCCAATGGTGGTATACTTGTTCGATAGCTAACTGTGCCTAGGTCGGTACGTCAGTACAAGGAGGGCCAACTAATGCCTAGTGACCCGGGGAAACTTGGATGTATAAATGCGCTGGTTGTTTGCCTGATGGCCGTCCTTTTGATTCCTGTTAGGTGGATTCAGTTATTTAAATAGGGGATAGAAGGTGGGATTTTTGTTTGATATGACAATTTTTACGTCTAACTCCATACAATCAGGACGAGGGCATAATTTTAAGAGGTCAGGGCCGCCTGCGTTTCTTATTCCTGGCGACATTTCGAAGGAGACAAGAGATCACTGTAGACCAAATTGGAGTACGTCGTTTTCCACTCTGATTCATTGTTTTCACAGTTCATCAGAGGAATGAATTAGACCAAGAGGGAACCCGTACAGCCGACGAAGTGCGCTAGGCGTAAAGCTTTACAACCAGCGGGTTCCGCGGGGCCCGCGGAACCCGCGCCGCCGCTGTCTGGTTCTAGATTCGGGAACCAACTCCACTTATCAAGTTACCTGTAATAAAACATGTTATTGTGTTTACTATATTTATACGAAAAGAAACACTGTATTCATCAATTCACAAATTAACGTCATGTATACATACATTTAACACCATACATTTAAAAAAATAAAAATAGAACATGTGATAAGCTATATGCCCACGTTATAACGTGGATCCTGGTCGTTCCGGCATCCCGGCCGTTCCGGCACCCCATCAAAATATACAATTTATTACATTTTTCAAACGCCATTTAAACCAGCAAAACACCGTTGAATTCAATTTAAACCTTCTGCGGGCATTTAGTAAAACTATGCCCTTTTCCTCCGCACTGAGAACATGTAAATTGCCGACGTACAGGGGGCAAAATAGGAAGTGGAGGTTCACCCTGGGGTTCGAGAGCAGGTGTAGGATGAGATATATATCTCACACTAACACCTTCCTTACCACCAACATTGGTAGTAGGATCTGGAAGCCCTGTTAAACTACCTATGTTAGGTATTTGCTTCTTTGATTTCTCCCTTTTTTTAGTCTGCTTTCTATTCCCCTCCCGTAAACGCTTGATTTCATCCCGCATTAAGATATGCTCATGAACTAGCTTAACCGACATATTGTAAAACATTTGAAGATCACGTTTGGTAGGCGAAGAGATCTTATCAGTAGCTGAACTTAGACCAGAATTGAGCCTAGATTTGCGTTTTTCTAGCTGCCTAGTCGTCTGAGGTATACCAGTAGAGATATTACTGCCTGATGTTGAACCTTATGAAACTGGTCGATCTGGTAGAGGCGGAGATTGAAGGCGAATATTGAGCTTTGATAGTACCCGATCAGGGTCTAATGGCACTAAACCAGTAGCTGCGAAGGCACTTTGAACGATAGACTCTTTGAATAAATCGTTACGAGCCGCTAGAAAGATATCAAGGAAGTCATCTTTTTCGATAGAATCGATACCTAATCGGGTGTATTCCGTAACCCGCCTTCCGTAGGAGTGCTTTAACACAGCAAAACAACCAACATTAAGAGGCTGTAAAAGATGAGAGGTATGCGGAGGTATATAGATTGGTATGATATTGTTTTCCTGGCAAATCTTATCGAATGTTGCTGTAAGATGACTGTCATGGCCGTCGAGGACTAAAAGACGATGTTTTCCTTTTGTCTGACCTATAGTATGCGGAATAAAGTGCTTTTGGAGCTAATCAACGCCAATTTCATTGCTTGTCCAGCCGTTTGGACTAACGTTAAGAGCCCAATGCTTTGGAAGGTCGTCGAACTATCGTAACATAAAGTTTTTGCCTTTAAAGATAACGTATGGTGGGAGCGCTCGCCCGGAGGCGCAGATTGTTTCAATAACAGTCACCCATTCCCGATTGCTAGGTTGTAAAACGCCCCTCCGACCGGTATAAAATGACTGTGTAATAACCTTCGTCGTTGCACTAACTCCCATCGCAAACCCCGATTCGTCAAAGTTATAGATATCATCCGAAGTGATACCATATTGAGCAATCGTTTTTTTAACAAGCTTAAACCACTCAATAATAGTATTTGGATCTTCCATTAAGGCGCGTTTATAGTCATATCTGCGAGAGAATCGACTAGAAAGCTCGGGATGTCGTTTAATGTATTGTGTTGGCCAATTCTTGCTAACGGTCTGGGGGGTATGATCTCCACGGTGTTCGAGTAGTAAATTGGCCATATCTCTCAATATAGCGATCGTAAGAGCAGCACCTCTATGATCCATAGAGATTAACCAATCTTGGATTGATTCCTCTTCTAGTTGGGTGAATTTATGGCCTGTAGCCCTTATGTCAGACCAACTAGTAATCCCTTTCATCCGGTCTTGTAGCGTAGACCGCGGGACTTCGAAAGAGCGAGCAGCAGCAGCAACAGAGGTAAACCGGCCATTTTTAATAGCCTTAATTGCCAGTAGGAGTCTACCTTCCTGCTCAACTGATTTCTGAGCTTTTTGACCGCGGATTGGCGGCATGGTGGGCGTTTGAAAATAGGAGGTTTAGTGAGGAGAAGAAAAATTGACGTGACTGCCGGAACGGCCGGGATGCCGGAACGACCAGGATCCACGTTATATGGATACATGCATGATATTAACCTCGACTAAAGTCCCGTCGTGCACTTGATCGCCCATAAATTGAGATAGAGTCTTGGAGGCCCAGGGTTCAAACAGCTTCATGGCGTCTATGAATGTGATCTATTCATATAGCGGCAGGCCGCCTAATTGGTTTCTCATTGGGGCGAAGCGTTCCATTGCGCCGATGGAGAAGAGGCGCTGCTTCGGCATGGCCAGGCTTCAGTGAAGGCCTCAACGAATACGATTCGGGCACATAAGAGGTGAGACTCACGTGCGTTTATTGTCTAAGATCATGTCGTGAAGGCGGAGAGACAAGAGATACCAACCCTGAAACTTTTGACCTCAGGAATAATAATACTACAATATATCATTTTTTTCTGTTCTCTAATTCCAGCATTCTATTTTCTTCACGAAGTCACTTCATCCAAGCTTTTTCTTTGCGTCAATCCCTTTCTCTGATAGGACGAACTGGGGACCCACAAGGCTGGTACCAAAGACTGGTCCCAGTCGATCACACCATTGCTGCATTGTGATTGGTGAACTTCATCTATACCCCTACTTAGGTAGAGGGTCTGCCGTGGTAACACTGGAGCCTATGAACCCTGAAAAATGCCTCTGCCTAATGACAGCGCTGTAGGTCCACGGGCCCGCGGGCGTACTGCTTACTAGATGCAGACGTCGGGGAAAGCGCAGTGTCATATTTGAATAGCTCTCGCCGTTTTTGACTTCTTCGATCTCTGATCGTTGATTCTTGGTTTGTTTACGCTTTGTACTCTCTTCGATTCTTCTTTACAATCCTGGTCTCACCCTTCTGTCCCCAACACCCAGTCTCCGTCATCATTATGACCGCACCTACGGAATCCCACGAGGAAACCACAATGACCAAGAAGAAGCGAGCACGCCGCGCACGAAGAAATGCCCCGGCTCCCGCCGCAATGAAGCCGAAAAAGACCTTATTTGCGGATGAGATCGGAGATGTCCTAGTTGACCAGTTGCTCTATGAGACGCCCAAACGCGACGACGAGGATAACAATATCGATGTCTCCTCATTTTCCCTCATTGACCACTTGCGTAACAACATCTCAGCATGTCCCGCGGCCTCTTCCTGTTCGAGTTCAGCAACCTTCCATACAATACCCCATTCCAGCCCAGCGACGAGTGTGAACAGTCATGAGCCCTCAGTCGCTCCCTTACAAGTGTCATCGAAGGTCGATGTCCTCGACCAAAACGGTGATTGCCTTCACGCGAAAACAGAAAACCAAGGCCAAGATTCGGTATTCGGACTTGACGATTTCAAAACGATCACAGCCATCCAACAGATAGCTGCATTACATGGCAGAGTGGCACACATGGGAATTCTCGATCACAGCTACCGATTCTTCGTGAACAAAGCAAGAACGGCAGCGTTGTCATTTAAGCCCCGAGACGGAGTGGCTGTCATCGGCGGAGATCCATTATGCAATAAAGAGGAAATCCCCGAACTCCTATCCGAATTCGCAGCGTACCGCCAACGGCATCGCTTGAGCATAGCCTTCATGGGCGCCAGCGAGTCCTTCCTCAACGATCACTCAAAACTAAACGGCTGGACAACCATCCGTTTCGCCACAGAACGTGTACTCAACCCCCAAACAAACGAAGTCATCCTCGAGAACAGTGGGAAACGAATCTTGACAAAGAGCCGTCAACTCACAAACAAAAATAAAGGCGGCATTACCATGGGCGTGTACGCCCCCGCCGTCCACGGCATAGACCAAGAACTACAAACCAACCTAATCACCATCTACGATACCTGGCGCGCCGAGCGCAACGCCTCAGCCTGCCCACAGGCCTTCATAACCGTCTATGACCCCTTTGCTGCCCCCGCCCTGATGACATTCATCTACACCCGCGCCCCAGACGGAGAAATCAACGGTTTCGCCGGTCTTCGACGCCTCAGCTCCGGCGGATACCATGTCGACCCCTACATCGCAGCCCCAGGGAGCGTGAATGGAATCAGCGACCTCCTCCTCATCATGGCTATGGCACTCCTCCGACGCGCCGGCGTCACGTACCTCGGCCTCGGCGTCGAACCGCTCGAATCACTCACCAGCGATGATGTTAGCGGCATGCCATGGCCCTGTAAGAAGTTCACACGCGGTCTGTACGGTCATGCGTTCCATCGTCTGCCCATCGGCGGCAAGAAGGCATACCATGATAAATTCCGTCCAGATCCTGATCAGGAGTCGGATCTTTATCTTGTTTTCCCATCTGGCATACCCAGTCCCCGACATGTCCTTGCTATGACCCATATGGCCAATATCAGTTTGCGGAAAATGTTCCGGGCGGATGTTGAGGCTTTTGCATTGACTCGGAAGTTGAAGGCAGGTGGTAAGAAGGAGGTTTCGGCAGAACAGACTGATAAGGGTAAAGGGTTTGAGGATGAGGTCCTTGTATTATACGCACCTTGTGTGCGTTAAACATCTTCTCGTTCCATTGTTTCTATTCTAGCGGCCCTGGACACTACATCATACTCAAGGCGTTCTCTTCTACTTGCTTGCCCCTGGTGTTCCTTCTAGGATCTTTGTACTTTAGTGGCGTCATTGTTCAGTTCTTTTCAAAAATTCCTTGCCTGATTATATGTGTATCTTGCTACTTCTGCCTATTGGGTGTTTGTTTGCCGGGTAGCCAAGGGTATTTAAGTTTTGATCTTTTCTGGGTCTCACTTGGTAAATAGGAATAGGAATAGTTGAAAGAGACCTCTTCAGTACCAGTATCAGCGCGATATGTGAATTATGATGTACAATACAATGCAAAATGCGATCCCTAAACGCCCACCCATAAAACCTATCCCGTATCACCGAGTGAAACCGGGATTCAATTAAGACATACGACCGAAAAGGAAGTCTTTGACGATAGGGGAACCCGAAAACTCTGGGTTTAAAAGGACACAGCTAGAAATGTGTCAGCAATTAGTCTAGAGAATCAATGCATGGTAATGAAGGTGCGATGGTATACTCACTTCAAGAAATATTCCAAGCCCACACGCCTTGATTCCAGAAATTTGGGTCGGAATTTATCTGATATGACAATCGATATTAGCCAATAGCATAAATGGGAGGGGCTACAGGAGCATACAGATAACACTTTTCGGCGGCAATGCAGGCAATGCATTCCTTGCATGCGGGAAAGAATTAACTAGCCGCTGACGCAGGTCATCGAACTCGGAATATCTATAGCAAATCCAAATATCAGCTGCACGTCCTCTAAACCATAGACACAGAGGGAAACCGGGGAATATAAGCAACATACCTCATCCGGACAACAATCGGACCACCCTATACCAAACACAAAAGTTAGAGAACCATCCCAACCACATTCCCCAACAAGACCAAAAACTCACATCAAGTGTCTGGACCGTACAATTCCACACAACATACGACCCAACCCCAGTCATGCCGCGCACAACAACATGATCATCGATCGCAACGCTACTCGCCCAGAGTCCCCGACTCGTCTCCGAGTTCGGGTCGGCAGTATGATCTTCGAGGGTGATACGCGCAGCGCCGCTTAGCGACGACTGGGATACATGCGAGGCATTGCGCTCGTGCCGACGCCAGTAGGGGGGCACTACGACGGAGAGAGGGCGGGATGTTGTGGAGGTAGAGGATGCAGAGCTCTGTGGCGGGCCATTTTGGCTGTTTGTGTTTGCCGCGGTGGGATCGTCATGGATGTTATCGGTATCGGTGTCGGGTTGGAGTGCGGGGAAGGATTGGGTATCTGGGTGTGGGGAGAAGGGGTGTGGCTTAGATGCCGGTCCGGCCTCCTCGGATGCTGGCTCCATCCATTAGATGCTGTGAGCGATAGTCGTGTCGGTGGTCTGGTCGGTGACAATGGTGTTTTGTTAGCTTTCATGTTGGGGTTCAATGCGTTTGGGTGTGGGTGTGGCTGAGGTCGGGGATGGTTCCGATGAGGTGGTCTTTCCCCCATTATGCGGGGTGGCAAGTATAAAGTGCTGGAGGGAATCGAGCTATTTTGGACGGGGTTGATGCGCAAGGATGGGTCGGAGTTCGGGGGAGTTGTACATGCGATCCGAGGTGAGACAGACTAACCTTGAAAGTGTATGTGGTGGCAAGACAGTGAGTATAAAGTGTGTAGATAAGTGTTGGGCTCAAGAAATTCAATTGGAGTCGATTTGAGACAAACGGCGGTCACGGGCTATGGCTGGTTTGGGGTTAGTGGCTTATCTAAGGCTATCTACCCAAGTGGGCAAATAGGGAGATGCCGGGGAAATGTCCAATTCGTTTTTGATTGACATATTTTGATTGTATTTCCTCTCTAAGATCTCAGATATGACAAGAATTTCAAATCTGACTGCTTTTGAACTCGAACTTGACGCTCTCAGGATTTCATCAGACTACTTGAAGCCAAGCTGCACACTAATCCTAATATGGTAAGCGTTGCTTGGATGATTGATCGTCGTCCTCTAATGTTTAATTCTCTCAACTCAGACTGAGACATGCCACTTTCCTATCTTTGAAGAGTACTGTCATGTCTTTGAAGTGGAGACCCGGGGGGTGACAGATGTGACACACAGTGAGCTGTCCACCTGGGAAGGACAAACGTCGCTTTGGAGATCAAGATATCCCCGGATCGACACATCTCAAGGGTAAACCCCTATAGCGGACCCTTCTTTCAATAAATCCACACCTCACTTCCTAAGCAATGGATCTCACTACTGAACTCACTTGGCATGGTCACTTGGCATGGAATACATTTGGCTTGCCCAGAAAAAGAAAAACAAATTCGCTGCGGTAGAACCGCGAGGGTGGAACTAGTGCGTGCCACCATGCAAACCAACTAGTGCATTCTATACATAGGCAGGTATAGTCCTGTGATTGCTTTTTTTTCCTTTATGAGCTCCCCACTCCTCCCTTGCTGGCTACTTTTTTTTTTCTTTCTCCTCGAGCTGCTTGTACCTCTGCATCTTTACATCTTCAAAGAACAGCCTCTTGCTATTGGCTTTAGATCATCATCTGACATCTACATCTCTCCTCATTCCTCACTCTGTTCTGGAAAGAACCTAGGAATTCATGCTCAGTAGGTTCTAAAATTTCCTAGCTCCAATACAGCTTTTCCCCCTTCATTCCATCTACCCTAGGTAGCTATCGCTATCTCTCTATCTGCGCTCTAGAACCTGTATCAGACTGTCACTGGCATTCTTGACAACAAAAGGACTAACACTAAAATTTAGTAGCTGCCCGCTGTCAATCTCTGATCTCGTCTTCAATCACCATCAGGTTCAACCGACACCATGCTGTCCATAACCATGTTCATCCTCGCTTCGGCTGCCACTCTAGTCAACGGCCAATTCGACCCGACATCAGTTCCATATGCCACAAGAGGTTAGTCAGTGTCTTACACCATCTTCTTCTTTGCATAAAATCATGATACTAACATGTCATCCTTCCCTCAGAGGCCTGGTGTAATTCCCAAACATCCGCATGCCCCATTCTCTGCCTACAACTACCAGGAGCCTCGGGCACACCCACATCAAACACTTGCTCACCTGTAAGTCCTTCACATATCATTTCTTCAAGGAAAAAGGACGACTCAGCTAACCTCAAAACCTTAGTCCACATTACTTTACTACTGCCTATGCAGCAACAACGTAACCCCCAACTCCAGCGAATATTCCCAAACAATCCCCTACTACACCTGCACAGAAACCAACAACCAATGCGTTCTGAAATGCAACGGTGACTCCACTTGTCAGAATAACTGCAGAGTAAACAACCCCTGTGGAGCACAAGATCCAAAGCGTGTTAATGTGACTACTACTACTGCCAAAGCTGCCACCCCTACTGCATCAGAGACCCCTGTTAATACTCTTATCAATGGAGCTACTGGTGCTGCTCCGCGCATGGCCTCGGTCGATATGAGTCATGTCTATGGGCTTTGTGTCTTGGTTGGTGGGTTTGTTGCCGGTTTTGCTACTCTCTTATAGAGTGTAAGGGTCTATGTCTTGATTGGCTCGCCCTGGGGGCTATGATTCAAGGGCCAAGTTGGTTATTTGGATAATGAAACTTGGAGTTGTGGTTCTTGCTCGAAGTTTTACTAATATTGGCTAGTCTTTTATTGCTTTTTGGGGTTGCATTTCCGGCTGCATTAGCATTGAGCGTCTCCTTTTCTTCTTTTCTTCTTTTCTTTTCTTATTCGCGAGTATATGGAGTAATATATTGTTGGCCTCTCGTTCATTACATCTTGTTTCAACATTGCCTACATTGGTAGTGGATCTTGCTATAGAACATTATTCGGCCCTATTTAATGCATACATGGGTTATTTACATTCTCAAAAACACATTTCTGGGTTTGAATTAGCGACAGGTTCAATTGACCTATGATTTTCATCAAACCTATATCTTTGCCCGCGCCTTCGTGCTATCCATTCGCTGCCCTTCATCATCTTGCTCCGCAACTTCCAGTACTGGGAAGTTAGCAGGCATAATCCGCCTCGGCGTCGATCCTGGGATTACAGAGTATTTGGAAAAGTCAGAGACTCCACATTTCTCCCTGAGGAAGTCCTCGTCTGTATCCAGGAGCCCGTTCACTACTTGGTGTGGGGCACGAAGCATGGCCAGAATAGCGTCTGAGAATATCGTCTGTTGCAGCGTGTCAGCACTGAAAAACTATAAAAAAGAAAGTTGATAGCATGACATGTCGAGAAATGGACATACCGGCTTTCTCAAATCCTTTTTGTAGGACGCGTCGGATCCCTTATTATGCTCCGTAGCTGCTGACTCAATCGACTGGAAAGTAAAGCAGTCAGAAATCCCCTCGCAGACTGGCTCGAAATAAAATTAACATCACGACACATACCGATGCAGGCCAGATACTTGTCACCGCCATTTCATTTCGGCCTTGACGCACAAAGTCCATGGCCAGGCCTTTGACCAAGACACTCATTCCGACTTTGCCTACATACAACAGATCACATATTAGCACATAGAATCAAACACACTCAATACCAACCCTGGCCTCCAGAACCATCAGATACAAACTCACCCATTGCATAAGCAGTCTTCCCCCTAAAGAACCTCGAATAAATAGGCGGCGAAACAACAACAATGCGTCCTTTCCATCCCGCCTTTTCAAAGAAAGGCAAAGCAGTCTGAATAGTCGCATAAAGTCCCTCAGGGTTCACCTGCTGCATAAGCTTAAACCGCTTGAGAGGCGTATTCTCAACAGAAGACCACCAGATTGCGCCGGAGTTGTACACGAGTACATCGAGTTTCCCGAAGATGCGAACTGTTTCCTCGACGGCGTGCTGGATCTGCGCCGCGTCGCGCACGTCAACGGCGACCGTTGCTGCGTGTCCACCCGCTTCGCGGATTTCGCGTTCTACGGTGTTGATAGTGGACTGTGATGAATTTGGGTCTGGTGGGAATGGAGTCACTTTTGATGCGTCCGATGTTGTTTTTGCAGATAGCATTACTGATTTTGGGTTAGTTTTGATGATCTTGGATTTGCATGTGGTCTGTACCAGTATAGCCATTCTTTGCTAGGTCGATGGCAGTTTGGCGCCCGATTCCTCGTGATGCGCCTATTATCAAGGCGACTGGTTGGTTTTGGGACATATTGAGGGGCTTGGTCTGGTTTGTGGTTTGGTTTGGTTATGTTCGTAGAAGTCGAATAGCGGGTTGATTGACGTTCCGCTATGCTCGTTATATATATACCTCGATATTTGTGATTACTGCCGAGTTCTGTCGATTATATATCTGGTTATGCAGTCGGCAAAGAGAAGGATTATAATCAAGATATTCGGGCCCCGGGTCGCTTTTATATAGCCGAAAGGCTGACGATGCTTAATTTCCTGATTACTCAAGTCCCGAGGTAGTCCCCGCAGGTCGAAGCCTGTGGATCTTCGGTGTCACGCATCAGATTTAATATCCATGACCATGAATTTAATCTATATGTAGTCTTAAATGGCTCACTACTTCTATTCTATGCTTCTTGATGATTAGAAGACATTCTCGATAGCATGTTAATACAATTAACCTGCCAAATGGACACATACTGTGACAAATCGAGCGGCATCTAGTTTTCACGTCATCCTTTGGCTTTTTGGATCTTTAAAGTTATTAAAAAAAGATACCTGAATCAAAGATGTTTAGTCGCTTTCAGAGAATAAGATTCTGTTTTGTCCTATCACTACACATGTAGTTATGTCGATCGTGTTCATCGAAAGAACCCCTGGATGGCGGTGTGGTAGGCGGTCAGGTCCTGCCAGGCAATCAATCACCCATCACAATGATCGGCCGACTGATTGTCACCCACCTCTCGTGCTCTCTACCCTAAGCAGCTTATTGTTCTTAGCGTTCAAATTATTTGCTGTCTTCCTTCGCCAAAAGTCTAGCTTGTTAATCAAGTTCTGTTTTGCTGAGACAATTTGCTATTCCCACTTTTCCCCGCAACGCATCATCCGAACAGCTCGACAACATGGATACCACGCTTCCAGATGCTTCTGGTCCGTCTCGGGCAGATGTGGATGCTGCAGCTCTGGAGGCCACTACAGCTGTTGCTACCCCCCGAGCTAAAGTACTTGTGAAAGTGGAAGGTTTGTTACCACCGGCGCGGGGCTATCTCCGCCATGATGCTGTGCCTAGATATCGCTGACATACTTAATTTGGCAGAGCCTCCCAAATTCGACCTTGATACTTACATTGCAAACTACACTGGTGAGTGAAATCTATTGTCTCCAGCCAGACGTTCTGTTCTAACACATGGTCAGGGCGTACCCGCTACGACCGTCTTTACCTCATTGGCACATGCTCCCCATTACTCTCGACCGACGCCCTCAAGGCAGCCATCGCCGAAGCTAAAACCAGTAAAGACGTTTCGAGATACGAGAGGGCGGTCCGCGCACTGGCGGAGGTCGCTCCGAACGACCCTGATGCTTCGCTTGATGCCGCTTGGGTCCAGGAAACCAATCGATACGTACAGGCCCAGACCGAGCGATTGGAACATGAGCTACGGGGATACAAGAATAATTTGATTAAAGAGAGCATCCGGGTAAGGAGTAAAAATATCGAGCTGGAACATGTGTGATACTGACCTCTATAGATGGGCCACGAGGATTTGGGCAATCATCATTACGAGACTGGTGACCTGTCTGCTGCCTCCAAGGCTTACTCACGTATGAGAGACTACTGCACTACCCCGAACCACATCACTTCTATGCTCTTCAAGATGGTCAATGTCGCCACAGAACGTGGTGACTGGATGTCTGTGCAGTCAAACGTGCACCGACTACGTAACTCTCAGTCGAAGCCAGAGGACGCAGCCAAAAACCTATCTAAAATTACCGCCGCTTCAGCTCTGTCACAGATGCACCAAGGCTCATATCTGGAAGCAGCAAACTCTTTCTTGTCCGTCCCGCCGGAGCTGGGCGACACCTACAACGAAGTCATCACCCCCAACGATGTCGCTGTCTACGGTGGTCTGTGTGCTCTCGCCTCTATGAACCGTGACGAACTGCAGAAAAACGTCCTTGACAGCCCGACGTTCCGCAACTTCCTTGAACTCGAGCCTCATATCCGCCGCGCCATCGCCTTCTTCTGTAACTTCAAGTTCCGCCAATGCCTTGACATTCTCGAAGCTTATCGCCCCGACTACCTCCTCGACATTCACCTTCAGCGTCATATCCCGCAATTGTACAAACGCATCCGCACCAAATCTATCGAGCAGTACATGATTCCTTTCAGCCGTGTTACACTTGACTCCATGGCGAAGATATTTTCCCCTACCGTCGTTGGCGGGGAAGCGCATCCCACGGACATTTCCTCGCCGTTTGTGCAAGAACTAGTCGGTCTCATCCAGGATGGTGTGCTGAACGCTCGCATCGATCTCGAAAAGGGATTGCTAGTGTCGAACCAGATCGACCTACGGGCGGAGGTGCAGCGTACCACGCTGGAGAGCGTATGCGAATTTAACCAGGAGGCCCATTGGCGGATTCTCCATGCCGCTGTCCTCCAAGCAGGACTAGAGGTCAAACCTGAAAAGACTGAAGGAACTGGAGTAGGAAAGGGTGCACGGATTCCTCGCGGCCCGGGTGGGAATTAATTGATGGAGACAGTACCGACCCCTCGATTCCAGGTGATCCGGGCGCATGAATGATGACGAATGAGATAATACCCCGATGCTCCAGCTGCGATTGCAACTGCATTGCAGATACTGTATGGCTTACAGAAATCAGTTCAACTTTCAGTGAGGTATTCCTGCAGGTAGATGATGTGTACTTCAACACAACCAATATCAGTAAACCCTCATAACCAGCATGAAACATCGTACAAACTGGCTCTTTAAAATGGTCATCGGGTAGCTGAAAACATATTATTCTCACCTTGTCCGACCCTTGACAGGATATCAATCCCCCCCGATCAAATCCGGGTATTAACCCTTGGCACCGTGCAACGCGATTACCTGGCCAGTGCAGTGGCAGGCTTCGAACTTTGAGAAATAGAGAGAGAACGTATAAAACCTATTATGAAATACTACATCATGCCCATAGAGGAAAAGTATTCGGGGAAAAGATTTCAAGATCAACTAGAGTTCGGCCTCCTGCATGGATACATAACCTCCTTAAGAGGGAAATGATATTACCGCCTTTTCTACCGCTTGCGACAATGAAAGGGCTTTATGATTGTCTTTCTTTGTCTCTTTGGCCTACAAATAGCCATTTTCCATACGATATCAACCTTTTTCTCTTCATACCTCCATTCATCATCGTTCCGGCCACTGGTCATATATATAGTCGTGATCAATGAACTATCTTGAATGATGAGTTGATCACCCTCAGGTGAAGCAACAAACATCCCGGCTTGGACAATAGGACCTGCTGAGTGAGTGCCTAAAACGAAGTCCGCCCGTTCAAAGCCACGGAATTGTCGTGTAACCTGTCACTTATGTTGACAACTTTTTCTCCCCATCGATACCTGCAAAACTCACATTACTTCCCAGAGAAATGAGATTGTATATTGTTGCGAGCATGGAAATATTGACTGGGCATGTGTCCCCTGAGGAGAAGAGAAGCGGGAATAGTCGCTCGAGTTGTGTATGTTTTACCCTTGGAGACGCGAACTGTTATCTAACCTTTACCCAGGCCTAGCTGGGGCGTTGAAGGCACGATATTGTGTACAGTGCTGATTCTCAAGCCCCCTCAGCGAGAACTGTTGCACGGTCCCTCCATGGTCAGTCACCTCACACTCCTTGGTATTGGATGTTGGGGAAATACGTGCTCAAAGCCATGATTGTGCTTGCGTCCACGTACGAATCCCAAGTAATACATGGGTGCGCTCCTTCCTCAAGGTACCGGGCTGTCATGAAATCCCGAATCTAGTTATATGAATACCCTCGCCATCTTTTCATGAAAAGCAAAAGTTTTTAATATTCTTCAATATTTACATACTGGCCTTGATTTTCTGCTGGCAAAAAGCTCAATTGTGGCAATATGTCGCAAACCCCTGTAGAATATTAGAATTGGCCATATACTCCGGCACTTTTCCTTTTTTGATATTACTTGTGATACACTGGTAAAAGGGCTAATTCCATAACAATTCGACTTCGTTCGCTTAAAGCAACTTGTTCCTTATCTAGCCTTTTCCTCCCTAGGACCTTCCTAAGTAGCTCGTTGCTCAGTGTGCTCGAATATCGTTACAGCATAGGTTGGCTCTCTAGAGCCACCTCTTCCCGGCATGATTGACTTCCTTTGTATTTACCCTATATGCCTGGACGACAGGCGACGCAACATGAGAATAGAACTGGGCACCGATCTATTGTCCTCTCACACATACCCAGGCGTGACAGGGAATCCTGATTCTCCGCGAATGTCGATGCAGTCTCACTACGTCCCAAATTCCACGAAAACGACCTCAGACAATCCAACTCCAAGGAATGTGTCAGCGCCTGTCCCTTGTATCCCGTTGAAACGGACTTTCGACCAAATGGAATCGGCAATGCAAGAAGCTTCAGAGTTCACTAGGCAATTGCCGCCTACTTCTTCAATTTCAGCGCCAATAATTCGTGCGTTTGGCTTGCCGGATATACCTGAGCTCCCGGTGCTGGACTCCGCGTTTGAAGCCGATGGCAATCATCGCAAAGAGAGTATTCTCTCATCGCCTGCACTGGTCCCAATTCCGGAGGAAAGCTCCGAGGACAGTGACAGCGAGGCCTTAGACCCATTGATACCTGAATCATCCCTCTCGCTCACTGAAATTGAAGTTTCAACTTCGGCTGGGAATGTTCCAATGCCGTATTCTTTGCCACCAGCTCCAATGAACCCAACCACGTCCGTTCCAGAAGTGGGCTACAATGTTTCTAACCTCGCTCCATTACCGCCATCTCTGCCTGTGAACCCTTTATCACCAGAAAGCAATCATGATAATGGATACACATCATCAGTGGCATCAACGACCGACGATTCTGACTCAGTCTTCGATGATGGACAATCAGAGAACACGTCTAGCTACACAGCCTCATTGCTATCCGACGTGAAAAACTATGCTTACGAAAATGGAAGACGTTATCACTCATACCGGGAAGGCCACTACGTCCTTCCCAATGATGAACCTGAACAAGATCGGCAAGATCTCCTCCACCACGTTCGAAACCTCGTGCTAAACGGCCGGCTCTTCCGAGCCCCACTGGACGAACACATTCAGCGTGCCCTCGACATTGGCACCGGCACCGGAATCTGGGCCATCGATTTTGCAGACAGTTTCCCCGGTGCTGAGGTAACGGGAACTGATCTGAGTCCTATCCAGCCATCATGGGTTCCACCAAACCTTCGCTTTGTGGTAGACGACGCCGAATCGCAATGGCTCTACAGCCCAAGCCGACCATTTGACTTCATCCATGCCCGGGATCTGGGCGGTGCTATCGCCGACTGGCCGCGGCTGATGCGCCAGAGCTACGAGTATCTCCGTCCCGGTGGATGGGTTGAGCTGCAGGAGTTTGAAGTTATGCTCAAGTCGGATGATGATTCAATCCTTCTTGCCCCGGCATTGTGCGAGTTTCTCGAACGACTGACTCAGGCCAGCGAGGCATTTCACCGACCTATGAATATCGCCGAAGGTCACCGGCAGCGCCTGGTTGAGGCTGGTTTTGAAGATGTTCGAGATGAGGTGTACAAGGTGCGACCCTGTGTCTCCCCTTTCTCTGCTTGATTGGATCTTAGGTTTTGTTTGCCTCTTCCGTCATGACTGACATGTGTTTTATTTTTTAGGTTCCATCCAGTGTTTGGGCTAGGGATCCCGTGCAAAAGGAAATTGGTCGGTACAACCAATGCTCCCTTCTCATGGCGGTTGAATCCTACTCGCTGGCTCTTTTCACTCGTGTCCTAGGATGGTCGAATAATGATACTCAGATTTTCCTGGCAGGGGTGCGCAAAGATCTCAAGAATCCCGCCGTGCATACTTACTGCAAGCTGCATGTCGTTTACGGTCGGAAGCCGTCTGAATCCCAGTTGAATCAGCAATTTGACTAGGGATCTTCCCGAGGATATTCGGAGTCAAAGAAACATTGTAGATAGATTTGATATGGCTCTATGTGTTTGGATGCGGGAGTAATGAGATATCCCGTTTGTGTTACGCCTTCTCCTTCCGCCTGGCCCCGATGTTATCCCTCACCCTGACGTCTGCCACTAACCGCATTCAACTGGTACAACTCAGCCTTTTTATGTTCTTTTCTCTTTTTGTTGGTCTCAGTTCAGTGTCCAATCACTCTTTCAAATCTGGAAGAAGAGAAACATTTACCAAATCCCATTCCTATCCGGCACAGAAACCAGCCAAATGACCCTAAACTAATCTGGCTTCAGGGCGGTGCATGACCCTGTGGACCTCCATGGCCTCTTTTACTTCAAATCTCACCATGTATTGGGCAACCTCGGGCCCTGGGTTTTGGAGCGCGGCTGCAGGATGCCTTGTAAGTTGCATTCACCCGTACCCCCAGCCCTCGTTTGTTTCATGCAGGAAAAGAACCCTACAGTAGAGCCCAGTCCTTCTCAGGATAGCTCCCCGAGGAAACACAGCAGCTCTGAGAAATGCAATCTTACTACTCCTTCCTCTCTGGCAGGCGTTTGCAGAGACAGTAGCGCTAATCAACATGCAATTAACAGTTCCTAGTCTGGGCCACCTACAGCATCATCTATGCCTTCTGCTTGTCCCCTCTGCGTCACTTTCCCGGTCCCAAACTGTGGGCCATATCTCGTATCCCGTCCAATATCTCCGTCATCAATGGCCAAAACCACCTAGACATTCTGGCACTTCACAAGAAGTACGGTCCCATCCTGCGCCTTGGACCCAATGAGTTGGCCTTTAATACAGCAGAGGCCTTTCGCGATATCTACGGCACCAGACCTGGTGGTTGCTTCCCCAAGAATCGGAGCCACTATATAGCCCCTGCGAATGGCGTCGATCATTTGGTCTGTGCGGTAGACCATGCGACCCACGCAAGACAGAAACGGCTGCTAGCTTATGCCTTCTCTGAGAAGGCTTTGAAAGATCAAGAAGGTCTTATCACAGGGTATGTCGATACCTTGATCACAAAATTACGGTCTCAAGTTCGGCAGGGGATAACCGTCGTCGACATTAAGAGTTGGATGAACTTTACCACTTTTGATATCACCGGTGACCTCATGTTTGGCGAGCCCTTCGACTGCCTGCAAGACAGCCAGCTTCATCCGTGGATTAAGTTGATCTTTACCTCCATGAAGGCTCTTGCCTATATTGGAGTTGTGAATCAGTTCTCTATGCTCAAGGGCCTCTTGGACCTGTTCCTTCCCGGAGAAGTCAAGCGCGTTGGTCAGGAACACTTTTATCTGAGCGCGCAGAAGGTTGATCGTCGCTTGGAGTCTAATATAGCACGGCCAGACTTTATGTCTGCTATTCTCCAGCATGGGCTGAGCGAGGAAAAGGGCCAATATCGCGAGAGCGAGCGTATTATGACTCGGGCTGAGATTCATTCTAATGGTTTTATGTGCGTGACTTTGCTACTTCTAAGTTCCTTCTGCCATTCTCCTTTTCCATTTTTCCCGTGAGAAATTGATATACCGTGCTAATTATAATCAACGACAGTTTAATCGTGGCAGGGAGCGAAACATCCGCAACCCTCTTATCTGGCTGCATCTTTTACCTGTGTACAGCTCCCCATGTCATGAGCCGACTCATCGCCGAGATCCGCTCCACCTTCAAACAGGAAAGTGACATCACTTTCCGCGCCGTGGAAGAACTCAAGTACATGAACGCTGTCATTGAGGAGTCGCTGCGTATCTACCCGCCCTTTGTGACGAGTCTGTCGCGCCTCGTACCGCAAGGTGGAGCAGCCGTGGATGGCCATTTTCTCCCTGGAGAGGTAAGTATATGTATTTTAACTTCAATATGTCACAATTGAAACCTGCGTACTAATCGCAAATAGACTGCTGTGGCATGTCACCATTACGCTTCCTACCACTCCGAGTCCAACTTCACCTTCCCAGACAAGTTCATTCCAGAGCGCTGGCTAGACTCAGACCCAGTCTTTAAGAATGATAAGAAAGATGTTTTGCAGCCATTCAGCCTTGGGCCGCGCGTCTGCCTTGGAAAACAGTGCGTTCCTCGCCATTTCCCCCATTACCCACATTGCACTATCTCAATTAATACTGATATATTATTCCCTCTAATAGTCTAGCAAACTGCGAAATCCGCCTTATCCTCTGCAAACTCCTCTATCACTTCGACATAACCTTACGCCCAGAGAGTGCCAACTGGGCTGACCAGAAAGTTTATTTCCTCTGGGATAAGCCGGCTCTCATGGTGACACTAAAAGACCGGTTTCCTGAAGCCGGAATGTCGAGCTCTCAGGAACCCATGAACCTGTTCTCAGGGTGATAAGGATGTGTTAGGGGTTGAGGTTCGTGGGTGGTTTGCATTTGTGTTTAAGTCTTACAAGAGGTACAGCAGGGGTTTGCGGCGTTTATCAGATCCATGGATTCCCTTTATTCCCGGAATGTTTATTCGATATCACTCATTTATTGGGTTGGATGGCTCGATCCTTTGCCGGTATGCCTTGCGACGGTGGCTGTAGTCGAGCTAGAGTTTGGGTTCAGTGGAGATTGCGTTTTGCCTTTTTCCTTTTTTCTTATTTCTTCGGTGTATGACATTCACTGGTTATAGCTCGGCTCCGTCGGTTACTTATTGCAAAATAATAGTCTTGTTCAGTGTTGTGGATTATTTTATTGGAGTGATATCTGAGTTGAAAGTATTGGGAAGAGTATTTCTATTTTTATTATCGGTTTACTAGCTTCATTACAGCCAAAGGTCGACATGGGGAGCCTTATGTCTGGTCTTTCGGACTGCCGCATAAGTACTGATTTTGTAGAGAATACTTGGCATTTGTTGATACACAGAGCCTGACATGATTGTTAGGCTTCGGCCGGCGATTTATGTAACGCTCTTCTGTTTCTTTTTAGGGAATCAATCGCCTTTCCCTCCTCTTAACTTCCTTATCAGCCCTCCCCTGGGCGATATAAAAGTGGGGTATGTACGTATATTAGAGAAAAGGAAATTCCCTGATTCCCGGAATCCCTGAAGTGGGCCGATAAACCCCGTTTGAAATACGAAGTGCTTATGCTTCACCAGAAAGACATATCCCCTGATCAAGGACTTTTCTCAACATACATGACCATTAGGGCCCTCTAGACCAGCTACTTTGATATCTCCTATGACACCTTTGTCGGGCGAAGTCCCTCTGGAATGACTGCCTGATTTTGGCGGGCTTTATGGCCATGAAACTTGACGGCCCGGTCTGGTAGTTTCAATTGATCAGGCTTGATATTCAAAGAAATATCACATTCCAAGGTGTCCATCTGCGGGATAAATCGCCTGTCGGACTTGCTCGTTTGCACGGCTGTATATCCGAGGACATAGTGTATGGTTGATTTGGAGGGAGGTTTTCCTTGGCTGGGAAGTGAGAGAAATGCTAGAAGAAACAGTGGACAAGTTTGGCTTCTACATGGATTACTACTAATCCAAATATGGACTAGGTATGTCTCGAGGACGGGTCGAGAACGAAGTCGTGAGACTCCAAAATACTAGAGATATAATTACAGAGCGTTATTCATCCCTCTTTTTTTTTGAAAAATTCATACGGACGTCAGGTTATAATCCACAACGGATCTTCATTTGATGCATAATATCTGACAAATCAAAGTAGAGACCATATCGGATACGCGCCGAGGGCCACCACGTCAGCTCGCTTGTGCCAAGTCTTTCGTCCTAGATAGTAATCCACTGTGATTGAGATAAAGTGCTTTGCATAGTAGAGTGTCGTCTACAGCCTGCCTTGTTGGAATGTCCCAGACAGGCCTAAGGTGATGCCAAGACCTTTCTTTACAGGCTTATATGCTTTAATAAAAGTGGAGTACATGCATGCGTCGGACAATTGCTGCCATGCATTGTGCCTTGTGGAATATTTTATACTCAGTTAATGTTTGTCTTTCCCGCGGTAATGTGGTCCGAAACACATAGGGGGTCTTGGGAATACTAATACGGTGTCGTCGTTATAAACTAGATCGCCAAGATTAAGTACACGCATGGTGACTACGCGTCTGTTGCAGCCAGCGAAAACCTCAACATCCAGAAAGTCTACCAGGAACCGATGCTTGTTATAGCGTGCCCGCGAGGCACCGGTGTGATAATGATCGCTGCTGGTTTATGCTCTATCTGTTGCGCCTTGCTCGTCGCTATCCGTGCATAGTATAGAACGTACGTATGTCATTATGCAATGGCCGTGTTTGGGAACATGAAAACATCAGGGAACTCCATATTGACCGCCATGTTAATTCCCACCAATCCTTCGCACGGGATTAATAAAGAAGCGTTATTGGTGGGGGTTTATGCTTTACATGCGCATACCTAGTGTAGTGGGGGGGCATGGTCTCCCACTACTACGCGCTTGCACCTATCCTCTTATTTATGCAGGTGGATAATATGTAAGTAAGTTAGTAAAAATTAGTGTTTCGGAGGTTGCAAGTAGTAAGTACAACATAGTTTACAGATTGACAATACACACTCCTACACCTCTCTCGATTGACTTCCTGGTTTGCTGTCCTGGTTGCCTGTGTATGCTATGGAAGGTATGAAGTCCAATTACGACTGCCGAATCGACGGGCAAAACACTTGGATGATCCACTCGGAACGGAACTCCTTTACACTACGGAGTATAACCACCGCACTTGGCACTTTTTACAAGGTCCACATGGAGAATTATTTTAACAATACTTGCAAATTATATCTTAGCTTTTCTAAATGTATCCATGATCATCGGTGTATCCACCCTCACGCTACTAAAATTGCCTTTCGAGGAACGTTATTGCTCCGTCCAGAAGGTCCGAGTTCTAATCAACAGCTCGATTACTGGCTACATCTTCTTCAAGCCTGGTTTCACTGTGTCCGTCCGGCGGTGCCTACTCCGTTCAAACCCAAAAGTCTATTGTGTACCTTACGTTGCTGAGGAACAACATAGTTCTAATTCGTCGAGCTGCAATGAATGAATCCACCTCCTACGTCCTTCTCCCTGAAGTGGTACACTTCATGTCCAGGAAAGGGGGATGGGGCATACATAAAAGGGAGGAGGGATCCGCGTTGGAAGCTTCTTTTTCTTCCATCATCTCCAACAAATCTACTCATCTCCAACAAATCTACTCAATTCGGCTTTCTGTTCAAGCAAAATGGTTCACATTGCATCTGCTCTCGCCGTCGGCCTTCTCGGTCTGGCTGGTGCTGTTTCTGCTCACCCCGGCCACGACCATCGCGCTGAAGCTGCTGAGCGCCGCGCTTTCCTGGACAAAGCTAGTGTTCACCAACGCAGCTTGTCAAAGTGCGCCACTACGCTCAAGGCCCGAGGTCGAGAAGACTGCCCCCTATAGCACCAACACCCAGGAGCTGACCACCAACGCCGAAGACTCCATCCTCTCCGAGGAGGCTGACACCATCGACCCCGTCATGGAGTACGTCTACCTCGGCGACTCTGTCTCCGACGGTATCTTCGCCTGGATCACCATGGGTGTGGACCCCACCACCGATACCACTGTCACCCCTGCTGCCTACTACACCGAGGATGGTGGCGTTGAGAACTAGAGCTCTGGTTCCAGCACGGGTTGTGGAGGTGGCTCTGCCCCCAGCGGTACCACCTCCAGCAGCAGCAGCAGCTCCAACCCCTTCTACATTCAATGTGGATGAGTTTCAGTAAGGATTTTGTTTGATGTAAAGCCTGTTTTACTCTAAATTGGAGGGCCTCGATACGGATTTGAGTTGATTTGGTTACTGTATTTTCTCATTCGGGATATCTACGCACAACAACTTGCATGATACGCCAGTCTCCAACCGCCTGGCTTTTATGTATAGACTTTTTAAATTAGCCCTAAAAAGAATTCACACCTCTTTTCGCAGATCTCTCATTCTAGTCCAAGCACTTCTAGAACTGAATATCATTAAATACCTCTGAATCCCCTCTCAGTCATAGATCTTCCACCTCAGCAGATCTGATGAGCTTTTCAGCATCTTCACTGTGTGCTCGGACTTGGATATGAAATGGGGATGGATGACTGATAATGCCAGGCAGGAACTCAGCTAGGAGATATATTTCCTTGCCATCCTCTGCGACGTGTTTCGCAATATCAAGACCGCGAGTGAATTTGCGATAATGAGGAACAGGCTTGTGTCGGCGAGAAAACGACCAGAACAGATCCGGCGTCCGAATCTAAGAACGAGCTTTTGAGAATCGCACTCGGGAGCAACGCCATCCTCATGTTAAAAGAATCAACCAGGATTGAATTCCATTGGCTCATTATATATTTCAGGATCGTGTGCGAATAACCTAAGATATGATGACGCTCGAAAATCCTCGCTCGGTAGATGCTTCTAGTCATACTCCCTTCTATATTATTCAAGAAAGTCATCTGTTCAAATATCTCCAAATGTAGCCCCATCTGGGGCATGTAATTTAGCCCGTCAATTGAAGAAATCAGAGACATCCGCACAAAATCATAGGTGTTTTGCCGATCCCTGCATAACAGATTCCCTGTGAGGTAATAATATTAAGCCTTATGAGCCTAGCCCCGAGACGGAGATCGGTTATAATTACCTTGGAGTATATTCACCTTCTAAATTCACAGATTAGGCCATGATATTCATCTTTTGGCGTCTGTGTAATGCCTTATCCGGCACGCTCTTTGTTACACGGTTTCCGAATTTAAGATTCACGCATATAGGATAGCGGCTTGAAGTTTAATCCCTCATACGAGATACGTTAGCAGCCAAGACGGTCATTACATGGCCCCGGGAGTAACCTTGACAGGATAGTTAAATGTTACCGCTCATCACACTTCAATGTCGGGAACTCTGAACCCAGTTCATATTCACCCCACCACTCATCTCATTACACAATAAATAGTATACAATGGATGTCTCATTTGAAGTCTTCCGCGGTTCACCCAGTGGTCATATTGTATCGGATACTACAACTCGAATCTTAGGACCCAATGAGGTCTATATTGAAATTACTCACTCGGGCATATGTGGAACGGATGAGCATTTTGTGAAATCAACCCAAGTCCTCGGCCATGAAGGTATCGGCATCATTAAGCTTCTGGGTTCAAACGTAACCACAGTCATGGTTGGTGACCGTGTTGGCTTTGGATATGTGCGCAAGGTCTGCAGTGCCTGTGATAACTGTGGAACTGGTTTGCATTTACTCTACATACTATTACTATTGAACTATGGGTTCTAATACTCACCCTCAGGTTGGGATCAATACTGCCGAAGCGCTAGGATCTACGGTGAATGTGATTTTGACGTCGGCACCTTCGGCCATGGCACAGTCTGGGATGTCAGTTGTGTCTTTCCCATTCCCGATGGCTATTTATCTGAAGATGCAGCGCCCCTGCTATGTGCTGGCGCCACGGTCTGGAACTGCCTGAGTCATTTCCATGCTCGCCCAACAGAGCGGGTTGGCATCCTCGGCGTTGGTGGCCTGGGCCATTTGGCCATCAAGATTGCTGCCGAGATTGGATGCCATGTTGTAGTCCTATCTCGAACTGACGATAAGCAAGAGGATGCGCTTCGATATGGCGCAGGGGAGTTTCATGTTCTAGATCAGATTGACCACTCCTCCTTTCGGCCGTTAAAGCATCTGTTGCTCTGTGGAAGTTACTTCCTCAATCAAGCATCGTTAGTCCTCTCCATTATGATAGAGCAGTGAAATATATACTAAATTTTTGGTGGGGAGATTGATACGACTCATGGATACCAAAGGGACTATTTATCCCCTGACCATTTCGCAGACAGAAACACCCGTCCCATTTCTCCCCTTGAACAATCGTGGCGTTCGAATCCAAGGAAGTCTAGTTGCTTCCCGACAGAATCTTCGGGAATTGATGGAATTCTGCAACCGTAAGAAAATCAGGCCAACGATTATGAAGTTTCCTATGACGCCAGATGGGATCAAAGAGGCGATGCTGAAACTGAGAAAGGGGGAAATAAAGTACCGGGCAGTTCTAGTGCGTGAGCCGACTCCAGGCACGGCTTAGATAGGTTACATAATTATTTGACTGCTGCACTTGAGTGTTGTTGGGAACAGGCATATTCATTCGTTTTTGCCTGACTCTGCGATCTATAATCTATCTGGTCGTTGTGTATTTGAAATGGGTGGACAACAACTCAACAATAAACTACCATATATCGACCTGTAAACTCTTTTCCAGTGGTCTAGAACCTGATATCATGACAGGTCGGTTCGTCGTAAAATAACGAATAGGCGGTGACCTACCAGCCGATGGTGGTGTCGTCGATGTTCCAGAACTCTCCCGCACCGTTCTCCTTGGTCAACCCATCAATCTTGGTGATAATTGCATTCACGCTGTCCTCAACCTCTACAAAAGCGCCGGGGAAGCCTGCCGCTCGGGCAGCGTTGTCTCCAGCCTCTGTCTTGACCGCACTATAAGAAGATATTAGTCAACACCTGATACGAGATAAAAGGTCGAATGATAGATTCATACCCAGGGTGGATAGCCAAGGTAGCAATATCATCATGCTCGTAGTTAATTTTCCGGACAAAGTAGTTCGCCGCCGCCTTGCTAGCTCCGTAAGGCGCAATCTTGAGAGGAAAGTCTTTGATCCCTCCAATGGTTCCCATCAGACTGCTATTCAGGATGAAGCGAGCAGAAGACGACTTCTGAAGGAGAGGGAGAGTAGCTTGGAAGAGGCGCACGGGTCCAAGAGTGTTCACGTCTAGATGCGTTCTGATTTGGGCAATGGTAGACTCAGCAACGGTGGTGAACGCAGCTGTGTCGAAGACTCCCGCATTGGCGATGACGATGTCTAAAGCCGACACACCCTGGCTGGACAACGACTCCACGGCAGCTTTGGCGTCGGTGTCAGAGCTGGCGTCGATTTTAACAATAATCAACCGACTACTCTCCCCCGTGGGAATTTCAGAGAGAGAGGTCGCTTCTGATGAGCTGGGGTTGCGAACAGCTGCGATCACAGTCACATTATCGCGAGCCAGATACTTGCTAACAAGACCACGGCCAATTCCTAAGCGGATTGTTAAATTTAGATTGCGAACAGGGTCAAGGTGTAGATGTGAGTTACCTTTATTGGCGCCGGAAATCAAGATGGTGGACATGATTGAGAAGAAATAGCTCGTATAGTTCGTATATTTGTTTAGATGGATGGTGTTCTCATCGGAAAACTGGTCATCTTATAAACAATTTGAATATAGCATTGTGAATACACAATATAATTTGATTTGTGAGCATTGCCCATCAATCCAAATAATTTGCAAGAATATTGGTAATCACTAACATCTCCCTCTAGCAAAGTAGCAACTCGGCCGTTGGCCAAAACCCGGGCCAAAACGGTTGCTGGGCCGTACATTGGCCTGAGTACCTAAACCTCTATAGGAATACACCTGATCTATCAATATTATTCTGCATTAGCATAAGATAAGGACAAAGCTACATGCTGACACTGTGTCAGCGAATAAGCAAAATATACGAGGTTCCAGATATACTTCAATTACGGTGAACAGACTCAAAATGCACACGGTGCACGAATATCCTATACTATCTATACGACCCATTCACAGCTTGTTTATTGAAACCATACTGTACTAATATCCCTTTCTATGTGGCTTTGGATTAGTTAGATTTCGCTGGCTGACTTCATCTATTCGGCAAGTTATCCGTATCCGAAAGTCGGTCGGCATCCCAGTCGGCATCCCACCGTACGGTGCGCTTAGCTGCAGGGTCAGCCGTAATCACAATATTCTCTAGGGCTGACGATGCGTCGTAATCAACACGCTAGCCGTATCCATGCCCTCCGTAAAGTTTTTGCTAATTCGAGAGATATTTTCAAACTTCACTGCTCCATATTTCCATTTGGTTTTTCAAGTCCTATATATTTGATCAGATTGCGTGATAACAACCCACTTAGCAATGATGTGATTGACGATTGAAATGTGTTAGGCTAAGAACATGGCCCCTCTAACCCCTAAATAAGAACCAAGGCTTTTACTATGGTCCAGTCATGAAATAACCTGCATTTTTCTCGCAGGTTCTCAAAATACATTGATCAAAGACGTATAGGGAAATTCCCGCGTGCTACCCAAATAGAGCCATATACTTTAGTTTGGACCTCCGCCTTCAGGAATCCGATGGACACAACCCTCATCCACACATTATCGGGGCTCAATTGTGTATCGACTATCTGAACTAAAAATATTGATTGCCCACAAACGCTAAACGGGGCCTTGTAATTTTAAGTTGGGGTTAAGAGTAGGCCTGGTACATCGCCGAGCCGTGAATATATATTATATCAATACATGGTTTGCTGGCTTCGCAATGCGGACACGGATGTTAGCCCTAACTCCTACCCCTGACAGTACTGGACAGGCTATTTCCAACGACCGGCCCAGCCTTGTAAGATGATCTTCGGTTTGAGTATCCCAACGCTTACCCAAAAATGAGAAATATTGAGGCGTATGTGGATATCGTTCAGGAGTGGATACAATATACAGGGCTACTTCCAGTCCGGGGGGTGAAACAGAAAAAGAAAAACTCTAAAGTAAAGCGGCAGGAAAAGGTATATTCAATAGCTGAAGATACAAATATAATAAAAAATAGACGCTAGATCGTAGTCTGTCGTGGAGAAAGGTATCAAAACATTAAAGAATAAGAGATGGACACATATAAGTGGAGTATGCATGGATACATCCGTAAGAAGTAACTTCAGAAACCCCAGAATTAATAAATCGACAAGCACGGAGCGCATCTCTTCCACAACCAAAAAGCCGCGCAAGACAGAAATGTAGACATATCACTCGTCAAGCTTACGCGAAAGCGCAGGCCAGAGCAAGGAAGGCACCACCAACGGTCCAGACGCTGCCTGCCATCTGGCCGGCGGCGTTGAAGGAAGTCGAGGAAGCGGCAGGGGCACCGGTTCCGGTGGCAGCGGCAGTGGTAGGCGCGACCACCAGAGGAGTCGAAGCGGCCAGAGGGGTGGACGAGATGAGAGCCGAAGAGGACTTCTTAGGGGTCGAGGTGACGAGGGTCGACGAAGAGGTGATAGCCGGGGTAGAGGTGGAGGTCACCTCGGTCGTGCTAGTGCTAGTGCTAGTACTAGTGCTGGTGCTGGTGCTGGTGCTGGTTGGGGTTGGGGTGGGTGTCTGAGTTGGGGTGGAGGTCGACGTCGGGGTCGGGGTGGCCGAGATGGTCACGGGCATCCAGTTCAGATCAGCTTGGGCCAGGGTACCCGACGGGGTCGCACTGCCGGCGGAGGCCTGGCAGGAGGCGTAGGTGGTGCCGGCAATGTTGCAGGAAACAGTTCCAGTGCTGGTGTTTGATATCAGAATGCGGTTCGTACAAGGAAAGTCTGCGCTAGTACTTACGTTCCCTGGAGGTTGATGTTCTGCAGCTGCATGGAGGTCGGGGCAGCAATTGCTGTCATGCCCTCGCCGGCAATACCGCAGGAAGAAGCGGTCTTGGGGCAGGTGATCTTGTAGGTAGTCGCATCTCCATTCTGCGGATTGTTAGTTAAAATTCTCAGACAAGAGAGCGCATTGACAGCGCAACTGAATCTGGGACATACGGTTTCGACAACGCTAGCCTCGAGATCCTGGCCCTCAAAGCCGGGCAGGAGGAGAGTTGCAGTGTTGCCGGCAGCGACGGCGGTAGCGCCAGTCAACAGAGCGACGGTGTAGAAACGCATGTTGCAAGTAGATTGGTGATTGATAGGTGTTTTATATCGAAAAATTGGTGATAATCAAGATGTTGGATATTCACAAAGAATGGAAGTACACAGTACTTGAAGTAGAATCAACAATTGCTCAAAACGAAGGACTGGATTTAACGAAAGACTGTCGAACGACGAAAGAGTGAATGACGGACTGCTTGAGCCTGAAGGTGTGGAAGAAGGAAGAAGTGTCAGAGAGAGAGACATCCGGGGGTTAGGCGCGCAAATTACTGACTTGGCATAGTGTTGCCCGTGAGTAGTCGCCAAGACCAGTTTGGCATAGTGGGATTGGCCCATATTGCGGTCCAAGCGGATCTCACTAGGGACGACACGATAATCAAGGAACGGGCCCCAGGAGTTCGAGGGGTGGTTCGAGGTTGGAAAAGGGGGCATTTACCATATCAAAGTCCAAGTGCCTTGGGGAACCAAATTAGGGGCGTTTTAGTGGAAGTTTCCTGTGGAACTAGGCTGATCCGGGCCTAGGGGCCGAGCCGACCCCTGGGTCAGATGCCTATTTGGGAAGGTTGTTTGATGCTCCTTATATTACGTCGGAGACTAGCGAGATGAGATCAACAAAGGAATTTATTTCACCAGTGTATAAAAAATCCAACTGCGTGAATTATACTCTGCACCGAGCATGCACCTATGTATGTTTGCTGTTCAAAATGTGTACGTTGTATATAACTCTCACTATTTTCTTCTTTTGGCGCCTGTAATTTCCCCAGGTCAGCTAGCGACCCTCTCTAGAGGACTAGCGTGCACGAGTTAGTGCACGATTCAAATTACGCCCGGTGGAAAAGCCCGTGCCTGATGAACGCGCAACGCCACGGATGCCAAATTAATTAATCTTACGAACCATTCCAAGGTTTTTTTCATCAAATAGTTAATTGTTTTTACCCGCTTTCTCCTACAAACGCACGTGTGCTTAAATTGCAATGGACCCCTGCTAGCCGAGCAATGCCGGTAATTCAACCTGGGGCCATTTTCCATGCTGAGAATGAGATTATATTCACAGCCAATCCAGCAACATCCCGCACCACTGTGACAATTTTTCATGAGTTTAAAACTGAAATTGATCACTAATTCCTTCCGGGCGAGGGTCCGAAGTGGTTAATGCCCCCACAGATGATCCCAATGATAAGCAGCACGCCATTAAATCCCGCCATAATATAGAACGGTGTGCCCGATGACAGAACATCAAACAGAAATCCACCCACTTTGGTCAACAGCAGGATGCCTGCCCCGCCATATAATGAATAGACACCTGCGATAGAGCCTTTCAGGTGGGACAGATGCTCCAATCTCCGGTTGACAGACCCGGCAAGAAGAGATTGGCCCTCGTCAGGCTCTGCGTCATTCTCGTCCCCACGGACGCGTCGCTCCTCGTATATTTTTCTTAATGTTTCATTGTCGATGCTAACCCGCAAGATACCGTTGCTCAGTACAGCCAAGCTACAGACGATTGCCCCAATCTGGCTGATTCCAAGCAGAGCCATCACAACAAACACGCCCGGATTGCCGTCGGGTCGTTCGAATAAAGGGTTTGGGAGCATGGCGAAGATAACATAGCCGATGATACCCACCAATGCTGCGAAAAGAAGTGGAAAATTGTATCGTCGTGATTTGTCTGTCAGGTACCCAAATGCTGGCGCAGCAATTAATGCCACCAATTGGGACACCCCGGTCAGTATGGATGCGACGATGTATGCACGTGGGCATGCTTTCTTAATGTCCCCTAATCCTGACCCAGGAACCGGTTCATGTTCCTCATCGCAGAGCCCCGATACCCGATAGTAGTGATTGACAGCGAGGGGAATGAACAATGATATCCCCACAGAAGAGGCCCGAGCGACAAAGCCTCCGACGTAGCCGAGTCCAATGCTACGGTTTCGGAATCCCAGTGTAAGGGCGGTTGTCAATTGCTTCCAGTATGGCAATCTTGGGCCATGGATAGATAGATCATCGTCGTCTTCATCATCTTCGTCATCACACGAGTGATGAGACGTTTTCCAAAGCGCACTCCAACTTTTGCCCTTCTCGCCGGGCAGATCGCGAAGACCAATGAAGCATACAAGGCAGATAACAAGCGATACGGCGGCAACTAGATAATAGCTGCGTTGGATCGCCTGCGCTGGCGACAATCCCATTTTCTCGAACCGGGCTGCAAGCGGCAGGAAAACAACCAGTGCCACGAGCGCACCACAGCCAGCGCACATGCCAACAAAACCGGATAGTCGCGCTGACGGAGATGCGGTGGAAGGGCCAACATTTAGGGGATGACCATTCCTGGCACGCTCCGGTGTGATGGTTAACTCCGAAGACACAGATGCGCGATATTCCCGGGAATTAAAGGCTGTGCCAGTGACAGTTGGCAGAACTGCAGTAACCATGGTCGATACTGCTGAACCGCCGATACTGAAAAGTAACCTTCCCAAGAGAAGCTGGGGGTAGACATTCGTGGCTTGCACAAAAACGACTAGCGCGAGAGCTACAATAGCATAGCCTGCAGTACATACCTATCTAATGTCAATATCATTGAATGTTATTACCCAGATATGAACCAGTAGAACGCTTACATGGCGGACTCCGATTCGGTCCGAGAGCACACCCCAAAGTGGGCAGGCAATTAGCGCAAGGAGTTCATCTGCGAATCCTAGAGTTCCCACTGAATCTCCCACTCCATCCTGAAGGCCAATCAAATCTGTTACGACGAACGAGATGGATGAATTGATGTAGACTAGGAAGGCGATTGAGAAGGGGCACACCGCCAAGAGGTAAGTTAGTGTCTGGCTGCGCGAGGCAGTAAACAATGCCGGTGATGAAGCCATCACCGGAGATGATTCATTTCTTTTAAACAGCAAGTATGAGAATGGGATTCAGAGGTGACGATATCCCTCAAATCGATGCAAATTGATAACAGGAAATGATCTGTGGACGGTGTCACAATGGTTGCATTCTTTAAAGGCGGGCAATGTGGGACGTCACATGACGGAGATGATCAGATAAACACCGAAGATCGACGGACATGTCCTGACAATCATAGTTAGTAAGTCTAAGTCTAAGGGGTTAGATCAAAAACAATACACTGAATTATCGAGGATCCAAAAATATTATGCTTTTATCAGAGTAAAATCAAATCTCCCCATGTATTCAGTAGGCTCGTATAGATCTGGGTGGCGGCACGTGCTGGTCGCTGACGTAAGATGCGGAGAGGCGTCTGCGGGTTATTCTGGAAAGCTGTCCAGATCAAGCTACTTACTCCTCTCAAATAAGCGGCATTCACATCGTTGCTCCGCCAAATGATACCTTGAGACGCCCGTCTTTTTTGTCCTTCCTTCGGTCTATGACCTTCGGCTTGTCCGATCCAGTCCATAGCCATGAGACTGGCCGCGTATACTGGGGTAAGTAGTACCGCAGCTGATGGGGGAGACAACCCGCTAACCTTGCAATCCCGTTTGTAGGCCTCGGTGGTCCTAGCCACTGGTGTGTTTCTAAAAGCTCTTCACCAGAGGTCCAATTTCTATTCCGCATGTGTTTACCTCTCTCAGAGTAGTGCGAATCTTATGGTTAGTTGTCCAGTTTGAGCCATCGCGCTTGGTCATCATGATCCCTAACTCATTATTCCATATTCAGATCCTCACGAATTTATGCCTTCTCATCACCGGTTTTGTGCTATTCTGGCTTCAGCGACTTCTTTACGGACCCTTGCGACCAATCGAGACCGAGCAACTATACGAGCGAGCCTGGTTCGCCGTCACAGAGACATGTCTGGCCATGACCATATTCCGAGGCGAACTTGGAGGTTGGTTTTTGGTCATGTTCATTTCGCTGCTGGTCGGCAAGGTCTGGGGCTGGATTGGCGAAGGCCGCGTTGAGTTCTTAGAGCAACAGCCACCGGCTAACCCCCGGTTGTTCCATACTCGACTGGCAGCATCTCTCGTGCTAACGGTGTTATTCGATGCCTTCATGTTGCGGTACTGTGTTCACACCGTGCTTGCGCATGCACGGCCGGATATGATGGTTATGTTTGGATTCGAATTCGCCATATTAACTATCCTCTCGACTTCCACCCTGCTACGATACGTTATCGCGTTGACCGAGATATCCATCACCCGGCAGCAAATAAAGGCCAAGATGCAGGAGCGCCGGGATGAGATCCGTGCTGCGCGTGTCGAGGCGATTCGAGAACATGCCCGCGCGGGAGCTGCCTCTCCTCCTGACAATCTTCCTGACGAAAACGATGTCAATGAGATGGAGATTGATGTGCCCGGATGGGAGGAGAAGGGTCGTTGGGTCTTCTACTTGGATCTTTTGACTGATTTGTTGAAACTCGTGATTTATTTGAGCTTCTTTGGTATCCTACTCACTTTCTACGGCCTCCCCATCCACATTCTGCGCGATGTTGTTGTAACCATCCGCTCATTTGTCCGTCGCATTATGGACTTCATGCGTTACCGAAATGCGACAAGGGATATGCACCAGAGGTATCCGGATGCAACGGCGGATGAAGTCTCCCGAGAAGATGTCTGCATCATCTGCCGCGAGGAAATGATTCCAGTTCAGCCGGTGCAACCGCAACCGGCAGCTAATGCTGCTGCTGGAGAGCCGGCACCACAGCCGGCCGTTGGAACACAACGTGTCCCTGACCGTCTGCGTCCGAAGAAGCTCCCATGTGGCCATATCTTGCACTTTTCGTGCCTCCGAAGCTGGCTTGAGAGGCAACAAAACTGCCCAACATGTCGACGTCCTGTTGTAATTCCCCAGGGAACTCGTGGGGCTGCTGGGGTTGGGGGCAATAACGCAGCCGGGGGTCCGAATGGTGGCGTCCAGCCAGGCCAACAAGGCGCAGACGCACAACCACGTGCTCGGGTCTATCAGTTTGGGCCTTTCCGTATCGGCTTTGGGGCTGTACGTGGGGATTTATTCAACAATCTCCATCCACATGGTCACCAAGGTAACGCCCCGCAGCCTGGGGCACACCCACCTGCGAATGCGCCTGGAAGACATATTGGGTTTGGATTTGGGTTCGGGCGCCGCCCTCAAGCCCCCACCCCCGCTCCTACCCCACATGCAGCGGCTCCAGGGGGATCTATCACTGCTGAAATCAATAATCAATTGTCACAGATCGAGCAACGACTTAACCAAGAGATCGCCACCCTTCGAGCTGCCTCAGACCATCTAAATCACGTGCGCCAGCTTCGGGTGGAACTAGAACGGTTACTCGCCCAAGCAAGGGCTGTTAATCAACAAGTTGTCGGCCAACCAGGCCCGCTTCCCCCGTGGCCCCGGGATCTTCGGTCTTCACATCGGGTCACCAGTATGGCGCAAACCCGGGCGCTGACGTTCTAAACTCTGGAGATCCTCGTCTACCGGAAGGGCTTACTCTTCCGCCTGGTTGGACCCTCCTTCCTCTTCAGCGCGTGGATAATGCCCCCAACGGTGTGGATCATACAGTACAACCCACGCCTACCACTACAGTGACATCCCCACCTGTGCCAGCTGTGGCCAGCCCTGTAACATCTCAAGCCCCCACATTACCCGCACCTGTTCAGGATCAAACGAGCGGGAACGTCGTGGAAAATGCGCGCGGCACCACCAACGCTGAAGCCCTTCCCGTAAATGGCGCTCCTCAGCCCCCCTACTTTGCAGCCAACACCAACCGTCCTTTCGGCAGAACGTCGCGCAGAATCCCCATCCCAAGAGTGGACTGACGTTGCCCCTAGAGGGTCTTTTGAGGCAAGGCCAGCTTCCTCCATTCCTACTACATGGGGTAGCAATGGCGAATCTACAAATAGTGCTTCTAGTCAAGCCGACACTCACCCCGCATCTCCATCCAACGGCAAAGGTCGGACCGCATCAGTTGAAGAAACGCCCGATGAAGAAGCTTGATCATGGACTCCTCTTTTGATAACCCTCGCTGTGTATTTTTTTTTTTTTCTTCCCGGGTCTGCTCTACCCTTTCGGTTCCCCAGTTGTTTACACCAGCGTTTCTGCATGGCGTTGTTTGCGAGCAAAAGATCATACCCAGATTTCTTTTCACGATTTTTATACCACAGTTGAATCTCCTGGTATTTGCTCTCATTGATTATCTTCAGATGGAAAAGTGTACACGCAATCAGTGTAAACTTGGTACGTATAACGAGTGTATAACGTAGAGAAGCACAACCTTGGAACAATTAGATCTTAAGTGTGGCCCATGCCATGGCTGAGACAAGGCCGCGTGGCTGAATTCTTGGAGGGATCGACATGGATCTTCCCTTGTTGGTTCGATGATTTTATACGAATATTATTTTGATGATATTAGATTACTTCTTTTTAAATTGATATTTATTATATTTATAGTTTAATCGTGTCTTATTTAGCCTATATTGAATCCCTTTATGCAGCGCAAAGATATAAAATCGCATTGAAAGAAGCTTCGTCATGACGGCACAGCCTTGGCTCCACTTGCATCTGATTTGTCCCGTAGGCTCTCCGGGGGGGGTTAGACCAGGGTCCCTTCAATCTAGATCGGATTTCTCTTCCTTCACCCCCTTACACTCTCGGGGCAATGATATCCTCAAATATGTAAGGAATTGTGTCCCCTCCCTCAATTCCACGCTCTCTGCATGTACCTTGCTCCCGCAGTACTCTCAACCCTATGCACACGACACAGTAGCATTGACATTGCAGCTAACCACCATCTCGTGTGACAGATAATAAACCCGTGTACGATTGTCTAACCGTCCGTCCATGCTTCTCCCACGACGACCGGTCATCTTCCTCGGCGTCTGCTTCTTCCTTGTCTTGCTCCTTACAGCCCGGAGCCTCTCACGACCATGGCGTGACGTACCCCAAGTCATCGGCCTGGGTGACCTGGTCTCCTCGTCATCCAACACAACAGGAACAGGAGCCTGGAACACGACCCACGCACACACAAACCACCTCTATGCCCCACCACCGAACTTCATCCCCGGCACCCCCAAGCCCCCGGGCTACAAATACACCAAGGTAATGGTCGTGACCCGAACCAAAGAGGAAGATACCAGCTGGATCGCCGAGGAATTGCCAGATTGGGATCATGCCATCTACGTTGCAGATGACCCCACAGCGCCGCTCCACCCGCCCAAGAACAAGGGCCACGAGGTTATGATCTACCTCACCTACATCGTGGACCACTACGACCAGCTCCCAGACGTGGCGGTGTTCATGCACTCGCATCAATTCGCCTGGCACAATGACAACCTCTTCGCAGGAGACGCGGCCCAGCTTCTCCGCCGCCTCAATCTGAACCGTGTCATCCGCGAGGGTTACATGAATACTCGCTGCGGGTTCGGCCCAGGCTGTCCAGCCTGGATGCACCCCGGTGCGTTGGAGGCAGACGAGTCAAAGCAGGAGGAGATCATGCTGGCCCGCGCATGGGGGGAGTTATTCCCCGACCAGGAGATCCCGTCTGTGCTCGCACAGCCGTGCTGTGCGCAATTCGCCCTGTCTCGTGATCGGATCCGCTCCATTCCACGGGCCCGGTTTGTTTTCTATCGTGATTGGCTGCTGTCGACTGATCTGAGTGATTATATCACTGGTCGCATCTGGGAGTATCTGTGGCAGTTTATCTTCACCGGGGAGGCTGTTCTCTGTGTTGAGGAGAGCGTGTGTCTGTGTGACGGGTACGGGTTCTGTTTTGGCGGAAGCGAGGAATGGAATAATTACCGAGAAGCTGAAACGAAGAAGAACGAGATCCAGCGGGAATTGGATAATTGGATGTGGTTGTCCGACTTGGGATTCGATCCCCCTGTTGAAGCAGATGGGGTACCTGAGCCAGAGGACCCTGAGGGTGAGAAGGGCAATGCTCTTGTCAACCAACTTCAAGAGAAGCAGCAGGAGATCGTTGACACTTTGCTTGCTGCTATTGAGCGTGGCAAGAATCCCCAGTACCGTGCCCAGGAGGCTGGTCGTCCTTGGAAGGAGGGTGATGGGTTCTAAGCTGTCTTGACTGGATCAAGTGCTGCTGTCTTTGAATACCTTTCATTTCACCCTGCCTCTGCAAAAATTTATGTGGACCAGTGATCTATATGCTATCTATTTACCATTTTCTCCGGACACACGAGGCCTGCTTTTGAAGACATGTTTGGTCATCTGTCAACATTCACACTTTTAATTGACACGACCATATATTTTTGCCATGCAATTGCACCATTTTTGACATTTGTCCTCTTTGGTGACTGATTTCTTGATTATGGATGTACTTATAAAAGGTTTTTGCGTTTGCGACTCGGGCTTTCTACAACACGGATATACGGAAAATACACATTGATAGAGATGGATAGAAAGTATCATTGATCACTTCAATTTGTGCACATGAAATCTAACAATCAAATCCAAGTCCTGAGGTCAGAGATGTAACGTAGATTATCCATGGATGCTACACGCCAATGAGAACCCAAATCACGTGATACCCTCGAGGTTTTCAGTTTGCACTGTCTGTTGTTCTTTCAAACTGCACAAACATCCAACCGTCGCGCGTCTTATCAGCCAACTCGAAGTAAAGCTGTCGAGGCTTTTTTTATTTCTTTGTTTTAGTCCCAGTTTCGCTGTGACGCGCTTCTCACCCTCTTGGGTGTTTCGCGTTGGGACAACTCTGTTCTGACCAAGCAACATTACCAATGGTGAAGCTATTCATTAGGTTATCTACATCAACTGGATAAGAGCTTCGAGCTTCAACTTGGAAGAGGTGCTCTTTTGGAGATAAATCCGAGACCTCGAGCGTGGTCTGGGTCTTCTCTTCAATTTGCGCTCGTCACGTAAAAATTCTCTGTCGCTATTTTTTCCCTCAATTCTCATAACTTTGCCCACACTATCAGCTTATCGAACCGGGTGTCTTGGATCACCTAGCTCTCAATCAACACCATGAGCTCTTCCACCAACCAACATCTCCCCACAACCTCATCCGACCTACCCTCCCAGCAGACCGCGACTGCCCCTCACCTCGACCCGAACGCGCAACTGGCCAACAACGGATATGCACCCAACGACAACCAGCTCGCGGGATTAGTCGAGGCAGCCACAGCTGCCGCAGACCAAGATGTCTCACAATGGGCTGCCGCTGCTGCAGTCGCAGCAGCAGCCGGTGCAGCTGGCCACCATCACCAGCTAGATTCCTACACAGACATAGATCTCTCCGAGAACGGGTTCGGCGACGCGAACTTCGGAAATGGCATGAGCAGCGGAAGACACATGAGAGTTCCCAGTCACACTGACCATTCCCAATCGTCGGGTGGCCTCACACGAACCGCGACAAAAAAGCGCAAGCGAAATGACGATAATCTCGACCCCGCCTTGGCTGGCGCGGGTCTCTCGGGCGCGCAGCATCAGTCGCATTCCGCACAGCAAACCCCCCATGGATATACCGGAGAAAGTATCGACATTCGCCCCGAGCAGCAGCAGTCCTTGTCGGATGCTCGTGCTGTGGGTATTCATTCTGCGGCAGCGCTGTTCCGTCAACCCTCCGGCAATAAGAAGTACACACGACCTCCCATCTCAAAGATGTTTTCCTCCCTCGAGATCTCACCGGAGAACTTTTTGCATCTCCAGGCTGCTGCTAAGAATTACATGCTGAACGACGAACACCCCGAAAGACGCGATTGTGTTGGTCAGCGTGGAAAGGGAGATACGGAAATGGTCAAGCTTCGCCTCTGGAACTGTGTTCGTCAGTTCCTCGAAGCCGAGGGAAATGGTGAACGCTTTTTCGGAGAGAATGTCGTTAATGAGGGCATGGGCCCGAGAGCCTACATCTGGCCGCGTGACCAACACAAGATCATCTCATTGGTTATTCCTTTACTGAGACGTATGGTCACCAACGAAAGACAACGCCAATACGCAATCGAGACCCGCAAAGGAGGTGGTGCTGAGGAACGCCGCCGCCGTAAAACGGAGGATTTCTCTAACTTGAATAGCCCGCGCTTCTCTCCAGAACAGCATATCCAAATGCAAAGCCAGACATCCCATCGCGATGATCTGTCGCAGTCAATGCCCCCTCCTCCACCGCCGATGCAACAACCAGCAATGGATCCGTCCCAGCCTGTGGATCTCGGTCTGACCGACCTCTTGCTAGACGGATACACGGTCGACTGGGAAGAAATCGGTCGATGCTATGATACCTACAACGAGAACTTCGAGTTGGATAACCTATGGTCTCTCTCCGGTCTCCAGCAACCCGATTGGCGTGGGATCGTCGCCGCAGTGGACAGCCACTACCAGGTCATCCACAACGGAAATTATGACTGCGTACAGTGTTGTGAAGACCAAAACATCAACCGCATTATCCACGCGGACACCACCTCAGGTCTTCAATGGCGCATTGGCGGAGGCCGCAACCTCCCAGCACGAGACGAATTGTAAGCCATCTATCCTGCCCAAACGTTTGAAGAACACCAACTAACAACCTCATAGCGCAAGCAGCATCACCCGCGACGTGTCTCGTATTATCCGCGAGAACATCGCCTCCCGACGCGGCCAACCTGCCCAAGCACCCGACCCTCACTTCCACCAACCCTTCACCCCTCTTTCAGAATCAACCCCAACAGCCAACTCAACTACCCCCTGTCCCAGCCAAGGCCAAACCTCTCTTCGCATCAATATCTTGCAGAATGGAAAACGTATTCTCCCCAGATTCGACCTGCCGGCAGGCCAATTTCCCAACATCGACACGGTCAAGCAGGCAATTCTACGTCGGTACTCGGGCCAAATCCCTGGTTTGCCGGCATTCCAGGGCACCAACGCTGCTACACATGAAGCCCGTGAGTCTGCTATTGTGGATGGGTGGAAGGTTAAGGTCTGGTTACCGGATGGACTGCTACCTGTGCAGAACCAGAAGGATTGGACCATTGCAGTGCTTTCGACTGATGCTGTTGATTGGATGGATGGGGAGTTGAGAGTCCTTGTTGAGGTTGATGGAGATGGGCAGTAAGAGTTCTGCCATTGTGATCTTTGGCTTTTTTTTTTCTTCTCCTATATCCCTGTTGTTGTTGTTTTTTTGGATAAGTTGTATCGTTATACCCTCAATTTCAAACAGTGATTCCAATTTATCTACAATTAAACATGTACAATTTAAATGTAAATGTAAATCCTCAGTCAACATAACCTTCACTGACGTTCCAAGGTTGCACTAAGAATCATAAAATGTGGGTCCAAAAGCTAATGTGTGGGTCGCACTAGTCCCGATTAGGAAGCATATGTTCCTAGAAATTTAACAATCAACCCGACATTCCAAAGCCTCGGCCCAGGTAGCCCAGCGGGAACCGCATAAGGCTTGTGTTGTGATTAACTGTTTCGGCAGGCAAATCCTTTGCAGGTACCGGATGCCTCGGGTTCAACCCTCACCTTTGAACTTGATCCACTTAAAGGGGAGAAAGACCGCGAAGGAGCTTTGATCACGGCTCCTTCAAAGTCGGACTGCGTGTAAGTCATTGGCCGATGTGACCGCCCATCATACCCCGTCGGCAGCTGTGCCTCCAGGTTGTAGAGGTGCCCCTCTAGGGCCTAATACTTTTGGCTTCTTTTAATGTTTGGTTTGGTCTGTCTTCATGAAGCTCTAGCGGTTAGGTCACATGCACCATCCATATCTATGCCTTCTCTGTTGCTTATCTTTAGATCAGTTATTCTTTTCATGTCTTTCTTCTTGTGTTTGCTTTAAAGTATGGTTCACCTTTTTCCTTGCTTCTATCTCATGATGCCCTTCACCTCCTACCCTTCTGCTGTTTCCTCTCCTTAACTGGAACATCAACTCTGTAACTTTCACCATGGTAACCAGAGCAAGATTGTGCATTCTCAGTAAATATCATATTGCCTAGTAAAACTAGAAGTGCTAAGAGTCTCCCTTGTGGGATATACCCACTTGATATATATATTTCAGCTTTCCCAATGATGATCTCGACTATTCAAGATATATTTACCTTCCAAGCCACACACAACAGAGAGTAATTGCCTATCAAGAGTAAAGTTTGTGCTCTGATGGGGACGTAAAACTGCTAGACATTCTATGCTCGCTCATATATCCAAGGTCATTCAAGGCATGTTCTAGTTGAGAAGTCCATAACGCCAATTACGAAAGTCTCCACAAGGTCAAGTCTTTAAAATTTTATATTGTAATCAAAAATATGCAAGAAAAAATCCCATGCCTCATAATATAGGGTAAAAAAGGGAATGAAGAGCAGGGCCCGGAATGATGCACATCTCGAATGCGCCGTACAAAAACACCAACAAAATAACAATCCGCTCTATACGCCGCAACGCACACAAAAGCTAACAGAACTGGACCCACTAGGAGCTCATTTGTTGTGTACAAGTAGAGTGCGGAGGGAATCCCAATGGTCTGAGTCGCCGTAACTGTGGTTGAGATGAAGATTAGCATTGGGAAAAGCGACTCCAAACTTCCGCAGTACCGAAAGTGAGGCAGAATCATGTATAGTGGGAGAAAAACATACATATACACCATGCTACTCCGCAGACTCGACGCCAGCGTCTCCGGATGCCAGCGGAAAATGTACATGACCATCGCCCAGGTCATACCGGCGAAAACGGGGTAAGCATTATTCGTGATCTTGGTGCGTGAATCGGATGTGATGAGGGAGGAAAGAGGATGCATGTTGGGTTGGACGGCGAGCTTGGCAAGAGCAAGCATGACACGGGCGAAGACGTAAATAACAATCTAGATCCGAGTTAGCTCTGCAGAAAAGGGGAGTGTACTCGGCAGTCGAAATTTGAATTCTTTCCGCAACCAGGGAAAAGTGCAAAACACATACCTGCTGGCTAATACTGCCCGGCTGTCGTCCGAAAACTGCATACCCGCCCAGCAGGCCTGCAAAGAAACTATCATATCGTCCCTCTTTCCCGGCGCCACCTGGTATATTCCGGAGAACGATCATCGAGGCTTTGTAGATGATGGCGAATGTGGCGAGGTTCCGCGCGTGCTGGCGAGTTGCTTTCAAAACGAGCTTGGTCTTTTCGCGTATTCTAGATAACGAAACGATCAGTTTCGGTTTGCGGAGAGGGAAGTGCGCGCGTGTGGGGTGACATACGTTCCAGATCTGAACAGAAATATCATTCTAGAAACAGTCGGTATCGGTCAGCTATGTCTTGTAGTGGGGTTTCCGGCTGTCCGAGGTCCAACATACACCAGCGCATGCGGAAAGCGGACTTTCGATCCGTAGACGATTCCATTGCGTGCACCCTTAACTAATGACAGTAGCGGCGCAAGTTCGGGTTTAAGGACGAGCGCGTCGAGTTGGGACTGTGGGGAGAAGGGTCAATACTGTTGTGTATGGTCGGAGGCGCAGCGGAACTCACGAGTAGTGTATCCATGGCGTCTCTGGGCCTCGGTAAGAGGTCGGTCTCGTTTCAGGGTGGTTATAGGGGCGATGGACAACGAAAAGAGACCAGGAGACCGTCACGGATCATGAAGGGGAAATAGGGTAAAAAATAATAGTTTCCCGGGGCAGCAGATGCTGGGGGAGAGGGGACGGCACTTTAATCGGTTCCCGCATTGAGAAGGGCCTCGGCATGTGAGAATGCAGCCGACGTCATGGTCACGTGGCTGTATATAAGACCTTGGCTACGAGTGTACGGGCGAATCTTGTTAAGTCTAGTGTAAAATAATGGATGGAGGAAATGTCTCTATTAGATGTAGAGGTTTTTAAAATAACTTTTCATATGCCGTAAGACTGTTCATACAGGCGCAGAAAACGAAATCCCGTCCGGCCCAAACTCCTTAGCAAAAGAAATCATGCAAATCGATCGATCTTAGTTTTTCCGTGCCTTCTTGTGGCTCTCCTCCACTTCCTCATCAGAAGAGACCTCATCCACCTCCATCATGTCCGCAGATGGCTCGTCCTCCTCGTCGGAAGATTCCATACCCGCGCGACGCTTGAGACCCTTCATCTTACGGGTCTGCAGGTCAGAAAGATCCTGCTTGCCGAGGTGAACACGACCAATCTTATCACCCATAGAGTCCATAATGACGTTCTTCTTGGTGCGGGCTTCCTCGTTGGGACGCTTGCCCTGCTTCATGGACTCCTTCTGCACCTCAGGAGCAGCCTGGCGTGTGCGACCGACCTTGAAGTCGAACTTGGGACCAACCTCCTGCAACTCCACACGGGGAAGCTTGTGACCGCTGCGCTTGGTGATGACTCTGTACCAGCGCATGTGGATGACCGGTGAGAGGCCATCCTGGGGCTCCTCAGCACCGACCATCATGACGTACTGCAGACCCTCAACATCGACCTGGGTCGTCTCTTCACCCTTGAACATGTCAAGAAGAGTGCTCTTGAGGATGGTGTGCGCAGTAGATGTAGGGTCATCCCAGGGGGAACCAGTGAACAGCATCATAGGGCGCAGGCCAAGACCGACGTCCATGACAAGTTCGTTGATGGGCGGGATGGTCTCGCCATCTCTCGGGGGAAGCAGCATTAGCTCGACGAGGTCGAGCAACTCTGAGTTGTAAATACGAGCCAATGAAACGCAGTTGGGTCGCTTTTTGTTGTGGCTTCCGAATGCTACGAGTCCACACTCGTTCTTGTTCGCGAGGAATTCCAGGCTCTCTGAGTTCTCATATGGGTGCAAGTTCTCGTTCTTCTTGTGGAAAAGAATGTTGTGAGGCTTCGTCAAAGCGTGGAAGGTCTTCAGCACGGTGTCCAGCGCTTGGGGGCATTTTGCGCCGTGGAAAATCAGGGTCTTCTTGGGGGTTCAATGAGTTGCGGCTCCCGCGCTTTCAGGATACGCGCAGTGCGCGGGTTCTTGGCTTTTCTATAGGGTAGAGCATTAGCCTGAGATGAAAATCCCGATAAATCGTCATAACTTACACTTCTCTCAACATTTTGTTGTGAATGATCGGCAGAATGGCTTGGGGTAAAAATATCGAATGAACGGAAAAGTTTTGGGTTGCTGATGGCTTGGCATCCTTATCGATAAGCAAGGTACGGAAGCAGTCACGTGCATTAAATATAAAATCTCGTCTGATTGGCCACTTCATACTACATCCACCTGCATTCTACCACACAAGGTATACATATCTGTCTCATAGTCAGCTGCTTGAAGACATTTCTTCGGAGGCCAACCAAGCGCCTAGAGTGTCTTTGTCGAAAAAAAATCTATTTCTCTCTTTTGAAAATATATTCTGAACATATATCACCTTGCATCCGACCTAATATTCTTCCAGGCAGAACTCGTTACCATATTTCCGACAGAGCAAAAGAACGAAATTGGGTTTGGAAGTTTGATTTTTATAATTCCAGGGTATTTCCAACACAATTAAGAGAAGAAGACATGTCAAATTTATATACAGCGCGATGTTTTAGTCTAAAGTCGCATATGCCTGAGGTATCGCATTGGTGGCTGAGTGAGAGTCAAAAGCGCTCGAAAAAATATAGATAAAATGACATCGGTGTCCTTGGCAATTTATTTCTGGGCTTGCTAAACAAAGGTTTGAGAATTGCGAATTTCCTCATTATCGGGTGCCATTGCCTTCTCTAGCCCTGTCAGTGCCTTTGTGAAGAGCTCCAAGGGATTTGCCTGCTGGTTGAGAGTGATATAGGCAAGGCCAGTCCAGAGAGCTGAGGACAATGTATTCACATGTGCAGGCCCAAGGACGTTCTCTTCGCCAATCAGAGCTTTTCTGAAGAATTGTAAGCTCTCGGTAGATTGGTCTAGCTTGTGATAGACGAAACCCATGTTAAGAGGGGGCTATGGGTAGGGTGTCTTCGTGCCCACCTCCAAGCGTTTTCTTCTGAGAAATCAAGGCTTTTTTACGGAGCTCTAAGCAATATGAATATTGGTTCAGATCTTCATAGACACCACAAATGGTGTCAATTGTATGCAAAGTGTCTGAGTGTTCTGGCCCAAGTGTTTTCTCCCGGCCGGCAAGGGCTTTGTTAAAGAACTCTAAGCTCTCTGGATATTGGCCTAGCCTACAATAGACTAAACCAATGCTATAAAGGTTAGACAGAGTATCTTCGTGTTCCAACCCAATTGATCTTTCATGGCCGGCAAGGGCTTTATGAAAGAATTCCAAGCTCTCGGTATTCTGTTTGGTCTCTCGAAGGTTTGGTGGTTTTAGCCATGCTTCAAACTTGATCTGTAGATCTTGCTCTTGCCTTTGTCGGTTTTCTGGGTACAGCTGTTAGCAATGTGACTCTGAATGATAACTGTGAGCTTGAATATATACCCTTTGTGGTTTTTTCTAGTAGTTCATTATTGGCTGTGGTGTGTTCATCAATATCATTTAGCTTTCTGGAAACTGTCTATCCACGCTAACAATTTCCCGAGAGTATATGGGGCTTGGTTATGTGAATTCTTACCGGTATCCAACACACGAGCAGCCATAGGAGGCAATACTTCCATATCGGACGGCTCAATTAGCGAAAGTAGTTCTTTTGCATATGCCGAGGATACAGCAGTTGCGCGATTTTGCCACTAGTCATTTTTGTGAGAATCCGAGTAGTCGCTGGTTCCTCGGACAACATGGCACGGGAAATTATTCATCAGGCCGGCCGCTTCCATTTCAAAGCACAGGATCGAGTTCTCATAGCGCTGGTCGATCTTTTCCCTTTCGGTCCCATCCTTTACTACCACGTTTCCGGACGCAATAATACCATAATGTACACATGACTTGGATGGGAATTTGCGAGGTTTTCGTGGAACCAGGGTTTGGGTTTTGCAGGAATCGCATGTTGCAGCTCCGGGGACGTGACTCTGGTCTGCTTAATGCAAGCGATCAAGAGCCTCGCTTGTTTCGGGGTATGCGTACTCTTCCCCTAACTCATCAATGAAGCCCAACATGTTGTTTATCGGGTTCTTGGGTCTTCGGTGATTCATTTCTCATTAGTTCAAAAGGAACATCTCATGTTCTGTGCCCTGGGCAAAGTCCACCATCAAACTAGTCGCCTACCCACACTCAGCAAAAGTAATCCACAGGGCTGCAGCACGACAGAACCTCTGGACTTTTCGAATGAATCAAAAGAAAACAAAAACAAAAACATACAACAGTGAGGATTCGCTGGTGGTCACCCACCCAACTACTAACTCACCGGCGTGTGGCTTAAGTACGGCTGAGCGGACGGGAAGCCCTGTTTTCCACACCCTATGGTCGTATGTGGCAGATTGATTGCGAGGAGAAATTATGAATGGAACCCGAGATAGAATTAATTGTGAAGATATGGGCGAGTGTGACATGTGTTGTAGATAGGGTGAGAATGAGGGTTGAATATCGCCCGTCACGGCCGGTTGTGTTGGTCCTATCAGTCGGGACGGACTGTGATATTATTAAATCACAAGTCACCTGAAACACTTCCAAGTTCGTCCCTTGAGATCTGTACGTAGCTACTAAGATACATATATCTTGATGGAAACTAGATTGTGGAGTCAACACGTGCAATCCACATATTTTATGAGGGAACGGCATGGCAGGTATGTTCCGAATATAAGGCATTTGATCCCATAAGTCAGAAAAAGTCTTTAGATTATTGTAGAATACTGCGAGATGTATTTTGCAGTAGTATTAGAGATACATAGAAGTATGAGATAGGAAGGCAGAAATTGATGAAATAGTGCTGCTTGAGATGCCCACCGTATTAGCGGTCTAGAGCTTGCGCTTGACACTATAATCACGTTAGTTATGAGAAGTAGATGTAGCTCAATGGGTAGACATACCATCTGCCAATAAGCCCCCTTTCTGCGCAACAATTCAGGATGCGTTCCGGACTCAAGAATGGTCGATCCCTGCCCGGGCGCCCCTTCCCCAAAGACAAAAATCGCATCAGCTTTCTGAATGGTTGCCAGTCTGTGCGCGACCGCAATAATAGTCATGTTTCGCTTGCTTGCTAATCTCTCCATCGCACCTTGCACAAGACTTTCCGAGTGAGAGTCCAAACTAGATGTAGCCTCGTCAAGAAGCAGAAGTAGCGGTTTGCGGATCAGGGCTCGCGCAATGCAAATACGTTGCTTTTGCCCACCACTCAGAGAGGCCTGGGCGTTGACGCCAAGTTCAGTCAGGAAGCCATCTGGTAGGGATACTATGAAGTCGTAGATTTCGGCGTCTTTGCATGCTTGAATCATTTGGTCTTCCGTGGTCGGGTTATTGGGGGCTTCTAGACCGAGAAGGAGATTCTCGCGGATGGTGCCTTCGAAGAGTTTTGGCTCCTGGGCGACGAGTGACAAAGCACTTCTGTAAGAGGCAAGTTCAATGGAACGAATGTCTCGGCCACCAAATAGGATCGTTCCCTGAGTGCAGTCATAGAAACGCTCGAGTAGGGAGACAAGGGTGGATTTTCCACAGCCTGAAGGTCCGACAAATGCTACGAATTGACCGCTCTCAATGGAGAGATTCAGATTAGCAAATGTCGGTACCTCGCGAGTGTGATATTGAAAAGAGACATTTTGAACTTCAACAGAGGGACTGGGGGTATGCTCCGAGGAAGAGAGTGGTCCCGTCGGAATATGCTGAAGCTGTCCCTGGGTAGGTTGCCGTGCAGCCAATATACGATTGGCAGAAGCCTTAGCCTGGGCAATATTTGGACCGAAACTGAAGAACTGCCCGGCCGATTGCCCGCCTTGGATGATGGCAATATAGACGACGAAGAATGCAACTGGGTCATATTCACGGGAGGCGAGCAGCTGGCCGCCGTACCAGAAGGCGAGCGCCATGGCACATAGCTCAACACTGTCGGAAAACGCAAATACCAACGTTGCGTACCATGCCTTCCGGATGGCCTTCTGACGCTGATCTTTCAACAGATTCGAATATCTTTCCAAAATGGTATCCTCCATGGTTAGCGCAGTCACCGTCCTGAAGGCCCGGACTGCCTCCGTGGCGAACTTGGAACTATCAGCATAAACTGCTGCATTTAGGGTCTCAAATTTAATCTCATATCGAATGCGCATGAAGGCAGAGAAAAATAAAAATGGCATGGCGGCAAAAAAGGTGACAGCCGCCAGCTTCCATCCAAAGGCGAAGGAGATTGAAACACATCCAATGATGTTGAAGACCGAGATGAGAGGGAAGACACCAGTGGGACCAAACATCTCTTGTAACTGTTTTGAATCAGTAGAGAGTCTGGAAATCAGACTACCTGAAGAATTCTCCTCGCGGTCGTAGTATGATACTGGTTTGGACAAGATGTTGTAGAAATAATCCATCCGAGCATTAGACACAACAAACTGAACAGTTAGCCCTGCTTGAAATTCATGAAATAAGTAAACTCACCATCGAGATAGAATTCGATGAAAACCCTAGCATGAAATAGAAAGTCGCCATGGCAAGGGCGAGGATGAAAAACATCAATGCCCAGAAGTTCGCAGCGTCCACGAGCTTTTGGCCAGTGAACTGGAAAACCTGTACAAGTCTGGCAAATAACCAACTTTGTAGGGAAAACCCGGCTATTGTACCCTGTAAGCTTATATCTGGAAATGTGCGGGAAAACATAGTGAATACTTACAACCTGCCCCCACAGCCCCGATCATTGTCAGTGCATACAAGAGCCAATGGCTACGATTTTCATAAATAAGCACCCCAAAACTGTGGAAAAATCCAAAGCTCTTTTCAGGCTCCGGATCATCCTGGCAATTTTGATCGCTGCCTTCTTTGGTGGTATAATCATGGGCCCTGACTTCTTCTTTCTGCGAAGCCATCGAACTTGGCACATCGGCATCCATCAAATCTGTAAGTGGCGCCAGCTGTTGCGCATGAACCAAGCCATGGTATATCCCTTCTTTTAGGATCAACTCTTCGTGAGAACCTTCTTCAAAGTTTTGGCCGTCTTTCATAACGATGATTTTGTCCGCGCGGCGGACGGTAGACAAGCGATGTGCGATCATGATTGTAGTTCGATCTTTAGACACACGATCGAGCGCTGCTTGCACGATCTTTTCTCCTTTGATATCGATCGAGCTGGTCGCTTCATCCAGAATGAGAATTTGGGGTTGGCTGACGATGCTTCGCGCGATGGCAATTCTTTGGCGCTGTCCGCCACTCAATGTGATTCCACCTTCCCCAACGGTGGTCGAGTAACCCTAAAAATAAAATGGTCAGGTGAGATGAAAACGATAGGAGTGCAGCGAAAAGGGTGTAACGATACCATGGGAAGACGGTCGATAAATTCATCTGCAAAGGCTTGATTGCAGGCTCCGGTGATGAGGTCCATCTTGACAGCATCTGTATCATTCTCCCACTGCGATCCGATCAAACCAAAAGCAACGTTGTTATATATTGTGTCATTGAACAAAAACGGCTCTTGCTGAACAAGGCCGATCTGGGATCGCCACCACTTCACATCCAAGTCGTTAATGTTGTGAGGCCCCACATGGATATGACCCGAGGTGGTCTCCTCTGCTTCCTCGGACTGAATTTGATACCATCGCTCAATCATTCCGACAATAGTACTCTTCCCGGAACCGGAGGGTCCGACCAGAGCCGTGGTTTTATTGCGTTCAAATGTCGCATGAAATCCCTTGAGTACGGTCATTTCCGGTCGCGTGGGATAGGCAAACTTCACATTCTCAAACATGATATCCGCATGGGATAACTCCGGGTCTCGAATTCCTGGTGGATCGTCTTGCTTGGAGTCAATAACACCAAAGAAGGCACCTGATGCACTGATGGCCTTCGAGATAGCCATCAATGGCCCTGCAATACCTCCCAAAATAGTGACCACAAGGAGCACGGAAAAGAACACCCTAACTGACTGTCAGAACACAGCATCACAATTATTCAAAAGATGGGATAATCATACGTGATCACGGTATTAATGTTCGCAATGTGACCTTCGCGATACAGCTTCAACCCAAACCAGAAGGCCAGGGAGAAGCTGACATACATAGCAAAGAAGAGCATTGCAAGGTGAATTCCACTGACTAGGGACATGCGCAAGCCACGTTTTCGTGCTTCCTCAACCCACCGGGTATACTTTTTGAAGAGTGGCTGTTCAGCATTCAGAGCAAACACCGTCCGAATAGAGCCAAACACTTCTGCGGCGAGGGCTGCATGCTTTTCATCTGCTTTGTCGACATTCTGCTGCGCTTTGACCAAAAACGGCATTGTGAGGCTAAAGCCTAGGATCACGAATACAATAGCCGAACTGACAACAAGCGTCAGTGCCCAGGAATACCGGAATGCGATGGCGTAAGCCGCAATGAGTAAGGCAAGTGACTGGAACAGAATGGCCAGCCGATCGGAAACACTTTGCTGGATTGTATTTGACAGTGCCGTGATCGCATGTGTGACAGTTCCGACCGACATCTCGTCCAGCTTGCTCATAGGAAGTGAAAAGAGTGCTTGAGTGTACTCTAGGCGCAAGGCCCCTGAGGCGCGGAGGCTGGTCAACCGAAAGCAAATCTGTCGCGTGTGAGTAACAGTGAGTAACAATGGAGCTTTGAGCATAGAGAATCACAGTACCATGGATATATATGTCAAACAGAATTTTCCGATAAACAAGTACACAATATACAAGCTAGAAAGAGACGGTAAGTTCGCTGTCATGAGTAATCGAGTGCGAAATATTTACCTGTCTTGATTGACCGAGGACTTGAATGATTGCTCTGTGATGCCCGACCCGGGAATAAAGTACTCGTTGAAGTTGCCGACCAGCTGGCCAAAGACAATATTCATCAAAGGAAGAGCCTGGAATTTCATTAGTTGATCTTAAGTATATCTGGATATTCGCTCTCAACGTACAATTCCTGAAGCCATGGCACAAACCAGCCCCAAAATCATAATATAAATACCTCCATGAGAGGCACCATAGGATAAAATCCTCTGGATGAGGTGTGAGTAATGGGAGACAAAGCCAGGTCCATCAATGAATCAAAAACCTACCGCATAGCTACCGAGACTTGCAGGTTTGGCTGTCTCATCATTTGATCTGACCGAAGGAGCGACCATATCTGGATTGGTGATGGAGTTATTCTCTGGCGATGTTTGTATGTCTTGCGTTTCGACGTGACGCGGGGAAGCTGACGGAGGCATTTTTTTCACGTCAACACAGCGGTTTGATGAAAGAAAATCGGTTTTTTGTCAAAAGACTTGTGCACCATCGTCGGAGCAGTAGTTTCATGTGTAACTGGAAAATCGAATCTACGTGTGAGAACCCCCTGAGTATGGACCCTGAGGGGTGTCAGCCAGCAAGGCACCAACCGTTCAAGGTTGTCACGGACCCTCGCAAAAAATTAGGCACGCATAGTCTCAAAGTCATCACAAATATTTTGATTTCTCACATTGGGCCAAATGGTAAAATAAGTGGAAATGAGTGGAGCGAGCGGTGATGTCAAGGACATTTAAGGTGTGGGTTTAAGATGTTCGTGCAGGAGCTGAGGTGGGTTCGGCTTCCCCGATGTAACCCAAATTTGACTTCAACCCCTATTGCTAATTTCGGAAGCATATTGTGAAAAAAAATATGAAATGACCTCAATCAATGATGAATCTACAACGCAGGTGGTTGGTTGAATGCAAACAAAGAAGTGGAAATCGCCGGAAAAGAAGAACCCGCTGTGCTAATACGCCAATATCAGATGTAGAGTTTACTCCGTACGTCAAGGAAGCTATCATGTTGCATTGACAATGAGTGTATACCATGGTTAACGCGAAATTCTTTTCATCAGGGCGCCTGATGTTTACTTAGGTACTGCTATGGAGCCATAGCGTGATTGTTCGAAGGCGTAGCGCTAGGTACGACGGATGTCGCTGAAATCTTCGTATAAGTTTCATTTCAACTCGCCTCCTGGTTGTCAATTACAAAATATCCATTCTCATAGCAAGCTACAATGTCAGCGTGATTGCTCGTACATTGAACAAACTAGGAACGACACGAAACAGCTACGATTGAGTGGCACAGGTACATCACATAGACCTCCCCAAAACAGATATATATTTTCTAATACATGAACGTCAAAGAACTTTGAGATCATCCTACCGGACCACCCGAATACAGGATGAAGGTATCAACAGACCTCCCTGGCACAGGGACCATCACCCCCCCGGGAGACTCATTGAAGGAAACATTGATCTCGTTCAACAAAGAACTCCTTACTCCATCTCCAACAACTGAGAAGGAAAATGGAATAGATGGGATTTGGCAACAAGTGGCCGATCAATGCCACTGCTCCCTGGATGAGATTGAAGATGTATATGCCTGCACCGCTCTCCAAGAAGCAATGATAGCCCTCACGTTCAAAGACCCGAGAGCATACACCATCGAACACGAGTACCGTCTGCCACGAGAGGTTGACCACCACAAGCTGCAGGAGGCCTGGAATACGACCGCCCAAGCTAACCCGATATTGAGGACTCGCATGATACCAACAAGTGAGCTTGGGTGTGTGCAGGCAGTGGTGCGAGGATCGATTCCATGGCAAGTGCAGGAGACCGACGACGGTATAAATGGAGAGATCGCCAGCCCTTCCTGGCGAGCAGGGGCACCGTTGGCATATTTCGTCTTCAACATCACCGAACATAAAATGAAGATCATAATCCATCATTCCATCTGCGACCACTGGTCTGTGGCATTGTTGTTGCGCCAGGCCGATGCCGCCTACAGGGGCGAAGAACTCTCTTTCCACCCCTTTCGGCCTCTAGTGGACCATGTGCAGCGCACGCAAGACAAAGCCAATGAGTTTTGGGGATCCATGTTCCGTGATGCACATGAGGCCACGATGATGGCATTCCCCCAACTACCCACAGTGGGTCATTCTGCCAGACCAACCGAGCGACTGGAGAGGTCCTTCAACATCCAAGATGGCAAAAGCTCATCAAGTACTGTGGGCACCAAGATTCGGTTGGCTTGGGCAATCCTGCAATCGGTGTATACTGGCTCTGATGATACATTATTTGGAGCAGTAAATGCGGGTCGTGCAGTCTCTGTTGCGGGAGTTCAAGACTTGAGCGGACCTGCACTCGCTAGCGTACCGGTTCGCATCAAGCTATGCGGACAGAATACCGTTGGAGATGCCTTGATTTCAGTCCAGGACGAATGGGCAGCATCTATGGAGTTCGAACATGTTGGGTTGCAAAATCTGCTTCGCCTTGGACCAGGTCCAGCAGCAGCGTGTCATTTCCAGACCCTGCTCTCGGTTGAGCCTCGAGATGGCCATCAACTTCCCGACATATTCTCCCAGAGCCGGTCAACCCAAGCGACATATGATATGTATCCTTTGATCCTACGATGTCGTCCGTCGACCACGACAATGTGGATTGAGGCTTCCTTTGATCCGGCAGTAACCGAGCCCTATCAAATGGGGCGAATCCTCTCCCAGTTCATTCATATCTACGAGCAGATCGACGCTAAACCGGGTCTCACTCTTTCTGATGTCTGTGTCGTGAGCCCCGAAGATTTAAATGCTCTTCGCCGTCAGAACATTTCCATAAAGAGTCCAGATCCTATGCCGTGTGTTCATTCATTAATTCAAAACCGCACGCTACAACAGCCTCATGCCCCGGCTATCAGTAGCTGGGATGGCGACTATTCATACCTAGCCCTCGATGAGTTGGCTTCGGCATTGGCGAATCATCTTTCATGGCATGGTATTGGCCCTGGGTCATTTGTGCCTCTTCTCCTGGGAAAGACCAAGTGGATGGCTGTCTCTATGCTTGCTGTGATGAAATCCGGCGCTGCCTTTGTGTTACTAGAGCCATCACATCCACAGTCCCGACTACGGAATATGTGTGAAGCCGTGGCAGCTCCCCTGGTATTGACTCGTGGCTCGCATCTTGATCTGGCAGCCCAGCTTGGAGTCGAAGAGTTGCTCAACGTGGATACTTTTGACTCGAAGCACCTGCACCGCAATCGCCCATCTGGGAAGCCCTCGGTCGGCCCACAGGATCCTGTCTATTTGACATTCACCTCTGGGTCCACGGGAACCCCCAAAGGTGTAATTGTTCATCACGAAGGCTTTGCTTCAAGTTCTGTGGCCCATGGCAAACCATACCACTTCACACCGAAGTCGCGTGTTCTACAATTTGCCTCCCCAGCATTTGATTCTTGCATAATCGAACATCTCAGTACGCTGATTCAGGGAGGCTGTGTTTGCATTCCCTCAACGGACGACTGTCAGAGTCATCTTGTGGAATCCATGAACCGCTTTGCGGTCGACATTGCATGCCTGACGCCCAGTGTCACCCGTATCATTAGCCCCGACAGTGTTAAGTCCTTGAAAGTCTTGGTGTTTGTCGGGGAAGCAGTTCTGGCTAGCGACGTCGTCCGCTGGGAGCCATTTGTACACGTTGGAAATGCGTACGGCCCGGCGGAGTGCTCTGCAGTGTTCAGTGTACAACCAAACCTGAACAGCAATGATCCAGCAAACATAGGATTCAGCACAGGGGGAGCTGGATGGGTTGTTCATCCAGATGACCATCGAGTCCTCATGCCACTGGGGTGCACTGGAGAACTGTTAATAGAAGGACCAATCGTTGGCAAGGGTTACCTATCGAATCCCGAGCAGACGACTCGGGTCTTCGTTGAAGCACCCCCTGGCGCCTACAATTTGGCTCCGTTCCATCCGGAAAATTCTACAAGAGTGGAGATTTGGTGCAGGCTACTGCGGATGGTAGTTTCCGATACTTCGGGCGGAAGGACACTCAGGTCAAGCTACACGGACAGCGTTTAGAACTGGCAGACATCGAGTACCATCTCCACAAAGCATTCCCGAAAGCCCGTCAGACACTTGCGGAGGTGCTCCGGTCATCCGCCCCGAATAGTACCAATGACCATCGACCAGAGGCTTTGCTGATAGCATTTATATGTCTCCCCTCCTCTCCGGATGATGACAGTAATCAGCAAGCAGAATTTCTTCCTCCAAATGACGAGTTCCGTGAAGCTTGTGCTGCAGCAGAGACCAGCATGTCGGATGCTCTACCATCCTTCATGGTTCCACGCTTTTTCCTACCCATATCCCATATACCTCTAACGCCATCTGGGAAGACCAATCGACGTTACATTCAGGAGCAGGCCAATAAGCTATCCTTGGAACAGATGCAGGCTTATCGAGCCGTGAAAATGCAACCAGAGGCGCCGTCAACTTCTCGCGAGGAAAAACTTCAACAAATCTGGGCCCAAACACTGAATCGAACGGTTGAAGAAATCGGCACTACAGAAAGCTTCTTCCGTCTGGGAGGCGATTCAGTCAGCGCGATGCAAGTCGCTGCAGGTTGTCGCACTGTCGGACTCAAAGTAGCTGTTGCTGATATATTCCGGTTTCCAAGCATCAGGCAACTAGCAGAAAAGATCCAGGATTCCGGATCTGTGTCCTTGGCCTCGCCTGGGGAGGATGATCAAACGGAGGTGTGGTTTGAACTTTCACCGATACAGAAGCTCTTCTTTGAACGAGTGCCCAATGGTCACAATAAGTTCACTCTCGAGTTCATTCTCCGGCTCAGTAAACCTCTGCCACCTCCTGAGATTAAACGAGCGATCGAGAAGATTGTTACCGCTCATTCAATGCTCCGCGCCCGATTTGAACAACGAGCGGACGGTCAATGGGGACAAGTTATTGCTAGTGATGTGTCCAGAAGTCTTCGGTTTAGAGAGCACCGGGTATCCTCTATGAGCGACCGTACAGCCTTGCAGAAGATTTTATCAGTCAGCCAGGGCACGCTTGATATCATCCAAGGAGTGATGATTATCGTTGATGTTATCACCACAGACAACGGGGAGCAGTTCTTGGGGTTGATGGCCCATCACCTTGTCATTGACCTAGTGTCATGGCGCGTCCTTCTACAAGACCTGGAAGATATCCTCAACACGGGCCGTACAATCCAACCTCTCTCCATATCATTCCAACAATGGTGTCGGCTGCAACAGAGTTACGCCAAGGAGTCTCTTGATCCCAGTGAAACGCTGAAGACAGAGATTCCACATCCCTCAATGGACTACTGGGGCTCAGATGTTGTTCTGAGTGAAAATACTTGGGCGGATGCAACGCGACAAACCATCACAGTATCCAAAGAAACAACCGAGGCGATAATTGGTGCCGCAAATGGTGCATTCCACACCCAGCCAGTCGAAATTATCCAAGCAGCTGTACTTTACGCCTTTGTTCAGGCATTTGACAATCGGCCTGCACCCACCATGTTCAGCGAAGGGCATGGGAGAGAGCCTTGGGATGCAGACATCGATATATCCCGGACAGTCGGATGGTTCACCACTATTGCACCTTTGTTCTTAGATGTTAAGAAGGAGGACAATGTCAGGAGGATCTTGCAGATGACAAAAGACGGTCGTCGCAGCATATCCACGAACGGATGGGAATACTTTGCGTCGCGATTCCTCCACCCCGAGGGACCGGAAAAATTCCGGAGTCATTCCCCAATGGAGATTCTTTTCAATTACACCGGTCTTTTCCAACAATTTGAACGACCAGGTGCCTTGCTTCAGATGACATCAGTCCAAGATGATTCCCTTCTCCCCATGGCAGCTGATTTGCCGCGCATGGCTCTTATTGATGTGAATGCGACCGTCATGAACGGGTCTCTCAACTTGTCCTTTATCTATAACCAAAAGTTACAGCATCAGGATCGACTAGAGCAGTGGATTAGCAATTGCCTACAAACTCTTGAGGAACTCCCCATCGAGCTGCAGCAGGAACAGCGACTCGCCGCTGTCGATTTCCCGTTGCTGTCACTTGCAAACGAGGAGCAGCTTCACAGCCTACTCCATCAGGTGTCAGGCCGATTCGATGTGTCTCCGTCTGGAATCGAGGATATGTTCCCGTGCTCACCCGTTCAACTTGGCATGTGGTTGAGCCAATTGAGAAACCCTCAAGTATACTGGTCGCATATCCGGTGGTCTCTGTCCCCAACCTCCGCCAACGACCCAATAGATATAACTGAGGTCAAGCAAGCATGGCAGCAGGTTGTTGACCGTCAACCCATCTTGCGCACTGTATTCACCGATGGTGTCGGAGGGCACGGTCACCCTGTCCAAGTGGTTCTGAGAGCTTGCGAGGGAAACATCAGGGTGCTGTCGGGATCAGAATTGCGTGCGGAGGGCCAAGTTCCGTCCGTTTCCGATGAGTTCTTGTTGAATGCGAAATCGTCAAACACGAAGGGCCTCCCACCCCATCAGCTTACTGTCGCAATTGAGCCTCATGGTGGAGCTTACTGTCAGCTCGCCATCCACCACATTCTTGTTGACGGTATCACGGAGCAGAGACTGTTGTCAGAATTCCACCAAGCATGCAATGGGACACTCGATGCCGAGCCTGCAGGAAGCTATAGCAAGTACCTGCATTATCTGCAAACTCGGGACCACAGGGCTTCCGAATCCTATTGGAAGGAATACCTGACTGATGTTTACCCATGTGTTTTCCCATCTCTCGGCTTGAAGGGGCACGGGACCGCCCCAAGCTCTCTGAAATCGTTGCCATTCTCCATAGGTATTGGCCAAGACCTCCGGTCGTTCTGCCAGTATCACAGCATCACAATTTCCAGTTTGCTACAAGTCGCTTGGGGTATCGTTCTCCGTGTATACACAGGGAGCGAGTCTGTGTGTTTCGGATATCTGAATGCTTGCCGTGATATTCCAGTGAAAGATGCGCACGATATTTCTGGACCTTTGATCAATCTTTTGATTTGTCAACTATCTTTAACTGATGAATCATCGGTTCTGTCGACACTCGCCGGAAATCATGCGGCCTACGCCCGAAGCCTTGATCACCAACACTGCTCTTTGGCAGATGTTATGCATTCTTTGAATCGCTCCGGTCAACCTCTGTTCAACACCGCGATGTCATTGCAGAAGGACGCCGGCAGTCTGTTTTCTGAACACGCTCAAAGGATTAAGTTGCAACCAGAAGATGGAATTGACTCAACTGAGGTATGTGTGGATACTGTCTGAGACACCTTTAACCTTTGCAACATTTTATCCGACAGCATTCATTCAGAATAAACAAACGCTCACTTACCAAACCATAGTATGACTTGACTATCAACATCACTGAACGTGAAAAGACCATCGATTGTGATTTGACACACTGGACGCACGCTGTGGCTGATGCTCAGGCTGAATTGGTTGCCGACACCTTCCATCACATCGTTTTGCAGCTTATTGATCCGGCAATTCGCAATTTGAGCGACATAAACCTGTCAATGGGGAAGAACGAGAGTCAGATGCTTCGTTTCAATCACAACGTACCGGAACCTGTGCGATCTTGTATTCACACAGATATCCAACGAATGACGGCGGCGCAACCCACATCCCCTGCAGTCGATTCCTGGGATGGTCAGTTCACATACGAGACCCTGGACCTTCTCTCATCGTTATTGGCTAAAGACCTGGCCTTGCTTGGTGTTGGTCCTGAGGTATTTGTGCCAATATGCCGCGAAAGATCTCGATGGACAGTTGTCGCTATAATAGCCATCATGAAGGCAGGTGGAGCATTCATCTTGCTTGACCCGTCGCATCCAGCAGAGAGGCTGCAAGATATGGTGCAAGTGGACTTCCAGTGTCCAGTTATCATCACCTCCTCTAAGTACCTCGAACTTGCATCCACTCTAGCGCCGAACCCAATCATTGTGGAGGACATCAGCCAAATACCGCATCCCGAGATTCGACAAGAAAGTATCCCATCGGTGGTTAGTCCAAGGTCATCTGCATATGCTGTTTTTACATCTGGGTCTACCGGTAGGCCAAAGGCAAGCGTCATCGAGCATCAGTCTTTCCTGTCAGCATCATCCGCACATACCCAGGTACTTCGTCTTGATAAAAATGCCCGGGTCATTCAATTTGCCTCTTATGCTTTCGACGCTAGCATTGTGGAAATGATCGACACACTTTTGGTCGGTGGCTGTATCTGCATTCCCTCCGATGAAGACCGAAATCAGAGACTGGGTCATGCAATCCGCGAGATGCAAGTGAACTGGGCGCTGTTGACCCCTTCCGTGGCGCGCATCCTAAACCCGCAGCATGTTTCTACCCTAGAAACACTCGTTCTCGGTGGAGAGGGCATGACTAGGGACGATGTCCGTCGCTGGTCACCGCATGTACACTTGATGAATGCCTATGGTCCTTCAGAATGCTCCGTCGTTGCTGCAGCCCAGCCATCGCCACAATACCTCTCACAAGACGAATCAAATATTGGGCATCCTACTGGTTGTGTCGCATGGGTTGCGCATCCAAAAAACCCAGAGAAGATCGTTCCCGTGGGTGCTATTGGAGAGCTTCTTATCGAGGGCCCTATTGTCGGTCGCGGTTACGTCAATCGTCCGGAGGCCATGGCAGCGGCATTCTTCCCATATCCCACTTGGTTGTCAAACATCCGAGGTTCCCAAAACGGGGTCTTGTACCGAACAGGTGACCTTGTGAGGCGTCTTGTGGATGGCTCCATACAGTACATCGGACGAAAAGACCGTCAAGTGAAGTTGCGTGGACAGCGTATCGAACTGGCTGAAGTTGAGCACCACGTTCAGGAGTGCTTCCCTATCAACAACCCTGAAGTCTTTGCGGACTTGGTCGCACCAGAAGATGGCAAAGATGTGCATTTGGTAGCCTCCATTATTCAACCAGAAGACAGTGGTGGCATTCAAGCCTTCGAGGCGGCCGTGGAGCAGATGCAATCAAGTCTTCAGGCAGATGTTCCAGCTTCACTCATTCCCTCTGCATTCATTCCTGTCTATCAGGTACCGCGATTGGTGAATGGAAAGATCGACCGAAAACAGCTGCGCCATGCAGCATCTCAAGGCCTACGGGCGCAGATTGGTCGAGGAGCGACTAACCACCAACTGCGACAGTTGAGAGATATGACAAAAGGAGAACTTGCATTGCAAAGCTGCTGGGCTGAGGTTTTGGCTCGCCCTGCGGAGACAGTCGGACCTGACGACAACTTCTTCCGCTTGGGGGAGACTCGATCGCAGCAATGAGACTGGCTGCCACGGCTAGCGAGCAAGGCATTCAACTAGGCGTCTCGGATATCTTCTTGCACCCGAAGCTTAGTGACCTCGCACTAAATTGTTCTTTCCCAGTGCCGAAGGAACGGCCAAACTCTGGACCAAAGGTGTTGGAAGACTCTGTCCCTCCATTTTCGATGCTCCCAGCAAATCACCGGGAAGAATTGAAATCACAAGCAATGGAGCAATGCAACCTCCCGATAGAGCAAATCGGGGACATATACCCGTGTACCGCATTGCAGGGTGGTATGGTAGCTTTGACAGCGGAGCGTCCCGGGTCATATATCGCATATCATCGTTTCCGCCTAGGACCAGATATTGATCTATCCTTGTTGAAATCTGCTTGGGAGATGGTGGCAAAGCACAACGGAATTCTGCACACCCGATTCATTCAGTCGGAGTTTGGATTCATGCAGGTCCTGGTACAGAACAACGAGCTTCACTGGATCTCTGGGGACACGAAAGAAGAGGAAAGATTACACTGGGACGTTCTTCTAGGGCAACCATTGGTCCAGTTCGAAGTCGTCCCGGTGTTGGGCGAGGATTCCAACATAGCTCAGCCACTTGACCTGGTTATCACCATTCATCATGCTCTGTATGACTCGTGGTCACTGCCTCTGCTTGTACACCGCGCACAAGAGGTATACAAGGGCCAGATATTAGAGCCCTCCGACATGACACCATTCAAGGAATTCATCAAATATTCCATGTCCCAACAACAGGACGCGCTCGAGCACTGGCGCCGTGAATTCCATGAACTTACCGCCGAGCCATTCCCCACACTTCCTTCCATGTCATATCGGCCTCAGGCTTCAAAACAAACGGTACGAACAATTGAGACCGGCCCAGTGATGGATGAATGTGTCAGTCGAACAACCGCTATTCGTTTCGCATGGGCTCTTGTCCAGTCTCACTACCAGAGTAATGATGACGTGGTATTTGGAATTGTGTCCCCTGGCCGAGCAGCATCCGTCAGTGGAATTGAGGGCATGGCTGGTCCAACAATCGCCACACTTCCTTTGCGCGTGCAAATCGATGGCAATGCGACCGTCTCCCACGCCCTCAGAGATTTGCAAGAGCGGACAGTACAGCTCATTCCATTCGAACAAGTTGGACTACCAGAGATTGCTGCCATAGGACCCGAGGCCAAGCAGGCCTGTTCGTTCCAAACCCTACTCGTAGAGGGGAGGGGCGAGGTTGAAAACTTGGGCACCACCAATGGTCCTATGGAACCCATGGGAACATCATCGGGGGATGCTGCGTCAAATACTTACGCCATCCAGCTAGCCGTTATGTTCAAGCCAAACATGGTTACTGTTGCAGTGTCAACTGATGAGACTGTCGTTCCAGAATGGCAAGTGGAACAGATGCTGGATCAATTCAGCCATATCTTGCAGCAGGTGCACCATCATCCCGCAAAGCCGGTGCACGAAATTGCCACGTTGAATGAGAAAGGTATCCAGCAGCTGCAAGCCTGGAACACTGGACTCCCAGCACGATGTCCGGTGTCGGTCACAGACGTGATTTCTCGGCACTGTGAGAGGCAACCGTTGAGTATAGCTGTCTCGTCTTCCGACTTCAGCCTATCATATCAAGAGCTGGACGTGCTTTCCACCAACCTCGCCAGTCTTTTGCGTACACAGGGAGCGTCATCAGAGGTCTTCGTTCCGATATACTTGGAGCGGTCATGCTGGGCTGTGGTAGCGCTGTTGGCCGTGCTCAAAGCAGGGGCAGCATTCGTCCTTCTGGACACCTCGCATCCACCAGAGCGACTTCGGAGTATCTGCGAAGAAGTAAAGCCTCCTTTCATCCTTACATCGCCTGAGCATTGTCGTGAAGCTGAGGCGCTGTTCCACAATGTTGTGATTATGCCTCAGAGCAACGACCCCGAACTCGCGTCGATACCACATTATAGGATGACCCGTTTGGGCCCAGATCGTGCTCTCTATGCGGTATTCACATCCGGTTCAACCGGTAAACCTAAGGGTGTTGTGATCGAGGATGGTTCCTTCATGACAATGACCAACGAAGTTTCTCGTCTGATGGGTATTGGCCCAGGTACCCGTGTTCTAAACTTCTCCTCCTATGCTTTCGACGTCAGTATTTCGGAAATACTTGGTTCATTGCTCGCGGGTGCTTGCATCTGTGTTCTGACCGAGTCTGAGCGCAGAGGCCGACTAATTGAGGCATTGCAAGGGTTACAACCATCCCATGCATATTTCACCCCCGGTGTGTTGCGTGCGATGATGCCAAACGAGTTAGGGTCACTCCGGACGATCATGCTCGGTGGAGAACCCCTTCGGTCAAGTGATATTCAACAGTGGGTGCCACATGTACGCCTGGTATCCGGTTACGGCCCTGCAGAATGCGCGGTCACGTTTACTGCGCAGTCCCCGATCGGCACTAGCTCGCAAGGCGGGAATATCGGTTTCCCAATTGCAGGTGCCTGCTGGGTGACTGATCCACGAAATCCTGACCGAATCGTTCCTATCGGTGCGGTGGGCGAGCTTCTTCTTCAAGGGCCTCAGGTTGGTCGCGGATATTTGAATAGTGCCGAACAAACAGCCACAAGCTTCATCTCATCTCCAACATGGATGCGACGTGTTGGCTTCACCGGTAGTGGAAAGGAGGGCCAGGTTTATCGAACAGGCGACCTTGTTCGTTATGAGAAGGATGGATCTCTGTCGTTTATAGGGCGAAAGGACCTCCAGGTCAAGTTACGAGGTCAGCGCTTTGAACTTGCAGAAGTTGAGAAGCGACTGCAGGAGATCTGGCCCGAAGATCTGACGGACATCGTCGCTGAGATTGTGACTCCGATGGCTTCGATGAATTCCAAATGCTTGGTTGTCTTTGTCGCTTCGAAGGCAGCTGAGACAGCTCCACCGCTATCCAGCTCACCGGTCCCTTCCCTGGAAATTGTTACCTCTGCCAACTTTGCTGCCCAGATATCAAGTGTTAGGCGCCAGCTCGGTGATATCCTCCCAGATTATATGGTGCCGTCCGCCTTTGTCCCGCTTCGACGGATTCCTCACAATGCAAGCGGGAAGGTAGACCGAAAGCGGTTAAGAGACTCCGCGGCGACCGCAACGCGTGTGCAGCTGGAGTCATTGTTTGCTGAAGCCCCTTCTGATAAGCGGGTTCCCACTACAGGAACGGAGCGGCAATTACAGCACATTTGGGCCAAAGTACTTGATATTGCAGCCGACGAGATTGGTGCTGAGGACAGCTTCTTCCGATTAGGTGGTGATTCTATCTCGGCTCTCAAAGCTGCATCCAGGGCTCGAGCAGCTGGGATTATGCATTCAGTGGAGAGTTTGTTCCAGTGGAAAACAATAATGCGCGTGGCCAAACATGCTAGCATTGTGACTTCCGATACCATAGATGGGATACAGAGCGCAGGTTCTTCCTTGCAGCACCATATACCCTACTCTCTGATTGCGGATAACGAGCGTGCAGAACTTTTTGCTTTGCACTCCACACAGGAACATGCATTGGTCAAAGAGAATGTGGAAGATATCATCCCGGCGCTCCCATTCCAAGTCTTCTACATAACCCATGCATCACCGGTTTCGATGGCACAAATATTCCCAGCGGCCTTGGACATCGATAAACTGAAAAGCACTTGCAAGCAGGTTGTGGCCCACCATAGCATCTTACGCACGGTATTTGTGGAGGCCAATGACCGGTTCTTCCAGGTTATCCTCCGGGAAGCTGAGCCTGTTTTGAATGTTGTTCATTGTGATGATCCAGAGGCATATGTTGCTCAAGAATCCGAACAGAAGGTTCCACCCTCAACAGCACAGGGTAAAATGCCAGTCAGCTTCACTCTTGTTACTAGCCGCGTCAAACAGTGCTCTGCATTGATTCTTCGCATATCCCATGCGCAGTATGACGGGGCCTCCATGCCGTTGCTATGGGAAACAATCAAGAGAGCCTATCATAATGAGCCTCTCCCACATGCTGCGCAATTCAAGGATGTGGCCTATAAGCGAATGGGCGATCTGAACAAAGCCGAGATTTCATTCTGGCGAAGATACCTTCAGGGTGTCCACTCCGATGCTCTCGATCCCCTTCGCCAAACTGGAAAGGCACGCATTTCGGATAATGACATCGTCGAAAAGCGCCAAATGGGAATGCCCACTCTTCCACCAGATATGACCGTGTCAACGCTCGTGAAAGCAGCTTTCTCGTGGGTCCTGTTTGAGAAAACTGCACAATCCGATATCATCTTAGGTCAGGTTGTTCACGGGCGTGGAAGTTCCCTTTTGGACGTGAACACGGCCATTGGGCCCTGCTTGAATCATCTCCCCGTTCGAATCAGGATTGAACCTGACTGGACTGTGGAAGATTTCCTGCATCATGTTCAGGTGCAGCAGCTAGAAATCACTGCCCATGACGAGGGATCGTTTGACGCGATCGCAGAATCTTGCACAGAGTGGCAACCTGGGTCGAAAATGAGTTGTCTTGTTCACCACCAGAGCGAAGAAGCCACGGAGCCTTTCGAACTTGGTGGTGTTCGCTCGTCGTCTGGTTGTGATTGGGCCAGCTCCAAGTTGGCGCACGGCCAGCTGGGTATCATTTCTGTGGAACGCGGAACCCAGCTTGAGCTCATGGTCTCAGCTACTGAGGAAACTATGGATCAACGTAGCGTTGAGCTTCTGTTGCAAAAGTTGATTGCCACCATTCAGTTGTTCTCTAAGTTCTCGCAGTGCCAGCTGGCAATGGTGAGTAGCAGGATCCACACATGAAGATCTTGTCTTGCCTCGACCGGGGTCCCGTGAATTTGTAGATGGGTGGAGGAATGTGGGAAGAGGTGATGATCCTCTGAGATATTGGCGAGTCAAAAGATGAACTGGCGGACCGCACGTTGAACAAGACCATTTAGAATAATTTTGTATGTTAGCAGTTTAGCACAAAAATTGTTTGTCTTTTTGCAGTGAGATTAAAAATTGAATGATTTATAACGTTGATATTTCTTTTTTCCCCCTAGGTTTCGTGTAGGTATGTTATAGGACTACCCCCTTGGCTAGATACCGTCTGGCCATCGTTTCGGTACCGCCTTCCTAATTAGGTATGCCCTGGCTTTCACCTGGGCAAAGTTGACAGCTAGTTAATCTTACCGCTGCACTCGCCGCCTTCGCATTAAACTGCAGAAAGCATCTTGTTTCAGCCCCGAGTCAACCTCGGGAGACCAGCTAACTCATTCACCCTCCTGTCCACATTTGATTCATTAGAAGCTAGCTCTAGGGTATTCACTAACGGCACAGGCCCCAAATAGACTAGACAGAGCTTTACCTTGACTTGTACCTTATTGTACGTACGATGAATCGCCAATCAACCCCCTGAGCCTCCGGCCTCTGTGCGTCGGTTCGCTGCCCCATGCCGACACTCAATGTCGTAATACTTTGTGGGTGCTCATTGGTTGCCTAGGTACATTCAGCTACCCAGAGTACAAGATCGAGCTTGTTTGCGACCAACGGCGTATTAGGAAGCTCGTTTGCCGCGGGTGTGGTGCCTTTTGGGCGGCCGCTACATTTGAATTAGGGGCGGGGAAGGGTTGTACCCCGTTTGGAAGGTTGAGAATCCCCCTAGTGGTAGGATTTTGGTACTTACTCACGTATGAGGACAAGTTAAGGAAGAAGAGCAAATGTACTGCTCTTGCGTAGATGGACGATAAGGAAAATATATATTTCAGTCAACGCATATCGATGTTCCCATTTGGATGGGATGGAAAGATGCCCAAAATGTACAACTTCAAATGATTCCCCTCGATTGCCTATTGCTACTTTTTCCTAATGAATATACTGGGGTTCATTGGCCTAAAAATATCCGATAATTCGACATACCAGAAAATGCATTACATGGTCTAACACTAGCTCTAGGGCTTGCTGAATTTTCAGTAAATCAAAACTGGCATTGTTTCATTATTACAGTGGTGTAGAATGTTTGAATTCATCAAAACAGCAGTCGCTGTTACGACGTGGACAAGTAGCTGGTTCTTGGGTTTCGAAATATCCGGGGCTATAAGCTTTTATATTGCTTCTAGTATAGAGAGACATAAAGGCAACGTGTATAGAACCTATGGCAGACTAAGACCTCCTCCATACACGCCGATTTAATAGCCGAAGGCTTAGGAAGAAGTGTTGAATAGTCAACCGATTAACTAGAACAAATAACCCTGATAAATACGCGCGATACCTTTGTTCCTCATAGTCTCTATCCCGCTCTCCACTCATCTCCATGCCCTACAAACTGCGATTTTCTATCCACCCAAAAAGATGCATTGATACCACGGGGCATTTTTACTCCGCAGAATTGTATATAAGAATTTGTATAAGTCTGTCTCATTTTGGAGTAGTCGTTGCTCTGACTGGGACTGGCCCCGAGGATGTCGGGGTTGTCGTCGTTGATCCGGCTTTTGTAGAGCACCTCCCCTTGACTGTCGTTTTGGCTTTCGAGACCCAGTCTGTGTATGATGTGTTGGGCGCATTTTCCAGCGTAGCTGCCCAGATGTTGTGTCCATTATCGTGATAATTGAGGGTGATATTAGAGGGACAGCTCGGGTTCCCCGGAGCGGGAAAGGCTTGGGCCCATCCTAAGTCCATCAGACCCGTGCTCGTGGAGGCGTTTCCAGTCTCGCTACCCTGAGTCCACTGCAGACAGTTTGAGCATCTGAAGATCAGGTTGTAGTGTGTTGCATTGATGGTGGACGAAATTTGGGTTAGCTCAGCATTCCCAGTGTAAGCATCCGGCATGTGGTAGCCGGTGGTGTAACGGAAGGACGTGAGAATGGATCCGCCATAAGGGTAGGCCAGCAACAGGAGGGAATTGGTCATTGTACCCCCGAGTGAAACACCACACCAACCGGTGGAGGTTGTATTCTGCGAGGAACATAGCTACGAATTGGCTTAGTAAAAAGGACAGGCAGAGCGGAAATTAGACAAAGTGGATAGAGCCACACACCAAGTAGCCGATGAATTCAGATGCGTCTGTGGTTAGAGCATCGGATGGCAGAGCGATGCCAAAAGTGAACCCTCCCTTGCTCAAGGTCTCTGAAACAGTCCAAGTATCAAAGGTGATACCTGTATCCGGGTCCGTGTATGCCACTGGAGTCCCGCTCTGGGCGACAGATGTTGATAAAACTGGATGGAACTAGGTTAGCTAGTGATTCACCTCTCTTTCAGCCGGAAGAGACGAGAGCTTACACAGCGTGACAGCCGTAACAGCGGCAAAAGCATGGGCGCAAAATCTCATCTTGCTATTCGCCTTATGATTTTAATCGCAGTATCTAGTATCCCAGTGTCAAAAAGAGTTGCGTGCGACCACAAACGGGGTGAATGAGCATCTTTTAATGTTAAATACCAGTGGCCCCGCTTCCTAATGATTATTATCCGCATATGATTAAGGACAACAAGAAAAATACAGGACTAAACACACATTGAGTTTGACTCGCAACCTCAAAGCTACCAAAGCTAGTTATTCCGCGAAAAGACCGTTTTTCATCTAAAGCAGGTTAAACAAAAGGGATCGTCAGGGCGATCTCGGAGATGTGTTTCCGTTTGATTGGGATACACAGTAAAAAATGGCCCCGGATGCTAGGAAATGGCAATAGCCCGCTTGCTATTGGTCGAACCCAAATCGTAGGGCTGTGGCCATAGAAATGGCCGTTGCGAGGAGGTGGGGAGGGCACAATGATTTGATGGCTCCCCGATGAACGACCGACTGGTGTAACATCAACGGGGGTTAGAAGACGCTAGCTATCCTCCTTGTCAACCTCCAAAGTTGCGACTAACGGTCAATGGATAAAACAAGGCGGCGATCATTATGTCGCCATCTTCCCTCCCCTCTCTAGTCCCCCCGGTAAAGGCCCGATAAAATGCAACACCATCAACTCCACGCAAATGCGACTATAAATCGCCAATTACTAATTGCCAATTATGAATTGGCAATTTAATTCCCTTTCTTTTCCTTTGGCCATTTTACAGTTTAATCAATGGATGCTATTAGTTGCCCTAACTTATCACCAAGTTGGACCCCAGACCAAGTGGTACATATGGGTTCGGGGATGGTATGGCTCATCGGAGTGGCTTGTGTCACCGTGGGGCGAACCTTATGGAGTTGCAGGATGAGAAAGTGCTAACAGACAAAATTGAAGGATTAACCAACGCTATCCATATAGTTAGTTGTTGCAGGGCTATTACGGACACACGGCTCGAAACTGGCGAGGAACTCGCCGTTAGAAGGAAGGAGACACTCTACGTCCGCAGGAAATATTCTCTCAGTCAGCTCATTATGGTGAAGCATATCATGCACCAAACAATCATGATAATATCGATGATAGCCTACTACAGGGTAATATTTATCCATTCCAACCCACTTGGCCCTAATCTGACTGTTGTAGTTCTGCCGACAGTTGAATCCTGTTTCAAGGTTGCACTTGCCTCGAGATGTTGATCTCAAAAAAACACTGAAAACTCAGCGCGTCATCTTCTCAAGTAATGTTGAAATCCTGTCGTCGTATGCTCCGGCTTCCTCCAAGAATCCCCCCCAATTCGTCGACAGGTATTTGCTTGGAGCTGAGTCTAGCAATCCAAACGAAGCTTAAGGAGATTTAAGACATTACAAGGCGTGTTCCTGATGCTAGCAAGGCGAAAGTATAACTTAGGACTACCACAGACAGGCTTAAGGTGAGGCACCTACAAAGTGGTTCTCATCAGCCTATAAACTAATCGACCATATATTTAGGATGTTGTGGAAGACTTACAATCCTTAGTTCAGGTCTTCACATCCTCTATTCCCCAACTCAAACAGCCGCGATTATCAGAAGAGTTAAAAATAACACAAATTCCGAAAGGTAGCCGCGAGTTTCAGCATTTCCGCATTGTTCAGAAAGCTGCTTGTAGCCTTTATGATGCTCATGGAACAGCCTGTAATGCGCATTCTGTCCATGTCGTGCATCTTCCCTCCAACCGGACCTTCATGAGAAACGAGTGCGATTCAATGTGGCCTTTATCCAGAATGCCATGATTCCGGGGAAGGCAGTCTGGATTAACGTGGAATCAACCATCAAATCTTACGAGGCGAGTTCCCAACCGATATCCGCATCAGTATCAACAGGCAACTCTTCTCTCAAACGACCAAGACAACTTAACGAAGCACCTTGTCCACGAAAATCTCGGAGACGTGTACAGTTTCGTCTTTCATCGACCCCTCTGCAGTTAGCGAGCACCGAAGAACCTACGATTATTGGAATTCCAAATCTCTACCTGCAACGAAATTTCTGCACCGCTGTCGAGAGGTCTTTACACAAACAAGAATGTAATGGTTGCATCGGGCTGCTTGGAGGCAACTATATCTGTAACCATTTGGCATATATGGGGAATCAGACCAACTATATGACCACTTCCACATCACTCTCTCAGCTGATATCACTTTCAGGGGCCAACTGCGCTAAAGGAATGGGTCTCTATGAGCGCGTCCGACTAGCTAGGCATCTCGCTACTGCTGTTATCTACTACCATTCTACACCGTGGCTCAATAAGGCATGGCGAAGCGATGACGTTCAGTTTTTCGGCCCTCACGATTCCTTGCTCAAGAAGGCACAGGACGTCCTACCCTATATGACTACATCTGGACGATCACGAAACTCCTCAATGAAATCTCAGCCCCAATCCTCGGATTACCATCTCTTTATCCGTAATCCTGTTCTCTTTGGGCTAGGTGTCATGTTTCTTGAACTTGCATACCAAGCTCCTCTCAGAGTTCTACAGCAACCAGTCGACCTTGACAAGGGGAAAACACAAAGCTTTACGGATTATTTCACAGCGCACAGATTAGTAGATGATAGCTACCGTATGGCGAGCAAGAGTTCTAAAGTTATCATAAACAAATACCTGCACAGTGACTTTGCGAGTCATGCGCTGCAAGAGGCTTTTCATCGTGATGTTGTGACGGGTCTTGAGAATCTAGAAAAGGTTTTTCGGGAATTGCAGCTTGATGACCTGGAACCCACTCTAGTGTGATATATAGTGGATTGGTAGATAGGAAGTGTGGAACATGCGAGCCATACCTGCTTATTTGCAGCCTTACATTCGATGGTTGAAACTGAACTTCCCGAACAGATTAAAAGAAAGAGCAAAAACAAAAACATACAACAGTGAGGATTCGCTGGTGGTCACCCACCCAACTACTAACTCACCGGCGTGTGGCTTAAGTACGGCTGAGCGGACGGGAAGCCCTGTTTTCCACACCCTATGGTCGTATGTATTAGATACTTCATGGTGAAAGATCATGAACTGATTGATTGGCAATGGTTGGGTTGTTAGCGTTTGTGACAATGGTGAGATTTAGGGAGTAGTGCAAGTACATATTGAGAAAATAAATCACAAGGGGTTGGTGGAGACTGCGGCTACTTGAGCTGAACAGAAATCACAAGGCGGGTAGATCACGAGTATCTCAACGGCGTTATTATGGAATATCAAATTTAGACGAAGAAAGCTCAGTAAAATCCGGCTCAGCCGAGTCAAATGTCGAATGATGCGATACTTTTTGTGCCCCTATTGCCACGGAAATATGAATTTCCCTTCAGCCAGCGAACCTAACGGAGTAAATAAGCTAGCTATATGTGATATAGTCAAATATGAGCAAGGGAGCTCTATTCGATCAATTGGCTTCGATGATAACCCTCTACTAGGATTCTTCCAGATAGAACCACCGTGCTAGCATGAGCTACCCCCCATTCGCTATATCTATCGTATTAAAATTTAATTACCATTTATATCATAAGAATTGATCTCTCAGCATTACTTCACTCAAAGACCAATATCGCGCATAAATCACCGGGAAGCACATAATTTTACTTCATGCTAAATGAACAAATCAGGATTCTGACCCTCATCAAATTCCGAAAAATGAGGGGAATATGCGAGAGTCACCTCGCGTGGCTTTTTGATATATCTCTGAAGGTTTAATCCTATACTCGCGGCAGCTGCCATTTCGTACCAACATGACGGGAGTGGCAGTCTGTGCACGGTACTTGCATGAGTCGACAGGTGAACTTCAGATTTCAGATTTGGTCTACAAAGGTTGAGGACTTGCCACAGTACAAATAACAGCCGTCAACCTTTGAATGAAAAGTGCAATCAGAATTACAAGTGATTTGAAAATTGAAAGTGGGCTATTCTATTCAGCTCGGAGCAGAAAAACAGGTCATGTTCATATAATTTCGTCCATCAATCGTATGAGACAATCTTGTTATTAACACTAACAGCTGTAGTGATTTGAATTCCGGCATGCATGATCCGTTCCTGAGATTCGTTATGACTCGTCTCCACGTCTACATGGCTTTCTCCCGTCATTTGCTTCAATTTGAGACTGTTGGGCGGTTCGTTCGATAAGCCATCGTACACACGGCGACTAGAGCTGCCATAAACCTTCGAAGAGCGTGATGCGCCCTTGTTGCTGCCGAGGCCCAACAACCGTTGTAATCTCGGGAATCGATGAATGATTAAAGTGTTGAATGAAGGAATGCAGGCAATAAAAATGGCGACGGCGACTTCCACGCAGGACCAATTCATAGCATTGACCATCGACCCTAAGATAGAAAGCACGCGAGTCAGTCTTAGTCAACGCATATCAATCCAAGAGATGTAGTGGTGACTTACAAGTATGATCCACTTTAAATGTGTTCAGGTAACTGATTCTGATAATACTGGTCATGCATACCCTATTAAAGTCAATTTGATCCGGTCACTCAGTATCGAAAAGGAGCGGGAAAAAAGCTTACAGGAGACCTAGGCCAAACATCACAGCCAAGCCCATTCGTTTGCCCATCGACATCCTGAGCTGGAGCACCTTTGGGATTGGGGCGGTGAATAATGCCAGATCGCTTGCCATTTTGATTGCAAAATTGGCGTAGTAGAACAAGTTCATATCGACGCATGTACCTTCCACAAGCCCCGTCGCATCCCAGGCCTTATGAACAGGAATGCATTGAAAAAGCACGACCAAAGTTTCGGCAATAGTATGCGCCACAATACCCGCCAGGAGCAACCAGCAACCGATTCGAAACTTTCTTCCTGGGAAGATGTGAAGGTATAGCAAGCAAAAGGACATCTTGATTGTACCAAGGGCGAGAACATAGGCGAGCATGGTGACAAAATCGAGCTGCGGCAAAAGATAGTGCTTTAGTGGGACTCTGTTGTAGATTTTCGTTCCATGTCATGCGGTCATACCTTGAGGAACATAGCCCGATCGCTGAATTTTGACACAGTTCCGATGTGTTTACCGAATCCATATTTGGTCACTGCGTGTGATAGTTAGCGGCTCTGCAAAGGGTCGCGGTTCGGACACAAAATTGAATCTTACTTAACATCGCAGTGAAGCACAAAATGAAAGTGAAGACCTTTAGGATGCATCAGTAGTCAATTGTGAGAAGTGTCAAGAGTGCAGGTATACCCAACTACTCATACAAATCACGTCATCAATGTTGATGCCAGTGAGATATCGAAGTCGAACAAACAATCGCACCAAGAGGCCACCGGTTGCGAACACAAGCAGTATCACATTGCAGGCCAGAACATCAGGAATCTTAGACTGTGCCAAGTATGCTTTACGCTCAGCTGAAAGTTCTCTCGGCCAGAGATTTTCCACAGCAGCCTCCATAACGAAGTCCGACCGACAGTCTTACAGCAAGATGAATCTGAAAGGGTGCGACGAGGAAGATCAAAATAGACATCATGCTATTTCAGATCCTTCGAGGGGCTGCTAAGCGGAGTCTAACCGGCTGATATTTTTGTATTTGGTATTCGTGCCGCTCCTTCCCCATCAGATACGATATAGTGTTTCATCCTCGAACAGGAGAGCTCATGGGAGAAAACTATAATTTCCTAGGTCGAGACGCCTTGTACATATACATCTGTCCTTGAGTGGCTGGGTGTTCACTAGGGCGCCCCACATGAACGGCCTCCTGCACATTAGAGGTGAGACATCGACTGTTTCGCCGGCAAATAGGGGTAGTACTACGTACTCCTAAAATTAACTTAATTAACTTCTGTGGCAATCGGGCATACATCGGTTAAATTCGACCCCACCTTTTTCTAAAACCCGAGTACTTTCGAGGGCTCCCAGATTCTTCAGTATATCTACATACCTACATACCTACATACCTACATGGTAGGTAAGAGCGTCAAGGCTGTCCAATTAAGCTTAGTTCCCACCAGCTCGATAAACTTTCCTTTCAAAAGTGAGTTTTTAGGTCTACCATCCACGAGATCCTTTTTGTCGTACTAATTGGATTAGCTTGACCTCATCTTCTGCCTTTTAAGCTAAGATTCTGTCAGCTTAAAACCTCACCCGAGGACCTGTGGACCCGAGCGTGGGTGGACCTCTAATTCGATGATATAATCCAAAAATGATAATTATAGTTAGGTATATTACATGCTGGAGCCCCCCCCGTCTGTTTCAAACCCCCATTACTCCGTAGACATATTCAGCTAAGGAATATCGCGCCGGGTAGCACTGCTTCAGCATAATAAAGTTTAGTTGATTTGTGCATTCGGCAGGCGAAAAAGCAATCAAGTACCCACCTACCATTACTTGGCATGCAGATCAATTTGTCCCCTGCTCAGTTTAATTTTGTAGAAATGGGCGTAATGCCAAGGAATAGAGGAATACGAAATAGTCATTTAAAATTTGTACTTCATTAACCGCTAAACCTAGTATAGATGCATTTCCTTTTACATATAATTTATTATGGACAGTGCGGAGATTTCTACTCCGTGCCCCCATAACAATACAGTGAAGTCTATGGGATATTAGCTATGTGATCTTCGTGTATTAAATATTAAATGATTTAAATTGAGAAGAGTATAGGGCTAGGCGTGCTTACAAAGATAATGCCAGAAGTAGAAAGCAGCGCGACCCGGGCGCAAGATTTCTTAGCTGAATATGTCTATTAGTTTGGAAGGATTTGCTCTCCGACAATCCTTCGATTTTACTTTGACTGTACTCCTAAAATTAGCTTCCGTGGCAACCGGGCATATTCTGGGTTTATTTTTGAGATCACTCATATCTTCTGTGGGACAGCTATCATCTCCATTCATTTCCTGGCTACCAGCTATATTTCCCAGCCATAGCTAGCATCTTATCTGGCAGGCCAAGAAAAAAAAAAAAAAAAAAACATAAGCATTGTTGTTGAATTGAGCATGAACTCATAATTAGGTGGCTGCATCAATATCTCACACCTACAAATAGGAAGTAAATAAACAGAGATGAAAAAATAAATCAGAAAAAGCAAGCGAGAAAAGAGAAACTGCGAAGGTGTATCTGGCCAGGGGTGAGGTCGGAAACTAATATTAGTAATATTCTTTCTAGGTTGTGCTATTCATAATAGTTCTGGCGCGATGTAAGAAGATATGACTAGCAAACAAAGCAACAAGAACAGTACGATGACACCGATTTATTATGAGCAAACCAGCAAGAATTTCAAATTATATCCATGCAACTCGATGCTCTACCACGCGCCACTCCCTTTATTATACTCCTCCATCTGAAAGCCCTCCATCCTCACACCCAATTCCCGATAACATTCACGGATTCTTTCCGACACATCCACATCAGTGTCCGGAAGCTCCATCCCCTTCTCCTTGGCCTCTTTCTCCCTCTCCTCCTTTTCCTCCTGATAATCCATCTCAGCCATACAATCCGTACTCATTATAACCTGCAACACAAGATCAAATTGCCCCATCAATTCTTTCCAAGTCCAACCAGCTCCACGATCCTCACGCCAATTCTTTGGTTTCTCCGACGCAAGGAGCCCGGTAGAGGAAGAAGACAAGAAAAACATCTCGATCGACATCCCATAAGCCCAATCATCCGGGTTTCTATCAATCAAGTATTCAAAGAGCGGCGCCATCCGGAGCCCATCGTCCGGGATGTCTGCCTTTGCCTGACTCCACTCCCAGAAAAAAGCCGTACAGCTGGAGTAAAATACACCAACTCGGTAGAGAGGTGGTTGGTGGGTAAGCATTCGGCGCCAGCTTGCTTCTGGGCGAACGAACATTACTCGAGTCGCGGGATCGTTCTGCCAGGCAAGATCGGTTAAGCAAATAGATTGTCCTTTAGCATTGTTCCCCCATTTTTTGATCGGAATAGTGACAGAAATGCCTCTGCCAGTAGTGGGTTGTCGACTCGAGTGCTGAGGTCACGGCCATTGCTGATTGGTCGGAGAAATAAAGCCTCCTGAAGTGACTGCGTATTGCGGATCAGATCATTCCACGTGCGACTGATTCGTTGGGCAGCGAGCAGTGTGCGCGTGTCCATGTGGTGTAAGATTGAGGTTACGATCTCGGAGATCGCGAGGGCCCGCGATTGAGCTTTCTCGGACATTTTTGATGCTTTTAGTGGAATGGAGCGTGTCTGGGTCGAGGATCTGCGTTGAGCCGCACTTGGTGGGGGTTGGAAGAGGGGTTTCGACGTAGGAGCCTAGGGTCTGACTAGCAATCACTAGTGCGTAGAAGTGGATTAGTGGTTGGTCAGCGCTTGTTTGGTTCTAAGTCATCCTTTCGCTGCCATTCTATTACGCACTCACCCTTCTCACTCTTGGCCGCGCGATCATGAACAGCGAACGGCTGTTTCTCCACCAGGCTAGATCAACTCATTGGCCAGTATGGACATTCGGCATATGGCTCAAGTCCGGCTGAGCCCATGGGAAGCCCTGTTTTCTACATCCCGTGGTCGCTATATCATCTTACGTGTAGGAGGCAATGGAGTAGGTTCCACGAATATCAAGTGGGAAAGAAAGATATGCGCAATGGTATAGGCGACGGAATTGAGAAGTCCAGGTCAGCTTCATATAGCCAGAGGTAAGATAACATTCAAGTTAGACCATCTTATGACTGAGGCAACATGGACAAACTCGAAACTTGGCAATCGATAACAACCTCGGAAGGTACCTGACATTCGAAAACTCTAAATGGATTAGGCTCACCACGCTTTTCCAAAACGGTGAGCTTTCCTTGGCCAAACCAATACTTTGGAACCTTAAAAACAGAAGTACTCTTATGTACATTCTTGAGAATGAATTGTTTCACGGTTGTAATTATATTTTATAAGCCTACCATCAACCAGGAGAAATTGGTCGCGATAATACAGTTTGAATTTATATGGTAGCAGCTGCGGGCTGAATCTCTATTTTTGAAAAAATTATATATGTGAAATAAATACATCGAAGTACAATGACAAGTAATTATTTAAGACAAATAAGGAAATAAGAAAGGGAAAATGAAGGGACGAGTATTGAAGACAAAAATGAAATGAAGAAGAAAAGAATGAAGGGATGAGTACTGAAGATAAGAAAGGAAAGGAGATGGAAAGAAATATGAAAGGAATGAAAGACAGGTATGCAGTTGGTGGGAGTGTTCAAAATTTCCCGGTGCAAGACGCGTTATTAATCACAATTAGCGGTCTTTGTGGCTGTCACAGTGCTAGTGGAAGTAGTCTTGACGACCTTGGTAGAAGTGGACGTAGCACGATGGGTGATAGTAACCGAGGGATGGTTAGTGACGGTCGATGTCTTGATGACAGTGCTAGTGGAGCCAGGGAGAGTGGTGGTGCTCTTCACCGTTGTTGTTACAGTGGCGGTTGTAGTTGCGGCGGGCACGTGGAGGGTGGTCTTGACAGTTGCCGTCTTCAGGCTCACGGTGGTCACCGTTTGACCTGGGAGAGTAACTGTAGCGTGCTTCTCGGCCAATGAGGTAACCGTGTTGGTGATAGTGGAAGCCTTCAGGGTTGTGGTCTTGCCGACGGAGGTAGTGTCAATGACAGTAACGATCGAGGTGACGGCCCGAATGGTGCTGGTGGACAGCTTAGTGGCGATGGAAGTGATGGTATTTGTGACTGTCGCGGCCTTGAGTGAGGTTGTCTTGGTTGTGACATCGGTGATGTAGTCCGTGGTGGTAGGAAGCGTCATGGTTACAATCTTAGTAACATAGTCGACTTCCGTGACATAGTCAGTGACTGTGGCAACGTTGTCCCGAGGTACGAGGCCCCGCTTGATCTTCTTGGTGGGGGCGTCACAGCTAAGAGTTGTTGTGACCTTCTTGGTGGCCGTCTTTGTAGAAGTAGAAGTAACGACCTCAGTAGTGGCTTTGGCGCTAACGGTCGTGGTTCCTTCAGATCCAACCGTGACTGTTGCGATCGAAGTAGTCTTCCCAGCCTTGGCACTCGTCGTTTTGACACTAGTGACAGTAACTGTCGCCTTGTCGGTGACCGTGGAAGCAACGGCAGTAATAATTGACGTCGAGGTGAGGGTGCTCTTCACGGTCTTCGTGGTGTCCTTGCCAGTTACGGTCACTGTATCTGTGGTCGTAGCTTTGCTGGTCTTGGTAACGGTCTTTGGATCAGGCGTAATGGTGCTGCCGATATTCACAGTCACTATCGAAGTCTTGGTGGATGTGGTGGCTGGTTCAGTCAGGACATCAGTACTAGTGGTAGTCGACTTGAGGGTGGTAGTCTTTGTCACATCTTCCGGTGTGAGAGTCAGGACCGTGGTGGACTTGACTGTCGAAACCTTATCAGTAGGGGTGACTGTGATGAAGGCGCCTGTGGTTGAAGTGGTGGTCACATCAACAGTGGCAGTGACAGTTGTAAGGGGGATAGAAACTATGGCTGAAGAGATAGCAGTTGAAACAGTAGGACTTGCCACGACAGCGCTGGAAACAGCACTTGAAACAGTGGTAGTGGTTCCCGGGACGAACGGCGTCCCATCAACGTGTGTGAAATCGATCCAGGCTGTATTGAGGAAGAAACTGGTAAGCTGGAATTGAGCGACATCAGCATCAGTAAGCTGAGAAGCAAACGTCGCACGCGCCAAAGTGCTAGAACCCGGACCGTAATTTCCATATTCACCAAAGGTGACGCCGGAGGTCTGAGGGCTCGATTTGGACCATTGTTCCCATCCAGAAGCCTCCACGCAGGAGTCGAGGTAGGAGTCAATATATGCAACTCGGGCATACTGGTTCCAGGGCCTTCCGAGCGAGATCTCCGACATGGAGCCGGCGCCGGTCGAAGGAATGATCTTACACTGATCAAATACGAAACCTCCAGCAGTGGTGCTTGTGGTTCTCTTATCTGCTGTGAGATTGATGCCATCCTCGTTGGGCGAGATGGTTGTGTTCAAGAAGTAACCAGAACCACTTCCCCAAATCATGTCAATGTTACCCTCAACATATCCATTGCTCATGAAAAGGTAACCGTTGATCAAGAGAGCGTCTTGGTTTCCTTTGACTTGGCAGCCTGCAGTCTTTGGTATCAAAATCATGTTTTCCTATGAATGAGACTAGGGTATAGCAAGGAGATAGACTTACCATACAGACTGGCATATTTGCTGGACCTGACGGCAAACCCGAGGGTGGCGATGTCTTTTTGGGTGCCGTTGTTGTTGACAAAATTAATGTTTATGGCCTTGTAATTTTTGTCAGCACCCCCTACGGTTAGGTATATATCAAGAGCCAACTTACCTCAAAGTAGTTACCAGTGGCATAGACTGTGGCACCGTCAGAGTTGGACTGATCGGCACCGGTGTCAATACCATGGTTGTATTGAATGGTGACCTGGTTGCTGGAATAGTCGTAAGTGGACTCAGAATAGCCCATGAAGATGACAGATCCAGACTTGGCAATAACAAGTTGCTCCTCGTATGTACCAGGGTAGATGAAGATGGTGGGTGTGACCTTGGACGAGGTTGGAATGGCATCGAGAGCACTTTGGATGGTATCGTAGACAGTCGTATTTGTCCCGAGACTGGTCTTAGACACAATATAAGCACCAGAGGGCGGGGTGGTTCCATCGTAAATCGCCGTGGCGGTCGGAGTTGGGGTAGCTGTTGTGGTGGCTGTTCCAGAGACGGCCGTAGGCGTATCAATGGAGTCCCAGTAGGTCATGTCAATCCAGTCAGTCGAGTCCATGACATTCGCCAGGGAGTAGGTATCCTCTGTCAGCAGAGTAGCATATCCGAATGCCTCACGGGCTGCCTCATTGTTTTCCCAGTTACCCGGACCGGTGTTGTTAAATTCAGCAAAAGTAACTCCAGAAGTGCGAGGGTCGCTGGTTGACCACACCTTCCATCCAGATGGGTTGATCACATCGGTAAGGTATGAGTTCTTAACCACGACAAGAGCGTACTGGGAGTAGGGACGACCAATGTACACAGAACCCGTGAGATCAACAGTGGCGTCAGCGGCAGCAGTGAACAAAGTCTGGTCGAAGATGTAACCACCGATCGCGGTAGACGAGGCTCGGCTGTGTGCAGTAATCGCAGACTTGGCCCTCTTAGCACCAATGGTGCACCCCTTGAAGTAGGCCTTAGAGTATCCCCAAATGAAATCAATTGCGCCCTCGATATAAGACGATTCGTAGTATTGGTATCCGTTTGTACTTCCAGTCAGGAGAGTATCTTGCCATCCCTGGAACCAGACACCTACACAGTAAATTTATGTTAGTAGAGTACGCAGGGACAGTTGTGGGAATCAATTCAAACATACCATAGAATGCTACATGATTACCATAGATGGATGCAGCCAGGGTGACGTAAGAAGACTCCAGGCCATCAAGGTTATCCGAGTTGATAATGTTGATATTGTAGAAGGCGATCTTGGTAGACGCAGTGGCAACAGTTGCTGTCTCGGCATCAGAGTGACCAGTAGGGAGAGGAGAGACGGAAAGTCCATGCGCGAAAGTAATTGTGACTTGATTGTCTGCATAGCTCTGACCAGGGTTTCCAGTGGTGTAGCCGACAATCATGACAGGACCACTGCGGTTGATAGTCGGGACTTGCTCCTCGTATGTTCCGGCATATATGAAGATAATCTGAGTAGTGGTATCGTCCGGGAGCGATGCAAGAGCATCGGTAAGGTTGGCATACGATCCATTCACGGATCCAGAGACACTAACCAGAACAGCACCGGCCGGGGGAGTAGTGCCATTGGACGGGTGAGCCCACACTGCGGAAGCAGTTGAGACAGCGGTAGCAGTGGAGGTAGCAGAGCTGGTTGCCGTGGCTGTAGTGCTAGCACCACCGGTCAAGTCGTAAGACGGAGCGTAGCCATAAGTATCCATGTCGAGCCAAGATGTTCCTCCGACCCAGTTGGACAAAGTATAGGCATCTGCCTGGGTCTCGGTGAGGTTGGTGGCGAATGATGCACGGCTGCTAGACCAGCTTCCAGGTCCGGTGTTGTTGAATTCGCCGAACGTCACGTAGTCTGTTTGGGGGCTGCTTGTTGACCACACATGCCATCCCGTAGGGCTGATATGCTTATCGATGTATGAATTCTTGTAAACAACACGACTGTAAGACGAATAAGGTCTACCAAGCCAAGTATTCTGGTAAGTACTACCGTAGCTGGATGTGTAGGTGACGAGACAGTTGTCGAAGACGTAACCTCCAGTGGCAGTGGAAGAAGAACGGCTCATTGCAGCAATGCAGGAACCGGGAGTATTGGATGCGATGACCGACTGGTAGAAGTAGGCCGTGGAGAAACCCCAAATGAAGTCAATGGAACCCTCAACATAACAGTTGGAAAACACTTGAGTGCCCTTATTCGCAAGAAGTGTATCCTGGTATCCGATGAAGGAGCAACCATAAGCCTGCACGGTGCCATAGAAGTCGGCAGCAAGAGCAGCAGTGTTCGCGGTTTGAGGGTAGGTGTTCTGGAAGTTGATGTTGTAGATGGCCAGGCCCTTGCCGTCAGTGTTTTTGGCATTAACAACCGGTGTATCCTCATCCTTGTTTGCGCTGGTCAACACACCATTGGAGTATGAGATAGTGACAGCGTTTTGAGTGTAATCGTTCTCAAATGTTGTCTCTCCGCGAAGGATCGTCTTTCCCGTACGAGTAATGGAGATCTGTTCATTATATGTACCGGCCATGACGTAGATTGTGTACTCTTGACCATCACTGGGTAGGGCAGCGATAGCAGCAGTCACATTCTTGTAGGGGCCAGCTGTTGGATTGACAATGAAAGTAGATGTCGGGGTGGCGGCGGCAGTCGTAGTCGTAACAGCCAAACCTGTCGAGGATGCCACTGTTGAGGCAGCAGTAGACGAGGTCTGGACCTTATCTGCCGTTTGAATGGCTGCTAGCACGGATGAATTGATCCAGGTGGTATCATCGGAAGCATAGGCAGGGAGGGCAGCGGCAAACACGGCGCTGACACTGTATTGAGACAAGGCCGATGCATCGAGAACTGACACATACTGAGCACGAGTAACAGCATTGTTGGCATAGGCACCCGAGCCGGTATTAGAGTACTCGGCGAAAAAATTCTGTCCATCTTGACTGACGGTATCGACGTGAGCACCAGTAGCGGCAATCAAACTGCCGAGGACAGAGTTGCGGACCAGGACAACGACTCCAGCACCGTTAGCAGAAGCCAAAGCCACATTGCTGATCGACGATCCCGACTTTGCAGCCACTGTGACGTGATCGAACACAACGGTGGAGTTATACAGCGTTGAAGTGGTGGTTTGGGTAGTACCCTTCATGTAAGCGAGCAGCGCGGAGCTGTCCACAGGGACAATCTTAGTGTTGTATACATAGAGGTTGGCACCACCGTACAGGATCTTATCAAGTGCCTCAATGTAAGAGTTTGCGATGATTCCAAGACCGACACTGGCAGTTACTCCCAGTGTTCCGGTTGAGACAATCTGGCAGTCGTAAAAGGCGTACTTGTTTCCCTTCAGCACCATGGCGCCGGAGCCAGAGGCAGTGTTGAGGAAGTTGACATTCTTGAAGCTGACTTGCTGGACATTGTTGTTGATTGTCAGAACGGTGCCGGTGTTAGTGATGGTGACCTTGTTCTGGGTATAGTCGTCGGCGGCATCGCTTTGACCAATAACCGTCACGGTCGGGGTTGCAGACACAGTCACTGCCTGGGTATAAGTACCCGCGAGCACAGTCACAGTTGGGATACCGTGGCTCTGGGCGTAGGTGATAGCATCGCCAATTGCGGTAAATTGGCCACTGCTATCTGTTGCAACAGTGACAATGGTTGTGGGGGCTAGAAACAGATCAATACGATGGATTCTCTCGTGCTACAGATTCACTCACTGGAAGAAGTTGAACTTGAGGCTGACGCAGTAGTCGTTCCAGCTGATGTAGCCGATGAAGTAGCAATTTCAGTCGTTGTGGCAGCAGGGACAGCAATGCTCGAGATCGCAGAAGCCACCGAGAGGCCAGCAAAGCCGAAGGCCGACCAAACGCGCATCCTAAAAGGCCTCAACGGCAACGAAGAATCTTACAGACTAAGATCGGTCTTCGTAGACTCCGCCGAAGGCTATAAAGATCCTGCAACGGAAGACCCGAGGATCTATATTTAAACCGTAGGATGGGCAAACAGGGATTGGAAAATAACCCAAAACACACTACTCCGTGGTTGGCCAGCTCATACTGTCCTTGACCTACGCCGTAAGAAGATAGGTATATTTTGGTAAATTGCACTAGCACATCCAGGGAACGCCATACTCCGGCACTATTTTTTTCTAGTTCCGGGGGGTTAAATAACCGACAAGTAGACCAGAATACGATAGAATAGATGGGGCGTGAAAATTCCCACACTCCGTTCCAGACCTGTACGACAGGATCTCAGGGACAGAAACCAGGGGGTTTCCTGATGATCGATCTTACCGTAAATAGGAATCCACCTTCACCAAATCATAGATCGAATGTCGGTCAATTCGAACCCTCATCAAATCAGAAGTCCGGTGTATCCGGAAAATTTGATCTGAGACATACGCCACATACATAGCCAAGTTTGGTACACACGTGGGCTAGTGCGAATATTTGGCATAAAATGGGGCCATCGATATCCCAGTGGACGTTGATAGAAAAGCTTAGATGGTCGGAGTACGAGCTGAAAATTCCCTCACCAACAAGTTGAATATTCAGACTACATACATAGCTATTCGAAAGTACTGTAGACCAAGTGGGAACAGTATATTGCTTTCGCTTGGCTCTAGTGTATAATAATATAGATTGAGAATTTGCAGAAACGGGCATAGAAGACACTGAATCTTAACCATCCCTTTCGGTCGGGGCTTCGCCCCTGAATGGGATAGCCCCGTAAATAGTTCGCCATGTGGCGTAGCCGGCGATACTTCGGTGCAGATGAAGATAAGAAAACCTCAGTAAGCATTCCCAAGGTTAAGCCAAGCAATCAAGTGGGTAGAATTTTCCAGGAGATTTAACGGAATCGTCGATCTAGATCTCCACATTGTCGCTAACACAAAACTCCGAAAGTACAATATGTAGTTGTATATTGCAGGCAACATATTGCATGATAATGGCTTTTTCTACCGACTCTTCATCTACGAGAACCTTATTCCGCCGTCCGGATCATGTGGATAAATATTTTTGACTGATGGATGAGATGCGGGAAATCCTCATATATATTTTTACTAGACTATAGATAGAAAATACGAAGGTACTTCAGACAAAAGCTCTTCATAATATCACAAGGTCTCTAATATCATTATACATAACGTATGATCTTAGCATTTAAGGCTAAGTGAGACAGGACCTACGAAAGGGATAAATAAGGTTGTAGGAGAAAAAGAATTGTAGGGAATTCGGCAAAAATTCCTGTACCCTAACTGACCCTAAGTGGAGCGAATACAGTGGATTCAGATGCATCGTTTTTAGTACTTTCAGCTGGTAAATTCCTTGGTTCATGATTCAGTTTGTAACATCCGATGGTCCATTCAGTGTTCGCGAATCTAATCGATCTTCCATAATAATTTCCTGGATAACCCCCACTACGGTCGCGATCGCTGGCAGAGGTAGGTAGGGCGATTATGTTAGCGCCATTTAACTAGAGTATAGCGCCACAGGTCCATGTAGATATTGTCGCCATCGTCGCTATAGACCCCCGTCATCCACCGTGGCGGCAAATACATGCTAGCTCTACATTGGCCTATTTGCCCCTAAGTAACACTCCAGGTGAGTGTGGGTGATATAGATAAGAACAGAGCGATCATTCTTACCCTTGGGGTGACAGGGGCAAACTTAGTCTAAACCCAAGTCTGTGCCATGAAAACGACATAGATATAAGCCCTAAGGCCCTTCTTCTGCTCTGCTATAATTTCCTTTAAATTTCCTTGCCAATAAATACATGTTCTTCCAAGATCCTTAGAGAGCACTCGAGGAGCGTACCATAGTTAAATGCCGTATCATGTAGATTTATCCAGGAGCATCAAAACAAGGAACAAGAGAGTAATACTGTATACCAGTACATTTATTGTATCTTGTATAGCCCTCGATATCGGTTGTTTTGCGGCATTAAAGCACTCGTACGGTCGGCTTGTCGACACGAAGATACACCTCGGGATTAATTATACCGAGAAACTCGATTTCGCCGGGGCATTAAACCTAAGACTATTGAAAATAGCTTCAATGCCACGAGTTCCATACGCTTCTCCCGCAATGGGGTTATTTTAAAGCTCATTATTCGTCTTCGAACGCCGGCATCACTCAGTAACCCAGGGTAGCGAATTAAGCCAGAATCTTACACCCCTTACCGAGAAACAACCAAGTCGATAAGCTTTATCAATTATAGCTCTACTTCGGATAGGGTCTTGAAGTCCACTGATATTTCCATTCACAAGGTTGGTGAGCTACGCTAGGGGCCATTTAAGGCCTAAGTAGCTCTCTTTAATAGCTATCTTGAGCTGGTTTCGGGTAGCTCATAGGAACGTACATAGCGCCAGCGAGTATGTGGAATATATTGGTTACTAGGTCATTGAAGATAGACATGTCTAGATAGACTAACTAGTTGTTTTATTAATTTTATAGTGTTAGTTGAGAAAAGTGCATATAAATGTAATAGATTCCAGTAGGCGCGTCATTCGCTCACCGAATACGTTAACTAATTAACTAGATGTTCCGAGGGACCTCTTCTCGCTCCCTTCTTTCTCTTCCTTTCTTCATCTTCAGTATTTCGTTTGGATAGGGCTCTATCTCTTTTTTGATCAGACTTGCCATGTCACATAGAGGCTATAACCAAGGACTTACTTAACCGACAGTAAGATAATATCGAAATTTTAAAGGAGATTGTCACCAGTGTTATATTGTGAGTGATGATAACGTCTGATAACATATCAATCTTCGAATCGCTTCAAATTTCCCAATTCGGAGATGTATTACATAAGCTAGGGTAGACGCGGGGCACGAGTATGTAGACATCGGAAGATAAATTTGGTAGCTGCGACTTTCAATTGGCTTTGATCCCCGAAACCGGCCACTGCAACTTGTGATTAGAATCTTCGTTATAAAGGAACTGGTGCACATCAAAAATCACCTAACTAGAGACTTTCACACAATGTCTGCCACCGGTGCTCAACTAGGCTCATCATGCGGTTTCTCAACACGCCTTTCGCTCCGATGGGTCCCAGAAGTCCCTGAGGAAACAACCGACACAATTGTGCTTTCCGTGGGAGAGTGGTTCCTTGATTTGCGAATGGACAAGAAATCCGGGGACATCGACTGGGCAATGGCTGGTACTAGAATTGAGGAAAATCCTAAGGAAATCCCACGTTCGTTGCCCTGAACTCATATATTATTGTCGTTTATATTCTTGGTTGAACAGCGACTAATTATTTTAATAGTCAAAGTGATCTTTACGCGCGAGTTGGACTCCCTGAATGAGATCGGCATTAAGGATATTGGTAACTTTAGCCCCCGTCCCGATGGTACCGATCTTGAAAGTGGGGAGATGCCTCGGAGCGACCTTCCCGGTGCGCCTATGACAGCCTTTGAGGAGGTCTGGCAGGAGCTACCCTTCAGAGAAGGCCCTGAAGGGGCTAAGAAGGGAATTTCGTGGATTCTCGAGTCCGATGATGCTCCCCTGGCTCTAGGTGAGCAGGAAGGACAAGTGACCGTAAACAAGATCTTTATAGGCCGCATCTGGGGAACTTATTTGGCGTTCCAGCAGACCCAGACTCATTCTAGCCAGAAAGATGAGAACGGAGTGTGGTCTGTGAAGAGGTCGGGAAGTGAAGTCAGCGCGAGAAGAGAAGAGTGGAGTTCTAGGTGGGAGGAGAAGTATGTGGTGGGCCCTGATGGAGCTGCCGTACCCTCGATGAAAAACGGCTATGACGGAGAAGGTATGGGTACATGGAGGATCCCGGGGGAGAAGGTGGTTATTGAGGGAAAGTCGTTCATTGTTCGGGCCTTCGAAGAGATTCAATAAATGTGGACCGTATCACCGAGGAAGAGGTGCACCGTCTCTTGCAACCATCCAAGTCAATGAACATCACACACGTGGAACCATTTTGTTGTTCAATGATTCGTCCGCACATCCCTCTTCCCAGACGAAGTATGGCACTGGCCAAATAAAACCCAACCGCTACGGGCGCAGATTGATGACCTGGGAAGGCCAGCCTCGGCGCAACCTGGGCAAACAGGAACGTCGAGAGAACCGCGGTGAATCGCAAGAAGGAATTACATTCCCCAGCAGACTTCCAAAATATCCTGAAAACAAGATATTCCCGAAGTGCATCGAGCATGCAAAGATTAGCACCAAGAGACCCAATAAACGTGTATTGTGGGTCATAGGTGATTCTCCCCCTATTCTCACCATCGTCACAAACGCCAACAAACCAACCATTCCCAATGATTCACTCTATGATTCTCTCTCACAAAGAATCTAATACATACGACCATAGGGTGTGGAAAACAGGGCTTCCCGTCCGCTCAGCCGTACTTAAGCCACACGCCGGTGAGTTAGTAGTTGGGTGGGTGACCACCAGCGAATCCTCACTGTTGTATGTTTTTGTTTTGTTTATTTTTTAAATTTAGAGAAAAAGAATACAGTCGGCATTATTTATAATGTCTTTTTAGATATATCGGAAGGCGGCAAAAAGAATCAACTGTATAGAAGATTATCCATCTGTATATATAAAACCCTCGACCTAACAACCCCATACAGTTTATAAATTATCCTTACATATCCTCAGCAGCTAAGCGGATGGGAAGCACTAGTTTGTATGAAAACACATCAAACCTTTCTCAAAAATACCAACGCATCTCCGGCCCGAACGGTGTCGCCTGGTTGGACGAGTACCTTCTCAATCGTGAAAGACCCATCAATGCCATCTCTCTTGTCCCCATCGTAGGAGACGGAGACTTCCATCTTCATTGCCTCAAGTATGACAACAACCTGAGCAGAGCGGATAACACTTCCATCTGCAAAGTTGACCTTCCACACGTTTGCATCGAGAGGAGCATACAATGTTAGAATGTCGGGGTCTGATGATCTTCTGTCAGTATGCTAGAATGCTGAATAGTTTGTGAAATTTTGAGCTGACCTTCTCTTAAGAGCGCAATTTCATCAACTGGAACATTGTTTTGCGCTTTCTCGGCGATCCATTTGTCCATAGATTCCTTTTCCAAGGCTAACATTCTTACCTGTGCCGTAGCTTGGCGAGACTTGAATCCCGCGACTTCGTCTTTAGTTTGCTCAAGAAGACGGTTGTGGGCGCTCATATCGAAAGTGACATCTTCGTACTGGAATTTGTAACAGCCAGACCGGAAAAGCGCCATATCACGCTCAAGCTCTTCCTTGTCTACTCGATAGAAGGTAATCTGGTCAAAGTCACGGAACAGACCTGGCTGAGTTGGCGTGAAGTCGGGTTTGACTCCCAATTGGTCAAAGCACGGAATGGTTTGGCCCGTCATTTGATATCCTCCGGGGGAATCAACGGGATATATGCTGTTAAAAGTAGGATGTTAGTATGGTCAACTTCAGTAGTATGAAAAAAATCTTACTTCATGCATGATCCACCCCAGCTAACACTTCCTTCTGGGGTATACACTCGACTAGGGTTCTGCTTGGGGCATATCAATCGATAGCGTGGATCAACTGGCAGGCAAATAGTATCGCCACAGAAGAATCCGACACAAATCGCCATGAATTCGACTGAAAGGAAAATATCAATCAGTTCATTATATGTAACCCCATTTATATTAGCCACGAAGTCCATGTTATTGGGCAAGAATGGAGCATGCGGTCTTTGTGTCTCCATGTATCGCTGGATGGCTTCTTGTTGAGCCGGGCTTTCGAAGCAGATGGGAAGACGGAATTTTCGGCTTGGGACCTTTGAGCTGCTGAGGTCTCCAACAGCTTTTTGCAACGATACCAAAAGGTTGACAAGGTTGTCTCGGGGAAGCTTCAGACCATCGTAGTGGATCAGGAGTGCTTTGGTTTACCAATTATTAGTCCAAATCAAAACATTGCTGGAGCGGAAAACTCACAATTGCAGCATCCGGTGGTCTTGTAGATTGCCCGTCTCAAAACTTCATCAGACTCTTGAGACTGCTTGAAAGCCTGGTCCAATGCTGTCACACGGCAGCGATGATTAAGATTGAATTTTCCATCACCGAACTCGACCAACAAGAACTCATCCCCGCCCTGCCAGTAGAAGTTAGTTAGAAATTGATCAATATGGTAACATGAACGATCGCTTACCTGTCTAAATGTCATGGAAATTCGACCTTCAACCAGTTCAGTTTCGTAAATCAATGCCTTTCCCCAGTTGCCAGAAACAGTTGACTCTGGCAACGTGGAAGCAAAGATTGGCTTGATGGAATCCATATTGCACTGGCCGGCTACAATCGCGGAAACACTTTCCATAAACTGTTCCAATTCGGCACGAGCACGAAGAGCATCTTCTAATGATACTCTGCGGTATTGAATAGTATCGCCAGATTTCAGTTGGCCCATACGCCATAGACTAGCTTTCACAATCGTCGTAGAGGAAATGAAGCCGCCAAGATCAGGGGCGTCAACGGGGAAGATGCAAGGACTGAAATGGTCAGTTGAGCTCATAGGATTAATACCAAGAAGTTTGCCACCGGGACTTGCCTGTCTCCTGTCCAGTTCAATGTTCCGGTAGGGTACCCATATTCAATAACGTTGCTAGGGTGTTGCCCACCCTCGCCCCCATCTTCCCTTGCCCATCTAGGAGTAGGTCCCACAAGACGGATTCCACCTCTTGTGGCATTATGCGAGACGTCCCTAAATACAAACAGTTAGAAGTGCCTCATAATACGTCTTTCTATCTACTAGTATGACGTACCAGACCGTGTTATAGATCATGTCAATATCTTCGGGTACAATATAGCCCTCGTCGTACGGTCCAACCATAGCATCAATTTCCCAGTGATTGGAGTATATGGGACGCAAATGGGCGGGAAGCGAGATCTCGGGCTCTGCTTCGACTGCATTAAGCTTTGCAATGGCCAACATATCTCCTGGAGCGAGCGATCTTCCTTGATATCCACCAATCCCAAGTAGAGGCGATGTTGATTTTGACCCAAAGTATGGTGCACTGCATATAGTTAGTTTTGGAGTCGAGAGGAATAAATTATTTATAGCTCACATTGACGGAAATCCCCCAAGAACAGCGAGATATGCTATCAGCAAGTTAGCAGACTAAACCTGGAATAGCAAGTATTGTGAATATCATACCTCGGCATCCTCCGGGTCCATTCAGCTTTCCAATTGATAGCATTTGACCACGTTTGATATAGAGTCGTGTCCACATTGGTACTTTAACCCCGTCAAGTGTCATCTCCATCGGAGCACCGCATACAGAGATGCATGCTGGAGCTAGGAAACGTAGTTCCGGTCCTTTCAATGTGATCTCTAGGCCTTCGGTGCCGGAAGGATTCCCAACCAAAATATTGGCCACTGTAATCAAGATATGTTGTTAGAACTGTAGAAAGGCAGAAAATGTACGTAGTGGGTGTACCTTGAAATGCCAAAGGGTCCTGATATCCGTATGTCAGCTGGTGAACCTTTTGAGCCTTGAGGGGTTTAGCTCACCATTGGTCCTGCTTGTGGAATACCTCGCCCGGCAGTGGGACGTCCTGGATAGTCTTGAATTGTTGTATACAAACCTGGTGATATGACATCAATCGCAACGGGGGTGAACTCGAAATCAGCCAGGAAGTTAGTCAACGTATGCCCCGTGCAAAACTTATTCGATTGAATGATGGCATTCAAGAATTCCAAATTTGTCGGTGGCCCGCAGATTTTCGAGTGCGATAAAACATCACCCAATTTTGTAATAGCCGTTGTCCGGTTGGAATCATGCACCATGACCTTTGCTATCATAGGGTCTACGGTTATCGAGTCAGCCTATGTCTTCGAATGAGATGAATGAAATAACAGACCGTAATATGTGGAAATTCGAGTTGCAGTAGCGACCCACGTGTCAATTCGAGTGCCGGCCGTCTCCTTCCATTCAACATGTTGAAGCAATCCAGGGGATGGGGAGTAGTTTCGAGCAGGGTTCTCTGCATAAACACGAGCTTCAATCGCACACCCTTCAGGCTTGTCTGGTTGCAAAGACTCCAGATATCCCTTATCCAGGCCCCCAAGATTGCATAATTCCCGGTCAGCTTGTTGAAGCATGAGCTTTACAATATCAAGGTTGTAACAGAGCTCGGTGATACCGTGCTCGACTTGAAGACGGGTGTTCATCTCCAAAAAGAAGAAATCCCCCGATACGTCATCAACTAAGTATTCGACGGTGCCTGCAGATCCATATCGGATGGATTTCGTCAAAGCGACCGCCGCAGAGGTGAGCTTTTCACGGAGACCTGGGTGTTTTTCCACGAACGGGCTGGGGCACTCTTCAACAACCTTTTGATGACGGCGTTGAATTGAGCACTCTCGCTCTCCAATATGAATTGCATCTCCCAGGCCATTACCAAAAACTTGGACTTCGATATGATGACTCTCAGGATAATAACGTTCCATAAAGACGCCGGCATTCTTGAACAAAGTTTCTCCTCGGGAGCGGACTTGCGTCAGAGACTCTCTCACCTCTTCCACTGATTTGCATATCATTAAGCCCATACCACCACCGCCACCGGTGGCTTTTAGCATAACCTATATGAAATCATGGTTAGTAGGTATTTTTTGTCCGTGAGCAGTTACGGGGAGAAGTACGGGGTATCCCAATTCATTTGCCGCTTCCACTGCCTCGTCTTCTGTAACAAGTAGTCCCTGTGTCCCGGGAACAATTGGGACACCGGCTGCCACAGCGATCTCACGAGCGCGATGTTTCAGCCCGAAAGCTTCAATTGCTTCGGACCGAGGGCCTACAAAAATCATCCCGGCATTGGCGATAGCTTGAGCAAATTCCACATTCTCCGACAGGAATCCATAGCCCGGAATAATGGCATCGACTTTATGGGAACGGGCGATTTCGATTATTGAATTTCTATCGATTATCGTTTCAGTTTCGGCTTTGGAGCGCAATTTTTTTGACAGTGACAAAGGACAAACCCGTTGATGTATGCGGTAGAACCGTCACCCGGTAGGAGGACAGCCTCATCTGCCGCTCGAATGTGATTTGAGGTTGCGTCGGCGGCAGTGTATATTGCGATCGTACGGATACCTAGCTCTCTATTGCAGGATAAGAGTTAGCTATGCTGCTTTTGACAATGGGCACTTTACTTACTTGGCTGTTTTGATGATGCGAACGGCGATCTCACCGCGATTTGCGATTAGCAAGGTCTTTAGTTTCTCCATTGTGACTGTATTGATATCGACTTCTGGGAATTGCAAATGGATATTAGTATATCCAATTCCATTTGGCCGAGGTCCACCTCCAGACAAGCTTATCGCGGCCTCCAACTCCCCAACGCAAAACGCCAAGCGTTGGGGTAATTAACGTGCATCCGACTGGCTGGAAACCACCGGTTATCTCGGTGACTTCTTCATAAATGAACCTGGATATCCCCGGATCGGATCATTTGGCTTATCTTTCGCCTTTCATGTCTTCTCATGCAAGAGAACACAAACGAGTGTACCAGGTATGTGGACCTTGACCCCTCAATCCCCCCGCATTTTGTAGCCGATCCTCTCTAACCCTGACCCAGGCTTGTGAGCCTTGCAGGGAGAAAAAGGTGCGTTGTGAGTTGGGATCGGCCGATTGTCCGAATAAACCACCTTGTGCGCGATGCCGCAGAGAGAGCAAACAATGTTTTTTTGCCGCATCAAGGATAAGAAAGACTGCTTCGACAAAGCGGAGAGCGCAATCACCTCTTGTTCGAGAGCCCAGATCGCAGCATGCAACTGGTGTTCCTGATTCGGCAGTGTCTCGCGGCAATCTGGCTCCGGCTGTAGAAGAAGAGAGCCAACCCTTCCCGGAAGATAGACGTGCTGCAGCTGCTTTGCTCGAGGGTCACCCCCGAACCTATCATGACGCATTGACGTTACTATCAGAGGCTTGTGAGCACAGTGAGGCCCGAAAGGAGTCAACTGATGGCTCACCGCCGTCTAGTCATCCCCAAGGCGCCAGGTCAAATCTCACTGACCCAGCTCTGGGGATTCATGCCGACACTGCCACCAACAAAGGCACCCATGAGGCTCTTCGCGCTTGGTCCAACGTCCGTTTTGTCCGTGGTGGACTTTTCACAGCAGAGGAAGCGCTAGACATGGTCGACCATTTTTACAAATTCCAGTCAGCCTTCTCGCCCGTTGTACCGGAATACTTTCGCAGTCACTCCCATCACGCGACGCTGATCGAGGAGGAGCCCGTATTGACTATCGCCATATTGATGATTGGATCACGTTATCGCAAGTGGACAGGGCCAGCTGCGGTTGCACGTTCCTACATTGTTCACGATCGGATTTGGAGATATCTACAGAGAATGATTTCCCGATTGTTTTGGTCAGAGGACCTGTTTGTGGGTGAATTTGTTTCTCTCAAAGACCCCTTTCCTGGTCCTGGGAGAGGCCCAAGACCGACATATATGGACAGTTGGTCACATGGGTTCCGCACGTTAGGGACGTGTGAGGCATTGTTGCTGTTGTTGGATTGGCATCCTCGGGCTCTCCACTTTCCGCCCCCAGATGAGGATACGTCGTCAATCGTAATCCCTGAGCCGAAGCGACCGCGCAAAAGTGCTAGTACCACTGGATATTACGGGCCCGGGTCCGGGCATGACTGGCTCGCTCGATCAGATCGCCTATGCCACTCTATGCTTTCCACTGTTTTAATGTTGGCAACCGAGATGGGCATTTTCTGCGAGGATAATTCATTTTGGCAAGATGAAATTAGAAACGACCATCTGAAGATGGCTCGTGACCAAGAGAGGTTCCACCGTATACGGTGCTTGATATGGGTTTATGCGACGCAACAACCAGGTCGACCAGGTAGGCACCCCCTCGAAAACTGCATCTTATGTGCCACTTTTAAAAGATCAATACTAATAAATAGTTTGAAATACGGTAGGTCGAAGAAATCCGGCACAATGCACTCCCATAAAAAGCCCAGGCGTCAGGAATGATGATGCAACGGAATGTTGGATGCGCGTCGCAACTATTATGAAGAATGCAAACGACCTTCTCTTTGTGTCACCCAAATATACGGGAGAAATTATTCGCAGTGGACAATACCTTCGGATTATTCACGGCCTCGAGCCACTTTTAAGCGAATCAATTATCGAGTTTGATCATGCCAAGTGTATGTACCAACCCTGAAGCTGTGTGAATCAATGCTCATTTCAGTGTAGTGGCGAAGCAAACGCGATATATCCTGAGCATTGAGTACGAGTATACACAACTCTGTATTTTTGGCCTCGCTTTGCAAGCCGTAATCAGCCGAAATTCCCGTGATGACATATGTTCCAGACCAGAGAGATGCTCACAAAGTACTTCACCTGAAGAGGAGAAGTATCTAAAAGGAATTGTTCGGGCTTCTCGCACTATACTGCGAACTGTCCTCGACGATCTACTTCCTCATGGAAGTTTAACGTATATTCCTGTGCGATCATACTCCAGGATTCTCGGTGCGACTTTGATTCTTCTCAAGGTAAGTGGTTCTTCTCCATCGCTCTCATTTACGCTGTACTTTCTCTGTTTCATTATCCTAAATCGTGGAATCAGTGCTGCGCGGCGGGAATTAGCGAGATCGACGTGCCAATGTCACTTGATCTGGTTCGGCGAGTCGCTGTTGGCCTTCGTAACTCTGCAGTCGACGATACACACTTGAGTACGCGCTGGGGCGATCTTCTCGAAAACCTCGCTAGTAGACTGCAGTCGCGCTTAGCTCAACCAACCACGCCGAAAGTGTCTTCCATGAGACCCCCATCGCTAGCAACTCTGCCAAAAGATCAAGCAGACGTCTTTCAGGTCCCTCGCATAACAGACCCGTCAACAATGCATTCCTCCCCTCAAGATATACAGACTCGAGCTAATTCCGAACAAAACAATAATATATTGGATCTCAACCAGTCAAGTTCGCTCGATGCTAAATATGACACGCAGTTTGATGCGTACTCAATGTGGTGGGATGATCAATTTTCTCAGGTCGATCTCAATTACATGCCTTGGTTTCCAACTTTGGGGCTTGTGGGTGGAAGTGGAAGTGATCCCCTGTTTTCAAACGATTCCGCCGACGCTATTTTTGAAAGTGTTGGATCAACTCATGGAGCCTTGATTTAGCATTACTAGGAAACACGGATAGCTACTTACTTTTATATAGCTAAGATGTAACTTTGGTTTCACCGTACCATAATAGACTCCTCGTACCTTTGATTAAGTTACCTTTGCTTCCTCATTTCTAGCATTTTAAAATGCCAATAAAATGGTGCGTTTAGCTGCAGATAAATATTGTGTGACGTCCTATTCGATCGCATATTTTGACGATCCTAGACTAAAAACGAATGTTAGTTCGGATAATACAGGAAAGCGGTTTAATTCCGAGCCGGGTCTCCAAAAGGTGGACCTATTAACTAGTACCACAAGCTAAGCAACAACCGAATTGTTTCAACTTCGAACCGACTTGATTTATGTCTTTTTGTTCTTCATATTTTCCCCCTTTCTAAACCCAACCCTGATTACAAAACTTCAAGAACTTCTGAGAAATCCTTGAAACATCCCACTCTCGCACTGCCAGTATCACCCACCAATCGAGCAACGGTTTCCAGCTGCAGTTATGGGACCTATCAAGCACAAAGCCCTGATCAACGTCGATCTCGGAGAGGGGTTTGGAAATTGGACAATCACTTCAGATGAAGACTTGCTTCCATTTATTGACCATGCCAATATTGCCTGTGGATTTCATGCCTCGTATGTCATTTCCCTCCTCCGTCCAACTCCCTAAATTGTGAATGCCAATCGGTCGGAAACATTACGTGAATTTACCGCAAGATCATGATTTTGACTGACACATCTTTCCGTTGGTAGTGACCCCCTCATAATGATGGAAACCGTTCGCAGCTGCAAGAAACACGGTGTGAAAATTGGAGCACACCCCGGCCTGCCAGACCTCCAGGGATTTGGCCGTCGTGAAATGAAACTTTCGACGGACGAACTTACTGCAATCACTATTTACCAAGTTGGAGCACTCAAGGGATTCTTAGACCAGGAGGGAGTGCCCCTTCACCACGTTAAGCCCCACGGGATGCTCTATGGTATGTGCTGCAGAGACTATGAGACTTCAAAGGCCGTCTTCAAGGGCATCCCCAAGGGTGTCAAGGTGTTCGGGCTTCCAGGTACTTGTATGGAACAAGCCGCCAAAGATTTAGGGCTGGAGTTCATCGCAGAGTTTTATGCGGATGTCAAGTACAATGCGGATGCTTCTCTTCTCATCGAGCGCAAAAAGAAGTAAGTCATTCAGTTATGCCTTGCTCTCACTATTATGTTCTAACCTTGTTTTCTTTCACTATTTCAGAGCTTGGGATCTTGCTGAGGTCCGAAGACGCGTAACACAGCAGATGGAAACATGCACTGCTCCTTCCATCGATGGGTCAACCTGTGAACTACCGGTCAAGGATTATCCCATCTCCATCTGTTGTCATTCCGATGTTCCCGGGTGCTTGGAGTTGGTGAAGGAGACCAGGGCCGCTGTCGACACGTTTAACAAGGCTTACTTCCCCAACAAGTAAATGGTTATATATAGAGATGAAAACTATTTTACAGTCACTCAGTTAGAAAAAAATCCCTTAAATTAATATGGGGTTATCTTGTGCTGAGATCAACGTCTTTCTGCGAATGTATCATTCTGTTCTTCCTTGTTTTCCATGACGATAAGCCAACTGGTGTAAATAATTGGAGCCTAGTATTTCGTGTTGTTTACAACCCCAAATACCCCAACTAAAGTGACCCCAAATACCTCTCGCACTGGATGCTGATTGGCCATAGCTTGGATACCAGGAGACGTCGTTGGAGTAGAATCGAAAATGGAGAATCCGACTGGTTAGTCACTTCCTATCTTAACATTTAAACTCGACCCCAAACAGTAACCAACTATATGCTCGTCGACCACCGAGACCCATATTTAGAGTGATAACGTTAAATGGAAAGGGGGTGGATCGGCCATGCGTTGCGGGGGGACCACTTGGCGGCTTTCCCTCTCAGTAATACGGTCGGTTTAATTTCAACAAAAGCCGCCATCGGTTGGTGTTAGCTCATCTTTATCCTTATTTGCCAGCCGTGTGTGATAAGGCATTTCCGAAGGGCTCTGTAGTTAATTGAGCACTGTATCTTATAGAGTTGGAGAAGTCAGATAAGATAAACCTATTAAAAGCAACCATTTCTTGTTTTTATATTTCAACTCGAGTTGATACCCCAATCGAAACAAAGTACCCCAGAAATATATATACTGAGTACCCCTGGAGAGCTGAATCGTCTCAAGCAAAGCAAAGATGGATGATCCTCTTCCCATTCCCGGAACGGTCCAGCAGGTGGATGTAGACCACACCCTGCGCCTGAGACACAATGAAGAGCAAGAAGATATCGTCTTGATTCCTCTTCCAAGCTCTCATCCCGAAGACCCTCTCAATTGGTCCCGCTACCGCAAACTTCTGAGCAGCACCTGCCAAATGGCATGGTGTTTCTTCGCCGCCGCCCTCATCAGTGGTCTTTCATCCTCCTATCTCCTGATCTCGGAAGACACAGGTATTTCTGTGGCAGATCTGAGCACGGGGAATGGCCTCATGTATCTCTTCATGGGCTGGGGCACTTTGTTGACCCAAAACCTTGCGCAGGACTTTGGTCGTCGGCCGGTCCTGTTGATTGGTATGTTGGGCTCATCGCTGCTGCAGATCTGGTCTGCGTATATGAAGTCTGTGGGTGAATGGTACGCCAATCGAATTCTTCTTGGTATTTTTATTTCACCCCAGGAAGCCTTGATCGAGCTCTGCATTGCGGATATCCACTTTGCCCATGACCGTGGCTTCCACATGGGTATTTATAACTGGACTTTGTGGTGCGGTGCGTTCATGTCACCTATCGCTGGTGGCTTTGTTGCCGAAAGGTTTGGTTGGAGATGGATCCAATACATCCTGGCCATTATTTGTCTTTGTTTTACAGTTATAACATTCTTTGGCTTTGAAGAGACGATGTTCTTCCGCCAAGTTAATATTCAGCAACCGACGTTTTCCTCCCCCAAAGACACCAGCGATGTGGAGCTCTCCATTGATACCGATCGCAAAAGAGTCTCCGAGTCCAAAGAGCCAGGTAGTCTCGACATTACCACTGTCGGTGTGGACGAGACTTACCAGATTAAAACATACGCCCAAAAGCTGAAAATGTGGGGATTAAGACACCCTTCTCAGCCCGTCAACTTCTTTCAATCAATCATTCTTTCCTTCCGTCTTCTATGCTTCCCCACGAACATATTTTCCGGTCTTCTCGTGGGAAGCGTTCTCGCCTGGTACAACGTGTTAGGAGGATCCTTAGCGGAAGTTCTAGGCGGTGCCCCCTATAATTTCACCACAGAGCAGATTGGTCTTACCTACTTCGCCAGTGTGATAGGAGTCTCGATTGGATGCTACTTCAGCGGCTGGCTCAGTGACATACTTGCAATTAAGCTGGCCAGAGGAAGAAATGGTATCAAGGAACCCGAAGACCGTCTCTGGATGTTCTTGGTTGCCATCGTCGCTCATCCTCTGGGGTGCATTCTATATGGTGTCGGAGCAAGCCACCACATCCCATGGATTGGAGTCGTCATCGGAATGGCCTTCATTTGCATCACCCTACCGATGGGATCTGGACTAGCCATTACCTACATTATTGACAGTCAAAAAGAGCTGGCCGGAGAGTCAATTGTGACTGTTATTTTGATCCGTAATACAATTGGTGGGTTGGAATATCTTACCAAGATCAATCAATATTCTGCAGTGATCTAACAATACTTTACTAGGCTTCGCTTTTGCATACGCGGTCAATCCCATGATCACGAACATGGGGCTGCAGAATACTTTTATTCTCATAGCAGTGTTGGGAATGGTTTTGTGGAGTGGTTGTTTGCTATGGATCAAGATTGGAAAGTCGGCTCGGAGATCCATTGCTAAATCCTACTGGAATCTGGTAGAGACTCATGGACTTGCTGCCCACTAAGCTTGCTTTTTTTTCCGTCTTTTGGGAATGAATTCTAGCTTTCAGGTCGACGGCTAGTATCGCAGAAAATGTTACACATTGTAAATATTTCAGTGATCATTCTAAGCTCTTGCAGGGCAACAGGCGACTATCACCTCCTGTATTAGTATAAACTATTTATCATGTAATGCTTACCAACTTAACAAATGTTGAATGCGGGATAATAAATATTAGCTCTTCTTGCTTCTCTATATACAATGGCACAATGTACCCTCATTTATCAATCTAAATTCCACAATAGAACGCACATAGCTCTTCGTCCTTGTGGGCAGGTCGTTCGAATTGATTTCAAGATGCCTGATGCCCTTCGTCATGAAAGATCGTCTTCAATCCCTGTCTTGACATCCTCCGGCCATAACATCTGACGTCTCGCAACTGCAAGTATGGTAGCGATTCCCACACCCAACCACATTATAACTTGCAGCACAGTCAGAACCGAAGTGACCCACAATATAGCCGGCGACCGCAGCACCTGCCCGATACTAATTGTAGCTATAATAAATCCCGTGTTGGGGAATACAATGCCCCAATACACAACCGACATGGGAGGAGCCCCCGCACCTCCAAAGATTTTAGTAGAAGCCAAAACGCTGATAGCAGCGATGCACAGGTGGAAGAAAGCCATAGTCCAAACAAAAATAGCAAAGAACGAAGCAATCACTAGTACAATATCGCCAGTGCTTACAGTGACGTTTCCGGGAGACATCGGATCTGCGTATGAAATGATGTATCGCGAAGGGAAAACTTTCACCCCCTCCTTTGCCATTCCAATCAATGCAAGAGCCGTAAAACTCCATGGCCCGACAGCAATAAACATCTGTGGTCGTTTGGCCCGTTCTGGAAGACCGTGTTTGGCAAGGAAATATTGGTATTCGGCGTAAATGAGCAAAGACATGATGAAACCGAAGCCTTGCAATGTAACACCGCCGATGAGAATGGGTAGTGCTTGGTCTCGTGGTTGGTTTGCTGCAATGGACGATGCAATCGTGCCGGAAAGCATGGCTGGGAAGGAGGGTAGTAGCTGGGCGATTGGAAAGGGTTGCTGGCTAGCCATGGCTAGATGGTACAGGTACCAGTTATGGAATATGGCCGAGAGCGTGGAAATTGCGGCGTAGATCCAGAACATGATTCGAAGGGCCACCTGCAGCCAGGGGCCGCAGGCGCTGGTTCCATAGGCTTCTGCTCCGAGAATGATAGTCGCGATAGCCAGTAGGCATGTGGGCACGTAATAGCTTTCATTGCCATCTCGGAATGACTCTTTGAGGGCGGTTGGTCTAGAAATGAAGCGCACAGCCATGCATGCTGTGATCGCAAGAAAGAAAGCTAAGTTGAAGATGTAAACGATCTTGCCGATGATCTCAAGTCCGGTAAATTGGTGAGGCGTCCGGGAGAGGAGAACAGCGATGCCTCCAGTAGCCATAGACATTGAGTACCAACCCCATTTTATCAGACAGACTCGGTCCTTGAGAGTCACCCTATCGTCGAGAACCATTCTGGCTGATTTGAGGTTGGGAGGTGCGTACTCGCAACGGATCGAAAAGTTTTCCCCGTATAGGAGAAAAAAAATTAACCCCGTGGATCACACGGTGGATTACTCACCAACCCAGTTTCAAGTCTCAAGGCAACGGATTTTGTTGAACTAAATCGGGGTCTCTCAATCATGAGACCCACTATGCACAACATTCATTGTGTTTCGGTACTTCGGCATGCCGAGCTCAGGAGCTCGGAGAAGTCCCGAGGCCCCGAGATCGGGGCGCTCAAAAGCTTGTTTTTTGTGTGAAGTCATTTTCACTCTTTCCTCAATCTTTCTTCAATGGAAAAGTAATACTGGGCATCAATAATTTAATTACTAAAAACGGGGTATAGTCCCTGGTATCTATGGGACTGCGTAGTCAGGCACAAATATCGAGGAAAAGAAAAATGATTCCACATTCGTATCTCGTCTTCCCAACCATCTTGTGTGGAGCTTAAATGATGTTCTTAAGTGGCCAAAACAACGGTCTTTATATCCACACACGAGTCCACTCCGACTCGCATTCGTCGTTCGGTATGCCTTACCCGCGCTAAGCCTTCGCTAAGCCTTCTCGCACGGCCTCTTGGATAACGCCTTGGCGATACTAAAACTTAACCAGGATAATTATTCAAGCCCCGAGAAAGTTGAGTGGGTTGGGTCTTGTAGGGGGAGAGGGGGATTCGGCTGTTAGTGCATATTCGAGGCATCAATTATCACATTGGACAGCCGGGACTGCTAAAAATAGCCATGCCAGAACAAGGGAACCCATTTTGATGAATATTGTCAAGTCAGAAGCCTCCCAAAAACAGTATCATAGCTGAGTTGCGTGGTTTTAGAACAATTTTAGCAGACTTTAGAGTTAATTCCGGGCATTAGATAACGTTGAGTTCTCCTCTGTGATGTCTTCTTGGGGGTTCTGTTTGGTAGTCTTTTTATAGTCCTTTTAGACCTATACAAAGGTGGTAACAAATATACTTTATATAAGAGACCTTTATATATACATAACTACTCCGTAGGCATATCAATCATATAAAGAGCTAAGGAAGTGTAAGATATTTGGTATGTGCCTTATGTGCGGCCATCAGTCGGGCGCTGCTATAGCGTCACGCGACTAGACTGAGTCGGAAGATGCCCGCACTGACCTTTCGATCAAAAAATAAGTCAAAAATAAAAACACTAGGTAGCTTGGCATTTGCAACAGCAGCCTGGAAGGATCAAGCAAAAGTACCTCAGGTTAATTAAAAACAATCCGTGCGTGATCGCTCACGAATAGGTTTCAAGAATCCGGGGTTTGAGAAGCTAACATCACAGAGTAGATTTTAGCGTTAGGTACGGGGTACCTATTTCCAGAGCCCTAGAGTAAAGATCATACGACGAACTAATAAGCGGAGCATTGATGGTGCGGCGCGAGCCGAGGTTTACGTGCATCACATTCCCGAGCGATGAACTCCGCCCCCAAGAAGTGAGGCCAATCTCCACCCTTCCATCAAAGCGTCATAATACGGACCAGGATTAAACATGGATGTTGCTCCTTCCGATCAAAAGTAGAAACATTTCCCGATTCCCACAGTTCAACAACCCACAATGGTAGCAATCGGCCATCGAGACCCGAGTCTTTCTTTCCAAAGGCACCATAATTACGAGATGGTTCTCGAGAACCAAAGCCAGACCCAACCACGTAACTGAGATATGTTGAAACTGCGAAAGCAATACTATAGGACATTTTTATTCAGATATTCAAGGCCAAACACAGCAAAATGAAAAGTTTCACATTGGGTTTCAAATAAAACAGACGTAGTTTCCTGATTACCGCGAATATAAATGTTGATACAGTCATTGGGATTCTGATCGAAATGCCTTGGAACTATACAAAAGAGGGATATCAAATTTTTAAAAAAAAATCATCACTGACAAGCATTCCGCAAAATAAGCTCAGTTCCTTCCGGCCAGCCAGAAGATTTCGCCATATCCAAAACCGTCGTGCCAGTCTCATCTTTCTGAGTAAGGTCAACCTGACCACCTTTGTCAATCAAAAGCTGCAACAAACGAAGATCGCGGTCCTCAATTGCCTGCATGATCGCGTTCCAGTCACGGTAGCATTTATTGGGATCAGCGCCCCTTTCGAGAAGCAACTCAATCATGGCAAAGTTACCATCATCACATCTCCGGATCGCTTTGACGAGTGGCAAATGCTCACCAGGGGCATTAGGGTCAGCACCAGCTTCATCCAGAAGATAGCGCACAATAACCCAGTGGCACTCGCGTAGGGCTGTTGTCAGTGGTGAGAACACGCCGCCGTTTTTCCACTCTACACTGGCGCCGGCTGCGATGAGTAGTTTGACATTTTCTAGTTGGTTGGCCTGGACTGCTTTCTCCATGACACCCTTGTGTGCGGAAAGATCGGTTATACCGGGCAAAATAAGTCGTAGCATGCTCGGCGATTGAGTCGCCATGTATATCGGCCAGTCCTTGCCACGTAGATTGGGATCGGCACCATTTGCCAATAGCCATTCTAGTATTTCTGGACGGTTCTTCCGGATAGCAGTGGTCACGGCTGTGTGGCCTTGCTCATTACGGTCGTTTGGATTGGCGCTTCCTTGGCGCACGAGCCATTGCATAGCCTCCATATAGTTTTCCTGCACAGCAGACTCGACAATACCTGGTGGGTTGCGGAGATCTGCGCCAGCTGCCACCAAGTCTGGGAGGAAATGGAGACGTCTATGGGTGATACACTTCCAAGCTGGGTACTCAGATGCCATCACATTGGGGTCAGCGCCGTGGTGGAGAAGCAAGCTGAGGATATCTGGGCGATCATCGCGGATGGCGGAGCAGAGTGGTGTGTATATTCCATCTTTCTTAGAATTCGGGTCCATGCCCGCTTGCAGCAGGACGCGCACGGCATCGATATTGTTGACACCTGTAGCTTGCTCCATAAGACCAGGGGTCTTTTTCACATCGGCGCCCCGCGCGAGCAGGATACGCAAGCAACCTGGGCGATGGACAGCGGACCAGAGAACGTGCTCGGGTCCTGGAAGGTTTGGATTCGCGTCTTTATTTAATAGGAGTGTCACGATAGATGGCTGGTCACTTTGCACAGCTTCGCATAGTGCGGTCTTCCCGTGGTCATCTTTGCGATTGGGATCGGAACCAGAATTCAGCAAGGATTCGATGGCTTGCAGCGGTGCACGTTTATGGATCGCTTCAATGAGTAATGTTGTGCCATCGCGCGTCTCCTCTTTCATATTGACGCCATGTGCCAGCAGAGTCTCCGTCAGCTTGGCGCTGGCGGCATCGTGACTCGAATAGCTGAGGCTGATCTCCTCAGCAGAAGCTGTTGAGTTTTGATTGGCCAGCCGGTGCGGCAGTTCCCGGTGATCAAAATACGGGGTTTTTGTGGTCTCACGAGACTGGGGGCTCAGGAAACCGTTCAAGGACAGAACCGAGGACATGTCATCTGTGATGGTTTCGGCTTCTTGGCGAATGCCTTGGTTGAGTCGGGATGCGGTAAATGATTCCTTCGGGGGCACAGATGGCGTTGACCGCATTGAATCAGGCGACTGATGCTGACTCGATGAAGATCGCTCAGGTTCGATAGACTTGGCCTTGTTTATGCCCATCACAGAGCGGCCTTTGGATACCCGATCCAGCGCGGCCGCTAGGCCAGCGTATCCGATGCCCACGGACTCTTCCGGGTGGGCATCTCCGAGCGACCAGTGAAAGGCCATACCACTAATTTGGAGAGTTTCGGTGGTCTTCTTCAGCGACTCATGAATGCGATTGAGCTCATGGCCTGGCCGATTCCATCCTCGCTGAAGCTTTCCCAGTGTCCCACGATGTTCATACTGAACAAGCTTCAAAATGATCTTGTCAAGTTGTTGGAAGTCCCGGTAAGTGGAGACGAATTTCTTTTCCACCTCCTCAATTATAACATCGGGTAGGGAGCGATTGGCGCCGGCTAGTTCAGTCACTCCAGCTTCAATGGCCCATAACATGCGACAGGTGTCGAGGAAGGTATGAGAAAGTTCTCGAAATCCGTCGGGAAGGTCATTGGTAGTGCTGAGGTAATTCAGCATGTGCACAGAGATCTGATTGCCTAATTGCGTGGCAAGTGCCGAGATGCTGCAGATGGTTTCCTCTGGCTTGGCCGGCATGATTGCAGTGAGAGCTTCACCTAGACAGAGAGGGGAAGGAGATACATAAAGGAGTTAAAATTGAGAGTGGAGATTGCCCAGATAAACATGGGGGGCAATCTGGCCCGGCGAAATTTGGGGCCAAATCCTCCATCTATACAGTGGGGCCACATCAGTCTAACGCTCGCTCGGTCGAACCTTCCAATGAACCTTGGAGCCTTGGAAAATGCCTGTCAATCCCGATCTGGAGGTGTGTACCATGGGTTTGCCCCCCATTAGTGCATGATGGGCCCATGGTTCAACTGGATCATTGTATCTGGATCCAATGCTGGTCCGCCTGAAATCACCCAAATACTTGTTCTGTCATAACTTTGCTCACACCCTTGAAATGGTTCAAACATCAGAAAACAGGGAATAAAGTTATCCAATATCTCCGTAGAAACACCGAAAAAGGGACTTGCGCTTGGTCTCCAGTGCGATAATGGAATGTGGGTCCAGAGAGTCACATAGGTGACTACATGTAGGTGATCGCTGCAGTTGAAACACATACATGTACAAATCGCAAGAACGGTGCATTCACACCAACTTTAAATGTTGACAGTTGCCTTGGACACGTGGGATAAATGTCATCCTTTGGGGTCAATTGAACGTATCCTCCCATTCCACTCCTACGCAGTCATATTAATATCCCGCCCATGAAACATTTTTGGGTTTGGCGCTATCCTGCGCCCCGCTTAGCTTCCCATTGACTTTCTCAATTTTTTGAAGCCTTAACAACTGACTAAGAGGTTTCACCATTGTTCCCTAATTGCTCATTGTCCCCTAATTGTCCCCTAATTGTCCCATCCCTACTCCGTAGATTATCCTAATTGCCCCACCCTCACCAGAATTGGAATCTTCAATATAGCTTCTTCGCAGAACTTAAGACATATTGCTCGCAGTCGCATTCTGAATTTGTTTTTTTCACATGTGTCTATCGCATTATCAAGTTAGGTGTTCTCAGCCAGCCAGAATTGTGGAGCTCACGTGTATGGCGGGTCACACCGACCCATCGGATAACGAGCATTTTATTGGCTAAGTAATATCCTACAGGGTCTTTCTACCTGAAAACTAACGCTTCTCAACACTTACTGGTAACTATACTACTTGCTAGTAGAGCTATAAATCCCTTACCATTCTACAGAGTGTGTGCAATTATATACGAACAGAGTGCGTATGGTGAAAAATCAAACTCTGGTACCACTTTCAGTTAAGGCGACCGGGTTTTACATGTACATAAAATATAACTATATCTCTCCATGCCAATGGTCTCGTATATAGCACTATGCTGTAGGTAATATAGCCTTTTAAGAGAAGGGGGATAATTTAATCTCGATATGGAAGCAGATCAAGATTAAATTACTAACCTATAAAAAGATAAAATGTGTATAGAGGAACCATGGAATTAGATACGACGATTAAGGTGGAGGCGGAGAGCCCAGGGGTAAATTAGTCAATTGCTGAACCACTCCAGCGCTCATCGATGAGCCGCTGTGTCCCGCCGCACACGTGGCTAAATCACGATTCTGAGACATAACGCTTTTTAAGTTTCTGCAATACCCCCTTCGTTGATAATTCTGTCCGCCAAGCCTAAGCTAATTTTTGAATTACGCTCTATAATGCATTTACTATGAAATACTTGATACCCTATGAACCTATGTATTGCCGAAAATTCAATTAATGGTGGCCGTTATGTAAGGATAACTATTCATTCAAAAAAGGAATAATCAAGTCTATAAGGTTAATATACTTAAGATCAGACCTTCCTAATTGGGTGGCATATTGTACTCACTTGCTTATAAAATATTAGATCACTAGCGCAAACTGATCGGCATGATTTGCATAGACAAAATTGATACGGAGGGGCTAGATAACCGACGCCCCACCCGCCGCCAGCGAATTATCAAAAATGTATGATATGGGAATTGCTAAAGTCCTGATGCGCTTCACCTCCGTTATCGCCTAAGTGAAAGAACAGTTATTTTTATGTCGCGAAGAAAAGCTTTGTAGAACTTCGGTCTTATCTAGAATACATGATAGGAATCGGTATATTTTGCTATTACACACTCTTCTATGATTGTTAGGAATCATGAACATAATATACCATGTTGGAATTAGCTGCAGAATCCGTGGTAACGGCGTAGTATGACACCTGGCCATTTCAATCTCACGCGGCTTCGAATATATCTATCTCGGCTTAATTCCGGGAGTTCCCCACCTAACGTGATTCGGGATCAATATTGCAATGGTACCTATGGAGTAGTAGAATGTAGTTGACTATCTACCATTATAGATTTAACCCTTCAAGTTATACTATTTCTGTCGACGTATAATATAGGGATTCCGATGCCCTGGGTTTTGACATATTGTATGTACAGTCCAATTAATCGTGATAATGACGATCCCTAAAGCCTTTACGATACCTACATCTTTCTGAGTTTTATTGCCGGCAAAACACCCCACATATCTGGGGACACTTTTATCGTTCCCATAAAATACTTCTTAATTCTAAGCGAGCCTTTAACACGGCTTTAATCGAAGTCCATGAAAAGAGGGTGCCAAGACGGCATATTGATCTCCAGCCTCAGAATGATACTATGAAAGATGGAAACGTGGTCATTATTATAGACTGGAACCGTGGTTTTGCTAATGCTCTACTTAAATGGGGCTGGCAGAGTGACTGGACGGACTACGTGGTGCAAATTTTTCAACCATATTACGCTGAATTATTCATGCGCTCTTCTTTGATGGAGAAGCTATTGGTTTAACTAGTCAGTAGCACAGCATGTTCTAAGCTATATGCAGCTAGAAGAGATACATATCTTCTCTAGCTCATGACGTAAGCCAGGAGGCAAACACTTGAGCAAAAAGAGGAGACAGAGGAGATAGAAATGAAAGACGAAAGTTGGCGATTGTGTAATAACGTTTACAAGTAACAAAAAGAAAGAGGCTTGAGTTTGACGTTCTAGAAATCCAAGATTAGCACACATTACGTGTCGGCGTCGTTGCTGACCATGGGCTAGAAGAGAAGAACTTCAATTCATACGAAGACGAAACAAAATGTTGGACAGGTGATAAGCACTGATCCCATTTATAGGCACAAACCGTCATACCACCCTCACCGTAATGGCCCAAAGTATGTACGGCATCCAAAATTAAGAGGAACGAAGGCCTAGGTTGTCATTATTGTTGAAAATCTGCTCGGTATTTGGAGAAGTTCTCACCGTCCCATTAAAATCACCTGACAAAACAAACTAGGAAAGACACCGTTTAGCCTGATTTGCCTTGGAACCTTGAAGTGTTTAGAGTGTGATCTACCGACTGCCTGTGCCGATCTAGGTCAAGTGCAACCAAATGGGGGAGACCTTGATCATCTTTAAGGATGACAACGAGATGGATCTTGTCTTGGTTTTCGATGAAGTTGATAGGTATTTCAGAGCTTCTCGCCATCTTAACCTATATCGCGCGGTGGTAGGGCGTGGATTGCCGGTCTTCTGATGAAAGATGAATAATTTTTGCTTTTATCCTGAAATATCTGAAATATCTTCTGGTACAGAATTCTCCTGAACTGAAAATCATGGTATCCATGGATGGTTTCACAAAATGAGAAATTATAAACATTGCAATCACGACAGAAACGCTGCTGAAGAAGACATCCAAAGGCATGACCGCTATACTGAACATAGATAATGATAGAAGTGCTTAAGAAAGCGAGTCAATGCCTGCTCGCTTCACATGATTGATGATAGTACTGCAAGTTTCGTGGAAGCGAGCTTCACTGATGTTCAGCTGAGGATCACTGACGGCGTAGAGCTCTTTTTCTTTAAGATCAATAAAAGCCTCAAGCGCCAAAACAGTGGATAATTCCGAAAGCATGATGCAGATAGCAAGATAAGGCGTAAACATAGCCCCCCGAGTATTGGCGACAGAGAAGTTATCCTCCAGTGCAGCAATAAAGTCACTGGTATTATCGAAATCGGCTCGTCGGGTATTGAGAAATCTCATCATAGCAGGTTTCAGAGCCATGTGATGCTTACCGCTGAAGTGTTTTTTGGTGTTCGCCATGAAGGTGTCCGCCAAATACACATCGTTGCCGTACGCGCGAATCTCAAGATAGAACTCGTTGCTTACGCCCAATTCGAGCCATCTGGCGACTTGGCACGAAAGCTCGTGCCATTGCTGTCTGGCAGGATCACTGCGCGATGGGCGGGGCAAGTTTGCGTCGATCAAGAGGTGCAGGTTGTGGTCTTTTAAAATTTGCACCACTTCGTCGTACCAATCATCGAAATCCTCTGCATCGTCGAGGCGAGGCGACAGCTTGGGCAACACGACCGGATCAACGTCAGGTAGACCCGTAGTTTGGTCGACGGAGACTTGATACCAGTTGCGGTCGCGTGACGCGCCTAGGCTTCCGATGCTCCCATTTGTCCCATTGCCATTTGGTGAAGTGAGCATGGCCGAACTCTCGCGCCCAGGGCGCTGAGTTGATTCAGATGGAATTATGGCGATGGATCAGGGTCACTTCTAATTTGAGAGGCTGATAACAGCGAGTCGCAGTTCAACAGTGGGGGTATATAATTGAAAAGACTTGGAACAAACATTCGATTTTTAAACCGATTTCCGATAGTGTCGTTAACGTGATTGGCCGTGATTGACCGTGATTGGCCGGGTGGTTGAAACATGACAAATGAGGATGAGAAGAGATCGGGATTGTCTGACCCACCGAAAATCAAGCACAGCGTGTCCAACTTTCAGTCCGGGGAGAAATCCAGTGACAGGTAAGATTATTATTGTTCATCTTTTACGTGTAACATTTCAAAACGGGCCGTAAATCCGAAATTTGAAATTCGCTTGGGGATCCCAATGTTGGCTATTTTAGCCCTTACTCACACAGACTCACATACCAGGTTTTTCCTCCGTTGATAACGTATATCTCACCTTTACAGTCACGTATATCACGGAATCTCATGGTTATGACTCCTAGGCTCAAATTCAACGCGTGGACTGATTTAAGTGGGCCCGCAGTGCGTAATGCTATACAGTAAGTTTACCACATATTTATCCCAACTGTACCCGACTATTTATAGCACAGGGCTTGTCTTTTGATAGACCTGTCCTTTAGTTCAGAATCGAGATGGAAGCAAAGGCGAAGAGAAATAGATCAAAATTCTAATAGATCCGTGTCTCGCGCACTTTTGAACCTACGTATCTTCTGATCTTGAATTGTTTATATCCGCAATCTTCACCAATATCCGACTCTACTTCTTCCACGTGGTGTACTTATACAGTCTATCCGCTCTTTAGCATAATCGTGCAGTAGAGGAAGTAGTTGCAATTAGGTTAAACAGACTTTTTCCCGCCATATATACCCGCGCTCGTTCATATATCATGTCCCAGTGTCAATTTGGATAGGGAGGCCAACTGTATGATTCAATGTTACTCATGGATGATTTTTCTATTTCTCGTAACATCGAGAACCTTGGCACCGAAAATCGGGTAGACCCGCACCCAAGTACATAATTCCCGTGGGACAGGGTACACCCAATGTAGCTTAATCTACTTTTGATCCGGTAGATCCTCCAGATGGCTGGACGCTATGGCCTTCAATAAACCCGGAACCAATAAGTTCCAGGTGGATCGTTCTGACCTGATTTCCTCGAATTCTTGGATCAAAGAGTACGACCTTCACATAGATGCTTGTTTGTTAGGATTGGGTATATTATGATTCTTTCTTTGCTTCCTCCTCTCCTTAGTCGTAGTATTTACAACAAAAAAACAGTTAGTTGGACGACATATAGCGACGAAAGAAAGCAACTCCAGAAAATCGATCCAGCGAAGCGCATAGATTTATATATCCCACTGATTACTTGCAGATTTCGTCCTGAGCTAAAGAACGCATCAGATTGTCGTAATAATTAGTGATCCGAGCATAAAGCATCGTGTTATATATCGTTTATCGCAAATTCTACATCCTCCCATATTTTATCCCGAAGCATTGCCGATTCCAAGGCTCGGTGTCACAAAATGGTGACTAAGGAGTGAGTTTCGGCATGATCACCAATGCCCAAAAGAATAGTCGACTGATAATCTTCTATAGTGGTTCTGCGCCCACATCCGTGGTGGTATTAAGCCTCGCGTAATTTGTCAACCCCGCGATAAGACAATGCAACCGATATCCCAACAAAATTCGATTCTTGTTTAACAGAGGTGGTTAAAGCGGTTGTCGCGTGACTTGGGTGATTATCACCCATTTCTCACCCTATCTACTCCGTATAGCGTAGTCCTTTTTTACCCCGGTAGCATAACCTCTGCTATATATGCCCCATTATAATTTAACCAAATACATACGACCATAGGGTGTGGAAAATAGGGCTTCCCGTCCGCTCAGCCGTACTCAAGCCACACGCCGGTGAGTTAGTAGTTGGGTGGGTGACCACCAGCGAATCCTCACTGTTGTATGTTTTTTGTTTTTGCTGTTTATTTTGTATTTAATTTATCTTGGGCAAACAAAGAACCATCCCAGGAGCAAGATGCGAGACGCAACTGCAGTTATTGTGAATGGGTTTAACGTGAACGTATTTGGTTCGATTAGAACAAAACCATTCCCCAAAATCGAAAATCATAAGCCACCGTAGATTGACTAAAGCTAAAAGAGACCAGGAGCCTTTGTTGAAAAGGGCAACTGGTTAAGTCCATGATGCCACAACAAGAAACCAAAATCCCGGGCTTCTCAAAGTAACAATTGCCCGTCCCGCCACATGTCTCTGTTCAGCCCCCAGGATTCCTATGTAAGATTCCTATGTATGCCCTGCTGGGTACCCAGTTTTAGGTATCGCACCAAAGAAAATTGGTTTGTCTTAGTGTGCTTTTTCACGTAGGCGCCTGGGAATTGAAAGACTGGGCTTCTAGCTAGGAGAACACCCTCCGCTGGGCTTTGTAACTGCAAAGAATCCCCGTTGGTCGAGAATATCGCTACGACCAGCTGGCACACCGTTGATCTGGCGCTTCTTGCTAGATTAACAAAGTGATCGGTTAGTTTATGACCCGTTTCCGGACTGAGATAACGGCGCACCCATTGTTATTTTCGCTAAAGCATTCCGCTAACTCAGGGAAGACGGCGGGGAGAGTGACGGTCTCTAAAAATGAGGAAACAACTAGAGGCGTGGAGCCTTCAATAGGAAAGGGCTCATCCACACTTGGGAATGCCCCTGAGAAATTCCACAGTACGAAGGAGATATCGGAGGGGTCGTCGCTAAAGTCGAGTTAAATTTTATTTTTATTTTGCCTGTTTGGAGTTGCGATCCCCAGGGACGGGCACCCTACCTGGTGTGAGTCCACTGGAGTGTTAGCGGCGTGGTGAGGTCAACACATATATCTTGGACCGGCTGCTTGAATCTCAAGGATACTTCATATTAGCTCAAGCTACTGTCAATCAGTTATAGCAAGATGTACCTGTAGTAGTAGCGGCCAATGCAATAATAGGTGTAATAATGAACCGCATAATGATATACCAACTGTTGAACTGAGAAGATAAATAGGAAGCACCTCAGCGACGGAAGAGAAGCTGTGTTTTTATAGAGCCTGTAGTTGTAGTTATACGAAGCTCGTATACCGTAGGCCGTATATAGGCCTCCTATGCTGATGATATCTGACCATGAGCCATACTCAATAACGTAACGTTGGGATAGACCTGTCTTGCAATACGAAGCAAAGTAATTATGAATATTGAAGTAAAAATAAGAGATCATGGCCAAGCTGTGAGCTATCTGTATTATAATAACCGGGAGAATCCTCACACACAAATTCATGCTACCTTATAATGATACTTTAGTTCCTTGTGCTCTCAAGCCCCGTAATTTCTAGATATACTTTGTTAGATTCCCAGTCCACAGATATCAGAGATGCCACGAAGATAGGCTACTGCGCCACATTGTATGGTGTGGTATCAGAACTTCTCTCACTGGAATCAAGCATCCTCCGGCGGTTGATTAGTTTTATCAGATGATTTTCTGAGTAAACCTTTGAAATTGCGCGGGCTTAGTAAGCCCCTGTGTTCATCTCGGGTTCCCCAGTCGAATTCCAAAAGATAACGTCCTGCAGGCTTAGTGAGAGTTCGAGAGATCCAGCCTTGTCTCGTATACGAACCGGTTTATGACGATGTTACACAAAAGGGTTTGCTTCCAGCAGCAGTTTTAAGTTTGCTTATCTGGATTACCTGCGGTAATATCCAATGAAATGAAATAGGCGCACAATCAACTGACTCAATTTGTGGGTAGTGCTAGAATCCATAAATTCAAAAACCCGTGTAATCAGCTCAATGAATCGTTTCTTATATGTGACCGATGGTAGGAGTCCATATACTAGCACGGCAGAAGGTTCTCGAGTAAGAGACTGACTTCCGATATTATTTGCAAGAATACTTTAGAAGCTTGATCATATGTACCATCGTTAGCACACACGACTAGACTGAAGTGAAACTGGCTCGTGGGATCCAGGTCTTCCCAGTCTAACGGCTGACAAACTGAATATCGAGAGATATCAGTGTGAGAGACGAGTAAAGCGGCAGCTAAAACTGACAAGACTTTGCCTGCTCACTGAGGTGTATAGAAATACGAATTCTGTAAGAGAGTCCGACAATGTAGGAGGTCCTACGGCTCTCTCACTACCTACTTTAGTGAGTATGCCTTGACCTATGATTTGATCTCACACCTAATCCGGTACATACGACCATAGGGTGTGGAAAACAGGGCTTCCCGTCCGCTCAGCCGTACTTAAGCCACACGCCGGTGAGTTAGTAGTTGGGTGGGTGACCACCAGCGAATCCTCACTGTTGTATGTTATTTTGTTTTTCTTTTTTACTCTTTGCTGTTTTTGTTAACTCTGTTTAAGTTACCGTGGTAGAATTTTAGACATTCTTCTTCTTTACCTTCAACAATGGATGTCCCAATATAGAGCCGTTGTGAGATGGCTCCCAAATTTGCTAGGGTTCGGAGATTTAAGCCGCAAGACCCACACAGTACAGCAGCCGAAATGGGCCAAATTATCATAGAAGTGTGATTTAATTGCTGTCAAATACTATGGTTGAATAGTATGGTGAGATACAGGGTATTAAAAACCCAGAAAACCCTTCGGACCTCTAGGATGACGTACTCCATACAAATTTCATATATTGTTTAGTTGGCTGCATCCCTATAGATTGGAAAAAATAGTGGATTCATTCTGGGTTATTTAGTAAAGAGCCATACGCATCTTGCTGCATATCATATACATTGTCGTACAACCAGATTTCTGTCAATTTTCAAAAATGACAATAAATTATACCCGAAGCAGTCAGGTTCAATTCTCTATACGAAGCCTTGCCAACTGCTAATAATTTATAAAGTGTATGTAGATCAAAAAAAAAAAAAAAAAATACCAGAACACACTGTGCTTGATAGTTCCGAGGTAGACATGTGAGTCTTTCTCGTGACTCTTCTCTTTATTTACAAAACAGCAGATGACAATCTAAATTTGTCGTACCCCCTTGATCCAAAAGAGTTCATGAATCGCACCCCAAATCACGCCCGACCTTCGAGTAGTTTGACAATTTCAGTATGACCGGCCGCTCTCGCATAGTCGACTGGTAGTTGATCATGCAAATCTTTCATTGACTTCCTTGCCCTAAAACTCAACAGTATTTTTACCATCTCTTGCTTCCCTTCCTGGGCAGCAACGTGCAGCGGTGTCAAGCGCGAATGTTTCCACTCAATATTGGGATCAATGCCAGACGATAGAAGAGCCTGTAAGCGTTTGGGTTGATACAGAACAACATAAAGATGCGCACTATACTCATATGGATGATTGAAAAGCGACTGGCGAGCTCCGTCGGTTAGAAGCACACGAAGTCTCTCAATAGTGCTTTCCCGATTGACTTTGGCTTCTAACTGGTCATATGGCACGACATCGTCGAGTATCTCTGCAACCAGCTTGAATGCCTGCAAAACATAGCCGCCGGGCTGAGCGGATAGAAGAGAATGGACAACTTTGCCTTGGATGGCTATAGCGGCAGGAAGCTTTTCGAGACCGCCATTTTGCTCTAGGTGGCTGTATGCTTCTTGCATTCTATGGAGGCTACTTTCCCTCTTCAATCCATCGGTGCAATTCTTTATGAACTGGGAAATGGACTCCGTCTCGCCGTCCTCCAGTTTGAAGCACAGTTAAATGGTCACTGCTCTCATGTTATGCACTATACGATCAAACCATATCCAAATGATCTGCTTTCTTTGTAAAACATGAAATGCTGGGTAAGGGACATAAAGACCAGGGAGTAAAAAGGGACCTTGAAGAGAAACCTGTCATAATGTTCTAGGGAGTGCAGCGGTGATACAGTGAAAATTTTGGGGCCAATGAATCAGACACAGACTAAAGGGAGGTTGCACCGACCATTACGGCAGGCTTGTCCATTATTGTAAGAAACCAAAGATCAAACGTTTACTGCAAACAATTCTGCCAGGCGGCAACTGCCATTTTGCATTTTTCAATACAGAGATACAAACCATCTGAAGGGCATACACAGTATCCAGGAGTATTCTAAGACTACTTTCCGTCCGTTTTTAGTACACTTTATATGTATGGTTTGACATGGATCCTAAGTAGATCTACCTAAAGATGCCAATTGCCATGTAAACCAGTGTTGACTTGCTGGTACTGTTAATCAGGCGGTGATCCTTGGCTCCTTCTATGCCACGAAAGACGTTTAGTAGCAGCGTTTCTGCGGAAGTTAGAAGTGCCCACTTGCAGCAATAGTATCCGGGATGAATAGAACATACACAGCAGGCCCGGACATTTCCGGAAGAAGAACCACACTGGACCAAGCCCCTATTGATAATTAGGACCTCTTGCGTCGATTTAATACCGTTCAAAAGTACTTACTGGGACTCGCAGGAGGCTCCGTGGACGACCTATCAATATTTCAGATGTCTTGCACACTTGACTGATGGTCAACTATGACACATACCTTGCAGCTTTCTCCCTGCTGTCTGGCTTCTAGATTGGGGGAAGCGAAAGCAACGGCTAGGAGAGTAGCGAAGATGGCGATGAAACGCATATTGAACAATAGTCAAGGCTGAAGATTGAATAGGTTGGATTGATTTGATTGATGATTGTGTGATGATGAGAATGAAGTGGAGAGGAGATTTCCTCCTCTTTATACCCCTACATCCCCACAGCCGCTCTCCGAAGAAAATAAAACAGTGTAGCGTAACTTGGAGTAAGTTTTCTGGGGCCAGGCATGGATTCAGCCTTGTTTGTATGTATGTTTCTGTCGATCAGCGCCCCAGGATCTCGGCATAAGCGATGATCTTTAGGCAGCCTCCTTAACTTTCTCTATAACAGGTGAAGTGTTTGGTTTCTAGTCAGCAACCCTGATATTCTGACGTAGCTTTTATCTACTCAAGTTTAACCCGAAACTGTTATATTAGGCTCTCATTATTAGGTAAAAGCTCGGGGACTACTGATACCTGATACCTCGTACATTTAACCTATCGGAGGGCAGGAACATGACCAGACGTTGAGATCGACATGGTAGATCATCGCCTCGTGATTTCCCGCCTTGCAGGATGACGGCGTCGTTTGTATGCACCCTAGGGCTGACTTATGTGGGGTCACTAGGTTATTTTTTGTGTGTTTGTTTGTCTTTTGACATTTCTGGAGTGAAAGAGGTCCTGTCCTTAGCTCTAGTATTAGCATCAATCGCGCTGGAAATGAATTATACTAGCCTGCAATGCATTTGGTGTACCTGTATGTTGTATTTCGAATCATTCAATTTGATGTAGGATAACTCAGCATGCTGTATCGGCCCCCGCCCCGGTGTACTTTTTCCCTTGGTAATGTAGGCCAAGAACAATGTGAGGCATCTTATTGTGTCCTCTTTGCCCGAAATTTTGGCATCGGCGTTACAATAGGTAACCTGTACGATACATGAAATATTTATCAATGGTAACTGCAACTGACCTAGCGATTGTCCACAAATTTGACGTGTACCATGCTTTGGTATGTGGAGGTACTTAGCAAAAGATAGCTAGCCAAGCTATTAAGGGTCCGAGGTGTAACTATCATATCACGCTCTATGTGAAACCTAAGGGCATCAGCGCCTCCGCCCTTATTCTCACCCTATCTATAGCGCACACATCCCTATCACCCCGGCCGCACAATGCTAAATTTACAATTGATTCTCAATCAATTGCACTCTATTATTCTCCCTCACAAAGAATCCGATACATACGACCATAGGGTGTGGAAAACAGGGCTTCCCGTCCGCTCAGCCGTACTTAAGCCACACGCCGGTGAGTTAGTAGTTGGGTGGGTGACCACCAGCGAATCCTCACTGTTGTATGTTTTTCTTTTTGCTGCTTTTTTTGTCCAGAAAGTCCCTACCGCTCTATGGATTTTATACAATACACTGTGCTAGAGTACGATATTGCTTGTAGACAGACGGGTGGGTATTGCTCACGGGCCCTTATATATATGTATGTTGAAAATCGAAGTCAATATATCATAATTAACATGCCTTTGGATCTGTTAATTGATTTCGTGCACACGTCGCTTCTTGAACACACCAAAAATTCAGGACTCCTACGGAATCGAGGTTAACGGCGTCAATGCAATTTGACATTTGATCCGTACAAACTCAAGGATCCTGTATCTCAGGGTGGCATTTCAATACAGCCTGCTTGCAATGCACATTCACCCTTTTTCAAACCCATGTACTAACCATGGAAACCAAGAAGAATCCAGCGTTTAATGCTGCCACCACTCATTTTCCTATATGTCTGTTTCTCTCATTACAAATTCACATTGCATAGTGAAGGGTAGATGAATCTACAGGGGTGGAAAGGAAGACATAAATAATACTCTTTGTAAAAGATTCATTCTAGATTTCTACGTGCTGTTTAGTATATTACTCTTGTAATATATTGTTCAACAGTATCAGCCTGAAATACAGCCCAGACGGGCTGGTAATTATACAGCCACACCCCAAATATATATCTTTACCTTACACATTTCAATATTGTGCACTAAATAATTAAAATAATACTACCATGATAGCTGATTAAGATAATTATAAATGTATTAGGATTATTCATCAATTTTACCCATCTATATTAGGAAAGGCGCCCTGGAATTATGTGCTGGAGGTTCAATGTGGGTGTAGGGTTTACGATCTAGCAGTCCAGCTTGGTCTATCTGCACCTGCTTATTTTTCAGTGGCAGACACATTTTCGTCCCAGAATAAACACTTTTCTCTTGCTCGACCTTAAATACAGTTCTCTTCGTTCCTGCAAATCATTATTTCTTCATCATCTTTTCCACATTTCTCACTACATCATCGTTGCCAAGATGGGATTCATGGCGCTCATGCTCAAGGGCTCGATGTGTTTGGTATGTTTGGTGTGGGGCCGGGCCGAGCGGTGGTGTAGCTGAAGAGGGTCCAGAAGTTGGAGGGTTCATCCCTCCAACCGGGGATGGCTCTTTTCCTAAGCCACCACAGTCTGCACATCCGGTACACGTGGTAAAATTGCTACACATATAAGGTAACATATGCCGTGGAACATGTTCTTCAGTATGGCGCAGTCGTACCGTTGCCAGGTCGGCTTCTATATTGCGGCCCATACTCTTGAGCAGGTTATACCGTACTAAAATTCTCAACCGAGCTAGCGATGGGATGTCGAAGAAATCAATGTTCAGACGCTGTCGCGCTTCGAAGTCGTAGTCAAAGCGTGAGGGAAAGGTGTTGTCGAACTCAAAGAGGCGCTGGAGCGTTAGGGATTTCTTGTTCACATCGGCAAAGTCGTGGCTGCGGTGGGGAGGATATTCATCGACTAAACATTGAAGATAACTGGTAAGATCTTGCATATCTTTCTGACAAAGTTGAGCCAAATCTTGCAGTACAGTGAGGCGTCCTTCAGGGCTGGAGGCGCCATGAACGAGGTATTGGAGTATGCGTTGTTGTAGATGATGGTCCCCAATCTCCTTCGCGCTGTGGGCAACAATGTTTAGCCTGCTCTCTATGGTCGCATTGGAATATGCGGTTGTTTGCTCCGGTTGAAGACATTGAGTTCTAGTTGTAGACTCCCGAGACCATATCCGAGCAGCAAGCCTTGACTCAATGACCCACGGCTGGAATGAGACGCCCATCCATAGCCCTTGTGTAGCCTCAAGAAGCACCCAATTTAAGTATGGCCGACTGTTGATCAAATGGGGAAATGTTGAAAGTATGGACATTGCTAGGTAATGTGCCCTCTGCGAAAATTGACGTTGAATTGCTCGGACGGATTTCGGGCTGGTATGAAGGTTAAAAAATGCCGTCAATAGAGATGCATTGGCAAGCTCGGTGAAAAGAAGCTGTTCGTCGCTCCTTGATATTCCCCCTTGTCCAATAGACATATCCGGTGCTCTGGGTAACTCGTTTAAATCGGCAAAGCCTTCTAAAGTCCCATCGATGGTATACTGGCCACAAAACTCATCCCCAAGTAATGGCAATATGGCTCGTAATATCCGGTGTGATTCCCAGAAAAAGCCTTCCCTGACTAAAAAGCGATACCATTCGCTTAGTAGAGGATACTTTCGTTTTGTGATGTTCTTTACGGGATCTTGTGATATACCAGCATCAACTGTGACGTTGTTATCGGAGCGGGATGTTGGCTTCTGTAAATGTATCCTTGACGATTTATGAGAGTGGAGGACCCCTGACAAGGTCTGCGTAGCCGGGGGTGTCGGATTCCACTCTAAGAGAATTCGAAAAGTGTTGTTTTGTAAGAAAGTCGAGTGTGCGACCGCATATGTGATAATGCGCAAACAGGCTTCCACCAACTGGATCTGAGAAGGAATTAACCCAATGACCACTAATATTCAACCTAAACCACATACCTGAATCCCTATAGACCATTTGGACCAGGGTGGATCATCTTTCGTTTCTCTCTCCCAGAGCCCAAGTACTTCCACTGCCATTTCCAATGCGGGTATCAATGCACCTCTAGTGTACATCTCCGCGAGAGATTTGACGAGTCTCATTAATTGTACCTCTCCCTCGGAGTATTCCACCCGTGAGTCTTTCAGCCGAGTGGAGAGAAAATCGTGAAGATGGCCAAAGCTTCCTTGCTCTAGGAGAAGATCTGCATACTCAGCTACAACGGGGAAGAAATCCATGTAAATTACCAGTCGTTCCTCGAATAGGCGGGACGCCTCCTTAAAATGTCCAAGCCTGTTAAGTCGAGACAGACATTCTAGGTCAGGGTTGATGTCTACGGCTGCATCTAGGTCAAGGTGAACGGTGACATCTTTGGCTTGGTCTCCGGGGCATAGTACAAAGTCGAATGGTTCCTTGAAGGGTGAAGGGAATGGTTCCTCAAAAGGTGGAGGAGGCGGGTAAGGAGGGTAAGATGGACCAGAGCGCTGTTTGGGAGCATATCCATAAATGGATGGCATATATTGTTGGGAATCCCTCCGATCAGTTCGACCAAACATGTGACGGTACTCGTAGGCGGAGTCGGCACTATCGGCGGAATCTGGTGATTGTTGTCTTCGGCGTCGAGGGGCGAACGACTGATGTTCTTGAGCCATCCGTCCCGATGTTGGGCGACGGCCCGAAGGGGAGCGTGAACCGTGGGGTGGATGACTGCGGGGCGAAGTTCTCAGTCGGGAGGCTGAATCAGATAGTTTTGATGCAGTCGGATATGGTAAACGCGCCCACTCGTCATAATCTTGGTTCTCATGAATTTCTAATTCGGAAGATGTAGGGGCATGGACATGGACACTAGATGAGTCCTCATTGCCGGATTCAGAGCGATCCGATTGATCAACGACGACACTGAGCCTAGCTGCGGTAAATAAATATGATCGGGAGAAGACAGTGCAATCAAAACATACGGCATATAGAAAATATAGAGCGATGGGGGAGAAATTCCAGACAAAAATAAATGAATGTATCTGAGAGATCATGCTGTGTGCGGAGTACTCCGTACATAAGTACCTAAATACGGGGCTGTGCCATTGGGCCCCAAACCATCGACTTTTCTTCCAACCAAATAGGGTAGAATGTATCTCCACTTCGTAAGCTGCATGAGCACTTAGGTAGGCTGACTTTGACGAAGAGAGAAAAGAAAATTGAAAATTGAAAAGAAAAGGCAGGGTTTCCACTCTACAACAATAATGCCGTTCACTCACTCTCGCTCACAGCCCATGAGATATGTCGATATCTGTCAAACACAGTCGAGTGCTAGTCTCTGTGACGTTAAGGTCGGGAGAACTCGGATTGACTGTTGCTTTCTCATGTCTAAGACGCGCTGGGGGCAGTTACATAACAAACCCTCGGGTGTGATCTATCTAGATCTAACCTTCCACCAGCCTGCCGACTGCAAACTTGCGGAAGCAACCATCACCATGAATTTTCAATATGCACACACAATCCGAGATTTACCCGCCAAAAACCTCGAAGTCACGGAGTTCTTTGGCCCCAAAATTCTGAGCGGGGAAAAAAGGGAACGACAAGTATCCACGACCCTAGAGGTCAACCCTAAAGTGGGTACCGGCGGCATCAACATTGAAGGGGGTGGCTGGTCCCAAAGATCAGATACAAGCTATGCATCACGGTGGAAATTCACCGGGTCGCGTTTTGTCGCAGAGCCTTCCTCGCCTCGCGATGCGTTGCATTCTCGAAGCAGCCAATACCAGCAACTCGTATGGCATTTGGACGAGAATGAGCTGGATAACCAGGCCATCCACCACTCGACTGTGCATTCCGCCGTTGCATTTTATCATGACTCCGAACCGTTTTTCCTCGACCTTCAAATAGAAGTCAAGTTGCATCGGTGGCACCATCGACTTAAGCAGCGGTTGATCTATCCGCCACGCAGCCGAAAGGCATACACCAGAGCCTCAATCCACGCTACATCCAATATAGATCCAGATCCAAACTTTGCAGAACTCGTCAGCAACCTCGATCATGCCATGATAGACATGAATTTGCACCCCGTAGTGGGTAGGTTCACCTTATCAAACACGTCCCAGACAGTATTCAACCACTAACCCTCGTCTCGTAGAGGTGCCGGGCCCAACACCTAAACTAGTTGATGCTTCCTATGAAGACAAGGAGAATGACACAGAAACGAATGCCAGATGCCTCCCTAATGAGAGTCTTATCGCGTTAGTAGGGCAACTCACTGGTCAGGGTACACCCACTTTTGGAGAAACGAAACCCACATCGTTCATGGATAGTTCGACCTCTACGCTCGTCGAGTCGAATACTACAAAAGAGCCAGAAGAACAAGCCAGCTCAGATACTACTATCGTCGAGTCTGAGGATAGTCTTACTTTTGCTCCCCCGAGCCAACAGGATGGTTTCAATGCAATACAGAAAATTGTACTACGTGCAGTTATCTCTGTTTTATGTCGGGGATCGCGGCTCTTAGCCACAGTAATTGCGTCGGTTATTCTTGGACTGAATGGATTACATTCGGTTCTTGTTCGACTGGGAAAGTGAATATAGAAATGTACAAAGCGCATAGCAGACTGTCAAATTAGCGAAAGCGGAAGCAATTTGATGGGTCGAAAGCACATCGATCCGCAGGAATGCCTAGCGTGCTTAAGGCTATGAGTGTTGGTGTCCCAGGGGGATCAACGGAACACAACATTACATGGGGAAGGAAGTAGGATCGGGCAATTAGATCGCTCAGGGCAAGGGTTTCTTTATGATTGATATAAACAGCATATCAGCCTGACCCAATTGAATCAATCCAGTTACAGCCCCTCATATCGCTCATATGACTATAGCCACACTTATCAGACGGCCATTGACTGATTTAATCTCTATTTAATCTCTAATTTCTATTCTTTTCATCTCCAAAGCGAACAGATACTAAGATGCTTTAGTGTTGCAGCCTGCATTCATTCGGATTTGAACTTCCCCTTCGCAAAGGACAGCAGACAATCAACCACTTTCTTACATATATTGATGATCTATATGGCTTGGGGTTGGACGGATTAAACGTTTACCGCAACTATAGTTTCAGGCAAATGTTACCTGAGGACGATGGAGTAGGAGTATAGCGTAGGTAGTTTGCTCAGAATTTGTCATTACCGAATTGTGGCTACCTGTGCAAGACCCACATAACTTAGATGACTATGTAGCAATAGAGAGTTCCCTTCTAGATTGGGAATTGCTGTACTGGGGAAATAGCAGACAAATTGAACAAGTGGCATTATGGATTGTATCCTTGCTACAGCTCCATCGGAAATTCCCTTTCTAGGCCGCTGATCCTGCTGAATAGAGTCGATATTGAAGGGTGCATTCATTAATACCAGCCCCTTTTCCACCCCATTGGTCCGTTTGTTTCGGAAATCCCCGACTCCTTGCAGGAGATCTATCGGATCGACATTTTACACCAACTGACTCAGGACCCTATCCTGATTGTAATATTATAGATCGGTTCAGCAGAGTATCGCCGGAATGCTACGTATCCGTGATCTACATAATATATCTAGATATTTAAGCCGTGCCTCGGCAAGGAACAATCTTGCAAGGAGTTTAGGTCCCACTAGAGAATCTTTCAGCTCGACTCTCTACGCCAACGGTCCCTAGTAAATCACTGCTAGATATGGCGTTAAACATTGCCTAATAAACATATAAAATGGGGGCCATCTCACCTATATGTAAAAGCATCAACATCAAGCAAAGACCTCTAAGCAGGCAAGTCTAAATATGTTGTCCCGTACTTTCAGGTCGGTCATGGTCGCGCTGGCCTTCGGCGCTGTCACCGCGTCGGCACAGGACTTCAATCCGATCCCGAGCCGTCACTTCACTGAGTATCAGATGCCGCCAGCCACCCAGACACATGAGTTCGCGCGCGTGCCAGACACGAATATTGTGTTGCTGTCGCAAATGTCTAACAGCAACCTTGTCAAGATTGAGCTGGATCCAAACACCGAGGAGTTCGTTGCTCTTCACTCATTCCCCATGGGAAAGGACAGTAGTTCGGGGCTACATGGCGTGTGGCCATCGACTGTGTATCCTGGCATGATGTGGTTGTCTCTGCAGTACGAGAACAAGCTTCTTCTCGTGGACCCCGGCAAGGAGTCCTCGACTGCGCCAACCATCCTACAGACGATTGATATCCCGGCGCCAGGAAACGGCCCTCATTGCGTATTTGAAATTGGCAACCGCGTCTGGGCCGGCCTCAAGGAGGCATCTAAGCAAACAGGCAAATACTACGTGTACTCAGCCGATGCCTCCGACCCTACGGACTACACATTGTACGAGTCTCTCAACAGCCCTGTCTTTATCAAAGAAGAACCTACCACCGGCTTGATCTACGTCACGCAAGACTGGGACTCATCCATCATGCGCATCGATGTCTCTACCGGTGAGACGGAGCAGCTGCCAATCCCGCCCAGCGTCGGCAGCACTGCTGTCGGAATGACCAGTGCCTACGGTCCCATGAGTGGTGTGTGGTTCACTCTCGCTGGAAATTCCACTGGTGGCACCGGCACCTTTGGTCATATCGGGTCCGATGGCGAGATGAAATTCTTCCAGCTCCAGAACCCGCTTAGCGCCAACTCAGGTCTACTCCATCTCGCTGACGCGACAACCGAGGAAGGTGGCCCGGCCTTGTGGATTTTGTCAACATCGCTTCTCAGCGAGCACTCGTCTGATATCCTGATCCATGTGACTTTTGACGCCGATGTCACATCCGTTGCCGGTGAGGAGTATACTTACTTGCCCACTCAGAATTCTAAAGTTCACCGCGTCGTGCCCTTGGATTCCACGGTTTTGGTGTCTGAGCTCAGCACCTTTACAATTGCCCAACTTAGCTACAGCAACACCGTTGCCGGGGAGTGGTTGCCACAGAAGTATGTCAGTGGCAGTGCGGTTAGCGCGGAGGCTTCGTGAAGAGGAGTTTTTCTGTAAGAAGCCTATAGATAGATATCTAAACACATTACTTAATAACCGGGTCTATAGACTTATTACGAGAAATCCTCTATCTACTAATAATAGGAACTAAGAACGGTAAATTATAAGTCAAACTTATAGGGTCTAGTTTCTAACTATATAGTCGCAATTCTCTAACGTAGAAGGCGCTAGCTTCAGGTAGCAGATAGTATTATCCTCTTTTTCCTATTCTTAATATTTACATACAAAGCTACGTGATATAATACGTACGGGATACTCTTAGGGTAATTTCGAGATACTGTATTCGGAGAATATATTATAAGTGGTAAAGAAATTCAAATAAAATTATAGTAGTGTGAGAAAAGAGCCTTAGAGATTGTATTATATATTTTTCCTGGGGTAGGTATAAACTTGGAGTAAATTCGCCCTTATCACTCCGTTCTTACCTCTCACCCTAGTCTGAAGACTTCTCACCTACGTTACCCGCACTCACCCTGGAGTGCTGCTTAGGTGCTAGGGTCAAATTGAATATTGACTGCGCAGAATAATGGGCTCAATTACGGCTGAGCGGACGGGAAGCTCAGTTTTCACATCCTATGGTTGTATATATGAGGTTATGTGTGCAAGGGAATTATAGAATGCCGGGGATTAAGTGTTGGTAGGCTATTGGGATAGTGATTGGACTACGTGGCTGTGTAGCATAGCAAATTTCGTACAGACAAATGATAATCAAGCACAAGTGAAAATATTATTGATTGGAAAAAAAAAAAGGTTCAGTTGCCCTTTCAATTGGCCCGAAGTCTAGTACATCTCTGAGAAATCTTCCACTCCGTCCAAGCCTGTCGCATTAACGCCATATCAATACCCCCAAAATGAGACTCGGTTTTTCCGATTTGTCCAAGGGTCAGACCCTGTCTCTGTAGGTCATGAACCTCTCGTTTGTTCTTTGCATCAAGCCTCTGCGGGGGCTTGCAGCCCTTTGGACTGTCCGCTTGATGCTGGGGTGACTGAGCTTGTGCCTTAGCTCTAGTGAGGGTTCTGCGAGGGGCGTACATCTAGCACACATAATCACATTGCCAGAAAAAGAAGATTGAAAACGTCGAAAGATTTCCCTAGATAGGGGGCGGTTGCATATTTTTTAGTGCTTCCCCTATTGCCTGGAATGTGGTAATCTGCCGTTCCTGCTCTTCCTGAGGCAGAGCGGCAAAAGCACTTGTTTCTTCGTCCCATTTCCTCACACATTCCACATCCCAATTGCACCTCTCGACCTGTCCAAAGATCGGGTGATAGAATCGTGGATGGCGGTCTGGCCACGCCGATGCATGGTAGTGGTGCTTCACCAACGCTGTGCGCGAATTATGGGTGCCCGAGTCCGAATGACCCTGCCCAGCGGCAAATGCTTCAACCGTGAGAACCAGAAACCCCCCGACAAGTTTGGACTCCGGTATGTCATGGAACATATCCCATGTAACATGCTTGCCCGTCGCACGGCTCATTTCAGATAGTATTGCGGTTGTAAAGGCGGAAGGCCCGGTGCCTGTGATCACATCATCGAAGTCCAGCTGAAGCTCGGAGATTGGCCTTCCTTGCTCGATGGAGAGCTGATTGAGCCATTCGAGAATATTCTCCACTAGTCGCATCATAACAGGCTGTCGAGGCTTGCACATGAATGTCCATTGACAGAAGGATTGAGATTTTTGACCTAGTATAGGATGGTCGCGGAAGTGTGGCTCATCGATTTCGACTCCAATAACCATGTTGATCTCGTTCTCGTCATGGGTTTTTGGGATGAATCGCTCAACTGGTCTCAATGCCTCCACGTCTATATCGGCGTAGACACCTCCCTCTATGTACAAAACAAGATATCGAAGTAGGTCGGCTTTGATGATCGGAGCCGTTAAAGACCGGTATGTTCTAACGATATCTGGTCGATTCATCCCGAGGGGTCCGAAGTTCGCTTCGACATAGTCGAGGTCATTCTGGTCGGTCAGAACCTCGTACCTGTAGCCTGGGTTTTTAGAGATCCAGCTGCGCGCTACTTCGATATCACGCCCGTCGAATTCCAATGGATTGACTTTCCAAATCTGCCAGATTTTCCTGGGAAACTGTCCGCCAATATTGCCCGTCAGCTGAGTAGAGTACGATTGATTCTTGACAAAGTCGTGCGATGTTCTGGTGACACAAAAGTAGATGAACAGACACAAAGCCACTAGACCCCCATGTGTGAATCTGCGTGCCTTCTTCGGAAAGAGACTGGGCACTGCGAAATTTTTCTCCAGCATGACTGGACCTGTGATGTGATTTAATTCAACAACCTGTGTGGAACAAGCATCAAAGTCGAGAGACGAGGAAGATTGTTAGTACAGGGAGGCAGGGCCTTATTTCCCTGATGACAATGATAAGTAGATTACATACAATACATGTCATCGTAATTAACATGTGGTATTCATTTAATACACTTGCTAACGCAATAATACCTGTCGCTGGCACAGAAATGGTCAAGGGTTGAAGCTTAACTGATTGCATTCGGGTGGCGGGGGCCAATAGTAGAGGCCAAGTGCGTCCAGTTATGGATTTAGTTCAACGCCATTTAGACTTTTGTGCTCACATACAACCCCAAAGCTTGTGACAATGCAGGGGTGAGATCGTGGCTGCACGGAATCATATCTGGTCATATCCCCGAGGTCTGTGGGGGAAAGAGGGAAAAGAGGGGGAAATCTACCCGGTTTTTATGGGCCTCGGCACTACGCACTGGGGCTCGTGGGGCTCGCTAAGGACAGTAGTACTAACTGTATCTACTAGATTCACATGTTACAGAGCTGTACTGACAGCTGCGTAATTCTCAAATGAAATTGGGATTTTCTATTTGATCTTTTCTTGAAAATTTCCAAGGACTCTCTCAACTCCAATCCACTCCCCCAATGCCTATGCTACACCCCTTAACCGAGAAGTCTTCACCTCAGTTGTTGAAGTCAAGTCCAGAGCGAGTGCTCGAGAATGGACAGTGGAAACCGCAGCCTGCCCATATGACACACTCTCGCCATGGGATGTCACTCCCCTCTTACATGGTTCCCTTCCTGCCCACATTCCTTACTGGGCGGACAAATAGCGACAACACGAATGAAAAGCAACGATTACATAGCAGGCCCACCGCATACCTAGATGGATTGCGAGGTTTTGCTGCTCTACTAGTCTACTGGGGACATCATCAAATTTGGGCACACGATGGCGGAGGGGTTGGAAATGCCTTCGAGTTAGCCTACGGGTACGATGACAAGTACTATTTCGCATGCCTTCCTGGTATTCGAACATTCTTTTCGGGGGGCATTTTGCCGTCAGCGTCTTTTTCGTACTCTCGGGGTACGTTCTTTCAATGAGGCCACTGGTAATGATCCAGGATGGCGATTACGCTGGACTAGGTAAATCCCTTTCCTCGGCCGTATTTCGCCGATGGTTTCGTTTATATATTCCTGTCATTTGCACAACATTATGCTACATGACATTTTTGCACTTGTTCAAGATAGCCGCTGTGCCAGAGGTTCAAGGAAGCTACCGCGCGGAGCTCTGGAATTGGTACGCCGAGTTCAAGAATTTCAGTTTCCCTCTCCGAACAGGCGGCGAGCCCTGGTTCACATACAATTTCCATGCTTGGTCTATACCCGTCGAACATCGAGGTTCTCTGGCTGTCTATACCGCCGTTCTCGCCTTTTCAAGATTTCGCCGTAATGCCCGGCTTCTAAGCGAAGTCGCGTTGGTGGTGTACTTTTTGTATATTGCGGATGGAGCACACTATGCTATGTTCATTGCCGGCATGCTTCTAAAAGATCTCGACCTCCTCGCCATACGAAATGACTTGCCCCGCTTCTTTTCCAGACTGGTTCCCTTCAAGACGATCATCATGACTGTTCTCTTCTATGCAAGCCTTTATCTTGGAGGGGTCCCCTCACACACGGACAATTTGCAACAATTACGTGACTCATCAGGGTGGTACCTCTTATCCTTCTTAAAGCCACAGGCAGTGTTCGATTACAAGTGGTTCTACCTGTTCTGGGCCGCCGTCTTTCTCGTCGTATGCACATCTCACCTTCAGTGGCTCAAGACATTCTTTACCACTCCATTCAACCTCTACTTGGGCCGTATTTCATTTGCATTCTATCTGGTTCATGGACCGGTTCTGTGGACTTTGGGGGACAGGCTGTATGCTGCAGTGGGTTTTGTACGCGATTCACACCCTCAGAATTGTCCCTGGTGGATTAATCGCCTCCCCTTGCCTAACGTTGGCCCTTTTGGGCTTGAAGTCAACTTTCTCGCCGCAAATCTGGTTCTGTTGCCCTTGACTATCTGGCTCGCAGAGGTCACGACTAGACTAGTTGATGAGCCGGCGGTGAAGTTCTCTCAGTGGATCTATCAAAGGGCGCTGGTTGATAAACCCTGACAACCTTCGCATGTGTCCATGATCTGCCTAGTTTGTTTTCAGTATCCAATTCAAAGCGTTCTTCTAAATATTAAATTGCTGTATGATAACACTGTTGTAACCGGAAACGAAAGTTACGACTAGCCCGGACCCCGGACCCCAGAGTTTAGGGTACCAGCAGATCATCAAATTCTTCTAACGGCATTCGTGAAATTCAATATTGAAAATTCTCTGCTGGGGGTAGAGTTTTGCAAAGATATCCGGGTCACTAAGATTTCGTAATCATGGTAAGGATCGTTAAGAGTTGTGGACGATCGAATCACCCCTCAATTCAGTGCCGTGTTAGTCAAAGCCCCCTTTTTAGTCAGGATCAACGACCAATCTTGGCAAGGCTTTCTCTAAAATAAGACTTATAACTTATAACCTCTTACTACTACGTCCCGTCTACACTCACCAAACTGAACATGGCCAAAAAAATAGCCACACACCTAATACTTATTGCAGGGCTATTGTCCGCGGTGATCCTCCTCGCCAAATTTCAATCCAACCATCTCGGCTTGCAATCGAAATTTCCATTTACGGGCTTTTCTTCGGATGGTCCATATAGGCAATCACACACTGATGCCGGAAAATCCGACATAGCTTGTTCAGGAGTTCATGGCAGCAAACCTTTGTCCCACTGCCAGAATGGAAATGTTACGGACGGGGACCGAAGATATCCTGGATCCGACAAAGACATGTCTCAGACGCACCACATGATCTATTCGGTATCGACTCCCGATCGAATGTATTTTAAGATCGATTTCGGAAAAAGATCCGTCATAAATCCCAGTATAATCCCCCACCCTGAGCTGCTTGACACGTGGATCATCACTGCGCAACTTCACAAGCCCCAGTCCGCCCCAGCTGCCTCAGTCTGGTTCGCCGAACTCGTTTGCAATGCCGCATTTTCGGATGACAGGCGAGTCTTGGGCTGTCTGGAGCCACCCCTGCAATTACCCATTCCAGCTACCTTTGGTGACTCCAACAAGTGTGTCGGCGACCTTTCGTACTTTAGTCTCAACGTTGGGCCTCATGATGCAAGGGTGTTCTACGGGCCCGAAATTCCGTACACCGTTTACGGCTCCAATTCGATCTTTACATGTTTCGGACAATGGATATCTGACTTCCGAATCTTGGTGGATTGGGGGCTAGACACCATAACTGAGCACGAATTCCGACAGTATCGTGAGCTTCAACGTCCAATGCCATGGGGTGCTGTTGAAAAGAATTGGTTTCTTTTCTGGGATGATTTGGGACAAATGTTCCTACATCATGAAATTGCACCGGCGCGTGTGTTTTCAAAACTCGAACTTGATGGCTCTGTGGGACCAAACTTGGCACCAATGACGTCTGGTTCTGACCAAGGATGTCTCAAGAGATTCTTGCCTGCGACGGGAAAGATTCACCAAGCGACAAACTCCCTAGCTATCACTCTATGTGCACGATCTGACCAATCTTGCCAACCTGATTCGACCAATACCTTTGTACTCTTCATTATCCAACAAAAGATTTTGAAAGGACTTCATCCTGTATATGAACCCTATGTGGTGCTGATGCGACGTTCGATGCCATTCGAGATCTATGCGGTCTCGTCAAAACCAATCTGGATCTTTGGTCGCAGCATTAAAGCAGAGAAATCAGATGAAGATTCTTCCACCGGATTACCGGAAGATACCTCCGAGATGCTCTATATGACCAGCATCAGTTGGAAAAACCATGGCCAAAAGTACCATGGATTCATTGATGACACACTATTCTTAGGTTTTGGCAGGGAGGATTCAGACTCTGGTGGTATCGACGTCACGGCGGGGGACCTTCTAACAGAGCTAAGTATGTGCGCTGGATCTTGATTTAATTCTCTAATACTGTATAACATTCATGCTTCCATATTTCGTTCTCAATGGGCCTAAAGGTAGACACCACTTCTAAGATGTGTAGTATGCAGGCACGTTCGGGGAGCGCGGGAAGGATTTAATTCAAGTACATGTGTATGGTACTGTAAATATTACAAATTACAAATTACACGAAGAAAACTAAAACAAGCATCTCTTTCAGGGCCCTGTCTTTCTCTTGCGTGAATCATGGTCGGTGGTGGCGATATTGGCGTTGTCTAGCGTACTTTGCCGCATAATTAATTTCTCGAAAGAGTTAGGCAAAAATATGGTCATATTTTCACATGTTTTGCTAATTCTAAGACATTCATCGGCCGAGGCTCCGAAAGTTCTCAAAGTTCTCAAATCCCCGGATCTTAACGTATCCCCGACGTATTCCCCCGCGCATCCGGGTTTTTAGCATATGCCAGAAACTCTAATTGGTTAGAGTTTGTGGGGGTTTGGATGGGCCAATTGAGTTTTTGTAAATTCAGGGCCCAGAACGCCTCTCCGGCCCTTCGATCTTATTTCGACTCGATATCCGTTGGAAGGGCCTCATTTCGTCGCATCTAGCTAAGATTAGCCCTCTCGGTGAAATCATATGTCATCAGGGACAGAAAAGTGGTTTCTCCAAACACAACATTAATCTATTGGCTTCGGACGAAGGATTTAGTTCCCTTTTCCTTCTTCTTTTTTATTTTTTTTATTTTTTCGAGTTGGCTGTTGCCGACGTTACATCCAATTTCCCCCGCACTCAGTCGTAGGAGGCCCGGTATACCGGGATCCATGTATGATGGTGTATTGATGTATATGACAATCCCACCTGTTTGGTATTTTTTATATAGTCACCCGAAACCTGGAGATAGTCCCACTTGAGATTATGAACATATCTAGTGAAGAAATGCGCCTTGGAATTCAAACTCCCGCCATTCGATGTTTGAACACTCTATCGTAGAATAACAGAGCTATTAAAATGAGTGTAGCGATGGCTTAACAGAGGCAATAAAAAAAATAGACGGAGGTACCAGCGCGGAATTAAGTATAGTAGATAGCAGCCAAAAAGCCATTCTGTTGTCTCTCCACACAACCCTTCAAACAAAGAACATCATGCTGGCTAACATGATAGCACTACCAACCATCTGAACGGCTCCGGGCGCAATACTAGGGGCACCGTTGAACTGGGAGGTGCTCTGAGCCGGCGCTGCAATGATCGTGGACGAAGTCTTGAAGCCTGTCCCGAAACTACTGACCGTGGTAGAATTGGAGCTCGTCGCTGTAGTTGGGATAACTGCCGCGGAAGTCGTTGTGGGAGCGGATGTGTCCATCGCGGGGATAGAGACCGGATGCCCAACACCGGAACACAAGGATTCAACGAGGCTGGATACAGCTATAGGGCCTAGTTTAGACCGAGTCATATGAAATGGAATGTGGCTTCTCATACCTTGTCGGTCCGCGACATCACAGGCTTTATTGACGCAGGGCACAATCTCTGCTGCGAGGCCAGGCTTTTGGCAATGGCACGCAAAATCCGTAAGCTCAGAGCAGCCGTCTCCGCTCAGGGTCGAAGTGAAACAGGTAAGCTGCGAGAGAAAGAAGAAACAAGCATAGGTTAGCTAGAGACGAGGCATTGAGCAGAGATATTGAGCGGGTAGCGCATACAGAGCATTGGGGGATATTGGATAGTTGGGCTCTGGCGATAGCACCGGCGGCGAGCACAACAATACCAGTAGTAAGGCGCATCTTGACTAAGGTGTAGAGCCGAATAGGTGAATGGCCTGGAGTCGGTCTGGCGTGGAGGACAATTAACGCGACTAGAACAACGAAATTTGAATGCATGCACGAGACTAGTTTTATATGATTTCCAATCCAGGCTCTATCTCAGGCTAGCGGGATATACCGGTTATTAAAACTTCATTCATGTCACATTATTGGTCACATAAGAGTCATCTTGATTTCTCTCCCAAAAGTACACCGTACAGTGGGCTCGGTTATCTTACTCCGCTGGTATTTCGACTAGTGTAAACCCTGTTCCTTTTGGTCCTGCAATAGTCCGAGCGAATGAAATACAACCATCAAACGAGGCGGAGTCGTAAAGCTTCCACAAATATGGTTTAGCGTGGACCTAGAGCTAGGACACCGAGTCATTGCGTTTTGGTAGCTACACTGAACTCAATGACGTTGCGAGCACATGTCTTTAATTAAAGATCGTGGAGCGAGGTTGGGGTACGGGGTATCCAAGGGACATTCACTAGAATCAGTACTTTAACCGATGGGTACTAGGTATTATGAAAACTCTAGCAAGGTCATATCTAGAAAAATTACTTATTGATCAGTCATTTTAAGCCTCTTTCGCCTATTCTAATTATATAAATCAAATGAGAGTAAACGGAAAAAACAGTGACTAAATTATCTAACACGCCGTTCTCGTTGAGGTATCTTCTTACTGTCCAAAATTCCAGAATGATCACTAGAGATTAACAAATAACAACTAGCCCAAAAAACAAAAACATAACGGCATGTCTATGGCCGTGGTCACCTAGAGCCCACGGTTCGGGCATAGTCGGCTCGCCGCTCTATTCAAAGCACTTAGGACGGATATCCAAAACTTACTTGTCGCAGATACTGATGCAGCTCGGCAAAGAATCCGGCCTCAGTCCGCAGTCAAGTCTAGCAAATCTGTGCTTGCGGAAACAGTAAATATCTTCTTAGTGCTTATATGCCCCTCCCTGTTGCTTGGTCGTCGCTATGGTTTACCATACCTCCACACTCTCCACCCCCCTCTTTCCTAGACGCTTTTATTACTGTTTTCGCCGGAAACAAACCTAGGTGATATTGTGGATAGCATTGGGGGATTCTAGGTGGTAAAAGCCAGAACGACAAGGCGCATACGATAAAGGGATCACACCGTCGATTAAGACCTCAGAAGGACTGGCAGAGACAGTCAAGGAGAAGGCAGCTGCCTTCCAGCAACCTTTCTTCCCAACACCCCCTCCAGCAGACCTTTCCGACATCGATAACAACTACCCAGAACCGATCCACTTTCCAGAGATCACATACCAGGAGATCACACAGGCAGTCAAATCATCACCACCAAACAAGGCACCAGGGGAGGACGGTATACCGAACTCGTTATGGCACAAACTGATTGAGATCCCGACGGTCCTCGACACTATCTCACGAATATATAACGCCTGCGTACAGCTCGGAACGAATCCCTTACACTTCCAGAAATCGATCACAGTAGTTCTACGCAAAGCTGGTAAGAAAGACTACCAGTTAGCAAAGTCATACCGGCCGATTGCGCTTCTCAATACGCTCGGCAAGTTCCTCGAAGCAGTGATCGCGCGGAGGATCAGCTACGCGGTAGAAACGTACGGGCTACTCCCAGACATACACCTTGGTGGGAGGAAGGGAATCTCCGTCGACTATGCCGCACAATCAATTATCGGCCGGGTACGAAGAGCATAGGGGCACAACAAGATAGCGAGTATACTTATGCTTGAAGTCTCCGTGGAATACGACAATATATCTTATGAGAGGCTGATCCATAACCTCCGCAAACGTCGACTGGGTTAACTGGCGCTCTGGATAGGCGCATTTCTAATAGGGAGGAGCACCCGTATACGGATGCCGGAGGGAGTATCAGACCAGATTCTAACACTAACCGGTATCCCGCAGGGTTCCCCCTCTCTCCAATCTTATACTTATTATATAATGCAGATCTGGTAGACGGTTGCGAGGGTGTTAAAACAATCGGCTGGGTTGACGACGTCGCCTTTATTGTTACCGGTAAGAGCGAGTAGGAAAATATCTCAAAGCTATAAGGAGTATGCCGGCATACAGATACCTGGGCAGCTAGGCACGTATCGGTATTCGATCCTAAGAAGTACGCCCTGATCCACTTTATCTACCCGGTATCTAGAGGAGATAAAGATTATACGCTAACACTACTAGTACTACCGAGTACTATAATATAGGCGACTACTACAGCGGAGAGGTATCTAGGAATCTAGCTAGATCTAGGGTTGACTTTCTAGTACTACCGGCAATACATGCTTGCTAAGGCCGAAGTCAGTCTGTAAGTATTGAGAGGACTAACTAGCTCTGCGTAGGGAATATCTCTCTCCGCGATGCGCGCGATCTACTAGGTAGTGATAATCCTGTAGATGCTCTTTGGAGCGGCGGCCTAGCATTCGCTACTAACTACTATACTGAGAGAGAGGGGCTATATAAAGCAGTTTGTAAGTTTATAGGCGAGAGCTGCCTACTTAATAAGCGGGGCTTTTAAAACAACTGCTAGGGAGGCACTTGATATAGAGCTCTATTTACTACCTATGTAATAGTAGCTTAACCGGCTAGTCTAGTTAACTGCTATACGTATTCGTATAGGCCCGGTATACGCGGTTCTAAAGATCATAATTTAAGAGAGAGGATATATACAAAGACAGAGAGGGGGATGGATACCGATAGAAGCCTAAATATACAAAAAGGGTAGATGTCTTACCGAGCTCTCCCCGGGGACTATGGCAGGTAACTAGGAGAGCCGGAAGGTATATATCTAGGCACTATAGAGGAGGCCACTAAAGGTGTATATTGAGGAGAGAGAACAAGCAAAGACAATATATAATAGGACTGTACGACAATTACGTATACCAGTTTGCCTATATACCGACGGGAGCGGGTACTAAGGCGGTATTGGAGCCGCAGTGTTCCCAGCGTACCCGAGTATTTAGGACGAGACACGAATATACAATATAGGATCTAACGACGACGCTACCGTTTATGCAGCTGAACTGCGTGCTATTGAGATGGCGTTGGAGATTATCAAAGAAAAATTCACAGATGATGATGACTGGCGAGAAAGCCTAGCTGAGAGGGGGGCAGTCATTTTTACAGACAACCAAGCAGCCCTTAAAGCTATCTAGAGCCTACAAATACTATTAGGCCAGATATACCTCGAGGGGTACCTTCGCATACTGCAATAGTGCTCCCAAGAGAGCAAAATCTAGGTTGAACTACGCTTGATGCTAGCACACGAAGGCGTTCTAGGTAACGAGACCGCCGATATACTTACAAAAACGGCAGCCACCACATAAGATACAAACCAATATAACCGATTTATCCGGCTTACCGCCGCGGCGAGTAGGAGGGTAAAGTAGGAATCGGCAATCGTATAGGAGAAGGCGTAGGCAAAGGGAGGATTGAGGAAAGCAGCACAGAGGACGAGAAGGATGATCGAGGTTCCGAATAAGTTAAATTTGACTTACTAGAAGGGCCTACGGAAAGCGACGTTATCAGTTCTAATTCAGCTCCGTATAGGTATTATCGGATTAGCCGAATACCTAAGTAACATCAAGAAGAAAAACTTACTACGATATCAATATGACCTCAAAAACCAGAGTATACGACACGTTTTGTTAGAGTATCTACTTCTAGAGGAACGGCGGGCGGAGATAGTGGAGGAATTGTTCGAAGCGGGGGTGTCGACAACGCTTAGGGAATAAGCAATGTTAACAGATGTAAAGGCGGCACCGATCGTAGCAAAGTTCATAATCGCGTCGGGACTCCTGGGACAGTTTCAGTCAGTAGACTCGGTCGCCATAGGTAGGGAGAAGGGGGCAGGGGACGAGGATTCAAATCCAACAAAAACAAATCAAGAAACTGCGAGTACTGGAGAAACAGGAAGCGCAACCCAGTGGCCAGGCACCAGGTCTGCCGAGGTCACCTCACATCAACGTATATAGGGAACAACGTACGTTACCGGCGAAGACGACGATGCATAGCGTCGCGACCCGAACCTATTTGTGTACGACCTGCCGGAGTGATGTAGACCTAGCAGTCCTGGTGATTCAGGGACTCGGTGATTCGGGGAGCCAGAGGAAAGGAAACGAAGAAGTGGGGAGGTGACAGGTGCATTGCAGAGAGAAGGGGACAGTCTGCGCCTGTGGGGAATGCGGGATCAACCATCTGCATTGCGCAGTGCGCAGATGGATTGACTTTCTTTATGCTTGATTTCTTTTGTCTTATTTGCACTAAACTGGCCGGTTTGTGGCCTTACAATTCAGGTTGCAGGACTCGAGAGGTCGAGTCCTGTCTACAGGGTGGATCTGTATACTGGGGATACACCACCATTTGTCGTCGGGAGCGGGCTCTGGGACGCAACCCCCGCATAGCAGCATGTATGTAATTAGCGAGCTACACCGGGTTAATGAATTCATCATCATCATCATCATCATCATCAATGGTAAAAGCCAGAAACAATATCAAACTCACCTTATGGCACCGTCTATCCGCCCTAATTCTACTCCTCTTACAACAAGGCAACTGTGCCCTCAAAGGATTGTAAGGTGATATTTTGTGGCAGATTTCGTTCATTTCTTGACAAGCGTGTGACTAAAGTGAATACTTATTTACAGTTTGTCAATCTAGACCTTCCCTGCCTTTATTCCCGCTTCTTCGTGCCATCCTCCACTTGGATACTCGACTTCCAGCATCTGTCTCTCGGTGATATCTCACTAAGCACTGGGGGTAGTCGAAGTGGCCCAGACTGGGTCACCCTTGTAAAGAACGAGGTTGCCATCATTCTGGATGACAAGGATGACGTCCTTCTTAGGAGAGGTTTTAGAGGACCAGATGTTTTCGCCGCTGTCGGTGCTGCACATAACCTTGTCAGCCAAAAGAAGCTCTATAAAGTAAACCACCGTATACGAGAAATAATAGGATGTAGAGATGGAGTAAACTTACTAGACGACCAGGTTTCCATCTGCCTGCATTTTGACTCCCTTCACGTCGGAGCGCTGCTCCTTGGTGTTTTGCCACTTTGGGTTGCCGTTCTCGTACACAACAATTTTGCCGTCTTGCTGCATTCTGAATTCGTACACGCCATTCTCACTCCACAGGCTGTTGCCCTTGAGCAACCATTCATCGTTATCAAGGGTGTTGTGACGGTGAGACATATTGAATAAGGCTTTGTGGATAGAAAGGCAGGTTTGATAAATTGGTTTGTCTGAGTGTGTTTAGGAACTCAATTGCTGATGTATGATACTCTGAGGACTAAATTTATTTAAGAGGAGACATGACCTCCTTTATATATTGCAATTTTCTCTGTCAGGCTTCCTCTTCATCAGTCTAGGTGAGCCAGCCCTGCATTGCGAGTTTCACAAAGTGAGGCAGCCCATCATCTCCCCCAGTTCCTATGCATGACGCATCCACGCCAGCCTTTCTTGGGCTGATTTACTACAGTCCAATCAACAGTCAAGTTCATCCTGTCTTCCAAGTCGACCCCGCGAGCTGAGGGGTCGATCTTGTCCTATCATCCAGTTGCCAAATCTGAGCCCGTGTTGCTGCATTGCATTGAACTAAATGGACTTGCTTTTACCCATAAAATGGCTCAGTACTTGTTACTAAAGTCTGGGTTATAGGGTAACATTTGTACATTACGCCAAGTCTAGAAAATGATGTGGTCAGAGATCTTGCTACTTGTATACAAATATCATATTTTCGAGGCTGAATATAGCCCAAGCACTTAGGAACCAACTCCTTAGGCATTTGACATAAAAGTTGTATGGATTGACCTATTCTCCACGCCACCTCAGTTATAATTCAACAGCGCTGTGGCTATACTAGTCATTTTCAAAGGTCCAGCTCTCATATATCAAGCCACCCCGAAGGTGGAGCCCCCGCTTATGCATATAGTCTACTGGCCACTATGCCTAGACCGTACAATGATCGACAGGTTACAACAACAGATCCGAGCCGGAGCGTTCTGAATAATGAGACACGCCATTTAGAAGTGGGGAAAGTATGTACCCCGTTCTTGGCAAGAAACCCAACCTCCGGGTATACTATACTAGCTGAATCTTCAAAAGGGTACAGAGTATATATTCATGAAGTTGGAGCTAGTATAGTTTCTCTTAGGCTGCGGTATTACCAAGCCGTAGTGGTCTAAAATATCATTGCCGGCCAACTAATTCTAAAGACCTATAATTTGGTGGCATCATATTCCGAAACAGCCAACTACGCTGGCGCATCAACTCTGCATAATATAATTCCAAGCTCGGCAGGTGATCAGCTTGACATCTAGCAGACCCCATCTTATTTCCGTATGTATTCACGGCAATGACTTGTGTGACTACATTATTGGAATAGTACTTACTTCCTGGCTACAGCACTGCACAATGATGGTATAACGCATTGCGTACTTGTTTTGGTGCATTAATGCCTCATATTGGACATTAAGAAGGAGTTCAATTGCGAAATATTGCTTCTGCCGTATACATCGTGCAATTTGAGTTGATTGGTAGTCACAAGGAGGCATTGTTTCCAGCCACGGGACTTAACGCCTGAGATTGTAATGACACGGAACACTAGGCTTAACATGTTAGTTCGGCGATTTACAGAGTAATTGAGAACCACAGAATACTAACCATTCGGCTGCCTCTTGCGTTATCTTCCTCTAGACAAGTAATTACATTCCTGGTACGACCAGCCTTCTCAGGCTGGTTTACATGTTTGACGCTCAGCGTCATGCCTCATCAGATTTATTTTTTCTCCTTGTGTATTACCTATAGGCTAAAGGCATTGATTGGTATATGGGAGGAAGCTATGGACACGTGAATACCGAATAGGAAACGAAAAAAATCTCTTCACATCTGCTTGACCCGTTTTTGAAACGCAGATCGCTTGAGTATTGTCATAGTATAGGGGTGTGGACCGCTTCAATCAATCGATCAATCAAAGTTCAATTAACCTGTTGAATTCTAACTAGTGGCGTATAACTATGCCGGTGCCTTATCCAACTGAAGCAAGAACTCGAAGCCAAACGCCGAGCTGGAACCACGCAGAGCATCAAGTAGAGTATGCAGATGCTGATCGTAAATAGTGCGGAATCAGCCCATTCCTGTAACTTGCAAAAACCCACAAATCCCCAAACCCATACATAAGAAACTAACATATAACGACTGCATGGAGTACAACCTCCATCTCCCATCTTCCCTCTCCCACTTCTTACTTCTCACTCTCCCTTCACATCCTCTGCATCCTCCCCTGCCTCAGTTTCAACTGATAGTGATGTTGACCTGGCCAGTTAGCTGGCATGCTCGTCGACTTTGGCTGAGTTCTCATTTCCCAGCATCAATTGTCGTCATTGGCTAATACCCATCGTCTTCCACACCTAGATCCATTGCCGTGGGGCCTGTCAGTTCGTCGTCGTCGTCCCCCTCCTCGAGTGTGACATACTGGAAGAAGACCTGTTCGGTGCGTAAAGTCGATCACGTAGCGGATGGCCTGCGGGTTAGACATGATCTTGTCATACTCTTGTTCCATAAATCCGATCCCAATTATGTCCAGTTGCTCCCACAATTTCGTACGCGGATGTGGGCCGCTTGGCAGTGGATAAAAAAACCCACAAAACCAGTATATTTCATCTGCGTCCTTGGAGAATAGCAACCACGTACCTATCAAAAGAAATGATTGATCAGAGGGGGGTATATTTTGAGATGGAAGTCAAGACTTACAAGCACATCCCAAGCAAAGTAATGAGAATCCCTGCAATACTGTGCTTCGAGATAGAGTGGTCACTTAGGAACCAACCCAGGCCCACAATCGTGCATGTCTTCAAATGCCCAGTGACCGTGCTGCTAACGGGACCCACAGCGTCAATTACAGCAAATTGTGACACATTGACGAGACAAGCAAAGAAACCACTCTAGAAAACAGGTTAGTCGGTTAACGATCAGAGTGTTGACACTATGGAAGGATAGCGTTAATTTAAAAGTACTCACTGCGATAATCGCGACGTATAATGATGGTGAAAGTCCCGTGGTTGTGGGCGGTGTATCAAGAATGGGGACCATACACAAAAGTAAGCTGGCGCTCATTGGTGCTTGGTTGAGTAAGAGCTGCATGCTGTTCACCTGCAACTTTTTTTGGTACCTTCCAACCAGTGATGTGTAAAAGGCGCTGACGATGACACCAGTAAATGCACATATAACACCCTTGGAAGATGTTTCAACGGCTGTATTAGGCGCGGAATATGAATCGGACCAGAATACAATTCCCACACCTCCACACAAAATAATCATTGGAAAAATGGCTGCCTTGGGAATGGCAGAGCGATAGAGTAGGAAGCCCAGTAAAGCAGTTACAGGCGTGAGTAATAGTCGCACGAGCTGGTGGAATATAATAGACGAATTTGCTAGGGAGATGTTTTGAAGGACGACTTGAGCGCACGTAAGAACGATCAGATGAACATTCCGACGAACAGAGACTGATTTGGCGACAAAAGCACCGCAGAACGGCCGCGATATCACCCACAAAGTGAGAGCGGTAATGAAAAAGTGATAAGACGCAAAGGCCATTTGACAATTGCGTAGAGTTTCGTTGGAGAAAATGTACTTATTTGTGAAAACCTACAGATTATTAGCAAAAGAGAATATGTGTGATTCTTTGATGCTCACTTACTATTGAAACTGTCGACACGATATTGGTCGTGATGCACAGCACCAGGCGGAGCTTTCCAGGGGCTCTGTCTTCGTCATCTGATAGATCCTCGAGAGATTGAGATGCCGAATCATCAACTTTTTCAAGAAGGCTCAATTCCTCCGTGTCCGACCTAAAGTAGTCACGAGGCCATCCTTCTACCACCTTGAATTTTGACCTGAGTTCACGAAAGGTAAACATTTTTGAATGGAGTAAGCAGGAGCAAACTTCTGAACAATATGTGATTGTAGAAAGAATTTAGCTGAACGTATAATTAAGCCATTTGAGGTTGGTAATCACACAGAATTAACAATCTCTTGAACTGACGTTTGCAGGCAGATGGGAACTGATTTCACCTTCGTCCCCCGTCCCGCAAATACCGTAGTATTGGACCGGCAATCTTTTTTCTTTTCTTTTTCTATTCCTTATATTCTCCCTCTTGGTTAGATTGTCCCCCCTTTTTCCTCCCGAAAAGCACGGCGTTTTAAATAGCCACTTGCTAATGTTAAGCAATTACTACAACTGGTCGCTGTGATGGATATCTTGTGTTACGAAGGATATTTTCAAATCATAAAACTTCGGAGACTAGACAGTTAATCCAATCTTATCTTACAAATGCGTTATATCCGTTCCTGGAATGGGTGTGTTTCACTTCTTCAATGCAACGGTTTCTCTAAATAAATGCACCCTTTTAACAAAATCGGAAAATCGAAAAGTAAAAAGAAGAGAAAAGGAAAATGAAAACGGTTATTTTGATCCATTTTGAAGAGAAAATCAGCAACAGCACAGCACGCCACAAAATGAAAAGAGAACTGCAAAAAAAAACTAGTGAAAATGATAGCCCCGGGGATAAACGAGCTCCTTCGGATTCACTTCTCCTGGTGACCATGGGGATTCCTCACCCCATTGTGAAAAGACAGTTTCTGCTCCAGAAATCAATCTGTGAATATTGCGTCGCGTGCTGTATACAAGGTTATAAGCTTGTTCTTCGTGAATACTTTGGTCGCCGCTATTAATATCGGAATCTTTGTATGCTGGACCCGCTGGTCTATATGTTCCGATGAGATTGGGGAATGGGGCGAAACACTCAATACGATCACGATCACCAAGGCCGCCGCATAACTCAGACATAGCATTGTCAACTGGGGCCTCTATGTGATCGATGGCTAGAGCGGTAAGGATCTTTTGGGCACCTCTGATTGTGACTGCGTATCCATAAGTGCAACAGCCTTCTTGAGCGCGGTAAATGAATCGCGTGGAGTCTTCAGGAAACACATCTTTCCAGCTGTCCAGAGGGCCAAGCCATGTGCCTCGACGTTCGACCCTTGGGACTGTTGGGTCGTCAGGTATGGCGTAGAATTGAGTTTCATTCGCATGTGGCCCTGATGAACATCCTCCAATCCAGAGAAGATCCCAATCAGTTCCATAAGGAGCCTGTTTGGATACCTTGATATCCCCTTTCAGCGAGTGAATACCACGAGCAAATTCACGGAGTTGTGCCTTGATGTTCACGTCCCAGTCGGCATCATCTTCTAGTACCAAGGCGGTGGAATAAGAGTTGGCAATGACACTGAATTTCCACACACTCGAATATTAGATCAAATATCTGAAACCAGAGAGGACAGGAAGCCAACTATACCTGTTCAAGACATTCATGTGAGCGCGCCAACATCCAATAGCATTGGGCTCCATGGTTGAAAGGTTGTATCCCTTGCTCGAATATCAGCAAGTGCTTTATGAAGTAAGAACCTGAATGCATACGTCTGGTAGCGCTTTCTGCTGTAAGTCTTGCGAGCGAACTCCGTCAACCCAATCAACTTCGAAGCCGGAGACCGAGGCTGATACTGTTAAAAAATCACGCTTGTCTGTGCGCTCTTTTAAACCAATAGCATATATGTGCTCAAACTGATAAAAGAAATTAGTCAAACTCAAATCAGTCGATCATGTAGAACCCATGAAGCGAATACTCACCCCAAGGGTGGTGTTTGAGATGTGGTCGAAATCTCCATCACGTATGCCACCTCGTGAAAGTCGTGACAATTCATGCGGCCACACAGTTTCTCCAGTGTCTCTGATAACAAATGACAGTAGTACATACGCAAGAAATACTGCGATAGCAATTGGAATTATCTTGCGGGTTTTGTAAGGCAATTGAGAAGTCATTGTGAGACACCGCAAACACCGCAAGGATGCTAATAAAAGAAGGGATTGTTTGAATGAATTATATGCATCAGAATGATGGGATAAGCGTCGTCAAATTTTGATAAATTACTGGGGATCATATAGATGGGTTTGTCCTGCATTCCTACTACATGCTACCTGTTACTTTCAAACCCCCATTGTCAATTAACGGCGTGCGGGCCAGGAATGCAACCTCCATTTCCGCAAAAAGCGTTCGCTGTTCACTATCGGCAGAGTACCCGCGAATCAAAGGTCGACCCTTGAGTCATTGTAAAGTTTCGCGCCATGACCGATTGAGGCGGCATTCTAATCGGAATGCGCGTATGCGGACCTCTGCAATAGCGGACTTCCAGGAAAAAAAATCCGGGAGTGAAATTTTCATATGGGTGGGTATTGTGAAACGAATTTTCCTACAATCAATAACTTATTGTATTAAAAAATTAAAAAACATACAACAGTGAGGATTCGCTGGTGGTCACCCACCCAACTACTAACTCACCGGCGTGTGGCTTAAGTACGGCTGAGCGGACGGGAAGCCCTGTTTTCCACACCCTATGGTCGTATGTACTGGACTGTGTGTAAGAACTAATTATAATGTAAAAAGGCTTGTGACTCTTAAGGTAAGGTTGAGTGAAGATTTATGAATTTACAGGCGCCTTGCTTGAGATTTTATGAAGTTAGATGGAAGAACTCAACTTATCCCGGGAAAGTGGATCCAGGGTAAGGACCTTGAGAGCACAACAACAGCCCAGGCCTCAAACATGTATCAGGGACAGTAAATGGTGTGAATATGTCTTCGAATGCTCGACATTACAGTGTCATATAAATAATATCATATCTTAGTGAGGTATAACTTAAGTACATGTCAACATATTCTTAGCTACCCAATAAACCCTTTCCTTTGCTTCCCATTGAAACGTCCCTTCCTTGGCTATTTTATCCTTGATATGGTTGCATCCTTCCATCCTCCCAGAAATAACAATATGACCACAGCTTTCCCGCAACCGAACTGCCAAATTTTCCGCCTCCACCGCTAGATTGTCATAGCCAGCCATCACGATCAAGACTCGGCGAGGGAGATGGTCGACCTCGGCACAAGCAGGCGCGATACGAGGATCCTTGGAACTATAAGACAAATGAGGAAAAGTGTTCGTGGCAGAGTCATTGTGGATTTCTCATAGTCTACCTCGATTTTTTGAGATTATCGGGGAGCTTAAGCCATTCGCTATTATCATTTTGGCCTGTTCCTGTGCTATTTTGCATCTTATTGTAGAGAAATGGGGTGTTTCTCCACGGAATCAGAGACTACTAGCAGTGATATGAAAATTTAGAAGTGAAGTGGAGATAGTTTATAAAATTGCCTCTCGGTTCACGCCATGAAGGAGACATGTTTGATGAACGTATTACTCGACAAATACTACTAGTCAGAACTTCTCGGCGAAAAGAGTGCATTTCATTCGGAATCAGAATTGTAAGTACAGGGGGCAGAGAAAAGGAGAGAAGGGATTGGCTCCTCCGCTCTGAGCCATGCAAATAGTGCAAACACCACAACTGACCTCCCACACCACATGATATCCGACAAAGGGGAGAAACAACATAGAGACAAAGATGCATACAAAAAAGATGCCGAATAATCAATTCAACTGATTGGACTTGATGTAAACATCACAATGATACCTTTCTACCAAGGCAGAACAGAACCATCATAATTTTGGAACGTGCCACTGGTCTCTCTAGAGGCCGCGTCCAGAGTCTTCACCATTGAAGAAACACTGGTCTCGACAGAAATTGCGCCGAGATCTGAGAGTTTGATACTCAAGCCTTCAACAACTGACCGAGCAAGCTCCGTCTCCACCAGGCCAGGATGGAAGACAAAGCTCGTCAACCAAGGCTCCTCAAAGTGAAGACGACGCACAAACCAGTTCAACGCCGCCTTACTCCCGCCGTATGGGCTCTGATTGGACGGGAAGCCTGCAAGGGCCTCCATAGAACCAATAGACCCAATAAGAGTTGAGATTGCGACGAAGATAGGGCTCCCAGTCTTGCTAGCCTGGAGAAGATCGGCAGTGGCCTGGAATAGCGTCACGGGACCAGTCGTGTTCACAATGAAATGTTCGGCGATGTTCGCAGCAGTTGTCTGACGGACAGGCGCACCACCTACCGAGATACCGGCATTGGCAATAACGACATCGATGGAGGACAGGCCGTGCTCGGTCTGGAGTTGTGCCACCGCTTCTGCGGCGTCGGTACTGATTGAGGAGTCAAGCTTGACAGTGATCAGCTTAGAGCCGGTGCCCTTTGGGAGGTCTTGGAGGCTCTTAGATGATGCGCTCGACGGATCTCGGACGGCCGCAATAACAATGGTGGCATTCCTTTGTAGGAATGTCTGGACAAAGCCTCTTCCGATGCCTCGGTTTGCACCGGTGACAAGGTAGGTAGTCGGGGCAGTCATTGTGAGAAGATATTTGATGTCTGGGAGCAGTAGCTTGATCTGAGGAAGTCTGGGTATATATAAAATATTTCTTTCTGCGAAGGTTACGCATATTTATAACTATCTGGAAGAAAGAATATCTAGACACCTAATCATTCTTCTCCTGCAATCTGATTAGTATATGCCAAGAAAAGTGATTATTCCACCGACTCCGAGCCAAAAGATCGCCTTTACCGTGTATCACACCATAACTATAAGGACGTGATGATTCAACATTATTTCTGACCATCCACTTTGCTTATCAATCAGAACAAAGTGCTTTTCTCCGAGCCGTGTGGTTACTGAGTCCTTCCTTCAAGTTGCTACGTCATGCGGAGAGTGCGAAGGAACCTACCTCAAGACTCGTCCAATGTGCTCATTCATCAGATAAGCCCTTCTTCTCGCCGACCAAACTGCAAAGTATATTTCACAACTTCCGGGCGGTCAAGAAATCCAAGTATTCTGGGCTCCACTTCAACTCTGGCTGATAATCGGGACCCGGTACAATGACTACCCGTCACCTGCTCCACAATCACTCTCTATCCGACACGGACTCCGTAGACCTGCTGATATCAGTATCTAAGGTACGTCCCACTCATTGCCAAATGCTAAACCGTCGACCAATTTTCTCATACTTCGTGGTAAGTCGGATACCACCTGAAACCAACGCACAAATAGCACTATCAGTACGCACCGAATTCTATACTCACTATAACCGATGTTGTTTCCACTTCTGCTATACCCGTCGGCGCAATTCCTTCCTTGCCCAATAGGCTCTCACACTCGCGAGGATATTTTTGGCTTTCTAGAAGTAATTTACATGCGGAGTACTAGCTATTGCCAAAACAATTCGGCAGTGTGTTTTATATGAGGGATATATCATTGAGAAATCTCTAAAACAAGTTTGGTACCGCGGGATTCTCCTTTGCGAAGTTTCTGAAGGCCTTCCAATATCCCATCAAATCCTCCCCTTGTGACTGTAACAGGTGGTGCCTTCACATCATGGCACAATCGGCCCAGATCGGCATAAAATTGGCTTAGAACTTTGTGATCGTTGGGTACAACTGGAAACGTGGGACCCAATGGGGCCAGCAGAGAAAATGGGCGACCAAAAACAGTATAAACCATCAGGAATTTATACTCAATGTCTACCTTTTTCGGCTTGCCTTGATCGAGCAGTGTTATAACTCGCCCTTTGGACAACACCTCCGCGCAGAATTGAGAAGATTTCCCTTCCGAAAAGCAGTCCAAAGCCTTGGTGATGTTTGGATAGGCTTTGGAAATTTCCCTGATCGCGGTGGGTGATTGGTAATCGAATACGGCGTCGGCGCCGTAGCTTTTGACAAGATCGAAGGACCGTGGAGATGCCGTCACAACAACGTGAAGACCAGCCCGTTTTGCGAATTGAATAGCAAACAGTCCCACATTGGAGCCACCCGAATAAATGAGAATTGGTGTTCTTTCGGATAAGTTTGCTTTTGAGCTAGTGGAGATATCTTCCCAAGAGATATCAAGATATGACAGTGCAAGCACGGCAGTAGCTGCTGGGATCCCGTATGTGGCAGCCTCAGAATGGCTGATTCCACCAGGTATCTTCCAGGCGAGTTCCCCATCGACTTTCAAATATTCAGCAAAGGAGCCGACATCAGGGTACTGGCCACCATGCACGAAACCAGCTACTCTGTCTCCTACTTTCCAACGACCCGCCATGGCTTTCCCAACCTCAGACACCTCCCCGGCATAATCGCAACCGATCAGACTTTTATTTGGAGAAATAAAGTCGATATGCTTGAAGTCGATTGGGTTGAGAGCAACAGAATGCACCCGAACCAGGATCTCACTATCGGTGATTTGGGGAATCGGTAGGTCTGTGACTTGTGCACATTGGCCGAATGAGGAGCCAGAGGCGAGATTCAGTATTTGTTTTGGCAGAGATCGAGTTGCCACAAGAGCTTTCATGTTGACTGAGTGACTGTAATAGAAATCGAGAGAGGAACTTTATTTGAAGTACTGCATAATATACTCAGCACTTGTGAGGATTTATAGCAAGCAATAAGTATAGATACCATACGGCGCATTATACCAGCCACATCTAATGGGGTAACTTAAAAGTCCGACGGAATGTTGACAGTGGTAGCGTCACCACAGTCGGCTTGATTACTATTCACTAAACATATACATACACAGGGCTCCTAGCCGCTCTACTCATTCGCCCCGTTTTTGTTCCGTCCCTAATTGATTGAAAATTAATTTGTTTCTTCTTATAAGAAGTCTAGGCGGCCACAGACTACATACAGAGTAGGGGGTTTAAAGAACCTTCAATCGTAGAGATGCTAACTCTACACTCCAGTAGGATGTCTGAAATTCTCGATGATTAATCTTTGTGGTTCATTTGATTGGCTCGTACCATCGGGTGGCGCCTGGATCTATGGATCCATGGGCGCCTCCCGAGGTCGCAAGTGGCATATTTTACGAGTACGAGCGCTAGTCCCGAATACGATTGGATTTGCTTCTCCACTTTTCCAAGATTGGTAAGAAGTCGTTGCCGCAATCACATTGTCACAATGAATAATTTTGTTTATCCTATTCGAATAGCAAAGATTATGAAGCAAATATTTCAGGTATTTATTTCGTTTTCCATTGGCCACCTCATTAATTGATCGCGTTCTACTCCCAAACTTGCTTAACGGGCCATTCAATATGGTGCTGCCAGTCTGGGGGAAGTAACTGTTGAATTTCTCCTAAAACCACACGACCCCAAGACCCCACACACCAATTTTGCTGGGCCATGTGCAAAAATCCACAATAATGAGCCAGCACAACCAAGGAATATAGTTGCCTGCTTGTGAGATCGCTTAGATAGACCTCAGGAGCTCGAATAGCAAAGCCACCAGCAAGGGTCATGGACGTAGGCTGTAGCAATGTGAATGCTGCTAGTTCGCGCAAATAAGTTATGACCCGCTCATAGATGGCAGTATTATGATGAGCAATTTGCTGCCCACATTGTGCGTTCAATTTTTCGAGACGATCAAACGCAACGAGGACATGATCAGGCCAAGAAATTTGTGGTGCAGTCACGTCAAAAAGCGGAGCAAAGTTGCTCTGTCGGAGAAAATCAGGCTCGGCATTAACGACCGCTTGGACTCCGCGGGAGAGAGTGAAGATTTCAATTAAGGAATTGAGGCTCGGGCCTTCGGGAGAGCCGGAAGTGAGTGCACTTCCTAGGCTGAATGCCACAACAAGACCGGCGAAGCTCATCATTGCTTTGACATTAGATCTGTCAATATTGGATAGTTGCTCCGAGAACATGGAGATGGCCACATTCTTGTGCGACATCGCGATACTAAGCCACTTCGCTTGGCTGTTATCAGCGCGGAGGTGTGATAAATGTAGAGCGGATAGCCCCAAGATGCCGTGCATGAGAAAAGGTTCCTGTAAAGCCTCTTGCAAAACCATAATTTCCCAGACCTTTCGGGTTTCTTCGTTGCGGGCAAGGAGTTTGTGGGTTTGCATAATCCACTGCAGCTCAAGTTCTAACTCCTCCATATTCAACACAGGACCAGTGGAAATCTGTGCCGACCCTATCTGATTCAAAAGCGCCGATGCCTCATCTTCAGAGATGGTGGCATTTGGCGTCTGACCTGTGGTTGGGGACTGTTTATTGCGCGAGGGCTTTCGCGACTGTTTGCCGGCGAAGAAATAGGGAACCTCCGAGCTGTAGACACATTCTTCCTGTCGCTGGGTACAGATAGTGCAATTTGGTCGTTGCTCATCACACTGGGTCTGGGGTCAGCGAGTGGGCGTTGATAAAGGGATGTTCTGCATACCTTCACCCTCCTTCGCTTGCAATTGGTACAACCATGGCGGGATTTGTTGTGCGAGCGTCGATAGACCATCTCAGACCTGCATTCCTTCTGATATCACAATTGTTGTTCTACATGAGTGCCTCAGAGAGAGCACAAAAAGATAAAAGATTAAAATTCAGCCTGAGCGGATTGATCACCCACGTCACCGAAGGGCGGAAGGGGGTATCTGACCCAGCCCCACTAAACTATTTCAGGACTAGTGCTATCCGATATCCATGGATATGTTGTGACGGATCTAGAGGCATTGGGGTCTACAGAAGACATCCAGAGTTAACATAGTTCTTCAAATCAACCACCTATCCTCATAAAGTCAATCAATGTTCTGTGGCTGACTATTCTCGGTAAAATCTGCACTCAATATGGTATGTGTAGCAGCTCCTATTACTAGTTTAAGGATTGCTATGATATCTGATAGTTTGTTTTATCTGAACAACTTGATTCTAATTTCTATGCCTCTATTTCCTGTTCATCCAATCCTGACTAGAATGCTACTATCGATATAGTAAGTCACTTTGGCCATTTTGGGCTAAGTTCTATGACAGTCTGTGGCGAGCAAATACCAGACTCATCATGGCCGCTTTGTCATTTACTTAGATCTATCCTGGACTAGAGAACTTAATTGGTCGAATTCGTTGGATATTCACGTGTTTGACAGCTAACACATATTTACTTCATAAGGGGAAAGACTATCAGCATGATTTTCTCATAGCCAATTAGGCCGCATTAACAACTATATATCTTTACCTCTATTCCCAGCAATCTATATCGGGTACTAACCAAGATGCAACAAAACATAAGATATACAAACTAAGCAAACATAGGTGGATTCAAATCCTAGTTTATTCCAACAAAGACAATGTCTAAACGTGAGCCTGTCCATTGGCCCTAGCATTTTCAGCCCCCAAATTCTAACTAGAGATGGTTAGTTCCGACCCCTCCCCCTCTACAGGTGACCATATAACCTCGACCTGGAAACATTTCTCTCAAACTCTTCAAACCTGTTCACTCACAATTTCATACATCAAACCTCTTACTTCAACATGGTCCACACTTTCTATGACGGAACCATCGCGGTAACCCAACACATCCTCGGCTCACTGTCCCACTTTCTTCAACAAGCCGAGAAACACCCCAATGCTACGGATCTGCTCAATGCACGTCTATGCGAGGACATGTATCCAGTGACCGACCAAGTGCGCATCGCAACCCAATTCTCAGAAAACCTGGTCGCCCGACTGACCGGTCGGGAGCCGGTGGTCACTGAAGGCAAACCAACCACATATGCCGAATGCTACGAGCGCATTGAGAAAGTGCTTAAAGCTCTCGGCGAGGCTGACAAGGACGTTGTCAACCAGCACGCCGATAAGCTTAAGCTCACTCAAATGGGCCCCGAGAATGCGGCGGAAATCAGCGGTGCTGTTTATGCCCATACCATTGCTTTGCCAAATATTTACTTCCATCTTACTACCGCGTATGGCATTTTGCGGAAAGAGGGGGTGTCGTTGGGTAAACGGGACTATTATGTCGGTTTTTTTTCTCGGGGATCCGCTTAAGGAGCTAGCGCAGTCAGTTGCCCATGATGTAACATTAACTTGTTAAATTTATCCGAATAGGGTCTTAACAATTGGACAAGGTTTTGGATAGATTTTTGTAACACTCCACAATCTAATTGGTCCATATGTAGACAACAGATTTCCTCGTCACTTTAGTGTTCAAAGCGCCTCGAGGATTGACTTACTACGGCTGAGCGGACGGGAAGCCTTATTTTCTGTGCCCTATGTTCGTATATATCATGTTACAGGTGAGAGATGATTAGACTGTACAGGCATCTATATATTGACTTGGGGTAGGTTGTACAGGTCAAAGATTTATATATAATTTTATACCCATGTCATGAAGGCGAGTGTCCGCTCCTGGTGTCAGAGCGGATGTCAAACTCCTGAGTACAGTAAATCCGATCATCAAGAGGAACTCCTGCCCCATGATCCTGTTGTTCAAACTTTGCGATGGATTGCTGGGTCGTGATGTTTTCAACATCGGTTCCTCGTTCGTTACCCTTGCCCCAAACTTGGAGCGGAATATTATCCACGCGATCCGGATCTTCCATGATTCCACCCGTAGGCAGATTTATCGCATCTTGACTAGAGTGTCCTGCATTGCAGTGTCCAGTGAGCATAGTACCTTTTGCTGAGCTGCGGAAACTGGGTCGAGAGAGATGAAAAGGGCGTGTTAACGAGAAGGATGCGCGGGACTGCGAGCTAGCGGCCTTCGAGTAGGGATTGATTTCTTTGTTACCGGTGCTCCGGGATGGCCGTCCAGGGGTGCTGTGGTACTGGAAGGCTCTAACACCGAACAGCTTCCGAAGGAGCGGCCACCAGCACATCATATTGGCGACAAAGATAGCGGTGCTAGCCTCACGTATATACCAAATCTGGTACACGGTGGTAAAGGGGGAGGCAAAGTTAAAATATTTATTCAGGATGGCGGCAATTATCGTGAACAGACCCAGGCTCATCACGCAGAGTAGCAGCATCTTCCGGCGTAGTGGAAGCCTCGCCTTGACGATAAGCGGTATCGGAATGGCAAACACAAAGGCGTCTGATGAAATATTGAAAACTGCCTGTGTGATTGAATAGTGTTGGTACGTGGCACATTGCAAATTCGTAACTGGTAAGGCCCAATATTGTGAGAAGGGTCGGCAGTACACGGCGTAGTAGGTCACCATAATCACGACAAAACCAAGTGCCACATAAACGGCGAGAATCTTGACATATAGGTTGGAGGGCAAGTTCTTGGTGATTCTCCAGTAGAGTATCAACAGGCAGACTTTTACCCCCCAGGTTACAAAGAGCATACATTGTTCCAGCGCAATAACAATTTTGCTCCCGAGGATACGGTCGTGAACTTGTTGGGGGTCAGAGAGTACCTCATCGTAGTCGCTCGGCTCCATCAGGTTTGTCGCGTATCTTGCAGAGATTTGAATCAAGATCAACAAGGATGTATACATTAACTATCGGGATCAGATCCTTAGTCAGTCGAGAGTCACGAATTGGGCCAAAGCAGGGGACTTACAAATGTTGCCGTCATCACATAATCGTCCCCTGGAATGTGCGATTGAGCAGGTGAGTTATGGCTCAAGCGAAAGGAAGGAATTCTACGTACATGATATCCCCTGGATTGATATATTTGACATTAACCGGGAGGCTCTGTTTATAAAGTTAGTATCTATTTCAATTCTCTTCAAGGTCCAAGATACAGATAGTTCACACATACATTCGGCCAATGTAGAGTACCACCCCAATACTCCAAAAGATCACGGCTTCTACCAGGAGTTGGTGGGGTGTGGGCGATACGTTCCCCATTCTGACAGGGAAATGGTCGCCCTCCTCGTGAAGACAATGTACCTTACAAGGTCACAGGAGTAAACATCGGAGTAAACATCAAGCCTGCTAGAGGAGACTTGGGGAATATGAGAGTTGAGGATATTGTTGACACTCAGAAGTGGAATTGGGCTCGGAATTGCCGGCATAATTTTCTTTCAGCTCGAAGGATCGATAGATTCGGTCGGGCGGATCTGAGTTTAGAAAAAGGACTATTGACAGGGGGCCATAATAAAATTTCGTGGAATCGATCTAAGCTTGTGCGTGAGCTATTAGTGCCCCGATCTAGGAGAAACAATCCCCAGAGATCTGGTATGGGAGGATTAATGAAGACGATTATAGGAGAAATGAGAGTTATAGATGGGCTTTGAAGGGACTTTGAGGAGCAATTGACACTGCACAGCATGTCTGTGATGGTCTCTTGTCTTTTGGTGGACTTTAACTTTTATTTGGTAGCCTAATCCCTCAGGCCACCAATGGTGACCGAACAAGGTTATTAAAATAAAAGTTAGATGCTTCTCTCTATCCTCTTCTTTCCCTTGTCCACCTTGCTCCCATTGAAATCTACATACACATTATTGCTCTATCTCCAATGTACTCCGTACTACTATCCCTACTCTCGCCATGGTCTACCGGTATGGATTGACTGAGCGGGCCGTGAGCCGGACCTCCCGAGATCGGGACGGCCGGAGTGCCCCATACAAGGAAGGCCCGAGCCCATCGTTGATCCCTTGTTTCTTGGCATTTTCGATAAATGGGGGCCATTTCTCTTCTTCGATGGACTACTATTCCTGCAGAGTTGTTGGTTCATTCGGAGAATTTTAGCACATGTCAACGTGCTTACTTGCTTTCTTCACACGCTCTCTCCGAAGATCGAGGCTATCAGGCCATTATTATTATTCCAACCCCCAACCAAACCCTTAGCCCGACCGTCGTCATGGAATGCTAATAAATGGGTCTGTCACCACAGTGGGGTTCTCACTGGTTTTAGATTGGGCCCCTGTGGCTCGTTAATTTCGACTGAGTTGAGACCATGCCCCAGCTCGAATGGGGGCGAAGAGTTTAATGGTCTGGGATTGCATTGTTATTATCGCACCTCACGATCATTGTCTTGTATGTATCCACCCGCCTTCGACGAATAGGGAAGCTTTTGCATTAAATTTCCGGAACACTAGCGGGGCTTCATGTCTTGCTGTTTTTCTTGCCTCTCTCTCTCGATCCCTATCTTATGTTCTCGACTAGTCCTTGTTGCGCTTCTTGTTGACTTCAACTTATATCATTTGACAGATGATACACCATGGTCGCCGAGAAGCAAACTGCCCAGGTCGGCGAGACTAGGGCCAGGAACAGCACGGAGATAGACACAGTGCGCCTGGAGGCTGCTCTGGGCCATAAACAGGAACTGGTGCGGAATTTCGGGCTTTGGAGTGTGACAAGCTTGGGGATTGTGATTGCCAAGTCAGTGATTTGAACTTTTCCACCGTCCGTGCCCTTAACTAACTTTTGAGAATGTATTAGTTCATGGGCCGCAACCGGCGGCACAATTGTGACTGCACTCATGAATGGAGGCCCGATGGCTCTTCTCTATGGCTTGATACTCGTGAGCGTCTTCTATACGGCGATCTCGGCCTCGCTAGCCGAATTGGCATCTTCTATGCCCTCCGCAGGCGGAGTATATTACTGGTCCACAGTATTAAGTGGGAAGTATGGCCGCACCGCCGGATTCTTTACAGGTTACCTTAATGCCTGCGCCTGGCTCCTCTCGGCCTCGTCGATGAGTTCCATGCTAGGCAATGAAGCGGTGGCCATGTATTTGCTTCGGCATTCTGACGTCACTTGGCAGTCCTGGCAGGTGTTTATTGTCTTCCAAATTGTCAATTGGACATGCTGTGCAATAGTATGCCTAGGGAATCGATTTATCCCTTTGATTAATCGAATCGCGCTGGTCTTATCAATGACCGGGCTCTTTGCAACCGTGGTGGTCCTCGCCGCGATGCCAAAGAAACATGCGAGCTCTTCGCAGGTCTGGACGCAATACTATAATATGACTGGCGGCTGGTCCGATGGGTTGTGTTTTATCACGGGGCTACTTAACGCTGCCTTCGCCGTGGGGGTTCCTGATTGTATCAGTCACTTATCTGAAGAGGGTATGTTGAATGTGTCGAGTGCCGCATATCTCGTCCCACCTTTCCAATGATGATAATGAGATTCTAACTACCATTGTTATTTTAGTTCCTAAGCCACAAATCAAAGTCCCCCAGGGTATCATGATACAAATGTTGACAGCCTTCACTACCTCCTTCGTTTATCTGATTGCCCTTTTCTATTCGATCCAGGATATCGATATGGTCTTCAATACCAACGTGGGCTACTTTCCTACTGCTGAAATCTACCGACAAGCTACAGGATCCACCGCAGGTGCCATTGGACTCATCGCTGTGCTCTTCCTAGCTACCTTCCCAACCCTAGTCGGCACGTTTGTGACTGGCGGACGGATGTGGTGGAGTTTAGCCCGGGACAACGCAACCCCTTTCTCGAACTATTTTGCGCAGGTCCACCCTACGTTAGACACTCCCGTCCGTGCCACCGTCGCTATGAGTGCTCTAGTTACCTGCATCGGCTGCATTTACGTCGGCAGCACAACAGCCTTCCAGGCCCTCATCTCGTCCTTTATCGTGCTGAGCACTCTATCTTACTTGGGTGCTATCCTCCCCCATGTGTTGACTGGCCGTCGGAACATAGTCCCTGGGCCCTTCTATATGGGCAAGACCCTGGGAATGGTGGTGAATATCGTCTCGTTGGTGTATATCATAGTCACTGTGATATTTTTCTGCTTCCCATTCGTAATGCCTGCCACCGTTGGAAACATGAATTATACAAGCGTCATCACTGTCGGTTTGATGACATTGACTGCATTGTGGTGGTTCGGCTTCGTCCGTGGGAGGACCGAGTACCGAGGTCCACACTACAGCTTCGAGACTGCCAAGCAATTGACGTGTGTTCAAGCAAACAAGGAGAGCGGCAGTCCTGTAATTGCGCTCCCGAAGGAGTCCACGGCAGCTGCCCTTGATAGGCATGCGCTGATGGAATGAATACTACTTCTATGACGAGTATGGGAAAAATAGGAGAGATTAGACTTCTAACGTGATGAATACAGATGCAGGTTGACAGAGCTCTCTTCCCCGCATTTGAGACTTTGAAGCCTTTGTTTCTTTGTCCCTTTATCTATATGAGATCATTAAGAGAGTAGCTAGGTCATCGTCAGGATCTATCGTTGACTTCTGTCGAGTACTTCTTGTTTCTTGGACACATAGAGGATATGCACCATCCTATTTGCCTTGTGGATGCCCGTTATATCTTCACATATTAGACTTCTCCGTAAATATAAATACATTATGACCGATACATCACCTACACCTATACTCACCAGTCCTGTGCTGTAGCTCGAGTTTATCGAGTGCCTTTACCATGTACATATAGTGCTTCTGTGGATCGCACTGTAATCAAACATGTTAGGAGTTAACATCCATACGGGACTGAAAAGTGTCGCATGCTGATCGGCTGTGCTTGCTTTCCGGAAACATTATGTGGACCTCAGTGTCGTGTCTGAAGGTTTCTACCGTATAACACGAAGTGCTTTTGGTGATATTCCTTTACTATTTGCTCCAGTGGCTTGGTTATCCATGTGGTACTTATGCCGTACTTATGAAGTGAGGTCGATCGAGACTAGATTAAGTCCAAAGAGACGGCAGGATAAAGGGATGAAATAATGTCCCGTCAGATACGCGCTGAGAATTGTGGGCAACCACATGCATCTGGTGATAAACTACCCATGCCCATCGTTAAAGAAAATTTATCCAGTTGGTTCCCGATAGCATAGATAGCTAAACTCGGGTCTTCTGAATCTCGAGAAAGAGGCGGTTGATCCGTTTTGGTGTTGGGAGCTTGAAGTCCCGCAAAAAGACGCCATTGGTCTTCCTGTGACTTATCGTCAAAGTCTGGCACCAGAATAGGTTTGGTCCCCCTATCTAGGCAAGACTTAAGCAACGTCATTAACTGATCGAGCAGTGCGACGGCAGAATTGATTCCATGCCGAGTTCCCTGTACCAGGGTTGTTGCGTACGTCGGTGGAATCACCCCAACAAAGGATGCTGGGGGATTTGTTTCCATGAGCATGCCCTGAAGGTGAACAAGACTTTCTCTTGATTTGAGAATACAACCCACCAGGGCGTTGATCATGGATGGATCGACATTTTTGTCCGACGTTGTAAAATATTTTGTCATTGCATAGTAGCCAGGGCATTTGGCGACTTCATTAAATGCATAGTCCATCGTCTGGCCTAGGATACTAGATTTCTGCCACTGGTCTTTTGCCCTGGAAATCTCTGGAGTCGTTGATGCGCACGCCCACTCGAAACCACCTAGGAAACAGGGCTCCGCGTGGATAAAGGCATCCGCAACTAGGTAAGGCCGCCAAGAAAGGAGAAGAGTCCGACCTATTCCATGTGTATGTGCCGAAGGCCCACGGGCGCAGAACAGGTGGCGGATGCCATGCGAATGAACGATCCACGAGCGATCACTACTGCCATCTAGGACCTCATATCCGCCTAGCAAAATCGCAGCTGCAAGTGTCTCATCTGCCAGTGCGGCTCGTGTATGTAGGAGTGCAGCTAGATGCTTTATACCCCGCCCATACATATGACGAGCGCAAGCTATGATTTCCTTATTGCCTCGCGCCGCTCCCATTCGTAAGGAAGTCAAGGCACGGACTGCCCAGATTAGTGCCTGCGGAAATGTGGACCACTTGCTTCGTATAAAGTTCATCCAATTCACCTCCACACGGGAATTGAAGGAAGCGAGGTAACTTGGAAAATGGTAGTCCAGCCATATTTCAAATGATTCCTGCGTTTGTATATTAATCGCCTGGTGGATCAAATTTGGAGCAAAGGCTTCGTCCATTGTTGGTTGACCGTGTTTTCGCGTGATATGTCGCGTCTGGTCCCTGAATTTGTGGACACGATTATAACCTGGACATGCTGAACCCCAGTCGATACACCGCCGACATTCCGGACGAGTTTGATCGCACTATTTATGCTTTAGTTTATGTTACTTGTATTATTTTTTAAAAGTTGTCTCTTGCAGGAAAAAAACGGGTGACAGGTTAGAAATGACAGGGTACTGCAACATATCAGCACTAACCTTGACCTTGCGCCTTATACACTGCAAACATCCTTTACTATGGGGACCGCCCATCTCTATTGTCTATCTGGTTGTCCTAGGGTGTATAAGATAGCCTTATGGACAAAAGGCTGGATGGTAAGAGTTCTACCTCGAATTGGTATATGAGATAGAGGAATAAGGGGTGTGATAAGGTTTCTTTAGCTCGGCTCTACACCGCTCCGGCAGAAATTAAACACCGCACAGACATGGGTGCCTTAGAGCCTCAGGACTGGTCTAACCAATCTTGGAAGGTTAGATCGTCAGATCCATGACCCCGGGGATACCACCGAATTACGAACCCAACATAATTGGAACTATTTCAATATATTTCTCTCTCACGAAGAACCGGATACATACGACCATAGGGTGTGGAAAACAGGGCTTCCCGTCCGCTCAGCCGTACTTAAGCCACACGCCGGTGAGTTAGTAGTTGGGTGGGTGACCACCAGCGAATCCTCACTGTTGTATGTTTTTGTTTTTTATGTTGTTCTTTTGCTTCGCTAAGAAATCCCCATACAGCCATCTTTCGGGATGAGTGTCGTTTGCATCTTCACTGTACAAGCTTCGAAGTCTGTGCATATGAGACTCTCTCAAAGCCATCAAGCATCAATTGCCATTGGAATAAAATCTAAGTCTCCATTGGCAAGAAACCCTGCTTAATCACCAAATGCTTGGTCAGGCTTATACTGGCAGCGACTTGGACAGTACGTGATATAGTATGATCATGTACGATGTAATAGAGGACCGGGATCCTCACTATAATATATATACTTCACAGAACTATATGACTAAATAAGTAATCAATCAAAGACTGCACGGTTGATGTGGTCTCATTGAAGATCAGATCAATGGGTAGCTGGACAGCAACTAGCTGCGCGAGTCGACTACGAAGCATGATCCCCATGTACGAATCACAGCCAAGGCCCGCGAAAGAGGTGCTCCATGCTGATGGCGGCACTGAATGGCGATCGGGATAGCCAAGTATAATGGATACCTCATCTTGCACCAGCTCCAAAAGCATGGGACGGCGCTTTGCAGCGGGGACTTGACTGAGCTGGTCCTCCCAGCAAATCCCCACACTCACCTCGGTGGCAGGCGTTTCCGGGCGAGACGGTCTATTTTTTGTCTCAGACGATTCGAGAGAAGCGCACTTAGGGGATGCGGAAGTTGCGGAAGATGCAGGAGATGCGGGCGGGGCAGGCTTCGAGGATTGGTGTCCAGATCCTAAGTTGCTTCTAGGTGCGGGCGAAGGGGCCTTGAGCCAATACGTACGTCGCTGGAAGGGGTAGACAGGCAAATCGGTTTTACGGGCGCCACTTCCGTCGAAGACGGGTTTCCATTCCTGTCCAGATGTTCCCGCAGAAGGCTGAATCCCGCGAACCCACAGCTGACCAAGTGACTTGAGTAAGACGTCAACCTCATTTTGCTTGCGTTGCGACGTAGCAATTGCATCGGGAACATAGATTGAAAGTGGAGCCGACGGGCCAATCTCAACAAATGTAGTGACACCTGCGTCGCTGGAGAGGGTGTGAAGAGCATCTGAAAAGCGGACGGGGGAAATGACGTGCTGGATCCAGTGCTCAGAAGTCAACTCTCTGGCTTCTATCAGCTTACCCGTCAATGTAGAGACCAGTGGGATTTTGGAGCTACTGTTGTCTGGCAATGGGGAGATATGAGAGATCGCTGCACGTAGAGAATCTAGAGTGGGCGCCATCATGGGGGAGTGGAAGGCATGGCTCACTCTAAGCCGGGTGGTAGATCGTCCCTGCGCAGCGAAAAGACCCTTGATAGAAAGAGCTGACTCGGTGGGGCCAGAGACCACGACAGAGTCGGGTGTGTTGATAGCAGCAACTGTAGTGGTAGCTTCTAGATTCATATAGCGGATCACCCCATTCACTTCCTTCTCAGTAGCTGAGATAGTAGCCATCGCTCCTCCTTCGGGCAAACCTGCCATCAAAAAGCCTCGTGTAGTGACCAACATGGCAGCATCGGCGAGCGAGAGATAACCGACAGCGTGAGCCGCAGCTATCTCGCCGAGAGAATGACCTGCGACATAATCAGGTCGAATACCGAACGATTCCAGTAAGCGGTACATGGCGACTTCAAAGGCAAAAACCGCAGCTTGAGCGAAATCAGCACGATCCAAAAGGCGCATGCCGTTGCACGGGTTGCCCTCAAATGAAGAGTCGATAACCTCGGATAATGGGCGATCCAGCCGCTGGTCTAATTCTTTGCATGCTTCGCGGAATGCTGCGTCAAACCGAGGAAAGCGAGCACACAGCTTCTGACCCATACCAATTCGCTGGCTACCCTGCCCAGAGAAGAGGAAAGCGAGTCGAGATTGGGACTGGGAACGCCCGGATTTACTAGCTTTTACCATACCAGTGGAAACGCCCGGATGAAGCCGACCCTCCGCAACAGCCATTAATGCTTCGTGTAAGTCCTCAGCAGATGTAGCTGTCACAGCGGCTCTATGTGAGAGGGGTGAGCGTGTGACAGCAAGGGAGAAGGCGACATAAAGAGCGTCCTCGGTATTACACAAAGTCGCCATATTGCGAGCATATGCCTGCAACGCCTTTTCATCTGCCCCGGATAAGAGCCAAGGATACACATTTCCAGATTTCTCTCTGAAACAATCCTCTTCATGCTGCTTCTTGGAATGTACATGTTCCAAAATGACATGTGCGTTCGTGCCACTGATGCCAAAAGAAGAGACGGCGGCCCGGCGTGGGCGGTCATCAGGGGTCGATGGCCACTTTTTAGCTTCGGTAAGTAGTTCAACTGCACCGCTTGTCCAGTCGACATGAGGAGTTGGTTGAGATACATTCAGGGAAGCAGGTGCAATACCATGCTCCATAGACTTGACCATCTTAATCACACTGGCAATACCTGCTGCTGCCTGCGTATGACCAATATTGGACTTCACGGAGCCCACCAGCAGTGGTGTGGACCTGGCCTTATCTCCGTAGACTTCAAGTACAGCGCGCATTTCAATTGGGTCACCGAGCATGGTCGCAGTCCCATGGCCGTCAAGAACATCCACGTCGGCAGGTGAAAGTGCGGCACGTCGAAGTGTCTGTTTGATAACCTCTTGCTGAGCTTGCCCGCTTGGGACAGTGAGACCAAATGAGCTGCCATCTGAGTTAACGGCTGAGCCACGGATGATGCTGTGCACAGTGTGCCCATTGCGTCGCGCATCTGATAGTCGTTCTAGAAGGACGAGACCCACACCCTCAGACCATCCAGTACCGTTTGCATCGGCTGAGTATGGCCGACAGCGACCATCCGTTGACAGACCGCGCTGTCTACTGAAAGCAATAAACTGGCGAGGTGTAGACATGATAGTTGCGCCTCCGGCTATAGCCAGCGTGCTCTCACCTGTCTGCAAGGAAGCAACAGCCAGATGAATTGCACTTAGTGACGAAGAGCATGCTGCATCGACGGCCATGGATGGGCCTTTCAAATCGAACGTATACGAGATACGACCGGCCGCAACACTGGGAGATGAGCCGATGTCGAGGTGGGCTTCGTGTTCATGTCCTTCTCCTTTTCCATGGTTAAAACGACTGGCATAGTCGGCGTAAATCATACCAATAAAAACACTGGTTAATGTACCGCGAAGAGAGGATGGGGCAATTCCAGCTCGTTCGATAAGCGAGTATGTAGTCTCGAGAAGGAGCCTCTGTTGCGGATCAGTTGCAAGGGCTTCACGAGGTGACATTCCAAAGAACTCCGCATCGAAATCGGCCATGTCATGAAGAAAGCCACCACGGCGTGCAACACAAGTCCCAGAATTATCAGGATCAGGGTCGTACAATGCATCGATATCCCAGTCTCGGTTGGTAGGGAAGTCAGATGTCAAATCGAGACCGTCTGATACGGCACGCCATAGATCATCGGCAGATGAGATATCCCCGGGGTAACGGCAATCCATGGAAATAATGGCGATTGGATCCCGGCCATCGGCTTCATTTGGTGCTTGTGACGCAGCTGCGTCATCCTGTTGTTGACTTCCGAAGAGTCTATCATAGAAGTACTGGCTTGCCGCAGCCGGAGTAGGATTGTCAAATGCAACTTTGCAGATCGAATTAGCATTGTCGTTTGGTTTTCTAACAGTGAAAACAAGGTGAGGTATTCAAGTGCTCACAGGTTATAGGCAAATCCAACCCAGTAAGAGACGAAAGTCGATCCCGGAGAACCACACTTTTCATTGAATTCAAGCCAAGACGCATGAAAGATTCTTCAGGGTCAATATTTTCAGACCTGATACCACTGCCACAGACAGCAATGCATTCCGCTAACACAAGTGGTCCAATTGTGTCTCTGTTCAGCAAGGGGGCAGCGAGCAGACGACAAGCCGTACCAGTGTGCAATAAATCCAGCACAGCGATTCGCTTAGGCTTCCCTGATGCTGTGACGGGGATAGCTTCGATAGTGTAGAATGAGACAGGCACTTTATAATCTGGCAAAACGGCTCGGCAAGTCTGAAGCAGCTTCGTCATATCTAATTCGACATGAGGCTCGGCCACAATGAAGGCAGCAGGCACTTCTCCAAGTACTTTCTTAATGTAAGTGATACAGCACAATCAAAGGTAGTTTAGGGTGAGCCGTGAAATACTTACCATCATGTGGGAGCCCAGTAACGACGACATCAGCAACTCCAGAAGCCGCGCTGATGGCCCGCTCCACTTCGCCTGGATGGATGTTCTCACCACCTCGGATTATTAGCTCCTTGAGTCGACCAGTAACGGTCAAAGTCCTCTGTCCTGCATCCGGCCCGGTCTCCGTGAGACGCCCTAGGTCACCGGTGCGATACCAGCCATCTTCAGTGTTGGATAAAGGTACATTGTCGTCATTGTATCCGAGCATGAAGCTTGGGGTGCGGACACAGATCTCACCCTCATCCCCGTCCATAACCTCAGCTGATAGCTGACCATTTGTGGTCAAACCTCGGACTTGGACATCAATGCCCTTGACGACTGGTCCGCAAGATCCTTCAGGGTAATTATCTCCTGGACTGGTTGTGGCGATGAGACCACACTCAGTGCATCCATAGTGATTAATCAAAGGGATTCCGAGAATTTTCTCAACCTGGGTACTGAGTCCCATAGGTGCAGCTGCCCCAGCATTTACGCATGCTCGAGGTCTGATGAAAGCTAAAGCTTCCTGGGCAGAATGCTGTGTGAGCTCGCGGAATGAGGTAGGTGCGCCTGCAATGATGGTTGTCTCTCGGCGCTGTCGAAGACTGTCAAGCAGAGGTTCATCACCAACCAAATGGGTGCTCGCACCGGCAGCCAGCGTACCAATGATACATAAAGAATGACCGAAGGCATGGAATAAGGGCAGCGGCCAAAATATCTTGTCGGTAGACGAAAGTCCAAGTGAAGGTATATAACTATTCACAGCGGACCACATCCACGCACGCTGACAGGACAAGACCCCCTTGGGATATCCGGTGGTACCTGTGGTGTAATGTAACCAAGCTGGCTCATCCAGACTCAAGTCGTCGAGTGGCTTCTGTTTTTCCGAAGGAGGATTCAAAGTACGCATTGACCAGTCCTCGTACCGTTCAACAGTGAACCCTTCTACCTCCACACTCTCTTTTGGATCTGCCAAGGAAGGTTCTTTATTGACCACGACAACCACGATTTTCGTGTTGATCTTTGCCTTCCTAGCGGAAATCGCAGCAGACACCCTGCTAAGATGGAGACTGTCGGTAATGACAACATGGGCCTCGCTGTTCTCCAAAATCCTGGTTAGTTCTGCCTGGGATGCGCGCGGATCCAGAGGGACGCCGACCGCAGCAGCACGCGTGATGGCGAAAATACTCTCAATCGCTTCAATGCAGCTCCCAAGGATAACGGCCACCTTGCTTCCCCGAGTGACCCCTGCGCCCACCAGGTTGACTGCTATTTGGCCTGTCCGGGTGGCAAGTTCAGCATAGGTGACATTGTGACCTGCCGGTGCGGAAAAGGCTATTTGTTCCCCCCGAGTGTCCGCATGTTGTTTAACAAGGTCTGCCACTGAGTAGATCTCAGCCATGGTCACTAGATAGAAATTGTAGCGACTAAAAGTTGGATTGTCTTTTCTTTTTGTTTGTATCCAAGAGTAGAGGCTGATTAGCGCAGGATGTTTTGGCTTTTATAGCACTTAGTGAGACTGAGACCTAAACATATGGAAAATTGCCCGCCTGTGCTACATAGTGTGTTAAAATAATTAGTATGACATCAAAAATAGCATTAACTATGCACTCGTATTAAGAAACTTGCTGGTGATAAGTGATGTTGCGTACTAAGCACAGAGGCACACGTTACCCTGACTGTCACATTCCCTCGTATTCCCCAGATCAAAATTAGCCATTACCAGGATAGAGCATCCACTTTTAAATGTGAGTGCTCAGTTTAGTCATTATATTGTTAGTCAGAAATGCCTAATTGACTAATTCCCCTTCGATTTGTGGCTTCGGGACAGGCGGGTCCTGGTTGACGGATGATGAGCTTAGTGATTAGTGTGATCTCCACATAGTTAACTTAGTAATTTGTCAATTTGGTTTGATTTGATGAAATAAGAGCAATCCCTATACGATAAGCAACTTGCGAGATACGCTGGCTTCGCTCATTTGAGTCATTTCTGATTGGTGGGATGGCTGCGAAGATAGGGGCTTACAAGGTTACGATGAAGTTGTACAGGGATTGCATATCGCTAGGACGAAAATGGTAATTCCCGCTTATTAAGTAATAAGAGGACGCGCGTGGCCAGGTGTCTACGAATGCAACCTCGAATTTGTGTGGTTTGGTAGTACTTTCTATTCTCTAATTCTGTCTGTCCTATTTGGGAAGCTGGGTGACCAGGTTGCTCTCACGGGATCCCTTGAATACGGTTTCTTTCATATCCTTCACGCCAAGCAGCTTTCATAGCCATGACAACCGTGACGACACTGACCTCAGAAGTGCCGGCATTGGCGGAATCATGCGATGAAACACGCGACAAGGTAGTTTTGGAAAACGAAAGGGACTCGCCAAAGCTAGATGGGAAAGTTCTATCTGAGTCGTCGGAGAAGGATGACAAGTCGGCCTTGGAGTCATTCTGGATTATCACCATAATAACTGGTGTCACTTTCATCAGTGTCTCAGGAACTGGGATTTTGACCACCGCACTTCCTCGTATCTCGACCGACATCAACCTCCACCGCGATCTGATCTTCTGGCCGGCGTCGGTATATGCTTTATCTGCAGGGTGCACCTTGCTAGCATTCGGCTCCGTTGCGGATGTGGTTGGCTCTAAGAGAATGTGGCTGATCGGGAGCGGCTTCTCGTGTCCTCTGATTCTTGCATGTGGACTGGCCCGCACTGGTAACCAGTTCATCATTTTCCGTGCTATACTAGGACCCTTTGTGGCTATGTGTCTCCCGACATCCATGTCGCTAGTGACGGCATCCTTTCCGCCTGGACGTAAGAGGAATATTGCCTTTGCAGCGACGGGGATGGGACAGCCACTGGGCTATGCGTTAGGTCTAATTCTCGGTGGTGTTTTCACCAACACCATAGGCTGGCGGTGGGGATTTTATATCACCGCCATTATCGATGCCGTATTGTTTGTCGGGTCCGCCTTGATCCTCCCAGCGGACCCTGATTCGATGAAGCTATGCCGGGCTACATGGCATAAGCTTGCATACAGTATCGATTGGATTGGCGTATCAATTCTGGCTTTGGCATTTGGTCTCCTATCCTATGTACTTGCGTGAGTCATTCTTAGTTCTTGTATTTGATTCCTTATCCAGACTTTGCTGACATTCTATAGGATGATCACATATACCTACAGGAACATGTCTGAGCCTCAATATATCGTGCTGCTCATCATCTCTATATCACTCCTCCCTATCTTCTCGCTTTGGGTCAAATGGCAGGTAAAGCACAACAGGCCAGCCTTGATTCCAAACGCTTTATGGCGAAATCTGCCGTTTCTTTTCATCTGCGTGGCCATGTTCTTCACATGGGCCGGGTTCAACTCTTTCCAGTATATATCAACCCTATTCTTTCAGGACGTCCAGGATATCTCGGCACTTCAAGCTTCCATTCGCTTCTTGCCCATGGCTGTAGTTGGCGTGGCCACCAACATAGTTACTGCCCATTTGGTGTCAAAGGTGAATGTGAACCTGCTGCTGGGGGTGAGTGCACTGATGACAGCCATTTCACCTATCTTAATGGCGGTCGCTTCCCCCAGCTGGACATATTGGGCTGCAGCTTTTATTGCTATGACTTTAAGTCCAATCAACGGCGATGGTGAGTAATTTCCTCAATTTGTGTCTCTAATACGACCAACGCAGATGCTGACTTATCATTGGCCTAGTGCTATGGACTGTGTCTAGTCTGATAATCTCTCGGGCATTCCCTGATGACTCAATGGCTCTTGCTGGGAGTGTCTTCAATACTATCTCCCAGTTGGGTAACTCTGTTGGACTGGCTGTCACTGCCGTCATTGCTGCCTCTGTCACTGCTCATGATGATGGCGCATCTTCTCAAACGGGCAGTCAGCTTCTAGAGGGATATCGTGCTGCGTATTGGACTATATTTGCTGGAATGATATTAGTCTTCCTAGTGAGCTCTCTAGGGCTGCGTCACGTGGGAAAGGTTGGTAACAAGCAAGACTAAGAGCTGTCAATGGTTGAAGAAGATGGCATGGACTCGAGGAACCCCTCCCATTCTTTCTTTGAGTTGGTCTTGGTTGTTTATACTATCAGTGTACAGTTTTTGGAACTGGAGATGGATATAAAACACGAATCATTGTACCTATTTCAAAAGGGCTCACTAGCCACACATAAATCAAATCGTCCAGCGTGAACATCAGTCTCAAGTGGGCTATATACATTCGGATATACACTGCTAAATATTGAGTTAAAGAGGGCCTTAAAATGTATCCTTAAATGGTAAATCTATCTCTTCGACAAATGTGATTGTATCTGCTGCTAGTAAACACTGCGTTATTTTGCAACAAATATGGCCTCAAGGAAGTATTTCAGTTGAGCCTCAATGACCCGAGAATCCAGAGGTATGACAGTCCCGACAATTCCATCCGGTCGGACAACAGCCACGGCTCCCATATTGGGATCGATGCCGTAAGTATTATACCCCGTATCAGAAAGAGCGTAGGTAGTCATTTCTGCATCTCGCTTCGTACAACTGGGAAGCAGCCCCCAAAGATCATATTCCGACATTTCAAAGAGCTGCTCTGAAGGTCCAGTAGGCGCGTGAACCATCTCAGGAGTGACCACAGAAGTCTTCAACAGGGCTATGGAGAATTTGGGAACAACTCGCTCGAGGACAATCTGAATAGCTTTGGCAGAGTCACTCGCCGGGCTAAGGATATCGCGCCCGCATAATATGACCACTTTAAAGCTACCAGCATCGGGAGCCAAGCTGTCATGGATATCCCATTGACAACCATCTGCAAGACGCAGCATGCGTATGTTCACGAGCCGCTTGCCTGGCTTGATCATGCCGCTGTTGGGATGAAGCCCCCATCATTCTCGACTGTGCCAAAGATGAAGTTTGATGTGTTATCAGCAGACGTCTGCGCTGGTTTGACCACCACGACAGACTCGGCATACTCAATTCCACAGCCGCTAGTGAACCCCGAGATGTCCTGGTAAAGCTTAGTGCATTCTTCTTGGTAGCCAGGCTGCTTCTTCCTTTCGCTATCCGCCCATTGCATGCTGTACCATCGACGATCAAGCTCAACCAGTTGCTGAGCGATAAGCCGGCGCTCTGAGACGTAGCTTTGGAGCAAGCTGGTAGAATTAGCAGCGGTTCCAAACACGGCATGCGTGAGCTTCCAGGCTAGATTGAATGAGTCCGCCATGCTGACATTCATGCCCTGGCCGAGTTTGGGGCTGTGTGTGTGGCATGCTGCTCGAAAAAATAGTCACTGGTCAGTTTCCTGAAGTTCCCTCAATGTGATACTCGAGATCCAGACTTACCATCTCCTACTAAGAAAACTCTAGGAATGCCGTTGGAGTCTGCCTTTGCGAAATCAGATGCGACACGTTGCCCAATTGCGTATGCAGTGGACCAGTCGGTCTCCGTGCCTTTTTTGAGCGTCATTTGGAAAGGAGCAAATATTTCGGCTAGGCGTTGATAAATACAATCATCCTTGATGCTCGACTTTCTGTTCTGGTTGATAATGAAAACGCTTTTAGCATCTGGATGGCCTACTCCGTGCGTCGTGTATGAAGATTGTTGGCTTTTCAACTCGATGTCATTCATATCCACGTAGAATCGGGTAAGCCATTCTCCGTCAGTATTCCTCTCTCGTGGAATGATCATCGCCATACCAGAATTATTCTGTACTGTTGTGAGTCTCCTAATGTCAGGAAAGTCAGTATCGGCGACAAAGTCAATGACGCCCCAGACATGATCAGTTGAGTCACCTTCCATGGCGATATAGAAGTTTTTCCGGACCGTTGAGTGGGCACCGTCTGCACCGACAAGATATTTGCACCTGATCTTCCGGGAGGTCGTTTGGGTTCCTGAATCATCCCCGATAGTGATCAGTACCGGGTGACTTGGAACAGTCTCGTCTATACATGATTCGATAACATGGGGCCCGCGACAAAGTGCTTCCGGGGCATTGCTTTTGAGATCTTCCTCCAAGATCCGCTCAATCTGACCCTGTTGAATACTTAAGAGCTGCTTCATCCGTGCGTTGGGTGCAATAGCGAGCCTTTGCCGCATAACACGTTTCATCCTGGAGTTGTTTGGCGTGGACGCGGGAAGAGATTCAGGCTCCTGGCAGGAGGAAGGAACCTCTGCCCAACGGGCTCTCTCGCCGACTTCAGTAGATACTTTCATAAGCTCTTCGTAAAGTCCCAGTACTTTGAACATCTCTAAAGAGCGAGCATGAAGTCCATCTGCGTGCCCCGCGGATCGTACATGTAATCGAGGGTCAATGCATAAGAGAGAGGTTTTTTCGGTGAATCCGTAGCGTGCCAGAAGAGAAGCGAGCAAGAGGCCAGCAGGCCCGGCCTTTTGGTCATGGTCACCTCACTTATTCAATCAAATTTGATGGGAGTAAAGCTTACGCCAGCGACAACTACATCGTAACACTCAAGTTGTTCAACAACCTCCACCCCGGAAACTGGTTGCTCCATAGAGCCTGGAAATGGTGAAATTATAGAGAATTCTTCAGGCGAGGGAGTGCCACCAGGCTCATCCTCAACCTCCCGGATATTCAGGGTGACTTTTCCTGAATCAACTTCGGGGACTGCAGTTGCCCCAAAGTCCAGAGGCTTTATATTTGAATATTCGTGCTTTTCGTTCATTTTTTCAGCGTTACTTAGTACCAAGAAGGAAGAATTTGAAAGAGAAATGGGAGGGAATAGATATTTCTAGGGCTCCATGATTAAGAGATATCTAAATAGTGGAACCCCGGAAGGTGTTGAGGTCTCTTCCGAGAGACGAAAGATCTACTACTAAGAACTGCATAGACGCATTTCATTCATTTCAGCTAGTAGTGTGATTTATCGTCTTAATAATTACCTGATGTAAAGTTTTTATCGAATTACTCATATCAAACGGCCAGAACAGTAAGTCGGCTTAACCCCTTATAGCTAGCGTCTAGTTCCCACGCGAGCCTTGACTTACCCTGAGATTTATTCCTGAAACACTACAATGAATTTATGACTAATTTTGAAGCTATCTCATTAATTCCTCTCTCCCATGTTAGGATGGCACTTCAGCATGTCAAATTATAGAGAAAGGATTGAAGGTACCCGTAGGGATCAAATACTATCGTACTGGTATGACATCCATCCTTACAGTCTCAGAACGAAGCATGACATAGGATGGTCATCTTAATTGTAATAGAGGGCGGGGATCCCCACCACACTATTCAGTCCTATTATTTAAGAGCCGATGTATGGACCTCCCAAGCCAATTTGCCCTCTCATCTCCCAGTACAAATTTCCCTTTACTTTCGATTAAAGCAAGCATCATGACTACCTCCCTGATCTCCATTGAAGGTCCGTCTTTGTCTTATTCAAATGGTGATCCCCTTAAAACCGAGTTTGAAGTTGCAGCCAAGAAGAATGCAGTATCCCCGAACCCCACGGATGAGACCACTTTCCTCTTCCATAGGTCCTTCGAGCATCCGCTTAAGTTAATGGAACGCTCCGATGGTCATATGATTACAATGGGGGATGGTCATCAAATTCTTGATGCATGCGGTGGGGCTGCAGTTGCTTGTATTGGACAGGGAAACGAGGAGGTGATTGCTGCTGCAGTGGCGCAAATGCGCAAAATCACATACGCCCATCCATTGTCATACACTACGACCGCTGCGGAGGGTCTTGCAAAATCTTTCCTCGGTGGAAATCCCTGGGATTTCCAGAAAATGTTTATTGTGGGCAGTGGTAAGTGGGCAAATATGCTTCTCTTGTGTCCAAAATGACACCCAAATCGGGATGAAAAAAGATTTCTGACGATTCAACCCTGTCTTCTAGGTAGTGAGGCCAATGATGTAGCCATCAAGTTGGCTCGACACTATTTTGTCGAGAAAGGAGAGCCAGAGCGCGTCAATTTCGTTGCCAGGGCACAGGCATTTCACGGCAATACTATTGGATCTCTGTCTCTTAGCTCCCATGTAGCTCGTCGTCGACCTTACCTTCCAATTATCTTGGGAGATCGAGTCAGCCATGTTAGTCCCGCTTATGCATACCAATATATGGCACCTGGTGAGACGGAAGCAGGGTTTGTTGCTCGCCTTGCCAGTGAGCTGGAGGGTGAGTTCCTGCGACTCGGTCCACACACAGTGGTGGCATTCGTTGCAGAGACCGTCGTCGGTGCGACAAGTGGCTGCGTTACCGCCCCGGCAGGCTACTTCATAGCCGTCAAGGCCGTCTGCGATAAGTACGGTATTCTCCTGATTCTCGACGAAATCATGTGTGGAGCTGGTCGTACGGGTACCAAGTTTGCGTTTGAACAGGAAAACGTGATTCCTGATATTGTCACACTTGGGAAGGGTCTGGGTGGTGGATATGCACCCATCGCAGCCATTATTGCGCACAAGCGTGTGTGTGATGGATTCCGCGGCGGATCTTCGAAAGCCTTCAATCACGGGCAAACATACCAGGCCCACCCCCTCTCGTGCGCCATCGCTACCTCTGTTCAAACTATTATTCAACGAGATAACCTTAGTAAGTTCATTCATTCCTGATCCTTTATGCCTCACGTGTATGGCTTAAACACTGACACGGATCGTTCAAGTTGATCGCTGTGCGCATCTCGGTAAGTTGTTAGGTGCTATGCTCAAAGAACAGTTCGCCGATTGCGAGTACGTTGGAGATATTCGTGGCCGCGGATTGTTCTGGGCTCTTGAGTTTGTCCAGTCGCGCCACACGAAAAAGCCATTTTCGGCATCAGTCGGATTTTCAAGCAAGATGCAAATGGAGAGCTTCCGACGTGGGGTCTCACTTTATCCTGGCTCAGGCTCTGTGGATGGCGAGTTTGGTGACCATTTGATGTTTGCACCGGCATACACTAGTAGTGAGGAAGAGATTTTGCACATCGTTCAAACCGCCCGGGATGCCTATGACCAAGTAGTCTCTCAGTTGAACCTTCCCACGAAATCTTGTGCACTTGTACAACAATACGATGATGGGAGCTCTTCAAACCTCCGGCCATTAAAGCGATATATTACAACCCATGATGTGAATGGCAAAGCTATTTTCTATGATGAAAACTTCGAGGACATCATCCCAATTGTTCCACCGGGTAATATTGAGAGGGCGGGATTGCACGTTCACTATCACACGCAAGGCTTTCCCGTTGATCTGAGCGGAGGTAAGGACCTAAAGCACTACTTTGAATCACCTCAAAACATTCCCCTGGTTAATAAAGGTGGTTCAATATGCCGAATTGTGGATCTGGGTCCGGGTCAAAGGTCGCCGATGCACCGAACAATCAGTCTCGATTATGGGGTTGTTCTGGCTGGCGAGATAGACCTTGTTCTAGAGAATTGGGATGGCCCAACAAAACGACTGAATGTTGGGGATGTCAGTATTCAGCGAGGCACGATTCATGGCTGGATAAATCCTAGCAAGGATCAATGGTCACGAATGCTTTACGTCCTACTCCCATCTGAGAAGCTGAAAATCAACGATACTGACCTGGATGTGGAACTTGATGGCTTGGTACTACCAGAATGATTGTTAAATTTTGGATATCAATTTCATATATTAGGCTTTGCAGTTATATAAGTGGTTAAATTGACAAGTCGAGATGTGAGAAAGACGTTTTAGGGAAGTGCTGTATGGCATTCTTAGAAATCTTTCAGCAGATCGACCCTTATTCGTCAATTTAAGTTCACAGACAAGAGATGACAGCTCGAATTAGCTGCTCCCTTGGAATATGACCTGCCAAATTCAACAACAACATGACTGCTAGGGCAAGGTTCGAGCGATCCCTTGGGCGCAAGGTCGGGTTCGCCGATGCCAAGCCCACGATAAATGCCCAGAACTTGGGATGCTAGGATTTTGAATCAACGCTTTGTTTTGCAACTTGGATAGATTTCCCATACACTTACCTCATTTGTCACAATTCTCTTCATTTGAATGATACGCTGTGATGTGGCATCCGCGGGTCCATTCGGCGAATCGAGAATAAGAGGTCTAAGCTTACATACAAGCCCACTATGAGCACTGCAGCTCTCCGTTATGAGGAGCGACTCGCAAATCTTCGTGATCTCTTCATTAAAGCCTTCTCGCTCCCTGACGGCCCATTGAGTGGAGGATCGGAATATCTCCCAGAGGACTCGAGACAGCCGCCGTTCACGGCTCAATGATTGTTCAATAGACAGTGGCGAAGACTCAGGAAAGGTCGAGCTATAGTATGCTGTCACCATGGAATCAAAGTTCTCAAATCCAGCGTCCTCCACGCGCTCCAGAAGATAGTCGAGACGTTCATCCATGGAATCCCGGTGTCCCGGAAGTGAAGGTTTCAACGCTCCGCTGTCTCTGATATGCGAACTTGTGGGTGTGGTTTTCTGAGCTTCAGAGCCCATTGTGGATTCACACAGCATCCTTGGTTCTTGATTAGACCTCCAAGAGCCAAAGTCTACAGGTTCATTGAACTTCGGGGCTATCACTTGCTGATAACCCAACGCCGCATCGTGGGCCATCTCAGAAAGTGCTAGGATGATATTAGTATGGTCAAAAACAACACAACAAACATGAGATACCTCTTGCCATTCCGTTTCCTTCGTCATGTTGTTGGATGAAATTCGATCCATCCTGTTGAAGATGTTTCAGTTTGTTGGAGAATTGCGCTTGAAGCTCAAATAGATCCCGAATGATAAGTTCTTGCGATGGCATTCTTTCTCTTGATGGGCAATCTAATGGAAATATCTGAGCATGGCTTGTTTTTTTACCCGAGTTTTGGGATAAACATACTCATTAAGATCTGTTCATGGCCAAAAATTCCTTCGTTGCTCAATATTTCATCTGACATCTGGCCGGTTGGAGATTGTGGTTTCAAAAGCTGCTGAGGCACTTCCGTATGGGCTTGTGAATATTGATTGAGCTTGAAGGGGAAATGGTCCTCCTCGGCAGTATGTGACGCTTGTACAGACTCGCTGGCCAAATGATTGTCGGTCGTGTTCGCCTGTGAATCTGCTTTCTCCGCGTATACGGCTACCTTTGCTTGGAGCTCTTCAATACGTGCATTCATGCGATGACCTTTGATTAATCGTTAATAAGGCTAACACTAAAATGCAGAAAAACTAACGATATCGTCTCTGGGCAACTCGGTTTTGCACCCTCTTCCTTTCTCTGGGGCTGGTGGCTTTTGTCCAATCGTCGCATGGAGATAATTCGCTCACGTTTGGCAGGTTAGAAGATGACTGAACATCTGAAGATTTGCTGGAATCGAGCTCTAGTGACATGGGATGCGTAGAGAGATGAGAAGTAAACAATCTTTTTTTTTTTTTGAAAGCTCCAACAAAAATTGGGCATAGGAGACAGCTAATCTAGTTTTTATCATGAACTCTCTTTGGCTGAGGATTGATTCTTTAGCCTGGCCGGAAATAACCTAAGGAACCCGCGACGTATTTCATACTTGCTTAGTGCTTACTTTCATTCAATTAAAAACTCCGGAGCTGCAGCTTAAACATGATGTGACATTCCATATAGGCGCTAATGCGCTGGCGTACCGATTTTACCCCTCCTGGGACCACCCCCGACTTCGAGACAAAGTTGTTGGTGGGGGATCTTCGTGAGATTAGCGACCTTCAGCTCAACTTCGTTATCTCGGCGTACTATTGTATATGGCTTCCCCTTGTCTCTTTTGCCCCAGCAGAGAATTACAGCACTCCACGAGTCCCCGGAGCAAAAAAGCCTGGTTCTTCTCTCTCGGATGGGTCTCCTTTTAATATGTTGGATAGATTATGTGGATAGGTTTCTGATTATCTCCCTCAAAATCTATGTTTGAGATGGCGAAGCTGTCAATGGACAGTGAACGATACTTCAGATATAGCCCTGGAGGTAATCACTATACACCAAGCAATCCGGAATCAGCACGAGTAGGGCGTCCGACGGATCTTGCCGACACTATACATTTAAGCTCCACAACTATACAGCTAGGAATACAGCGCCACGGCCATAGCTTAAGTCCGGAGTCCGGAGTACTGCGATCGGTTAGGAACGGTTTCGGAGATTTTTGGCTCAGACAAAAGTACCGGGATCGTATACGGCCCGTATGCACAATGTAGTATGATTCGCGCAAACTCACCAGTCTCATCCAATGACGGTTTCCAATTTATCGCCCTTTTGGCCCCCTCTATCTTGCTCTCATTGCTACCCCCTTATTCCACTTTAGCTACCACCGATCCCTGCCCCTTTCAGTCCCATGCAGTTTCCCTTCAATTTACCCGTAGATGTCGCTTGAATTGACATCCAGTTCACTCTCGCTGTTTAAGATATAATAGCACTTGTATAGGAGCAGAACCACTAGTATTCAGAGTGATCCAGCCCAAAGCCGCACTGTGTGATTTCGTGTCAGTGCTCTTACTCCACCCCAATGCGAGTGATTGCGCGTCATGCTGCAAAGCAATCTAAGCTATCTCTCTGCCAATGCACCTTACTCGCCTTTGATCTTACCTCCCTCCACATCCACATCCACATCCACATCCTACAAAGTGCCAGCCTACCCTTGACGCTGCATGCCACAATCAAACTTAGGCATCACAGAAGAACATGAATCCCATGAGGCCCAGTTTTTGTCCTCGTCAGCCTCCCCCACTTGCTCTGCACCCAGTTCATGAATATCCGGAACCATGACCCGGTTATATAGGCCAATGCAAAGATACCGCACTTGCCCCTAATGGGCCAATGCTGTGTATTACGGCTAATTCTAGGATGCAACTACTATATTAACGCCCTATATATTAACATTCACTCTATAAACTAAGAGTAGTCTGTCAATCTCTTGATAGCCTACAGATTATTACTAGACGGCTTTAATGGCCCGGACTGTCCACGCGGTCGACGAATAAATAAATAGTCCCGATACCTCCGACAACCCATGTACAGATGAATCTGCATGTGGCACGTCAGGGGGGATTATCAGTATATAGCATTATCCCGAAGAGGCCGCTGGGAAGGATGAACTTAAGACCATAGCCTAACCAGTAGGGATTATGTTGAGACCGTGGCTGCCTAATATAGCTAAGCTCACATGTGACTGATCCAGTAGTCAGATAGTTTCTCTATCTTCCTTTCTCCTCTTCGTCCGTCTCTCTCTTTGCGAATCTATGCCTCTTCCTTCTTAGAGAACCTCCAGTGTAGCTTGTAGAGATTCCCTTCCATATCTAGTTGAACCGATCTACTCCATGAGCTCGCGCGTTAAGGATGGTCACAAAAGGCCATCCATGAGGACCGGGATTCATAGTGGCCCTGCCGTATGCGTTCCGTCTCAGCTGCATAACACGGGACGTTATCTATATTACCCATGAATTTTTTTTTTTTTTTTCGTGCCCTAGTTGTGTAAATCGTTATTATAGCGCTCGGATATGGCGGTTACATACCAATTGTGTTTCTTACAAGTGTGCAATGAATGAAATAGTGGACTAACTAGTTACTTACTCATACTTACTAATATAACTACATTTAACTAGTTTTACCATTCTAAAGAGGAGAAAATAAAACAGAGATAATACTAAAGCTGATATTCCATTTCAACCAAGCTTTTACGTTAAGTCTCTTCTTACTAATATCTAGCCCTATATCCTATTTCTCTGTACCAAAATAGAAATGAAACTTAGTACAAGCTCAAAAAGAAGAATCTTCGTCAAAAAGGAGAAAAAATGATATCTTACTAAAAAAGTATTAAATTCCACTAGGTAGATACCGGGTTATTATACTAAGAGATAATTCCCTTTTCATAAGAATCACGGATCGCTGTCTTCAATCGCGAAGGATATAGAACAGCAGTTCTTTGTTCTTTACTTTCTGTCTACGCGCCTCCTTCTGAATCAACATGACCACTCCAGCACGCCTGTTCACAGATTTAGTCCTATCACAGTGGCGTGATGCTTCGTCGTCGGGCGAGGTGGCCGTTAGTGGAGGGGATCTGACCATCGCCGATGTGGTGGCAGTCTCGAGGCACTTAGCACACGTGGATCTTACCTCAGCGTCCATCGATGCCATCGAAGCATGCAGCAAAATCATCCCGGAGAGGATCGCCCAGGGCGAAGTCATCTATGGCGTCAACACGGGGTTCGGCGGCAGCGCCGACGCAAGGTCCCACGATGTTGAGAGGGTCCAGCAGAGCCTTATTAGTCACCTAACGTGCGGCATCATCGCGGACGGCAAGCAGGTGCTGGCCCTGGGCAGCAATGGGCGTCCAAGCGAGAGCAATGGGCGTCCAAGCGAGAGCAACGGGCATCCAAGCGAGAGCAACGGGCATTCAAGTCAAAATAACAGCAAGTCGAATGGACAAAAAAGACAACAACGTGTGTCGATCCAAATTTCGCTTCCGCTTAATGACTCGCTCGCCGCTACCTGCATGCCGGAGTCGTGGGCGAGGGCTTCCATGCTTATCCGCCTGAACTCCCTAGCCGGTGGTGCATCGGGCATTCGGGTCGACATCGCGGAATCTCTGATGAGCCTGTTGAACAAGGACATCGTGCCGCGCATACCCGTTCGTGGGAGCATTTCGGCCTCCGGGGACCTCAGCTCACTCGCGTGGATCTGCGCCCTGATGCAAGGCAAGATGTCCGCTACGGCTTTTAGCGGTCCAAGAGACATTGAGGGGGCTAGAAGAGTGACGAGGGCCGACGTCGCCTTATCAGAAGCCGGCATAAAACCCATCAGCCTGCACGCCAAGGAAGGCCTCGCCATCGTCAATGGCACAGCCGTGTCAGCCGGGGTGGCAGCTCTGGCGGCCCACGAGTCCCTCCACCTAGCGGCGTTGTCGCAGGTGCTGACGGCTATGAGTGTGGAGGCGCTACGGGGCAGTGATGAGAGCTTTGAGCCCTTCATCGCGCGGGTACGCCCACATCCTGGGCAGGTGGACAGCGCGCGGAACATCAAGGCGTTCCTGACTGGGTCACAGCTACTCAACCGGCATGACAGCCGGAACGTGGCGACGTTGCGACAAGATCGATACTCCCTGCGCACGGCGAGCCAGTGGATCGGCCCCGTCCTGGAGGACTTTAGTTTGGCATACGACCAGCTAACGGTCGAGCTTAACTCGGTGACAGACAACCCGCTGATCGACACAGAGACGGGCCGCGTGCTCCACGGCGGCAACTTTCAGGCACGCGCCGTCACATCGGCTGTCGAGAAGCTCCGCCAGGGCCTACAGAGTATCGGCCGCATGCTCTTTACCCAGTGCACCGAGATGATCAACCCAGCTACCAGCTGGGGCCTGCCGCCCAACTTATGCTCCGACGACTCTAACAACTCATTCCTGTTTAAGGGGCTTGATGTGGTCGTTGCCGCCCTAACCTCCGAGCTGGGCTTCCTGGCCAACCCTGTCGGGTCGCACGTCCAGACGGCCGAGATGGGCAACCAGGCTCTCAACTCCCTGGCGCTAGTGTCGGCCCGGTACACACTTGAGGCCGTGGACGTGCTGTCTCAGATCGCCTCGGCGCATCTTCTGGCGCTGTGTCAAGCTCTTGACCTGCGCACCATAGAGATTGAGGGCCGGAATTATGACGACCCTCCTAACGCGATGCCATACATCGGCCAGGCCTCGCGGCGCATGTATCGCTTCATTCGGAAGGATCTCGGCGTTCCGTTCCTGGACGAAATGCACCTAGCTTCGACCGAGGCCGCAACCCCGGATGGTGCTACGCCAAGCATAGGGCTTTACAATACGCAAGTCTACGAGTCTATCAGGTCTGGACGCTTGTACGATGTCGTTCTAGAGAGTCTCCAAGAAGTGGAGGCGCAACGAAATACGAATGGGAAACCCATGTAGAGCCCTTCTCTACGGCAGGTTTTAGACGCCATCCCGCCAACTGATTTTGTTTGTTTACCGCTTGTTTTACCGTCTTGCCCTCGCCTGTATACTTGGGTTTGGATGATTTAAAAGAGAATAGGATCGAGATAGAACGGGATTTTACTCATGACAAAGGCTTTAAGGGGAGGGGGTAGAGGATATGTCTCGGCTACAAATGATATTGAGCAATGGGAAATCAAACATCTGTATAATACGCAGAACCACTGTATGATTTTCGGCTGTCTAGAGAAATTGATGGCTGGTGAAAGCCTAGCATTGATTTCATGTTGGAAGCTGCGTCAAAAGCAATTTCACTGTGTTTTATTTGCCTCCAAGAACTCTAGCAGCCTATCTGCGACAGCAGATGGTTGCTCTTCGGGGAGAAAGTGCCCACAATCCTCAATCGCGCCCCCGGAAACGTTGGTCGCGAAGTTCTGGACCAAGCGAATCATGTCCGAACCGACAGAGCTGGCGCCACCTAAAGCTAAGACAGGGATTTCGAGCGGTGTTTTCGCATATTCTAGGTTCTGTTTGGTACTGGCTTCAACAGCTCGATAGTACTCAAACCCCCGACTCATTGCCCCTGGCCTTGCATAGGCCTGGATATAGCGTTCGAGTTGATCTTTGGGTAAACCATCCGGATGAACCGTCTTCAATTTGAAGAACCAGGTCAGTAGCTCCCGCTCACGACCGCAAGTCAGAATTTCAGGCAATTCAGGAAGTGCATTGAATGAGAATTGCCAAAGACGCATATTGGTCTGACGAGACAACGGAAACTGAAGCTGAGGCATGAAACCCGGCACTCCCGCATCTAGTATACTGAGCGATTTGATTCTGGATTGAAATTGGGCTGCCCAAGGATAAGCAATCCATCCCCCAATATCGTGACCAACGAGATGGTACTGTCTTTCTTTCAAGACATCGTGAATAGCTTCTGCCATAATTTTGCTAACGTTCGCAGTATCATAGCCATTGAGTGGAGGAAGCGAGTCACCTAAGCCCGGAGGATCGACAGCGAAAAATTGATAATGTTTTGAAATGGGCTCGAATATGTCGCTGAATGCCTCTGCTGTTTGTGGCCAGCCTGGAACGAGAATCAAAGGGGGACCTTGACCGCCAACTATCGCGCGGACTCCGTGGAGGAGACGCATGGCTTGCCATTTTGGTGTCATGATCTTGACGTCCGCCGGGTCGAGTGCGCGGATGAGGAGTGCGAAGGGCGGGCAATTGTAAGCACAGTGATTCTATGCGTGCTATGATATTTCAGTGGATTTATATCATGTTGTAATGAGTCATGCACTAAATTGTGAGTCAGGGCAACGTACACGTACCCACATGGATCGTGGTAGTCTAAACCTATATCGGTACTTCAACTAGGGATCCATTCGAAATGTTTTGAAAATAGTCAACAACCCAAAGAGAAAAATTGCTAAGAAATGCTGTTATTATAATTTACGATGAATTATCAAACATACATGGACAAATATGATGCTGGTGCAAAGATACATATCATAATAGGGACTAGCGCTACGGCAGTCTCCAGGTGCCTGAGCGTAAAGCTAGTAAATAGCGTAGTGTCTTACTTGTTCCTATCCGTCACTTCTGTCAAAAACCATTATAAAAACGACTTTTAGGGCGCTTACCTAGGTAGGAATTTTTGCCCCGGTGATAACAACTTTCCCCTAGGATTCGAGAGACCTCATCGCACAGTTCTCGCCAACATCTCACTCCCAGTGGTCTCCAGTTAAATATTATTGTATTACCGCTGCTATTACCAGTGTTACTAAGCTTACCATAGTAGTCTATAGATAATTCGATTACTAGGAGTTATACAAAGTCGAAACTAATTCCTCTGCACGTCTCCCGTAGACCCGTTGAGTCTCACTCAACCTACAGAGGGGGACGTTCGCATTCTTCTTCCTTATGAAATCCAGAGCCCCTGGGGTTTCAGTCCAGCAAAAACATTGGGATCTCTGTATGATCCACATGGCCACCTCGAGCGGACTCCTGAATTCCGGTTGACTGGAATTCCGCGATCTGGCAACGACAGCCTGAACAAGATCGAACGGCTGATCTGCCAAAGTTTGCGACCAGAAGAAATTCGTTTGATTAATCTTCTTGTAGAGGGCGTCAACCTGGGCATCCAGTTTTGCAATTTTGGCGGACAGATCGGAGCTGCTCATGATATGGCGATTGGCCTTGATTGACTGACGAACTTTGAGGGACTTTTGCCAGGATCTAATCCAGTACCTCTTGAGGGACCTCCGGCCCAACGGCTTGTCGTGCTTGGTGTAGATCCTTGAGATCAAGCGGAATTTTTATTCTCAACAAAGTCAAAGAAAGAAGGAAGGCAATGATGTTCAGATTCCTCCCAAAGGCACCAGGACTTGATGAATCCGTGAATCTCGTCATCCTCATCGAGTCGAATCTAGAGGGCTGAAACCAATCCACCCGAGAGGTAGTTGTCGAGATAGTAGAGCATCATCGTTTTTGACATGGCGAGCATTCCCCCGAGGGACATTTCTGTGTAAGCACGCTCCATACATTCCTGTAGATTAAAATTCGCGACAAAATATTTTTCCCTCTCAGCTGCAAGCAATCGGCTCCCCCCTCAAAAGGCGGCGCACATTGGGGAGTAAGGGATAGTGAGGGCAAGGTCCCAACCGAGCATAGATGTCTTCTACTGTCACCCGATTCTGTTTCACGTAATTACAGAGCTCCTTGGGGGTTTTTTTCGATGTTGGCTCTGGTTATCTCTACTGCAATAAGCCTAGAACCCTGCAGGCGGTGCAGATTTTCAAGTACCTAGGCCAATTCTGACAGGAACGCGACCTACCAAATGTTATTAGACCGAGGCGCGAATCCAGTGGCCAGGCCCGGCCCTAAAATGGAGCTATCAACCACGGCAAATAATGGTTACAAGAGACTGGCTCAGATGATGCTGAAGAGTCTGGGTCGATGTGGTCTAGCCTGGGAAGACTGGCAGCAAAAGTCGGGTTTTGTGGGAGACCTGATCAAGAATACTGATCAAGTGCAGATCAAGCGAGCTTTGCGTCATGCATATTGGCGGAGTTTATATCCTGTTCCCAATCAACGTTAGAGAGAGTATTGCCGGTGTCAATATTTCGCTGGAATTAAATTTACCCAGTACAGCTCAGTCCTTACCACTCCATATATAGTGGTTCGCACGGTGTTTTTCAGATGTGCCTTCTGCCCTCATCAATGCGTTACCAGCTCAAAAGGGACGAGACAAATGACGCACGTTAAGTATTGTCATGAACATCTGTAAATCTTCATAGATGCTCTAGTAATGAGTATCACCTACGTAGTTTAGGAGTACGAGTGATGACACTGGTTTCTGCGTATGTAGCTCGCTCACCGAATGGGGGCACCGGATAACGAAGTAGTCAACTTGATCAATAAAGTTTGCACTCCATTGAGTGAAGGATATAGGCAAACTGACCACCAAGGTTTCCTCCTGCAAAGGACCACAGAAGTCTTCAAAGCAGCTGTTTTCGCCGATATTACCCTTCATCACGTAGAGGCATACTACAATTTCCTCGAAAAAGGTCTCCTCAAACGGAGTGCAAAGGCTGCAGAAGTCTTGCGCAACTTTTGGTATGAGAATGATCCGAATTTGCTTGAAATGAAACGACAGCTCCTTCCAGTGTTGGAAAAGCACTTCACAATCCGGCCAGATTCGGTTAGTGACAAAGCCGTGATCTTGATTGCGATGCCCCTACCTAACTGAGGCGGGAAGATGCTTGAGAGCTGCTTTGGTGCTCAGTAGTGTATAAATTACCTAGTTATTAACTAGTTAATTGGCGTACTTCCCAATGGTATTCTAGGTAGCAACCCCAGTTTGCAAAAAAGACGTTCCCGATTCATTATTAGATCAAGTACTGGAGTCAGTGCACCGGCCACTGTAGATAGGGGACGGGGCGATCTCGCGGGTGGATCGGGCGGGTGGATCGGACGGGGACCTCAGATATTTAAGCCACCCGTTCCACGGTTCGCAACCCCAAGCCATGTGGGGCTATGCAGAGACCCGGCTATAAGGTTCTAAGCTTAATGCCCGAGAACTCAGATTGCCTGCGCGCAGGATATGATTATTTAACGCGTACATCGCTTTTGTTCACTTTATGCACTCGATCTCATCTCTATGTTACCCATTTTTCGTTAACCCAGCAAGGCGAGCAGATCGGTAATGTTACCTGTATTCCAAGAACGCAGTCACTACCAACGGACACTGGAGTGACATCGAGAAAGCCCACAGCAGAGATTCTCTACTAATACTCAAGGAGCAACCGCAAGAGCACGTACCCCCAACGCGAACAATCATTTTCCGAAGTTGTGACCCACGGAATCCGAGGTCGCCAGGCATCCTTTATTTACCCCATTAGTACCCCTACAAAGCAAAGCCTAACCTAATGGAAATTGACTACGAGGGCTGAAGAATAAATCTGCGTCACACCTCTCAGCCCAACATCAAGAGCTGCTGGACAGTGTGCGTCAGTCAAGTCCCGACGATCGGCTACCGACTCACGCCTCGCTGGCTGCAAACAGGCTATGAGCTGTCCTCAGCGGCCAGTTGATCTACTACTAATAGTAACCTAAAGAGAGGAGAAGTGTAAGAAACTCTGACTTAAAACGATGTGTGGTCGTAAACATTCGAATCCAACCTAAAGAAGGCTTTCTTTCACGTGCCACATAGATGGAAAGCTTACAAACACTGGATCAATACAAAAAGGATACCTAGGAGGGCCTACGGGAGGGAACTTGGGACCAAGCTTCTGAGTGGGGGCAGGTGTAACATAGCGGCTATGACCCAGATGCGGGTCCTGACCCGTGTCGGAGCTTTTACTCAATGTACCACCTGCATCTAGGCATAGGCCAGATTCACGTGGCAAATGCATCAACCCTATCAACAGGGACTGCCATATTAGATCTGCCAAATGATGAAAATGATGGAGGTTGAAACTAGCAAATCTCTGTCAAGTTCCTAAATCTAATCTCGGACATAGCGGAGATACCTACAAAACGTTATTTACATATACTGTGAGTCATCGGGTCTTCCTTGGTTTTACCTGAGACAAAGGCTGGGAAGCACAAACGGCAAAACTTCCCGACACATTCACCAATTGGAAATATATGTGTATATATTTTCGCGTAAACTCGTCTCATTTAATCCCAGGTGAAGAATAGTCAAAGGCAAACAATGGGAGAATCACCCGAGGCAGCTGGAAAAGGGAAAGAAAAGAGCGATAAGCAAGTCCAGGATTCGATTGGGTTGTCCCTGGTAATTTACAGAGCACAAGTCAGACACACCTAACTCCAATGTAGATTAGCCTCTATTTCCCCTCCTTGTAACAGTCACATATTTACGAAGCTTCTTTTTCTTCCACTCTCTCTGCCTGCAATCTTTTCTAAAGCCCATTACGGGCACGATTATGAAAATTCATGGACCAACCCGAGAGAGTGAACCAAAATTGAAATGACTGCAGTTGAACAGGGCAGTGCCATATTGGCGACAGCCCCAACACTGGTTGTGCAGTTTCTTCACGCAGCCGTTCAGCTTGTGGGTCAACTCTATGAAATTCATACCCTTGGCAATGATGAGCAACTTGCGAATGGATGGGATACATGCGACCTACACGCCCAGTTGACTAGCCTGAATGACAGCATAACCAGCGGCTGTCCAAGGGACATTGGACCATTATCGGAACAAGATCAGGGGCTGGATAACCTCCGCGCTACTAGTCACCTCGCCCTAAATATTATATTAGCTCGCCTGAAACTGATACAAGACTTCGGACCTGGTTCAGCCCTCCGTGTCGGAGAACTGAAGAAGTTTTGGCCCCGAGACGATGTGGAAGGACTGGAGGAACGGATTGTGGTCCTGAGATCGGAACTGGAGGTGACGGTCTCATCACTGCAAACGTATGTCCCCAAACCCTTTGTCCAATCAGTAGACTTTAAATCAGGTAGCTAACCATTTCGATTGCATAGCCTAGGGAAAATCCACGAAGCTCTCCTCTCCTTGGACATTACCCGAGGCAGAATAGCGCCCAAAGAACCCTCCTTGAGAGATCAAAAACGGGAGGGAAACGGGAGGTCCTCGAAGCCTAGCATTTTGACTCTCTTTGGTAAAGATGCTACCGGTTTACGTAATGTAGGAGCGTACGAAGAGGTTGACAAAGTCTATACGGAAAATACTATCTTCACGGACCACGAAACAACCATCCAAGACTTCTTGATGGAAGCTATAAAATTCTCATCTATGATGGATCGAGAGGAGAGTGTCACAGTCGCACATAGCAAAACCTTTGATTGGATATTCTCCTCTAATGAACCAACCGCCCTTCAGGGGTGGCGTCCAAAGAGTTCTCTCAGTGGTTGGCTACAAAATGGGGAGCAGCAGGAGGGTATATACTGGATTAGTGGCAAAGCAGGATCGGGGAAATCCACCCTGATGCGATTTATCATGCATCACGCCAAAACAATGAGTCTCCTTCGCTCATGGGCGGGGAATAAGCGACTCATCACTGCCGGTTTTTATTTCTGGATTAGCGGCACCTTGGAGCAGAGGTCTCAGACAGGCTTGATACGCCATCTTTTATCCCAACTACTCGACCAGCAAAGACATCTCATTCCGATGGTCTTTCCAGATCGATGGAAACACCTTCTTTCTCTAAGTACACGAGAACGCGTCAAGGCCTCAATCTCATGGGACCTTCCTGAGCTAACTGCTGCTCTGAAATTATTCCTGAATTATGCCGGCCGGGGGAGCAAAGTTTGTTTGTTTATTGATGGACTGGACGAATTTGCCGGTGACCATCAGCATATCGTGGACTTTTTCAAAGACTGCGTTGATTTGTACACTCACGTCAAAATCTGTTTATCTAGTCGACCATTTCCCATTTTTTGTGCGGCTTTTGGAAAGAATCCTAGGCTTGAACTTCACGAACTGACCCGACGAGATATGCTTAATTTCGCCCGGGATCACCTCTACAGGGACCCCTTGATTAGTCAACTTCTCACCCAGGATGAAGAGGCAGCATCACGGCTCATTAATAGTATTGTTAAGGGGGCAGATGGCGTCTTTCTCTGGGTAATGCTTGTGGTTCAATCTATTCTGCGGCATCAAAACTATCAAGATATTCCGCAAATGCATGAATACTTGGGCCAACATCCCACCGACTTGGATGAGCTTTTCACGCATTTCCTTTTTGGCGCCGCATCTAGAGATCAAACTTTGGTTATTTCCCGCCTGTTCCAGCTTCTCCAGGCCAGAGAGGAGGCATTTTATGCCACTCAGCAGCAAGATGCATCGTCAACGAGCCTCTGGGACTTTTCTCTCGCCGACCAATCTGAGGAAATTGTGACATACATCCCGAAAAATGTGCAACAAGCGACAGATCAGGACATCATTCGTATATGCGAGGTTACCAAGGCCCGGGTGTCCAGAGAGTGTGCAGGGTTGATAGTGGCTCACGCGTCGGGATTGTCAAACAGCATTCTCCAGCGCAACATACCATCACCGGCACAGCAGCTAGGCTATAGCAAGATTTCTTACGTCCATCGAACCGTGAAAGATTTCGTCTCACTATCCCACGTTCGGTCCCGGCTCTTGGAGCCAATGCTAGGATCAAGCTTTGAGCCCCATATATCACTTCTCACGTCGATTATTCTCCAATTCAAGTGGCCATTAGATGAGTTTCACCCCGACCGACAGATAAATGACCGGTGGCCCAACATCCTTCTCGCATTCACCCACGCACGACTGTCTCAAAATCATCGACAGTCACAGCTGATGCTTATTCCTGAGCTGAACCAAGTGCTGTGTCAACATTGGGCGTCCCGTGACTCGATTGAAAATGATCATTGGGCAAGAAGCCTTTTCTCATCGTATGAGAAACGAAAGAATCTCAACTTTTATGATCCGTTTCTCTCGCTCTCTGCCAAGTTTGGCCTAGCAACTCTAGTAAGTGAACGCATCCGGAAGGATGATAACAGGTCATACGGCAGTGGCGGCGGGGTACCCCTTCTCAGTCATTGCATTGAAATGCTCGCGAGTCGGCGGCAAACCGTGTACCCTTTATCCAGTCCAGAAATGATCCGTGAAATTCTCACGGGCGGTGCCAACCCGAATCAGCCCTACCAAGATCTCAACGGAAAGAGCCAGACGCCCTGGCTGGTTGTTCTGGATTATCTGCGAGAAGCAGATCGTCGCCAGTGGATTGGGTACTATGATACTAGTGAAAGTGGTATTTCTCGTCTGTCGGTGATTATATCGCTGTTCATTGAGCACGGCGCCGACCCCAATGGGATACTTGTTGAGACCAAGTTTGATCCCTCGGCTTCTGCGCTTGAAATAATCACCTCCATTTACCGGAAATATGCCAGTCCGGAATTTAGCCAGCTTCGCAGGGTATTGATAGATAAGGGGGCTCATGAACGAGAAGGGCATGGCATTTTGTATCAAGTGTACGGTAAGTAGCCTGATTCAACACCTACACATACTTAGTATACAACACTTCTCTTTATACTAGCAATAGTTTCATAGTCAGAATGTTCCCATTTAGAAGTCAGTATATGAGCCAATAGTTGTATGTAGATTATTGAAGCTGTGCTTGTTCACAATACCCCAACTTCCACGGTTGGGTATTACAGTACGATCTCGCAATCTATAGTGGACATGCTGCCTCAATCCCGGGTCTGCATGTCCGATTTGCAAACTTGATTTTGGGTTGTGATTTAATTTCTGACATTGTATGTAATACACTCTATATTATACATTGTTCTCCTACTCTGACCGCTCCTTCCCAGTAGGCACCGTCCATCCATTTAGAATACCACAGCCGGCGTTGAGATACGCCGCATATCCAAGCCACACGGCGTAGGGAACAAGACACCAGAAAGCGGTCCGATCGGCCGTCCACCAGTTGACCATCAGGGCACCCACGTTACCCGCTAAGAGGGCCAGATCGCCCAAAGCTACGGCCGGTCGGCCCAGCCGGAAGAACAGGGGCATCCAGAGGAAATTCAAAGCAAGCTGTGTGGTGTAGAGTGTCTGGGCAGTTGAATTGGCATCACGGACAGCTAGAGAAAAAGATCGCGACGCGGTAGTGGTGGCGTGGTGAGAGGCATAACCCATCAACCCATAAATGAGGGTCCAGGCTGGCGCGAAGAGCCATCCTGGGGGACTGCAGGGCGGCTGCTTCAGCTGCTTGTATGTTTCACGATTTTGCTTCCCTACAGAGCCGTTAGTGATTATCTTTAGGCGTTACCGTCACCGGTCCCGAGGTTGGCTTACGATTGGTCAAGAGGGCCACTGTAGTCCCTGCGGTGATCGGAGTCGCAACCGCTAGATAGGGATTGGCGAGGAGAACATGAGGCAGAGCGAAAGACCAAGGCATTTTCACGAATGTGATGGAATGAATTGAAATCAAATTGTGTATTCTGTAGCTCTGTAATCTCGAGTATTTGAAGAACAAAATGCGAAATCATCGAAATCCGCAAGTTTTTGCCCCTACGTCATCCCCCTTCCTTGGCACCAACAAGCTGCCAGGAAGAGTCAATAGCCCCTGATTTTTCTTTTTTATTATTTTATTATATATATATATATATTTTTTTTTTTTTTTTTTTTTTTTTGTAAATTCATGGGAAGAGATCGATGATGATAAAATCGAGGTGAGGTGGAACCGATGAAATAAATAAAAATGTCCATGGATTCAAAGGTTGGATGACAGTGACGGCAATCGCGGTTAATCAGTTTAATATTGACACTTTCGCTCTGGGCTTCATCATTTGCTCATATCTCACATCCTTACCCACAATTCCCCTGTGATTGTTGTGTCTCCATTCGGAATCAAAAGGCAATCTACTAATACTGTTTATTGGGCAACCAACACACTCATTTGCCTTACCCCGGTATCGCCCGCCACTATAAAGAGCGATCCATGGATGTTTATAATCCACTATGCTAAGATATACTTTCTTTGCCAATCCTCTTCGGTTATTCCGTATAGACCCCAGTGAACTTTTCTATTATAGAAGGGTTTGGAAGGGTCTACCTCTACGCATACAGGTACATAGATGGTCACTGGACTCGGTTCTTATGCCGGGGTTATGCAGGGGTAAACAGCTTATGTTACTCAAGCATGTTCTACCTAGGTAATAGCAGAGTAGTAATAGTTATAATATTGGTGAGAACTGTGCCTGTATCTATATTCTCCAATATAAAAATGTCGATCACATTGAAGCTCGGACACAATGACGCAATGGCGTAATGGACCATCTACTGTTAGTCTTTACAGCCTAACATTTCCCCCTCTCGTTGGGCAGAAGGGAATGATTTGTTGGGCGTTTGGATTGATAGAATGAATACTCTAGGCTGAATGATAAGTTGCCTCCGGCTTCATAATGAAAGAACCAACTATATCTATATGAATTGAGATACTCCGACTTACTCCGCACTGAGGAGAAACCCTCGGACTTCCCCGCGTGAATGATTCCAATGCCAACGAGGCTCATGTATCAGTGGATTCCCAACCTATCGTTATTCTATTGACTTCTATGAAGACGCAAGACGAGGCAAGACACGTTAAACGCAAAATGCATCGATACTGCGCCGCACCCCTGCGCCCCTTGACCTTGGCAGCCAAAGATCAAAAATGGCTGTGTTGCTATAAGTCGTGTATCTTTTGCAATTTCCAAGCTTCGTTCTGACATCCATCACTTGCTGCCTCTAGCTTCCCCGCCCCTTTTTGCCGCACCCTCCTCATCGAACGCCCTCCCCCCGAACATAAATCGACACAATCAGGCTACGCTCACGACGAATATTACTTCTCCCCCGCTCTTGCTGGCCACTTGGTTGGTCGGCCCCAGCCAAATGAGCTTAGAGGATATCCGGAAGAGGCTCAAGGAAGCGATATACAACTACAACACATCAAGGGCATTCATCCCGTACGAAAGGGTCCAAGAGGTATGGGCCGGGGGTCGGCTGGATCGGTTTCTGATGGACCATGACCGAAATCTGTCTCCATCACAAATAGATGCCGCCCGACACGGCTTGTTGCGTATTTTATCCATCCTTATCGGTGTCGTTCACCAAGATTGGTCAGGATGGTCGAGGTTCGGACAGATTTTCTTCCCATCAGATAATGTTGACGCCGCTCGTCGCCGCGACAAAAATGTTACCACCTTCACCAAGAAGGAGCTCAAGGACAGTTCCTTTCTTGGGGATACCAACCTGGCCAGCCAATTTGTGGTTCATATGTGGACTTACTTTCCACCAGTTCTCGATGGGAATAAGCAAGAGACTTATGAAAAGCACCTCCGGTTGCCGCTGTGCCGGGAGAAGGACCCTGTGGTTCGAGAGGGGCGCTCCGGAAAAGTGACCAAGGAGACCATACCTCCGAACCATATCATACTAGGTGATGTGAGTGATCATAGGGGAATACCAGGGGCGCGCTATCCAGTAAGTTTTATGGTACATGACTTGATACCGCTCGTCACTTACGGGTTTATTTTCCGTATAGGAAGAACTCATAGTTGCCCGAAAACGTTTCCCCAGGAAAGGATTTACCGTTGAATTGAAACAGTTGAAACTTCTCCAATCAAGCCTGTCCAGCCATAAGCGAATTGTCTCTCACCTTGCGATGTTTTTCATTGAAAAGGACTTGAACATCATCATGCCATGGGCCGAAATGGACTTGGAAGGTTTCTTGACCGGACGTTACCAAGAGATGCCACCTCCCAAAGATCTCTTGGTCGATTTAATCCACGAGTCCAGAGAGGTTGCATCTGCCATTCAATTCCTACACGAAAACCTCCAAGTAGAAAATCCAGGCGGGGACTCTCGCCACCAAGCAATCTGCCACGCAGATCTCAAGCCTCAGAATATTTTGGTATTCAAGCACGAGGGCTCTTCGACTGGAATTTGGCGGATTTCCGATTTCGGTGGCTCGCAAGTAGCAAGACGTGCTCCATCAGGAACTGGGAGGCGTGACTCAGGATACTCCACTAGCGGTGACCATCCCCCAAGAGGGGGTCCCTACCGGGCACCGGATACTAGTTCCCGACGAAGGAGCGACGTCTGGTCATTCGGGTGCATACTAACGCGCCTTTTTGCCTTGGGTCTTGGTCCTGAAACTCTGCGAGAGTTTGACCAAAGGCGAAAGGAAACCGTCGACGGAGGTGCCCTCGACGATTCTTTCTATCGAGGAAACCCCCCCTGCTCTTAATTCTAATGTCAAAACTTGGATTGAGGAGTTACCAACCCGATATCCCTCTTCCCTCACCCCCTCTTCCGTCACCCCTGATTGCCTCGAGAAAATGCAGATTCTTCTCGGCTCAATGCTTCAGGTGGATTTCCAACAGCGCGCATCGGCACGTAAAGTTGAAGATGGTTTACAAGCACTTTATCACTCTCTCACCCATTCAGACTCCGATACATCGCCATCTACTCAGATGAATCTGCGACACTCACTAAGCGCATCTTCAACAATCTCAGGGCGGTCTCGAAGCAGTACTGGTATTACTAGTATCAGTCTAAGCCACTCACGGTCAGTGAAAGACGTGGGTGTTCTTGTTGATCTCATGAAACGTGGAAATCTCAACCACATCTGTCAAATTCTGGAAGACGAGATTGATGTCGAGCAGCTCTATGATGGCGAACGACCTTTGATCCATGCTATCAACATGCCTAGTGCTGCTATAATCAAAGAGCTTTCCAAGTATCAGCGAAGAGCTCATGACCGAAACTTGGACGTACGAACCCTCTCGTCCGAAAGCCAAACGCCACTCTATCTTGCCGTTTGCAAAGGTGACGTCGACACTGTGAAAGCTGTGATCGACGCTGATCTCGACCCCTATACAGATGTGGGAACCGACTCTGACTCCAAGGCCGATTCCAATTCCTTATTAAACAAACTGTGCGAGGGCAGGACTCCGCTCATGCAAGCAACCTTCCTTGGTCATGCTGACGTGGTCTCATTGCTTTTGGAACGGGGTGCAGACCCCCGAATCTGCGTGCAAGAAGAGAAACTGAACTGCCTACATTTTGCGGTGAAACATGGCAATCGCGCTCAAGAAGACGTTATCATGGCCTTCAAGGACAAGATGAACTTTGATCAGCTTCCGCCTGATACACCACTCGATAGGAATGGAAATCCTTCAAGACTGAGGCGGTATGACACGCCAATGATGCTGCACATCAAATTCGCACCGGTGGATTCACATACCTATTTGGCCCCGGACTCTCGGTGGAGGAGGAAGTTCCAGGCACTGTTGGAAGGGGGAGCAGATGTGAATAGGACGTACAACCCAGGAAACCCCGATTTTGAGAAGAACTCTTTGGAATTTGCAGTGGACGAAGCGAAGCCCCTGCTTGTCCAGGTTCTTATTGGTGCCGGTGCAATCCTTCCAGTGGACTACGTTGTACCGCGAAGAAGCTCTCGTGAAATGAAGAAACTGCTCAAGGATGTGCCGAGAGTACGTCTTCCCACAATATCTTGATTTTTATGCGACAATATTTCTCTTTTTTTGTTGGTTTTATCCCCTCTGGTTCTAAACCCCCATCATTCGAATTTCAAGTACATATTTAACTTAATTAATACCTTTCCATTGATATTGAGAAAAGGCACCACCTACATGTTAATGGCACTTTCGATTAAACTATACATCTTATACATCTTGACTCTCTTCCAAAGTTATACTACAACAATCTACCTGGTGTGATGGCTTCCCATAGAGGGGATTCCTCAAGTGGTCTCGGATATGTTCTTCTGTTGCTCGATTGACTATAATATTATCAGCATATAATCATGACAAAGAAGAGTCCTCCTAGTTGGGGTAAGCATAAAACCTTACATATCGAGTTCATGTCCTCTAGTGATACATCCTTGGTTTCAGGGACCTGAACCATTAGCATGAGACGCAACGCAAAGGAGACAGACGAGACTAACCAAGAAGAAAATCAAAATGAGTGCCAATAAATTCAAGCCTCTGCAATATAAGTCAGTATTGAATCAGATGGAGCATTAAATAGTAATCTCACGAGAAGAAGAAGAGAAGATTCCCCTCGCCGTGGAATCTACTCGTCAACTGAGGTACAAAGAGTACTAAAAGCCCGAGACCAAGGAAATTGACCATAACACTGAAGCTCATTCCCACCTCTATCATTTATTAGTCCATGCTAATGGTAATGCGAAGGCCGGGGGGATCAACTTACCGCGCACGCACAGAGGGAATACCTCTGCACTCAACGTAAATGGAATAGGCCCAGCACCGATCGAGTAGAAAAAGACGAAAGGGGCACAGCTAAAGACTGCTACTAGGATTAATCGAGTGCCGTGAGCTTCAACTTTGAAAAAGCCGCCGACTGCTATCAGACTGAGAAGCATCCCAAGAAATGAGCCAAGTAGCAGAGGCCGACGTCCCCGTGAGTCAATAAAGATATATGCAGGCAAAGTGAAAAAAAAGCTTGCTAGACCAAAAGCTTTTTTTTTTTTGGCGAATTAGTTGAAGCCCTACCGAGTCAGAATATTCCTTTCATGATCACCTACAAAAGTTGTACCACTTGACGACTGTGAGAGAAGTAAACAAGGCGTCACTCGGTTTGCTCGAGTTACTCTGGTCGGTGTGCAAAAGCGAGGATGAATAGAATGCCAAAACATTGATCTGTTGGTTTTTCGAATGGATTAGCTGTCAGTCAAGTGCAATCATGGGATATTTAAAATGTGTCAATGCCTTACACCACATAGTTGTTGCGATGCCATTACTATCAAAGCCACCGTACATGCTCTTCTAGTTCGCGGATTGGTGGCGAGATACATCATCCGTTCGAAGAAATTGACTCTGTTGATCCAACTTTGGTAGGCGTAGATCCTTTCTCGCTCCGACCACCACGATGTCTCTTCCTGATTCCACATCTTGGTAGCCTCGGTCTGAAGCTGAGCATGGATGTAGTAAAGGTCTCGGGCGGCTTGAATCGGTGTTCCTCGGAGCTCGAGAAGGCTTCTATATGCATCTGCATATCGATTCCTCTGTATCAGAAATCGTGGCGACTCGGGACAAATGAACACCAAAAAGAGAAGAACTATGGCGGGAATTATCGCAGTCGCCAGGAGTACTCTCCAATTGTCCATCACAATCAGTGCACAGAAGAAACCGAGAAATATTCCACTGGAAGAAAGTTAGGTAATGAATGGCCTGTAAGGGGAGAGCTGGAGCGTACAGTGCGTCAAAAAGTTGCCACAACATCAAGATTTTACCTCGATGTTTATCAGGTGCTGCTTCGGCGGCAAATATAGGAGCTATCGACGCTTTTGATCCGATCTATGCAGATGGAAGTGTGTCAGATAGTTGGACGTTGAAATGGGACGGAACAAAGAAAGGAATCAACATACCCCCACACCAAGAAGTACTCGACAGGCCAGTAGTGTCTTCCATGAATGGCAATGAGCTGTTCCTGTGTTCAATATCCGGGTCAGTCGTCATCAGGCAACCTTTGGGGGTAAATACTACCTATCACAACAGCAACACAGAAAATAGCAGAAAGGAAAAGCGCGGGACGTCTTCCGAACCTTTCTTGGAGCGGATCGCTCACCCATGTTCCTCTGAACTTGTGGTTAGAGTCGGCTGAAGAGTAATATGCTGCAGTCGTTCTGAGTTGGGTAGGAGTTAGGAGACAACATACAGAAGACTGCCGGAGAGCCAAGGAGCTGCATTGATGAATCCAATCAAAAGTCTATCACTCCCAGTATCGAGGCCCAGGTCATCCTGCCACTTCAAAAGTGCGCTGCCATTGATTGTTGATTGCTGCCATCCCCTATGATGATTGTCAAAACACTCCTAAAATACCAAATTGGCCCACATCATCGACATACTGTGTGATTGCCGCACAAGCCGTGACCATAATAGTAACAAGGAGGCCCCTGGTCGGCAAAAACGACAGATATCTATCCGAATCCTCCCTTTCCCTTTTTATATCCTCCAGCTCCGCACGGGTGAGTCCGGACGGGACATAGTACAATCGGCGGTCTTTGGCGAGTCTCGCGCCATTGATGAGGGTTTGCAAATCGACGACCATTTCAAGGCCAAGATTATTGTGGAATGCTTTGACATCGGCCACTAATTCGGATGATTCTATACCTTCGAGCGGGTTATCTGTTCTGATTGATCCAAGCCATTAGGAGTTGTTGGAAAAGACAGGGTTTGAGGGGTGCCATGTGTTACATTCGGCAACTCGAATGTTGGGTATCTGCACTCATCTTGCAGCTTCGCCAATCGGCACTTTTGCAACAACTTAACAGGTCCAAGTATATAATAGAGTACTCAAGGGCAAAACTGGTGAAATCTTTGTGAGATAGCTAGAAATATGGGATCCTGAACACTAGGTGGAAAAACCTCTTGCTGAGTCAATAAAGAGTTGAGATGATTTCAAAGAATCTCCAAATTTCTACATAATTTCTTTTTCAGAGTACACATTGTGACCACAATTTTAACGCTAAAGCTCACAGGGTGGATTTGGTAGTTGATCTGACATTTTTTCCAAGCAGCGAACGGACTACACCAAAAGCCACTACCTTGTGATAAACGGTACTACTTTCGCATTAGGAAGGACCTTGGGCAGATAAAGACTGAATCGGTCCGTATAAGCAAATAAATTGCGGTTATCGGCGGAGGACAACCTGGGAAGGCTGAGAGCTTAGTCCTAATACATAGCTCCCCCGAATTACCCCGTGGTTACTGCGGCTATCTTTCTCCACGTGGATTTTTCTAAGGAATATGGCTGGTGCACATGTTAATACCAGATATAAGTAGAAATGAGCGATACCGCATGGGAATGCATCCCCGAAACCTGGGTTATTTGCTTTTTTTTTACCCCCTCACCAACTAAGGTCACAATATGCACCTATCGGCGCATGCCGCGTCGTAGCGGGAACCAAAATATGCATGGGCGACCACGAGATGGAAGAGCTGGTGCGTAATGGAGAGGCTGGAAAACTAATAATTGGCCGAGTTGGAGTGTTACAGCCGCGCTTGTTCTTCCAAGGTTTATTAGAAAAGACCTCGTGGGTGCGTGGCATCTGATGACATACGTCCATGAAATTAAAACATCTGGAAATTCTTGGCGTGATCTTAGGGCTTTAGGAAGAGGCTCTTCGGAAGACGGATCTGGTACTGATACGGAGGGTAATGACCTTTCTCATTGATTCCATTAAATCTTACTCTCTTACTCTTCTTGTCGTGGGGTCCTAATCCGCATTATGCTGGAATATACTTCAGACTTGGCCCTAAATTCCAGTCAACACAGCCTCACCCCAAAATGTCTTCGACGCGTTCACCAACTGAATTAGTTTCGACCACCCTCAGAGAAGGCATAAGCGGTTATATTGACCGCACAAAGCTTGAGAGTAGGCTTTACGAGTTTTTTGGGTACAAGATCGAAACTGAAGTGAGTAAATGCTATTCCCTATAGAAGCTTCATGTGAAGGCTAAAGCCAACCCTATAGTACTTTTGCGGCCGAATTACCTTTCAAGCACCACGAGAAGTGCAAGAGGCATGTCTCCCGTGATTTAACCGTAATATTGATTGCCTTTTGCTAACAAGATTTCTCTCAATCTAGTATGAGATAGCGTACGCGAATTTATCAGAGCCATAGTATTTCCGATGGTTGCTAACATTTAGCTTAAACAGGGACCTCTGCGAGGATGAACGGGTGGACTACGGCTAGAGGACATTGCTTGAACTTTCTTTCACCGATCCGAGTTATTTGCTTTTTGAATGAATCTGCCTCACCCTTGGGAATCTGCCTTGACCTACCTAGATCCTAAAAGGGGCTGTACCTTAGGTGGCGGTATCCTACCTTGGTCCTCCCTTTCCATTTTCAAAGTGCGCGTCATAGGAAAGAATACATCGTCTGGAATTTAGATCACATAGCCTCCTAGAAATGACTAATGCAGCCTGGGCTACAGGGAGTAGGGTATGGGCCTCCCATCAGTCGGGCGCAAATCGCATGTATTTGGCCTGATTCTTTAGGAACATGTATTAATGAACCTATAGCATAATACGCTAAGGCGTTTCAGGTTTTCCTTGCTGTCTTCGCCCGGGATTTACATTTAAGACTTGGTCCCCTCAGGTCCCCGGGTTCCTGTTAAAATCTTTCTCGTAAAGCCCGGTTGCATCGAACAGAGAATTCTCCATAGAATTTCCCAATAAAGATGACTACCAGTTTATTCTATTCTACATTCTGTCTCCATGACAATCCAGCCAACATATCTGTTTACCAAAGCGATGGTGTGCTTCACATTATTTGAACAAACTGAGCGGGTGCTGGCTGACCTTTGTGTCTTTATAGTTGACACGTCACATACGCTCATTGCTAGTGAGTTCAACAGCAACAGCTTATTCCAAGAACATATTTCGACGACTCCGCTTCCAAAGTTACGCATCATGTAAGATTTATATTAATTTAAAAAAAAAATGGTCCCTATCTCACTCTGTTTTTCTGTTGGATCTAGCTCCATAAACTCCAGGTCATCAATCAAGCCGCTCCAAATCTCAAAGGATGCTCTCCGGACGCTCAAGGACACCTATAATATTGGCAACGAAATATGGGACTCGACATCGACATTCGGAGACAAACCCCTGACTGCAGCTGTAGGTGAAGGAGGAATTAAAATCAAAAGTGGCGAGAATGGTATTCAAGGTGAGTACTCCCCAGAATTTATTCACGTACCAAAAGGACTCAGAAAATATTTTAGATATCTCTTACAGACTCACATTCCCAACACCAGTGTCGGGGGAAGTTCACAATTGGACTATGCGTCAAATGGCTGTTTTCCACCACCATGATCCTAACGACCTTCAAAATCTCTGGATCTTCTTTCATGTTGGTTACAATACACCCATGCAGCAAGAGATCAAGCAATATGTCTCGATTCCCCAGCAGGGGCTACGCTCAGACCATGCGTGGCATTTACTTCATTCTGCTGCTTTCTCTTCTTGTTTGGATAATTGGCGATCCTATGTGAACAGCCTCGGTTATGACGTGGATAAACGTGTCAGTATTTACTAATATTGGCTCCTTAGATTTTCTGACCGTTATTTCAGACTGATCAATCCCTGGAGTTCATTTTGAGAAACATCGATCATGTTTTGACTGCCGGGGGTGACCGTGCCACTAACTTGACAGTGATTCACAACACACGCGACCTTCTAGTGCCTACCTCATATAGATTGAGGGTAATATTGGACACTCTTGCAAAATTAGGTGATTTGAGCAGTGTTCTGAGTTCACAGCATGACAGTACAGATAACGGCTTTCAAAAACTTGTCACATGTGTGGGATACCACGAAGACCATTTAGAGGGATGTGTTGTTGGGGTAGAAGTGCTGAAGGAGAAGATCAAGGATATCTTAAACATGGTAAGCGGCAACAGCCAATAGTCACTACCTAGATAAACCCCTCGCTGACCGGCATTCAAGTCTACATTAGGGTTAGATTTCAGGATGACTCACGAGATGCTCGACCTCAACAACCGGATGGTTGTATTAAATGACCGCATGATCAAAACCAACAAAGTAGTCACGTTCCTGACCCTTATTTATTTACCTGCAAGTCTTATGTCGGTAAGAAGTTATAACCCGATGCCGCAAAATATAATTTGTGCTCACCACTTAATAGTCTATTTTCGGGATGAACTTGTTCAAATTTGACGACGGGACAACTGAGAAATTCAAAGTATCTGATCAAATCTGGATCTTCGTTGTTGCTACAATTGTCTTGGGATTTCTTACATATGTGTCATGGTATTTATGGTCCCACAAAAAGCAGATATTCGGGCGTATCTTTCGCTTTCGGGAGCTCAGGGTATATCAGGAGACCAAGGAGACGTCGAGTGATACTTAACGAGTTACATTTGACTGGATATGCTGAGATCTTTCATTTGACCGGCTCGGTTGGAAAAGGGTTGATTTGAGAGAACAGATAGACTGCAGTTTTTTTTATCAGAATTCAGAACTAGATGTTTTGCGTTTATATCTTCACATAGATAGTGGATGGGGTGTTTATAATGGCGGAAAAGTTCCTAAATTTGATATCTCAAGTTGTCGAGATACAAAAGTCAAGTGTCTACATATGTATGGTGAAAGGAAGAACGGAGAATTGGTATATTAGCGGCTAAGGCGCAGAGTACTTCAATACTCTGTGGAATAGACCTCATTTTAGTTGGTGTAAGTGGTAGCGGATGAAGATTCCGGAGGCTGTAGAAAAATGCGGGGATTAGCGCCAGACGGAAATTGAGAAATAACATCCTCGTAAGCAGATGGGGTTATTCGGAGATATCGGACTCTATTTACTACATATTCAGTTTTAGGATCTCTTTTAACCCTAGCCGTGGCTCTGTGTACCACGACCGTATAACCAGCCTTGTACCCGGTCCCTCTGTCGAGATTTGTTTCTACAGCTTCATCTTAATTATCTCTATCCAAAACAAAATCAATCTGATCCAGCCATCATGCCTCGTGTCTGGTTCATCACTGGTTGTTCCTCCGGCTTCGGACGCCAATTGGCAATTACCGCTGCTAAAAACAAAGACACTGTCATTGCCACCTCGCGCAACCCCTCCAAGCTATCCGATCTGGCCTCGATCGGTGTTATCGCGAAGAAGCTGGATGTATCAGCGAGCGATGCCGAAGTTAAAGCGGTTATCGATGATGTCGAGTCTACTGTTGGGCCAATTGACATCCTGGTAAACAATGCGGGGTATATTCTGGAAGGAGGTGTGGAAGAGTGCAGGTAAATACTCTATTCTTGCTGGCAATGTTCAAGTTCTCATCCATATAGCCACCAAGAAATTATCGATCAATTCGACGTTAACGTCTTCTCACAAATCCGCGTCCTCAGAGCGGCTCTCCCCTCTATGCGTGCCCGCAAATCCGGCGTCGTGGTTAACTTTGGATCAATCGGCGGTTGGCTGGGCTCCCCGGCGGCGGGAATGTATTGCGCTAGCAAGGCTGCTATCGCGATCTACACCGAAGCCCTCCGTGAAGAACTGGCACCTTTCAATATCGAAGTTACTTGTGTTGAGCCTGGTTATTTCCGTACCAACTTCCTCACCGGTGGACACAAGATTACTGCCAAGCATCGCATTCCCGAGTTAGACATTGGGACCAAGACTACCCAGGATGCCCTCGTTGCGTACAGTCTTAACCAACCAGGTGATCCAATCAAGGGCGCTCAAGTTCTCTTCGAGGCTTTCACTAAGACTGGTCGCTGCGAGGGACGTAGTCTCCCTGGGAGATTGGCCCTAGGACGGGATTCATTGGCCGCAATTGGGGGGAGTATCGCTCGTGAACAGGAGATCATTGCTTCCACGGACTGTGATGATGTGGAAGCCTAGACAAGACCTATGGGTAAAAAATAACACAATTTTACAAGAATTCAATGATTTATATTAATTCACAAAAGATTACTATATGAAACATCTCATCATGAGCCGCACAATTCTCCAACAAAAGTGTTCGCCTAATGGATAAGGTTTCTATCCTACCCTAGTATACAGAGTACATGTATACATATCAATATACTACACACAATGTACTGGCATCTACAACGGCTGCGAATCTATTTTCTGTTGTTTATTTGTGAAACTACTTCTGGTATAGATCTTCACACGGCCCCAACTTTGGCCCCGCGGGGCTGAGCACATGATCGAGCGATGTTTATCAGAAGTCCATATATGTTCTGCCCCGTTTTCTTAAGATCTATCGCCTTATTTAAGCCTTCTGTGCATGGCTCTATCCTGCCGGACTCATGGCTGAATCGATTCATGTCGACTGCTCGGCAGCGCCACCGGACCATTATGAACCTGACAACGACATCAGCGGGGCCGGAGTGAGTCGGGTACTCCTCAAGGAGTGGTTCTCTTTTATTCTGACTTTCTTAGATTGTTGTTAGCTATATTTCGACCGCAGGCCTTGCTGTTCTTATCATAATCGTGTATTATGTCGTCGTCTACGATCCTTTGGTGGATCCATTCAACGCAGACGCAGACGCAGACACAGCCCAGGAATGTGCTACGTGGGATCACGTTAACCCGTTGGACGACTTTTTATTGAGGTGGTTACGATCGGGGCCGGCATATATTTCAAAACAGGTCCTGGGCTCACGCAAACTTCTGTCACCCCGTGCTAGGTCTCGGCTTGACGGAGTCCTAATCAAGGTAAGGTATCGGTCTGCCCAAGATAAGCTACCAATTCTTTTTGGTCAATGGCATCATCCTATACATATTGCGTAGCCCTTGGACTGATTCTTTCTGTTGCAGAATCTCGCTAACGCTCACACCTGGAACAGTGCCTTTTGATTATGAGTGACCTGCAGATTGTCACCGGGTTTGCAATCCTTCTCAGTGGGTTTACACAGCTTCAAAGTGGCCTGGAAGCCTTGAAATGGCGCACTATTCTTGACCTGGCATGGTTCTCCTGTCTGACACATCTTTCATGCCTAACAATGTTGCGACGACATCTTCACACGCACACCATTGAGCGCATATGGAGATTGTTCGCCATGGGTATACTTGCGGCATTGCTAGCCGCCGGCCTACTACCTACGGCCAATCATAAATGGCTTTTACTTTCTGAGGATGCTAAAGCTACCCCCGCTATTTGTATCCTCGGCTGCTATCTGAAGCCTGGACCAAACAAGGAATGGGCGAACACTATGGTATTGAACATGAATGTTAATATAGATGACTTCCATCCGTCCCAATGGTTCTGGCCACCGATAGTATCCGCAAGCTTTGTCGTGGTTGCATTTACCTTTCGAGTCGTGAGATTATATAAGTCTCTCTCTTTGAGTGTCAACCGAGCGACTAAATGGGTTGATAACCAGATACAGAGACTTCTCTCGCTTCTTTTTAGAACCCTCTGTAAAGAAGAAGAGATTTATAGCCTTAAACGTTCACTCGGATACCGGCCTGTCTTTGGTATTGTGATGATTTGGCGTTTTTTGTTAGTCTTATGGGCTTCATTTGCCCTCGAGGTATGTTCTTTCCGCGCGATATCCACGAATACCTTTCTAAGTCGTGTAGGTAAGCTGGGTCTTAATAGCTTTCCTCTGGGGTATCTGGCGCTTGATGCTAGACTTGTCTCCTACCAACATGATGGAAGCCCTAGATTTCAGCAACCAAGTATGGTCATTTGGCCAAATCGTCCCCGTATTAATGTTGGCGGCACCCCTCATCAGCATTGCTGAAACATTTAAAGAACGTGAGTTTTACAAAGCTGTATTTTAACGAACTTGTTCTAAGACAAAGCTTTCCGAAACAGACTCAAGTGAGGAGACTTTGGTGCCCCGGGAGTCATCGGACCGCCATCTATCATCTCGACTCCCTTTGCGCTCTACCGAACCTAGTACATCTGAGGACCTCGAAAGGCCAGATTCTGGCTGGGCCTCCCACCCCAGCTGTCTTGGAACAGCAACTACATACATCTGCGCGTCTTGTATTTACGTTGGCGTGCTTGTTTTCGTCAATTCTTCAAATGGCACGGCCCCTTTGAATGGGATTCGCCAATTTGGCCTAATTGTTCCGATGGCAATTTACTGCTTTTATTGGGTAGTGCTTCTCTCTCACACTATCGAACTGGCCGTACCGCAAGATCGTTGTTGGCTTCGAAGGTTCTTACAGGGTGTGGTCCTTGGCTTGTATATGACTGGCACATATATTCTCGGTGCAAACTATTGGCTTCTGGTGATTGCTAGTGGCTTTTACATTCTGGGTTCTTTCATACACACAGCTATTGGGTGGAGCAAGCGTTGATACAGGGCACTAGTATTGTGCAGCGATAGCGGGATCAATGGAAGAGAGTTTTGGCCATTGTCGAGGAGATTGCTTCTCAGTAACCCCTCGACAAAGGTGTGTGATGTTTTCACCTGCTCGTTATCGTGAGAAATGTGTTGATATTTTCCACACAGCCCTCTTTCCTCCAAGGTGAAAGTGAGGTAGAATTGAGGTTAAGTCTCATTCGGGAACCCATCAGGTTGTACATACGATACAGGACCCCAGGTTACATAGGTCCATCAGGAGGCCACCAGCTCAGAGTCATAGAGCAGATCAAAAAGAAAAATTAACTAAAAGTTTGATTGTATTAAGTGCGATGATTTGAAAATCTTTTGGCTTCGGAGGTTGGAAGGTTGGAAAAACAAAATGGGTGAATTACTGAATTACTTCAGCTCTATGAAGTAGAAAACACTGTTATTGCTGGAAGGATAGAATAGAGTTATGAGATCAGCAATGGCTGCTTCTTCCATCAATTGGCCCAAGTGGTCGAGCAGTTTCCTGGTCTAGCGGTTATGATTTTCCGTTAACAAATGCGACTAGCATATGTTCCGGAAAGGTTCTGGGTTCGATTCCCAGGGAAACTATTTTTTGTCTTTTTGCTATTGAATTATTAGCTGAGGTACTTCCTTTTTTTGGATTTGGTATCAAATATCAAAAGTTAGTTGAAGCTTTTCTTTTTTCTTTTGATCTCGCCTGCGGGTAAATTATGCAGACTACGCAGATCGCTACGTGGACACCCTTTTTCTCCAAATAAATAATCACATGTATTTTCTAATATATTTTATTGCGTTATATATATTCGACTCTGCTATACCAGCTAATGTATATATTGCCCGCAAACATGTCCAACCCGCACAAACGAACTTATACATATCGAAATGAAATGAGATCATGAAAAGATGATAATATAATTGTAGTAGTAGAATTTTAAAATTGTCTAATTCACCTGGAATAGAAATATTTACGGGCTTCATGCCCACCTGTAGATAACTTCTCAATTGGTGAGAAGGAGGATAAAAACAATGGGTTCCATCAGTTGAAAGTGACTGAATGCTGCCCGAATTGGAATGTCTGCAATACAATGTGATGTACGTTGTATGCAGGGAAAAAACGCAAGCCATATCAAACAAACTGCATCGGTAGTGCCAATCTTGCCTCTGTTGGGGATCACCTGGTATTCCTGGAGAGCCGAGATGCCAAATTAGGGGTAGCATTGATTCTCAGATTCCATGTTAGTTACTGAGAATTAACTGGCGTAGGTCGCGGAGAAATACACCCAAAAGGACAGTTTGAAAGAAGGGAATCAATTGATATATTTTGTTTAAATCTATCCTATAACGGACAATTTACTCCAAGCGCAGCTTCTCAAACTCTTTAACCTGCTCCTCGAGACGGGCAGCCTCACCCTCAGCATCACGCAGACGCTTCTCCTCTTGTTCACGGACCTCAGCCTTGACCTTCTCCTTCCAGCCAGGGCCGTTGATGATGCCCTGGGATCTGCGGACAGTCTCACGGGCCTTGGCGAGGCTAGCCTTAGCCTTCTCCTCCTGCTCCAAGGCAACTTCCTTGGAGACACGGAGGTAGACAGCAGCCTCAGCACCAACAGCAGCGACGACGCAGCCAGAGGGAGGGTTCTTGTTCTCCGGGCCGAGGTGGGACAGCTCGCCGAGGGTCTTACCACCCAGAGACTTGATGGTGGTCATCTCCTCGGAGACGGTCTTTTGGCTGGTAGCATCGTAGGTCTGGATGATGATATCGCCCTGGGTCTTGACGTCGTACTGGGACAGGATCGAGCGGATGGCCTTGGAGGTGTTGAGGATGAGCTCGTAGGCCTCGGCGGCGGCGGGGTCATCGAACTCGGCGAGGTACTCGGGGTACTTGGCCTTCATGATCGAGATAGTCTCATCGCCCGCACGGCGGGGGAGACGCTGCCACAAGTGCTCGGTGACGAACGGCATGATGGGGTGGATCAGGGTCAGGGCACCCTCGAGAGCTGTGTAGAGGGTCTGCTTGGCAGACTCCTTGGTCTCAGCTGAGGTCTCCTCCGCCAGCAGGAACTTGGAGTTCTCGAGGAACACATCGCACAGCTGGGAGTACCAGTACTGGTAGGAGATCTGGGCGGAGTTGGAGAAATCACGCTGCTCAAGAACCTCGTTCATCTCCTTGGCGGCGGTGTTGAACTTGTGCAGAATCCAGCGCTCGGAGAGAGATTCATTGCCAGTCTTCTTAACACCAGCCTGGGGCTTGAAGTCATCGCCCAGCTTGCCGAGGACGAACTTGGTGGCCTGGTAGATCTTGTTACAGAACTTACGGTATCCGTGAATGACCTGGATATCGAAAGCAATGTCACCTCCTGCAAAAAAGAAAAAGCATTATTAGTAAATAGAATCAAATGGGGACATAGGGTGAAACATACCGCCAGTGGTGTAAGAGACGAGGGCGAAGCGAAGAGCATCGGCACCACACTCGGGGATACCCTTGGGGAAGGCCTTCTTCTGGTATCTGGTAGCAGCGGCAATCTCCTTATCGGCGATGTTGCCCAACTGCAGCTTGTCGTGAAGAGCCTGCAGCTGAATACCCTCCATAACATCCAGAGGATCGATAACGTTGCCCAGAGACTTGGACATCTTGCGGCCATCAGAATCTCTGATCAGAGAGTGACAGTAGACCTCACGGAAAGGAATCTGGCCAGTCATCTTGATACCCAGCATGATCATACGGGCAACCCAGAAGAAGAGAATATCCCAACCAGTCTCCAGAACGGAGGTGGGGTAAAGGTTCTCGAAGTCGTGGGTCTTGGTGGGCCAGCCCAGAGTAGAGAAGGGCCACAGGCCAGAAGAGAACCAAGTGTCGAGAACATCGGGATCACGGACGAGAGAGAACTGCTTGCCGGGGAACTTCTCCTCGGCCTTCTTGCGAGCATCTTCCTCGGTACGGCCAGTGACCCAGAGGTTACCGTCACTGTCATCGCCATCCTCACCTTCGATCTTGACGAAGTAAGCAGGAGCCTGGTGTCCCCACCAGAGCTGACGGGACAGACACCAATCATTGAGGTTGCGCATCCAGCGGAAGTAGCTCTTCTCGGCGGACTCGGGGCGGATAACGATATCGCCATTCTCAACGGCATCGATGGCAGGCTGAACCAGGCTTTCCATCTTCATCCACCATTGGGGCTTCATGATAGGCTCAATGACATCGTTGGACTTGGCGCAACGAGGCACCTTCATGGGGTTGTGCTCCCACTTCACGTACAGACCCTTCTCCTTAAGATCCTCGATGACCTTGTAACGAGCATCGAAGCGCTTCATGCCAGCGAAAGGACCAGCGTGCTTGTTGAAGGTACCGTCGTCGTTCATGACAGAGATGAACTCCAGGTTGTGGGCCTTACCACGGTTGAAATCGTTAAAGTCATGGGCAGGGGTGATCTTGACGGCACCAGTACCGAACTCGGGCTCGACCTCGGGGTCAGCAACGATAGGGAGCAGACGGTCCAAGAATGGGTGGCGAGCGCTCTTGCCGATCAGGTGCTGGTAGCGCTTGTCGTCGGGGTGGACGGCAATACCAGTATCACCGACCATGGTCTCGGGACGAGTGGTAGCAATCTCGATGCGCTCGGTGGTTCCATCAATCTCGTAGCAGAAGTGAGTCAGGACACCGAACTCGACCTTCTTGTCGTAGCCAGGCACATCGAGAAGCGTGCGGCCCTCGATCTCCTTGTTCTCGACCTCAAGGTTGGACAGAGAGGTGTTCAGAGCCACACACCAGTTGACCAGGCGGTTGGCACGGTAGATAATACCCTCCTCGTGGAGGCGAACGAAGGTCTCGGTCACAGCAGCTGACAGGTTGGGGTCCATGGTGAAGGCCTCACGGCTCCAGTCGAAGGAACCACCAAGTCTGCGCAGGGCGTTCTTGATGTTCTTGTGATATTCATCCTTCCAGTCCCAGATCAAGTTGACCATGGCCTCTCGGCCAATGTCGTGGCGGGTCTTCTTCTCCTTCTTCCACAACATCTTCTCGACGACGCTCTGGGTGGAGATACCGGCGTGGTCCATTCCAGGAAGCCACAGGGTAGTCTTACCCTTCATTCTTTGCCACCGGATCATGGTATCCTGGAGGGCGTTGGTAAGGGCATGGCCCATGTGAAGAGAACCGGTAACGTTGGGAGGGGGAATGGGGATGACGAAGGAGCCTTCCGGCTTAACCTTGCCATCAGGTCCGAACTCGGGCTTGAAGAGATCACGCTCCTCCCACCATTCGAGACGACCGGCCTCAATGGCAATGGGATCGTAGGCATCGGCGGTCTTGTCCTTCTCGGGTTTCGCCTTCTTCTCGACCTTGGGAGCTGCGGCCTTGTTGGCGGCAGCCAAGGCCTTGGCCGCCTTCTTCTCTTCGAATTTCTTGTTCTTTTCGGCTTTCTTGCGCTCCTTCTCCACTAGAAATCACCCATAGTGTCAGCGTATGTTCATGATATAACGACTGCCGAGGAAAGGTCTTCATATGGATTTTGGTGGCAACATACACTCCTTCTCGGTCTTCACCTTAGGAGCTCCCGCAGGTGCGCCCTGTTGACCCTGGGTATCCTTTGTAGCATCGGCGGTCTGGGGGGTTGCGCTGGTCACGGGAGCCGTAGGCTCACCCGCTGTTCACTGTAAGCTTCTGCGCCATTTGAGAATGAGTCATGGAAACTCACTGGGGATTTGGGCAGAGTTTTGAGCCATCCTTGAGAATGCACGATATTGAGGAGTAAATCTCCAAGGCGCCGATCGCGCCACGAATCGCCGGATAAGTATCTTGAGAGATGGAGAGGTATAAGGAGGGGTGGTTGTGCGAAATGCGGGCAATTAAATTTCCCACGCTGAATGAACGAATGAGAGCGCGGGGCTCGGTGGGAGGTTCGGTGGAGTCGGCGGGCAGGTCAATGAAGCGCGTTTATGTGAGTCAACGCTCATCGGGTATCATTGGGTATATTATATTCTTTTCTTTTTGCGCGTTTCTTGCTTGCAATTCGTCTCCTTCTTTTATTTGTTCGGCCTGAAAGACACGATAACCCTCACGTGATATACGCTGGAGCCAACGGGTGATCTGAGGCTACCCGTGGGCATCTATAAGGAACAAGAAAGATCAGGATAATGTGCCTTAGTTTACTAAATTAAATCTTGGTTCATACTTGATATCATGTTTCTAGTCTAGTTTGATCTCGAACCTAGTATACTATATGATTCTATACATATACATAGGTCAAGACATATGTGCGCGTCATATATAAACCCCTACCTACGATGTCCAATCAACCTATACAATCCATTCAATTTTAGATGTTGTTGAATTTTTTTTTAAATCTCATCCAATGTTTCATTCATAAAAAGGAAAGCGTTAAGAAAATGCAATGGGTTGTCTTAGGAAAAAGCATCCCTTGAAACACGAAGCACCCGGTAGAAAGGCCAAAACACCAATTCAACTAACAAGGGAGAAATCAATTAGAGAAACCCACGAGCAGCGCTATACAAATAGAAAAAGATGAAACGGAAGAGTGATCCCCCCATCTAAGACGTTGGTTTATCACGCTCATTGACACGCCAAACGACCTAGGCGATAAAAGGCTTGAAAGGGACCCAGCAAATTAAATGTCATGATGTCTTGTCATCAAAGTCGTCTTCATTCAGGATTTGATCGTTTGCTGCAGCCCATCATTCGAGAAAGGCTAATAAAAAAACAAGAGGAACAGGGAGTACGGAGGCCAAGCTCATTTCATGTTTTCGATCATCGTTGTACCGTTCATATCGGCAAATTTCAAATGCAAAAGGTACGTAATTGTCGTGATGCCCCGACGCAATCTTGATGGCAACATGGGGAGAACTTGGAACCGGGCATCGCAGTAAGAAGATCAGAGCCATGATCATCAACAATTCATGCGAGAGTAATTCAGGGAAGTGTCACGTTGTTGTGGCTAAGGGCTGCGGCATCAGCACGAACCGGGTCAAAGTATGCGTGTGCCATGGCCTCCTGGGCAGTCAAGCGATCCTTTAAAATAAGTCAGTATGTGCAACGTATAATAGATGTGTCAGAACAACTTACAGCGTGGTCGTAGCGCAGAAGCTTGTCAAGGAAATCAATGGCCTCATCACTGATGAAACGCTGGTTCTCTGCGTTGACAAACGAGTGCCATGGCTTCCGGGGGAAACGGGAGAGGATGTCGTCGTATTGCGGGTCCAGCTCAATGTCGTACTTGTCCAAGTACTCAAAGAGCTCCTCAGTACCAAGAACCTTGGCGATCTTGACCAATTGATCCGTGTTGCTGCCTCCGTGGAAGAAAGGCTCCTTGCGGAAGATCATGGAGGCGAACATAGCACCCAGGGACCACATATCCAAAGAATAGTCGTATTCCTGGAAATCAACGAGGAGTTCGGGGCCCTTGAAATAACGAGACGCAACACGGACGTTGTATTCAGTGCCCTTGTGGTAGAACTCGGCCAGACCCCAATCGATCAGACGAAGCTATAATAAGTTAGGAACATGATTTTCCGCCACAACTAATTGATAAGCCCACTAACCTTGCGCTTCTCATGATCAATCATGACATTGTGGGGCTTCACATCCCGATGCATGATACCCTTGCTGTGGCAGAAGTCCAGCGCCTTAAGCAGCTCGAAAACGTAGAAACGAACGTCGTAATCGGAAAAGCGGGGGTACAGTGTGCGGAAGTCGGTGTTGTTGATAGCCTCGAAGACCAGACTAGGAGTCTTGCTCTGGTTGTCGCGAACAACGTCCAGCAAAGCCACGACATTGGGCCCACCTGCGAGATTCTGTAGAATCTTGATCTCACGCTTGATCTTCTTCTTCTTGACAGGCTTGAGGACCTTGATAACGCATTTCTGGTAGTTGACGACGTTGATGCCCTCGAAAACCTCGGAGTACTTTCCCCGACCTGGGGTAGATAGTCAGAAAGTTTGTTCTTGAAGTTTACCCGCAGTTCACAGCTTGCGGAAACTATCTCCGACATGTTGTACTAGGACAGGATTTGATCATCTCTCACCTATCTTGCGAACGATTTCATAATTTTCAAGAACACCCCAAGAGATGTTGACACTGTCATAATCCCAGTAGGACCGAGGCATATGCTCGTTGACATCGGCATAGACACGCGCCATCTTGACGATGACAGGCGGTTTTCGAGTGCGCCCACAATTGAGAGATGTGCGGCGGGGTCACGAGGGGCTCGGCCGTGTGACGGAGGGAGGTGCCGGAGGTTAGCTTGAGGTATGAGACAGGTAGCAACAGGCCCAGCGACTATTCAGCCCAAACGCAGTGCTCACAAGAAGCCTTGAGCAATGGGATGGACGAAGTGAGATATTGTCGTGATATGATCAGTAGAATGAGATCCGTTCCGCCTAAGGTCACGGGATCAGAGAGGGTTGTGGGGACCCCACCGAAAGAAGTTAGCGCAAGAGCGGATCTTCTGTTAATCCGATAGATTTTCTGATTGCCTTTTTGGGACAGTTCGATGTGACCAAGAGCGTTGAGAAGTTAAGCAATAACTCCCACGGGCAGGGCAGGCCTTCTTTTAAATCCACCATGTTTTACGACCTGAATGTACCTTACAGCCCCGATGACCCGGAGGTGCCCCACACTTTGAATTTCCTTGCTGAACGTAAGTCATTCATTCCGCTCTGCGGCACAAGATCCGCAGGTTGGAGCACATGAGAGACTGACCTGACTTTGTAGTTGGTTACACTACTGTTGCCCTGTCTCAAACAATCAACGGGAAGCTCCCCCCGACCCTCGCCCCTCCTCCCCTGCCAACGAACGCGCCGAAATCCCTCCAACTGCTGACCCGGTTGAACCTGACTCTGGCCGACCCCGCGCAGAATCAGCGCCTAACCGCGCTGAGTCAAGCGTACGATATTGTTGCTCTCCGTCCCACAAATGAAAAGTCGCTTTTGAATGCTTGCACCAACTTGGAATGCGACGTGATCTCCGTGGATCTCTCAGTGCGACTTCCATACCACTTCAAATTCAAAATGCTGTCCGCGGCAATCTCACGTGGAGTCCGTATCGAGATCTGCTATGGGCCAGGAATCACGGGGAGTGGGCTTGATGCACGAAGAAACCTCATTGGGAATGCAACATCCTTGATCCGCGCGACACGAGGTCGAGGCATTATTGTGTCCAGTGAAGCAAGACGAGCTTTGAATCTACGAGCCCCGTGGGACGTGATCAATCTCGCCTGTGTTTGGGGTCTATCACAAGAGCGTGGAAAGGAAGCTGTCTGCGAAGAGTCGCGGAAGGTGACCGCATTGGCCAAGTTGAAGCGAACCAGTTGGCGAGGCATCGTGGATATCGTCCACGGTGGGGAGAAAGCCAAACCCGAAGCACCCGCGTCAAAGCAAAAGGGTGCTCCAAAAGCTAGCGCCCCAAAGGCCAAAGAAACCGCGCAGCCAGAAATGGTAGCGGACAATCTTAAGAGGAAGGCTTCTATCAGTTCTGAGCATGTCGCCGAGGAAGCTGACAAGCCTTTGTCCAAGCGAGAAATCAAACGACGAGCCAAGAAAGCACGATTTGACGCAAAAGGAGAGAATGCCACTTGATTTAAACTTGTTACGGCATCTCTAAATTTTCGTTACCGAGGAAGTCTGCTCCTCTGTCACCGGTAGAAGCCAGGAGTATTGATATTCTCTGGCTTTCTATTAGCGAGTATCATAAGCTGTGAGCCAAACTGGTCGAAACACTCCCCTGGTGTTTCCAATTGGGACTTTTTGAGCAACCGCCGTGACTCCAATCGCCGCCCAATACACCATGATGATGTACGCGCCGCTGAAGAGCAGAACAATATGCTACCCTTCACTTTCAAACGTGAAACATAGCCATCATCATAATGGTACCGCTACTACGGTAGCTCCGGGACTTGTTTACATTGCATTTTCCAAGCATAGCATAGTTGGAATGGACATCTATGGGTGGATTTCGGTATCCCCTACTAGATCATCAATACACTTACTTTAATTTTCTTGCTAGTCGATTCTGTAGAAAATCCTCAGCTCTAACCAGCACCGACGAGTATGATACGGCGTTTGGGCTGATAGAGCAATTCTCATTCACAATTAAACTGGGATAGCCTATAGAACTTGTACTAGGATATTTAATTTTAACCTTGGACTGCGCTTTCAACAGACTTGAAAACCGGTTGCACGGGTTTTGATGTTTGTGGGTGTAACAGAGAAATCGAGAAAATTTGCATGTTGATAAATTAATCACGATAGCTAAATGACATGATTCCGGAGGCAATCTTGGAGTCCTGTGGCGAAGTTGGTAGGTTTTGTGCTTCTTTCGTCACTTCCTCCCCAAAGGGTTTCTGCTTATTTACACAACTCTTAGAGGAACCATAGGGACCATTATGGGAGCACGGCAACTCCGATCTCCAACTGTTGACCATAGCAGCGATGGAAGTAGGACTTAGACCTTTAAAAGAGACGGTAAAAAAGGGGGAGGGGGGTGGGGGTTGACTAAAATATGGACGCTCAGCTATACCGGCTGAGTAAGATATCTTGTTTTCGGTTAGTTTGCGAAGGAGAAGGCCAAGGTATGTCGCATCACACTCAGAGCCACAAGACTTCCGCATCCAATCCGGGGTATTCAACAGTGTTTCAATCCGTGCTCCAATCTCCACTTGGAGTAATTCCATGTATTGTTGCCTTGCTTGATCGATTTTGTCTGCAACCGCGTAGTTAGTCCTTTGGTATGTATGTCTGGAAATTGATTAAGCGTTTTATTTTGCCAACACACCTGTGATACTTTTTGGAATCGGTAGATTACTTGTGTGGAAGGGACCTGTTCCTTGCTGCATAGCAATCGTTTCTGCCTGTCGAAGAATATCGCTGGAGTTAAAGACCCAGGCGATCATTATCCACTTTTTTGTATCCTTCAATATAATTTAAACTTCTGCACAAGTCACTGTCTCTATCTGGGAAGAATCTAGTGTGAAAGCACTTAATCCTACATATCATACCCAGCAAGGACCCATCCTTGGGATAATGATACTTCGTCTGTCAGAGTGGTATGTGAAACCAACATCTCTTTTTATACCAACTAATTGAAGATAAATATGACAGGTACTCTGATCTATGGTTTCTTAGATCTTGATTTTAGCACCTTCACGTTTCATTTAGAAAGGGCAGATGATAGATGAGGCCTAACTGACTTAACTATATACCTAGGTATAGGGGATGGGGTCGCAAACAGCAGAAGCACGGGATGTGACACTCGTCATTTAGCTCCTTGTTTGATACCACTTTTGCTGACACCTTCTTCTTTTCATCTTCTCTCACGTTTCTCATATCCCAAGGACAAATCATCGCCTTTGTCTTCATTGTTCCCCAGCCCCATCTCTAGAATGAAAGACCCCACCACATCCAGATGATCCAGGCGACTAAGGTGTCAAACCAGATAACTGCAACAAACGTCCCTCTTATCATGCCATCCGAAGATTTCTTCCTCCGCCCATCATCTATGCCTTATTCAAAATCAAAACAGAAGTCACCATCACATATGGCCTCCAAGTTTGGCCATCTCAACACTCTTCATGGCCTCATTCCAATGACATATCAAATCAGACAGACTGGGTGGGGCTGCCTGTGGAGGGTTTGGAAGTTGCCATCGCGCAAATGAGAGCATGGTTGCAGCGAGATGTATATATATGGCTTGACCCCGAGAGTGGTGACACCAATGTCGCCATAGCCGTCAAAGCAAACCGGACACGATCAACTATCACCCTGGATAAGTATGAGTGGGACCATGCTAGTGGACAAGCCCAAAGTTCCCAGCACATCGAGATCCGGGAAAGCGACACAGTTGATGAATCCGGGGTCTCTGGAGCTTCACTAAATATCCCCTTTGGCCCCCTGTTCTTATGAGATCCAGAATTTCTTAGAGAAACTGATTTAACTAAAGGGGTGGCTTGGGAGCAATCGAATTGTCACCAAATCATCTGGCCGACGTAGATGGAGACGTAATATTTTTCATACACCAGGTGCTGTCTTGATCAGCAGTACCACAGGCTGTGTTGCAGAATCTTCTGGTCGCTTTCGACTCTGCTCCAAACGTTTCAAGCTTGCTTAAGTGATCCTAGACAAATTCAACTTTCCAGAAACCAGCATATGGTAGCCATAAAATTGACGATTGGGGCCCAGATTGATGAGGATCGCGTACTTGATTAATGTATCGTCGCCTCCATCTGGACCTGTGTGTCCCTTGACTAGTATAATCTCTGGAAGGGATAGCCCTAGCACCATCAACTCGATGGCCAATGAGTGGAAACAAAACTTTGATCATGGGCCATGTGGAAAGCAGGATATGCCCTTCGGAGCTGATGCAAGACAACAATCACTAAGTCTCCCTGTTTCGGCATTTAGTTCGGGGGTTCTGTTTTGAATGAAGTGTCTTGGGTAGCACTTCAAAGACGTGGTTTGTTTTGCTAAGGAAAGGAGTGTAACCGGAGGATTTGTGACTTCCCTTTACGCGTCAAGTGGCTCCTGGGTTAGACCCTCATACGTGCTAGAGGGCTTTTCCCAGTCCTATAAGGGTAAATGGCAAGTTAACTAGCAGTTCTTGGCTGTGGCATCCTTGCTTTATCCGACTCCGTTATGACGCTAAACTTCTGTAAGCTTGCGCATACCCGTCTTCCCAAATTGGGCACGACTGCATTAAAGATGTTACTTACTGTTACATCTACATGCACATTTAAACGATTCAACTTCAAATCAAATCAGTTGGTGACCCGCACCACCAGTATAATGTATGATATTGACATTTTAATAACACCAAAGTTAAATGTCCGAGATAAGAAAAAGAGGGAAAAGCGCCGCATCGTAGTAGACAACACATAGAAAACATCAAATTCCTTGGGTTATGACCTCCGTTCCCATTTCGTCGGATCTCCGAGAAATGTTGCCATCTGCCATTTTGCTGGCACATCATGCAAGACGAATAATTGCTGCATATTCTGACTCTTCCCCTCAATTTTCGTCCTATCACATGTTGTGTCCAAACCAAAGACGAACGAAAAAAAGAAAAAGCCCCCCTCCCCCCCTCCCCAAAAAGGAAATAGAAAATAGAAAGCCATGTCGTACGTTCATATCATCTTAGTGCTCTCCTAGACCCCCGCTAGGGTCTCCAACTCCCAGTATACATGCAAGAGTGCGTCATTCGTCCAAATAGCCGTCATAGGCGGAATAAAAATGTCAATCTCGGGCGTGCTCGGAATTCGAATGCATGATTGGGCTCATCCACAAACAAATGCATCCTTTAGACACGAATCAGGTCATCATTTCCTGCACGTATCCCTTCCGGGCCCGTAAAATAGC